TAAACAGTTTGGCCCGGGCCTCGTCCGACGACGACCGCGACTCCCTTGCCCTCGCCAACTCCAGCACCTGGACTTGCATGTTGGCCATCAATTGAAAGAGGGCATTCAAGTCCGGCGCGGCGGCAACGGGAGCTGGGGTGGCTGCGGGATTGCTCGCAGGAGAGGTTGGTACCACTTGTGGGGGGACCGTTCCCATGTTGTTGGCCGGCGTGGCCTGCGTTTGAGGTTGCGGGTTGGCAAACACCCGCAATTCGTTTGCGGTGGTCTCCGTTCCGGAGTCCGTCGTTTGCAACCACAAAAACCTTCCCTCCCCATCCACCTGCTGGCTTTGTCCATCCTCGGACAGCACAGGCGAGATCCCCGGCGGGATTCCTTGGGGGGTCCCATCGGGACGAAAACACTGGGTGAAGGAAGTGTTCATCGCGTAGGGGTTTCTAGTCGGGGTGAAGTTTGTAGATCCGTTATTCTATTAGGCTTGCCTGCAAGCCTAAGATAGTATCACACGGGACTAGAAGGTAAGGGTAAGGTAATGAATGTAATAACGGATGTAGTACAACTGGTACTACATTACAGTAACACATAGGGGGTGTTCTAGATATACTCCGTACGGAACTCCCATCGGAGGTCCCTGTAAAACTACCCGACGCGGGTGTTCGGTACGCGTACCGCGGATGCCATAACACCCACCCCCTCTCCCCCTCCTTCCCCGACTCCCAACCCCGCTTCCGATAAGAAGCAGAAGAAGAAGAAGAAGGAGAAGAAGGTTGTGGATGTCTCGGACGACGACGAGTGAGGGGTTTCCGGGTCTTTTGGGAGTTTTGTCGTGTTTGTATTCTCCGGATTGTTTTTACGTCGGGATCTCTTTTTCTCTTGTATTTCTGATATACCATAATAGAGTCCCGACTTCATCTCCTTCTCTCTATGTGCGTTTACTCCTCGCGAGGGACTTGTGCGTTTTGCTCCTCGCCAGGGACTTGTGCGTTTACTCCTCGCCAGGGACTTGTGCGTTTACTCCTCGCGAGGGACTTGTTTCAGGTTGTGTTCTTCAGTAGTATGCGTTTACTCCTCGCGAGGGACATGTTTCGTATTGTACTTCTTGTACGGTTACCTTTTGATGGCGTATACTTTGGTGAGTGTATTTCTCGTAGTAACTGTGAAGTCGAGTGTTTGAAAAAGTGAATGGTGATAAAAACATCCCCGCCGGGCCTGCCGTGGGGGTACAACAAATGATGAGCCAATAACAACACAACCGTACGTCTAATCAGTCGGGGTCCAGAGCAAAGGCTGCTCTCCGTTCTGCCTCGCAAGCTCGGCTTCCCAACCTCCCTCCGGGACGGTCTCGACGGGTTGCACACGGGCACCAGAGACGTTCATCCGACCGTTGTTCCTACCCTTGAACCAAGCAGGGGCAGGGACCCTCTGGTTGGGGCAGTTGACGGCTACATGCCCGTGTTGGAAACACCGGTAGCAGGGGTCGTTCCGCCTCATCCTGCCCGCATCGAGTTCCATGGGAGCAGCGGTGGAAGTGTTGGCGGCGGGGGGAGGAGTCGCAACGGTGGTATTGACCACAACGGGGTTACGGGGAGCGGAGTGGTTACTCGCTTGTCGGTTACCGCCCGAGTTGTAGCGGTTTCCCGAGGACATATGCCTTCTGGCATCCGCCTGATCTTCGTACCGGCGGCATTCCATTTGGAATTCCGCCAAAGTCATTGTTTCTTGGCCCGGCATAGGGACGATGGCGTCCTTGAACGCTTGGTTCAGGTTGGCCCTGAACAGCATCCGGCGAGAGTATTCGCAGACGTTGGGGAGGAGGGCCAAGAGGTCGTTGTACTCGGTGATGTACGTCGCGAGGCTCTTGGTGCCCTGCCTTAAGTGAACTAATTCGGCCTCAGTTGCCGCGATGTTTCGTCCTCCACCATAAGTGGAGATGAGCAGTTGCTCGAACTGCTCCCAGGTAGCCGGCACTCGACCCGTGGAGTACTCCCGGGCCCAATCGGCGGCCTGTCCTTCCATGTACGACTCCGCGTACATCATCTTCAGGCGGTCGGTAACGTAGACGCCCGGTTTGACCTCGAATTCCCGGTTGCATTGGTCCAGGAACCCTCGGACCTTCTCCTTCTTGCTGCCATCGAACTTGTCCGGAGTTCCAAACTTAAACAGTTTGGCCCGGGCCTCGTCCGACGACGACCGCGACTCCCTTGCCCTCGCCAACTCTAGCACCTGGACTTGCATGTTGGCCATCAGTTGAAAGAGGGCATTCAAGTCCGGCGCGGCGGCAACGGGAGCTGGGGTGGCTGCGGGATTGCTCGCAGGAGGTGTTGGTACCACTTGTGGGGGGACCGTTCCCATGTTGTTGGCCGGCGTGGCCTGCGTTTGAGGTTGCTGGTTGGCAAACACCCGCAATTCGTTTGCGGTGGTCTCCGTTCCGGAGTCCGTCGTTTGCAACCACAAAAACCTTCCCTCCCCATCCACCTGCTGGCTTTGTCCATCCTCGGACAGCACAGGCGAGATCCCCGGCGGGATTCCTTGGGGGGTCCCATCGGGACGAAAACACTGGGTGAAGGAAGTGTTCATCGCGTAGGGGTTTCTAGTCGGGGTGAAGTTTGTAGATCCGTTATTCTATTAGGCTTGCCTGCAAGCCTAAGATAGTATCACACGGGACTAGAAGGTAAGGGTAAGGTAATGAATGTAATAACGGATGTAGTACAACTGGTACTACATTACAGTAACACATAGGGGGTGTTCTAGATATACTCCGTACGGAACTCCCATCGGAGGTCCCTGTAAAACTACCCGACGCGGGTGTTCGGTACGCGTACCGCGGATGCCATAACAATAATCCGCTTCAACCGCAAACGTTCCTTGCCCTACCTCTCGAACTCCGTCAAGACAGGCTAGAATACCTGTTAAGGAAGGAAAAGAACAGGGAAGAGGAGGAAGAGATGCGGTCTGCCAAGCGTAGACGTTTCCTCGAACGGTACGGCGAGTAAACGGCGTCGAAGTCGACGTCGACGTAGTAAATCGTAAGTCCCCCGTTGGTGGTGATTTCGCTCTGGTTTGGTGATCAGATGGCACATAAATGAGATGGCATCTTCCCCATACAAATTACTAGTAGCTAACGCCTCGAACGCTGTGTCGCTACCTCGCTATAGTCGTTCCACAACCTCTCCGCAATCCGGTCGCGTTTTCGCTCCATCTCCCGTTTACCTCGATCGTCGGCCTCGTACTCCCTCACCATCTCGATATCCTCGTCGTCAGGGCCCTCTACGTCATCGTCAGCGACCTCTATACCGTCTTCTTCCTTCCCGTACATCAGTATGAAGTTGTTCAGGGCGAAACAGCAGTAGATCACGCGGATTTGGGTGTCGACGTCGTATCGACAGCCACGGGCGAGAATCTGAAACGTGGTGGTGTAATAGCGGTATAAGAATAGGTCAGCTGTGTTCGTGAGGATGTTGTGCAGTTGCGTACCGGATATCTAGCCTTCAGAACGCCGAACGATCGTTCTATAACGTTCCGACACGACGAATGTCGTAAATTAAACAATTCCGCGGGATTTGTAGGTCGATTCGTGCTATTCCCGTAGATGTCATTTTGCTGCTGCGTCAACGGTGTTCTGGGGCATGTTTTGCTAGAGAGACTCACGCATTCGATGCCTGAGCCCATTCACGCAGATGATACCGAGTGGAACGGAACGGAACGAGCGTATTTGACGTCGAGGGGTAACCTGCGTCGGCGAGATAGAAATACCCCCTCGGTACGTTGAATCCCTCGTTATACGCCGACGCTAGTACCTTGGCGTCATGTGCTGGACCTTCCCAACCGGCTAGTACGTATGTAAAGAACCCCTCGAAGTCGACAGCGGCGAGAACGTTCCACGATAGCTGCTGTTTTCGCGTTCGAAATCGCTTATGTTCAGACGCGGGAACATAGGCCGCTACCATCGTTCCGTCGATCGCACCGAGGCAATTATGCAGCAGCCGTTCGTACTTAGGATTCTCGTAGAGTGGGTGATCTAGAGGTGCGTTGGCGGGAGTTGCGAGACGAACGTAGCGACCGTAGAAGTCGGGTGAAAACAGCGCGTCGATAACTTCATGAAAACACCTAGAACGTCGATCGAGAGGTCAAAACGGGAGTCAGCGACGGCATGGCGACGGCAGGGTACCCTAGAACCCCCTGCTTACTTGCTAACAGTAGCCTGGGCCAACTGCCACACCTCCCTCGTCGTTCTGTTCGACGCCGACTTACGTAGGAGCCATAGAGTAACACCCACCTTTACTCGAACGGGGATTTCGAGAGTCGCGGTAACGAGGTCCCTGTCCTCTAATTCCGTACACAGAAGGTGAAACGCGGGTGGGAACATGCCTATGGAGTCCCAGCAGGCTATTACTGAGCCTGTAGCCCATGCGTCGACGACCGTTATCGCCCTACTATGATCGATAAGGATGGAGGTCGATTCTCGAGGTGGTTGCCTCGAGCGGAAGTTGTCGCCGACGATATGTTCCGCTACAATGGTGATGGCGGCGGCAATCTGACGTTGGCGAAGTGTTCTCTCCTCGAGGTATCCGGCAAGACCTTCGTCAGCAGAATCGACCGAGTCGTTATCGGTAGATTCGTCGAAATCGATATCGTCAAAGGCAGGAGAAGGAGGGATGTCCATGTCGACGTAAACGGAATACGGCTGTAACTTTTGATGTACTGATCCAATAATTGCGGGACTTGTACGGATCGGTTTTTCAAACGAAGATCTATCGGTATGTTCTAGTTTGATAGCGATCTGACGATATTACCTTCCATCGCATAAACACGCTGTAAGTCGATTCCTACGTCGATGTTCGAAGTCGATAAACGACCTATGGATATGCTTCCGACGCGCGTCTCGGAGGCAAATATCGGTGTCACGTGACCAGTCTAAGAAAAACTCGCGAACGGGCTGAGAACGCTGAAAATGTAATTAGGCACCGTTCGCTAACAAATTACAGCCACTGCGTGCCAGCCACCATTTTTCCGCTGGCTGAGAAAACTCGCGAACGCACCCTTAGTTTTGACCGGCGATGACCGCTACCCGCGATCGACGTGGACGATGTGACCAATTCAACCACCTCGACTTGTAGACTTACCACCGACGACTACTGACTACCATTACTACTACTACTACTATCACTACCATCCAGTTATCTGTCTATTCATCCACCCGTTCACGGGACTCTGCGCCGTCGGAGAACGACTCGGTCGCGCATACTATGGACTTCACGCTACCTCACGTGCGAGGACTAAAGGTTAGCGGTAAAGCTCCCTTCACCACCACGTCTACCGTCTAACCATTATCGTCCGTTCTTATCGCTCTAGCTGCCTCGCCCGACCGCTCCCAGAGCCACTCTGGACAAGAACAATCATGAAGGACCGGTGAATAGCCTAGCGTGGAGTTGTGACGGTCATCACCTGGCGACAGGCGGCGAAGACAAGACGGTCAAGATATGGCAGTTCAAGGTGAGCATCCCTTCCTTTCCAATCGTACTTTTAGATCCGGCTTGCAATCTGATGGTATTGTTCTCGACTTGACGTGCTACATCTGTTCCATTCTCCACCTGCGTTCCGTTTGCTCCAGCACGGTGCAGTCCCGCCTTTTTCCCTCGTCAAGACGGACGGGTCGACCATCCTGCAAAGCGCCGATCCTAGAGATCTTTCCGCCCAAGATTCTCCCGCAACGACCTCGACCGCTCCCATCACAGCTTTGGCCTTCTCTCCTCGACATCCAGATATCCTTGCGGTGGCTTCTCACGTTGAAGGTTGGAACCCTGCAGCTCATGGTGTAGAGGGAGGCTTACACGGGGTGCACGTGGTACACGGGTCGGGAAGTCGGTCAGGGCGTGACGCCGCTCGGTCCGGTGAAGAGAAGATGCAGAAGGTGCCGATGCAGCGGCCTCGAGTGACGATCTGGAATATCAAGAGTAAGTCAGCTTCTCGATCTCAGCTTGTTACCGAACCAGCTCCGCGTCGAGTCTCTCGCTCGCATCCAGCAACGATCCCCTTCTCGACTACATCTTCGTCCTCCTTGGAGTCGGATCCTCCCCTTGTCTCCATCGTTCTTTCTCTCTCTCTTTCGTTTGCTCTCTTGCTGGCTTGCCCGCTTGCCTGCACCGTTAGTTCTCAAGCTGATCCCGATCTACTCGCCTGTAGCACGCCGTCCGATCTCTACCATCTTGCTTTCCCACAACCCCGTCTCCATGACGTTTCATCCGTCGGCCTATCAACTCCTTATCGTTTGCATGGACAAGACCGCGGTGGACTATGGCGTATTCTGTTGGCAAAAAGAGACGAGTATCACGGCCGAAGCGATCAACGAGACGTACGGTTCACCTCTAGATCGCGAAGTTCAACCTACCGATACCATCGACCCCGCCTCAAATTTCCTCAAGGATGACACGGCGATTGATGCGGCGGAGCGCCGAAAGCGAAAAGAGGATGTCGAATCTAGACTGGCCCACCAGCGTCGAGTCGAAACGGAAGGCGATGAAGGATGGACGATACGTCGGGATGTAGAGCTCGTTCTGAAGGAGCGGTCCGAAGAGATGCGGGGTCGTGGTTTTGACGGTGGTGTAAGCGAGGTACGTGGTGATGATATCAATATTGGGGTGTTTGAGAGACAAGGCCAAGAGCTAATGTCAGCGCTTGACTCGCTTAAACAGCTCAACGGCGCCTGCTTCTCACCTTGCGGAACTCGTCTCTACACCGGTAACCACGATGGTACCGTTCATCTCTGGCATTACCCTACGGCGCCTAACGCCGGACCATCGACCCAATCGGCTGGATCGCCTATGGCCGTCGAAGCCGATCCGCCCTCGGTATCCGAGTCGACACAGATCGCTCGTGTCGAGGCTGAGAACGAGGAAACGGTCCAGGGTGATATGGATACGTCCGGCGAAGTTGTTCAAAGAGCGAATATGGCCAGCGAGTCTGCTGAAGCCATCTCGACTCCTCCCGAAGGTCACAACCAGAAAGCGGAAGATGGCGGAGTGATTCCTCGATCGCCGGTGTTACCGGACCAAGCAGCTGAAGTGACGAAGATGCCGTTGGTATGGTTGAAGTGCATCGAGACGAATCAGGGTTGCGTGAACTGTATCGAGATGGATCCGAGAAGACGGTATGTTTCAGCGCTGTTTTCGACGGCGTCGCTCTCGTTACTCACCATTAGTTTTTTTTTGTGGTTTCTCTAGATTTTTTGTTACAGGTGGTTCCGAGGGTCTTGTTGCCGTTTGTACCCTTGCAGATGGGGTACCGTTTACGACTTTCAGCACATATACGTGAGCGGTTTTTGTTTGCCGCGGAGAAGCTCAAATCGATGCACGGCTAAAATTTGTTGTTACAGGGAAGAGATCAAATACGTCAAACTAAGTTGGAACGGAGAGGTTTTGGTGATTGCAGGGAGCGACCGTGTTGAGTTAGTCAACGTGATCGATGGAGACGTGAGGCGTATAGAGGTCGATGGACGGGTACAGGCCGTCCAGTGGTCGCCGGCGCGACTAGTTCTGACTTGGGTTTCTGTCAAACCAGGCGAAACGTCAGCCAAGTGGTATTCGTTGCAGATGTAGAGGTACGATGTCGTACCATATGTATTGTTGAAGGATGTCTTCCCCCAATAGGAAAGCGCAGAGCGACGCTACAGCTCGTAACGTACGACGACCTCGCTGCAACCCAGCGATGTATACCTCCCAGCCTGAAAGTCGATTCTGGTACCATTGACCTAACGCCGTCGCGGTACCCTCATCCCAGCCCGTAACAGTAGTAGCAAACAATCTTGTTACTGCTTTCAGCAAACAAGACCCGGTTGCTTGCATGCCGACCAAAATGTCATGGCGCTGTACCCACGCTTGCTGCACAAATTGCGACCTTGCAGCCCTGACGTTGTCGAAGGAGAGATTTAGGATCGGTTGGCCGAGGAAAGGATCCGAATCCGGCAAACGCCCTCCCCCAAGTCCTAAATACACGGCTGCAGGGAGCATCTGTACGGTGGGGTTAACGTGTAGACGGAACGCTTTGTTAGCGATTGACTAGGGCGGGCGTTCCGTCCGAGAGTGGATGTACCTGTACTAGATCGATGTCCGTCCAGAGTCCTTGTTGAGCAGCCATGAACGTCCCTAAAGCAGATTCCGCTGCGTCTCCGATAGCTTTGACCGCTTTCCTGTGGTCATCGCGTGGTTGAGCTGGTGAAGACCGAGGTGGAATAAGTGACAGCGATTCCTAACTAAACGAGTCCAGACTTACCAGTTCGACGAAGTAAAGCTAAGAAACCACTCTTCCATATCCCCAAAAACAGATTGAAATTATTGACAGAGGTCTTGTAGAATTCTTCTCCGCGCAGGGGGTAATTCAATGCTATGAAAGCTTCAAACCATGCGTCCCCCAAGAATTCTAACTTCCTCTGCGTTGGCCAATACCCAAGGGGAATATTTGCGTCCTGACCGAAACCTTTTACCAGCTGTAAGGGTAGATGAGCTACGCCCAACCGTTCCGCAGCGTAGGCCATTCTAGTAAGATCGGCTAGAGATCTATGAAGAATTGAAGGGGGTTGTTATAGCGACGCGCGCGTACGCCGGACTCGAGTCGTACCAACTCCGGCGGAGTTGTTCAAGGAGCATATCGTATTGTACCACTTTGTATCAGCATTGTAGTATATAGTCTTTCATCTGTTATTACATCTATATACCCTAGTCCTACGTTCTACATTACTCCCGGATATGTCCTCGCAGGTATACATCGAGCCGGTCTTCCCTGGAGCCTTCTCGACGCCTAACAGAATAACAGATCATCCGAGTTCCCCGGGTAATGACTTGAACGTAGCAACTGGAGAACCGTTGGTGCTGAGCAGCATAGGTTCTCCCTCTCGACCGGAGGCTCATATTACGGTCACCGGCACCTTCTATCCGAATGGTACTCCGACGGAGACGGTCTTGATGATCGACTCAGGAGCGACCAGTTTGTTTATAGACACCGAATTCGTCGAGCAACACGGATTCGACCTCATTCCTTTAGAACGACCCCGACCACTCCTGGTCATTGATGGGAGAGAGATCTCTTCCGGTGCAGTTACACACCGGGTACAAGCTAGACTACGTATCGGTAGACATACCGAAACGGCGTACTTCTACGTATGTAGCCTCGGAACTTTCACAACGGTGCTCGGCCTACCATGGTTGAAGGAGCACAACCCCCGAATTGACTGGGAAATGAGCGCAGTAGCGTTCGAAGATAAGTGCGTCCAGAACGGATGTACACCAGCAAAAGAAATAGTATACTCCCCCGTGGATTACGAAGCGGAGGAGAAGGAGTTACGTTCGACGGACCGAATCAAAGGAGGGGTCACCGAAGAACTAGTAGTGGCCTACCTCAAGGCCAATGATGAAGAAGAAGAGAGGGCGAGGCGTCCCGACTTATGGGATTGGGACGACAAGCCAGCGGAGAGTTTCCCGGGAGACCTGGACCCTCCCGAATATATGGAGACGTTACGGAAGGTGGTACCGGAGAAGTATCACGCTTTCCTCGGAGCGTTCTCCAAGACCAAGGCCGACGAGTTGCCGGCACATAGAGACTTCGATCACTCGATCGACGTAGAGGAAGGGAAAGTACCCCCCTTCGGAAAACTCTACAACCACTCCGAAAAGGAGAGCGCCGAATTGAAGCGCTGGATCAAGGAGAACCTTGATAAAGGTTTTATCAGGGCTTCGACGTCACCCGCCGCAAGTCCCGTATTGTTTGTCCCGAAGAAGGGAGGAGAGCTCAGGCTCTGTATTGACTACCGGCGTTTGAACGCCATTACCACAAAGGATCGAACCCCGTTACCGCTGATTTCCGAGACGCTCGATAAGTTAACGACAGCGAAGGTCTATACCAAGTTGGACCTCCGAGGAGCGTACAACTTGTTACGAGTAAAGGAAGGGGACGAATGGAAGACAGCTTTCCGTACTAGATACGGACTGTTTGAGTGTCTGGTGATGCCGTTCGGGTTGACGAACGCTCCGGCGACGTTCCAAAGGTGGATGAACCATGTGTTCAGGGACCTTCTGGACGAGTCCGTCGTAGTGTACCTGGACGACATCCTCGTGTTCTCTCCCGACGAGACTACGCACGAGAGACACGTGAAGGAGGTGCTGCGAAGGCTACAAGAAAATGGGCTGTACGCCAAAGCAGAGAAGTGTGAGTTCCACACAACAGACACGGAGTTCCTTGGATACGACGTGTCTCCGGGAGGGGTAAAGATGAACCCCTCCAAGGTGTCGTCCATAGAACAATGGGCGGCGCCTCGAAACCTGAAGGGACTACAGTCGTTCCTAGGTTTCGCCAACTACTATCGGAGGTTCATCACGAACTACTCCCAGAAGATACAGGGGATGACAAAGCTCCTGAAGAAAGGAGTGCGGTTTCAATGGAACGAATCCGCAGAGACTGCGTTCGTAACGCTGAAGAAGGCGTTCACGCAGGCGCCTATACTGGCGCATTTCCAGGAAGATGCAGAGGTAACGTTAGAAACGGATGCCTCGGCCGGAGCGATTGGAGCGGTGATGTCGCAGAGAGGTTCGGACGGAAAACTCCGACCAGTAGCGTTCATGTCAAAGTCGTTAACTCCCGCAGAGCGGAACTACGACGTTCACGACAGAGAGATGCTGGCCATCGTCTACGCCTGCAAGATATGGCGACACTACCTGGAGGGACCTCACCCTATTCGGATCTTTACCGATCACAAGAACCTCGAGTACTTCCGAACGGAGAAGTTACTGTCGAGGCGACAAGCAAGATGGTCCCAGCTGTTGAACAGTCTGAGCTACACCCTGGAGTACAAGCCGGGGGTGATGAACGGTAAGGCCGACGCCTTGAGTCGGAAAGAGGAGCTCCTAGAAGAGAGCGAACCAAGACAGACCGAGACGATGCTACGGCCCATGAATCTCTCGGCTACAGCGCGGGAGATTCCTCCGCATCTACAGATCAACGGTACCCTGCCAATTCCCAGCGAGGACCTCCGGAGAGACCTGTTGCAAGGTTACGAGGCGGACGAAGTAGTCAAGGCCATCTTGGAGAAGATGGAGAGGGAGCCCAACGAGCAGGGTCCCTACAAGAAGGATGGCGAGGGGTTCCTAATCTACAAGGGACTCCTGTACGTCCCTGATGTGGAGTCGGTAAGGGTCCGACTGATGAAGTACGTTCACGACGGCAAGCTCGCGGGGCACTACGGGCGAGACAAAACGGAGGACCTCCTCTCGAGAGACTTTTATTGGCCCCGAATGAGAGACTGGGTAGGCAACTACGTGGCCTCGTGCTTGACGTGCCAGAAGAACCGCCGTCCCCGACAAAAGCCGATCGGGGAATTGGCCCCTCTACCTGCGGCGAGGAAGCCGTGGTCGTCTATCACTTGGGACCACATCACGGACCTCCCCGAGTCATTGGGCCAGGATGCAATCCTGGTAATCGTCGACCGCTTCAGTAAGCGGGCACACTTCATCCCGTGTCGAAAGGATAACAACGCCTCGTACCTGGCGAAGTTATTCTTCTCCCACTACGTCAAGTTGCACGGGTTCCCTGATCAGATCATCTCGGACAGAGGAACATTGTTCATGTCTAGCTTCTGGCGGGATGTGTGTGCTTTTGCGGGTGTCGAGAGGAGGTTCTCGACGGCATACCACCCGGAGACTGACGGGCAAACGGAGAGGAGCAACTCGACATTGGAACAGTACCTGCGGAGTTACGTGAACTTCCAGCAGGATGATTGGGCGGAGTTGTTGCCTCTGGCGGAGTTCGCCTACAACAACTCCAAGCATTCCGCCATAGGGATGTCGCCTTTCATGGCCTCCGAGGGGACTGACCACAAGTTCACCATCCGGATGGCCGAAGTGCCCAATGAAAGCGCGGATGAGTTCAGGGAGCGACTCTCGAACATCCACGAGTCGGTACTCCGGGCGTTGGAGCAAGCAAGGGTAGATATGGCGAAATACGCCAACAGAAAGAGGCGACCCGTTCCCGACGAGGGAATGGAGGTCGGGGATCAAGTGATGTTGTCTACGGACCACATCAAGACGGTTCGTCCAAACAAGAAGTTGGACTACAAGACCCTCGGACCTTTCAAGATCACCGAGGTCGTGGGAGATGCGAAGATGGCGCGAAGGTTGGAGCTTCCCGAGCAACTGCGGCGGGTACACCCCGTGTTCCATGTCTCGATGCTGATTCCGTACAAGCGGAATGAGCTGCCCTCGCGGGAACAGGTCCCGCCTCCTCCCCCAGAGGTGGTGGATAACGGTGACACCCAGTGGATAGTATCTGAGATCGTAGATTCGCGGAGCAGGAAGCGGGGACGTCAGACGCGTACCCAATATCTGGTGCGGTGGGAAGGTTACGAGGATGAGTATAACGAGTGGGTACATCCGGAGGACTTCCACCATGACGACCAAGCGGTGCTGGATTATCATCGACGATACCCAAACAAGCCGAAACCTGCTTTCGAGGAGTACGGCGATGCCTAGGGCGTTCGGAGCTCGCCCGTAACGGGGGGATCCTGTTATAGCGACGCGCGCGTACGCCGGACTCGAGTCGTACCAACTCCGGCGGAGTTGTTCAAGGAGCATATTGTATTGTACCACTTTGTATCAGCATTGTAGTATATAGTCTTTCATCTGTTATTACATCTATATACCCTAGTCCTACGTTCTACATTACTCCCGGATATGTCCTCGCAGGTATACATCGAGCCGGTCTTCCCTGGAGCCTTCTCGACGCCTAACAGGGGTTCAGACAACGAGAACCCTACCTCTAGATCGAACAGGGCGATACTGAAAGTTTCAGTATCTCCCTGGACTTGATGGTACCCCATCAAGCGATCAGGTAACCAGTGATAAGGCCAGAGATAAGTCTTTGCCCTGAACGTGACAAGATATATCCTCCCTCGGTAGTGGTGTTGGCCTTCGCAGTCGGGTTGGCCTTTGCAATCCACCGGTTTGACGTCTTCATCGCAAGGGGCGACTAAGCTCCATTGATGAGGGGGAAGCAGCAGTTGAGCCGAAGTCAAAGAAGGACCGCGGCGAGGAAGCGGGCGAACAGGTCGAGGGGGAAGCAGTTGGACCAAAGTCCGAGGTCGAGGGTGTCGAGAAGAAACGGGATCTTGTCGTTTGCGTTTCGGCATGTCGTGTATCTATATATACTATATGAGTAGTCGTGTATACGAGACGAGCTGTGAGAGGAGCGACGAGAACAAAGATAGAATACAAAACGGACCAGCGGTTTAGATCGTCGGTCTCTGCATCCGGTCTAGCTAGCCCACAACTGATGGAAGGATAGAAGAAGAAGGCTCGCGTGGCTAGAAGTCGATGATCATCACCGGAAGTAAATAGATACAGCTTCGACCCTCCTTTGGAACACGGAGACCCTCCTTTGGAACACGGAACCGATGCCGGACATAGGCTAGACGCCGTATGGCCCTGTAGCATCATTCTCGTCATCAGTCCTTTCGCCTCGAACCACCTGATCGATCTGCGCCTCCATTCCTCTCTCGTCTGGAATGTCAACATCTATTGTCCTCGCGGGAGGTAGTACGGTGGCGTAAAACGCCTCAAGCGCATCTCGGTCGGCGCAAAAAGTCAACAAATCCTCTCGCAGCTTGTCCGCTTGTTGTTGTTTCGACAATGTCGTGGCCGTGTGTTGAGATTCCGCTCGAAATCTCGACGATGCCGAGAAGAATAATCTGTTGTCGCTCCAGAGGAATCCTTGCGTCCCGCCTATACATTGCACAAGGGCCAAGCCGGATTTGTGAACGAATTGAGAATGTTCGAACACGGCAGCCTTTCGGTAGGAATATTCGACCTCGAGATCGTCCGGGTACCGATACGTGGCCTCGACGTCCAGTACGAACCCAAACTTTTGGGTCAAGATGGCATATTCGAAGAAGTTGGCGGTTCTGAGCTGTTCCGGCACGCGCTCGTCGAGATCCTCGATGTCGGGCGGCGCAAGGGCTAGGCGGATCGGGAAGCATGGTCGATAGGCACACTTCCTTCCTATATCCTTGATCTGCTCGACGGGAGCTTCGACCAGCCTGAGCCCGTGTTTCTCGGCCAGGACTGTCCATCTTTGTCGCATGTCGTCGAGAAGTCCGGCCGTGACTCCGATCCAATTAAGTTCGAAATGGAATCTGCAACGACCGACGTGAGCTTTCGAAGGATCCTCTTGGGTCAAGACACTCATGCACTTACGCATTGTTCGCATTATGTATGATATCGGAATGCAAGATGGCGACTTCGGCGCGGTCGCTACGCCGTTGAGGGTCGAGATCCAAGATCGTTGTCTGGCTCATCTTCACCTTGCGTTTCCGCTTAGTCCGAGTAGGTAGCGGGCCGTGGGTATTGGGAAGCCCATATGGTTTCTCGTGGACCGATGCGGTTGCAGAGTCTAGTTTCGCGTGGCGCCCATGAGAGAACCAACCGGTGCTTTTCTTTTTCTGTGATTTCTCAACATATGCCCCGCCAAGCCGATAGTAGTAATATCTGCGGTACAGATTATCAGCCAGTGGTCATCTTGCGGAATCTCGCGAACATCTCTACTCACCCATCTAGAAAGCCGTGACTACCACTGCAATGCTCTAGCAGTATCTTCCCGTATCAGTCGATACAGTCGTTATCTTGATAGCCATCCCAATGAACTCACCAATCAAACCCTGATCAAACAGTTTGCGTCCCCATTCGACAGCAGCATCCCTGGTCTTGATGTCGGTGAAAGAGGCAAGTAGCCAGCTCACGAAGTCATCTCCCTGGAAGGTGTCCGAATAAAAGTTCTTCTGCCACCAGCGGTCATTGATCCGCAGACCGTTCGCAGACTTGCGCATAGCTGCGGCAATGATTGGAAGAGTAGCTTGCCCGATCTCGCCTTGCTTCTCTCCTTTTGTTTCCGTCCGATTCGTCTTGTTATGCAGAGCTTCCAGGTCCTCCATGAGTCGAGCATCTGTTACGCAGGCGGAGGGTGCAAGCCAAGTGTGTAGTAGCCTAAGAGGTGCATTGTTGGCTTCGTCACCGCTGCCTTTCCACCGATACCGGCTGATGAGTTCGAGCAAGCGAGTCGCGCCAGTGATATAGATCTCCTGCTCGTCAAAGGTCTCGCCAGTCGAGCCCTGCATAGACACGGGAGGTTTGTCTGATGGGATCAAGATGAATCTGGTTCGCCAATAACGGAGAGCCTCCGTCAATCGGTCTTCAGCTCCCGAGATCAATCGATCAAGATAGTTGAAGTCGTAGTTGCGGGTCTGCGTATAGTCGAAAAATGGTCACGAACGTGAACAAGCAGGAACTCTCAGTAAGCGATTACGAGAGCCGAGGACTAACGGGATATTTGAAAGTCGCGGTGCCTAGCTCGTAGGCCTTCCGCTGTCTTGGCCAGACCAAACAGACGTAGTCCATGGGGGGAGTAGCGTAATCTAGTCGTCGAGTGTAGTTGTGCACTTCGAGCGTGTTTCGGTTGTCCATGGCGAAGTCCAGCCGATGAACTTGATTCGGTGTGGACAGATATAGCGGACCCTTGGCGGCCTTGAGGATGTCTGAGGCTCCTCCGCTGCGAATACCCGTTACGTCCCCTCGAGACAAGACCGCGCCACGGCTGGCTTTGCCGCCCGAGACAATGAACTGGAAATTTTCTGGAATGAAAGTCTATTATATCAACCTTCGGCAAGCGAGACCTATCGCATTGGCGTTCGACTTACGAGATAGTCTCTGCGAAGCCATCTCCCTCAGTACCTCTATGGGCAGATCCCACTGTTGCCCCGATGATGGTGGCCGAAGCAGAAAGGATAGCTGATTTGCCTGGCAATCAAACACGTAAAGTTGCTCGTGATATTGAGATTTCAACTCTTCTTCTTTCGGTACCATGTCGCTCGTCAAGGGAAGGCAGGCGGGAGCACACAGACTATCCCACTTGACGTCTTGGGTGAACGTTGGGCGCGGAAGTGCGTGCTGCCACCGCCTCGCTTTGCTCGCCTTTTCAATGCTACGCGTTCCCGGTCGGCATGGATTGATGCTACTCATGTAGGATCGCTTGTAGCTGTTCCCGTACGGAAATGATGACCCACCTCGTTGAGAGGGAAGGGAATACGCTGCTTGAACCAGACCTTCCTCGGACGGCCGCTCTCTCTCGTTGGCTCGAGTTGGAGCGTTATGTCTGTCAGTAGCGGTGATTTTTGGCTTGTCTTGCAAGGAAGCTGCATCGAGGTTGAGACTCCGTCGGCGAGAAGTACGTCGATCAGTCTGTCGACCCTTTATAGGTATCGCCACAGGCTCGACTTGGGAGGTACCGAAGGGGTGAGACTCGCCAGACATTGCCAACTGGCCGGTACCCGTCGATGGCGTAAGTCTCTTGTTTTGACGACTGAGGACGTCGATCGGGCGGTGGTGCTGGCTTTGCTGATCCTTGGTCTTCAATTTGGGCATGCCTTCTACGTCATGGAGCGTCATTGAGTTGATCTCTAGCACGACCGGCTTGCCAGAGGAAGACGACCTTGTTGTGGTTGCGATTGATTCGGTAGTCGTTATCGGCGTGGTCGGATTGGGACGCGAGCTTAATCCCCTGAACAACCCAGATATACTCGAGAGTGTTGACCGGCTGATCTTGCTTGTCAAGCTCCTAGGCGTTTTGTCAACACGGGGCGAGACGCTCACTATACTTGTACCTGTTGTCGTAACCGGCTCAAAGTTCTGTGAAGCCATCCGGCCTATCGCTTTAGGTGTACTGAAGCCGGTCATGGTAGAGGTTGTGCTTCGGGGGTTATAGGCGGTGGCACTGCCGTCTGCGAGCGGCCGTCCCTTTACGGGTGTTTGTACTTGATGTACACCTTTCGTAGCCTGGTGAGATGCCTGAGCAGCGTCATCTGCTTGCCATGTCGGAGTTTCCCGCACTTCTTTCACATAGCCGGGCCTGTTTGTGATGACCGGCTTCGGGGTGACTGTCCCTTTCTCGCTAGTCCCACGAGATGCGTCCATATTGACTGAATGAGCAGGTGTACTGATGCCGGGAGAGAAGAGCTCGCGAGGATAAAGCGAATTCCTGATCGGAACCTCGCCGTTTGAGAATATCTGATCATCAAAGTGATCGTGGGCTATCCTTCGCGCTTGAGTTTCATTGGCGTCTGAGATCGGTCGGGGAGTTACGTTTCCTGATTTGTCTTGTCCTGTCACTGGTCGCGTGACTTCTGGCTCGAGGAGAGGCAGCGAGAGAGTTGTAAGATCGTGATCGATGACCCCTAGCATTTGAATTTCGTGCATCTTGCATCGCGGTACGAAACGGTCGCTTCGGAACGGTTTGTCGTAGGAGCGCGAGTAGAAGGAACAGTACACCCAAGGAGCCAATGCTGTATGAGGAAATCCAAGACAATATCAGGTATGCCCACCTAAAAGCCGTCTCGTAATGCTGTCCCACGTACGCACAGTAATGTTCTTCTTCCGGTCGAGTCTCGTCATCTGGAGCATCATAATAGAGTACGTCTTGTAACCGACCAAAATTCGAAGCCCGAAATGGGCCCGCTTCCTTGCTTTCAGGCAACCGATGGCTCATGAAGCTGAATATTGGGGTAACGTGTAGCGGTAATTGAGCGAGACAAACGAGGTCCAGCGTGATACCCAGGTCGAGCAAGCGTTCGGTAGTGAGACGGAGCATGTTCTTGTTCACCGCGAAGTGCCCGACTCCAGGAGTAATGACCAGAATGGACAGACCCGTTCGAGAAAGATCGCGGTCGATATATGACTCGTCAAATGGATTCAAAACCAAGTTCATGCATTCCAGGATATTGCCTTCGAATGCCTGTCGCAGGAGGATCTTTGTCTCAGCAGAACGTTTAGCGAGTACATAACAGGAACCTCACATACGTAGCCGAGTCTGCCCATGATCTTGACTTCTGCCGCCTCATCCTTGCCGATGTGATAGATCAGCAAGATCTCTTCGTGTGTCTCAAGCATTTGCTGTTTGAGTACAGGCATAATGCTGTGCCATTCTTGTCGGGTCTCAAAGTCGACGATAACTTTGTAGAAATCCTTGTAATGGCCCAGGTACGGATCGTGTTGAAGCGCAGTCAGGAATTTGCCCTCTGGTGTGAGGTTGGCAAGGTGAGATATCTCGGCAGCGTTGTAGAAGACTCTGGCGAAGATGATGATGGTAACCACGTGATTTGCTTGCGTATCCTTCCATCGCTGGAACAACTCGGGAAGAAAGCCTGTAGTGTGTGCACGATCTCTGCGTCAGTCACATGCAGTCAACACATTCGTGTGAACTTGTGGCTTACCATAAAGAGCCTTCTCATAGTACCGTTCTCCATCCTCATCAAAATCGAACATCTCCTTGCAAAGTTGCAGGAACAAGTAGGACTGTGCCGACTTGCTGCGAAAGATCGTCTTGGTTGTGGACGTAACGTATCCGCTCGCTCTCTGCAAATGACGTAGCGATTCGGTATGAGCCTATCGACCAACGTCAACTAAAATCTTATGTGTGACTGACTTTCTTCCCCTTAATATAAATATTCTTGACCTCGGCTCTGATACCAGCGAATTCCACTTTCTGCCTCAGAAAGACGCACTTGTCCTCGAGACTCATCCCAAGTCTCCACATGTCCGCACGACCTAAGTACTGGCCGGTAAAGTAGAGCTCGATAAAGTCGGCTTCGACTTCGGATGTTTCGATTTTGGTGAGGATGACCTCGGAACGATTGGGCAGCGGAAAGACCTGGGAGACTTGTTCAGACACGGAGATGGCCTGCAGCAACGAAACTACAATGTGAGTTCGTTCCATTGCAAGAACGCCGCCGCCAATTGACTCACAGCGGTCAACCTGCGTAGCTGCTGCTCGTCATTGCCTCGAAGCTTGAAGAGAAAGTTGCCCTTCACCCGATCCTTACTTCGGACAGAATTATCCGCGAACTTCGAGGGCAGAGTGTTCTCTCCCAGACCTCGAGATCTTTGACCAGGTCCGCCGTCCCGTCCCGTTGTGGCACGAGCCGGCCGCACCTCCACGATATCTCCCGGTCGACCCCATGGTATTTTGCTGATGTCGGTCACTGTCAAGGCTCCACCAAATCCGTCCGTAGAGTGTATATTGATGCTGAGGTTACTCGAGCACTTCACCTTTATACCCTTGTCGTCCTTTCGCTGAGCATATTCAAGAGTGCTAGGCCCAGGTCCGGCTCGAGATCCGCTGGGAAAGGCTCCGGTCTTATATCGTTGTCGAGTGCTCTTGCGTGATGACTCGCCAGTGTCGCTGCCGGTAACGAAAGGTTGATCGATAACTGCTGGAATGCGATGAGTACCGTCATCCTGGGGAGCATATGACAGAGACCTTCGTCGAGTTTGCACCTGAATAGGCATAGTGATTTGAAAGCTAGAATCGAATGCCCGGTGCGCATTCCGGGTGTCGGCTTATGAGGAGCGAGGGGAAACTTGATCCCCCTTAGAGCGCAGTGAAACCTCAGAGCCCAAGACGAAATATAAATGCGTTAACGGTGCAACGGATCAACGTTGAGCCTTTGAGAAAGAGCAAGACTACGAGCCGAAGTAGATGCCTTGCAGTCACGAGATTGACGATTTGACGACATGCGTGGATGGCTCGGCGATTACACGCGCAATTACACGCAAGCAGCAAGCAGAGGAGCGATCCTCACGACTTTACGAACCACACCAAGTTACAAGTCGATACGGAATTTCCATAAACAGGTGCATGAAGCATGACACGCTGTATGCATGCAGGCGGTAAACAATTTCGTTGAGAGATGCCGACTGTAAGAAAAAGAAGAAAAAAGAGAAGCTTATATGACGATGGCGTATTTGGGAACCTGTATGCTGGATGTCGGTTTGGCGGATGTCGATTTGGCGAATTTAAGGCAAAAGTAAGTACTGTCATGCGGGCTCGAACGGAGGTTGTCGGAGGGATTCAACACTGTGTGTCCGGGACATCCGCTGCGCGCGCGAGCCCATTCACCTCTGGATGATTTCCCAACTACGCTAGTCGAGCTTCGATGACTGCCTCGCGCGCCCGGGAGTTCGAGGTGTGCAGCATAGCATTCTCGCTCTCGTCTGATCGTCTGATCTCCCTCGATCGACGCAAACTCAGATGTATCTCTCTCTGATCTTCGACCTGTACCCTCTCGGATTGTCGATCGCCCAACAAGTCCATCTTTAATCGCCGTCTTCAAGCAACATCATCCCTCTCTGCACTTTGCCAGTGCCCTTACCGAGTACACAACACCAGCACCTCCACAGCTTCCTCTGAACCATGCCGAAAGTCGTCTCGCGAGCAGCGATCTCCTCTTCGGATCAAGCGACCGCTACCGCTTCGTCACAAGCCATCCTCCGGACATTCTACTGTCTATGTGGGGAGTTTTTGTTGGTCATCGATCGTGGGCTGGACAAGCTACCTAGACGGAAGTGAGCTGCCTGGATCGCGTGCGACTAATCTGAGCGATCTGACGGGAAATCGATTATAACTCTGGTTATGCTCTCTTCAGAACGGATGAATCCTATGTGATTCGATGCAAGGATGGGATGGACCTGCCGTTACAGTCTGCGAGAAAGTTCAAATTGAGTGCGAAGGAGGGGTCGAGGTGTCTAGTAAAGCGGTGAGTGTCAACGTGTACCTCTGGTTGCCGTCCCGGACTAACGTTGATGATATTTGGTTAGACGGGATGACAAACGGCTGGAACTAAGAAAGTCTTTCATGTGCTCGAGATGCAATACGCAAGGTAAGATATTGACGTTCACCGTTGGCGAATCGGAAGCTGACGCAACAGCTCACCTGCGTAATCAGTGGCATATCAAACCGGTCCAGGACCGATCGGGTCGGATCAGTTTCTGTACTTGTTGAAAGGCGGTGTTACCGAACAGTCAGTCAATATCCTAGTATTCTCTGCTTGTATGGCGACACTAACCTTCTAACGCTGACATTAGGCAAGGACGGATACCGGACGATGCCTTTGAAGGGGAAGACGCAGTCAAATTGACGGAAGAGGAGGCAGCTATGAGACGAGAGATGGAAGCGGCCGAAGCAGCGAGGCAAGACAAGATGGGCGAAGAGACAAAGAAGCAATTGGAACGGGATAGGCAGAATCTGCAAGTCGGCGGAAGTCGAGATGAGAAGCTGGATATGGGGGATCAGCCGTATTGAAAGATGTCTGGCGGGGGTTGCAGTTTGCGTCTTTTTTCTCGTGTACAAAATACAACGACCTTGCCTGTCAGATCTGGTCCGCAATGACGATAATCTGGAGCCGAAAGGCTGAGGTAACAAGAACACGTCTTGGCTTGGTTGACCCTTCTGATCAGATCGCAAGTCGGTCATTGCATCCGAGAACTTCGAGTGCCGCGGACGTTTTCTGGACCTCGACGGCCTCGACCTCGCATGCTCTCATTCCACACCATGGTCCTTCAGCTCGAATCGCCAACATCACTTGGTATCGGAGGACGAGCCACTCCCCTCAAAGCTGCTTCGGACAACTCACAAATTGTCCTCGTCGCCCACTGCGGAGCTTGATGACCTGATGCAGAATCTACCTTTGACTTCAGACGAAAACTCGTATACCCCATCATCAGACAATAATAAGAGCAATCAAACGAGCAATAGCAACAACAAGCGTCCGAGATCTTTCACACCGGAACAGGAGAGGGATATAGAGAGCCCGGGAGATAGCTCTTCGCCGAAAAGAACCATGTCAGAGGAACATCTGCAAAGTCGAGAATCATCACCGGTCGTCAGCCTTCCGACGGGAGAGAACGCTACGAACACTCAAATTCCGACCAAGATGGCAGAGGTTTTTCCACCCCTAGCCGGAGAGGTCGATAAGGTTGTGAGCAGCGAGGGGTTGTCTGGTACAGACTCGGGACAAGTCCCAGTAGCTGGAAATGAGAGGGAGGGAGCAGAGAACGCAACCGCCGGGAATATGCTGGTCGACAACGACGAACGTGAGAAGGATCAAGCGGTATCCAATGCATCGAGTGTCTCGCCTACCCTGAGGGAGCAATTCGAGATCGTGCGAGGTACGTTCAATATCCTAGACAATACGGCAGAATACGGGATGCTTACGTGAGGGTCGTGTCACAATCCTGCTTGACACTCTAGCTGCTGTGAACGCTCCTCTTCATCCTGACAAGGCATTTTATCTCTTGCCATCATCGTGGTACCTCCTGCTTCGCCATCTAGCCTACCCGGAAGATTACCCGCCCCCGAGGGTACTTCCTAGCGCTGCTGCAAAGCTCTCCAATCCCGAGGCCCGGTTCTTGAAATCGCCGCAGCCTGCCCATACTCTGCTAGACCGTATGGGACCGTTCGCATCTGGGAACCCTTTCCACGGAACCTGTCAACCTGAAGGGAGAACCCACGAATTCAAGCTCCTGCCGAACCTCGTCGAGTTTCGCGAGACTGGCAGGAAGGGCAAGGATGTAGCGGAGGAACCCGAGGGTGATGTTGTCTTTGTCGAGGAAAGCGGATGGGAAAAGATTGTCGAATGGTGAGTCTCGTTCCCACATTCTGACCGCTGTCTGTTTCGAATCGCACTGAGCTTGCCACATTCTATAGGTTCGGAGACGAACGTACGAAGAAGGCTGCGGTCCGGCGGCCTGTCGTTTCTGACGCTCACGGCCATCTCAAGATCGAGCTCAATCCCATCATGCTCAAGTTTTTCTGCGTGTTTCGGTCTTCCTCAACATCGGCCCACCTCCCTTCCGACGGCAAACCCTTCAGACAGTCCTTCCCTTCAACCACTCAGGTCTCTGAATTGCACCAAGCAGTGCGGAAAGCGTTCAAGCTTGACGGGGAACCCTCGAAAGACTTGCGAACCAGACTTTGGCAGGTACAAGTCAACCCGGATCAGTTGGCTCAAGCACAAGCTCAGGCGCTCGAGACCGAGGGGATTGACCCATCCTTGAACGGTCCCGCCTCGGGACCTCTGATGCGAGAAGCGACCAGGCAGCTTCCGTCGCATCTACTCTCCGCCTTGTCAGGCAAATGCATCAGTACCAGCCCATCTCCGGATTACGGTAAAGATCCGTTATTGTCAGACGTCGATATCGAGGACGCGGACTGCGTCGCGCTCGAAATCGCCGAGGGAACCGCAACGGATCTTCAATGGCCCGTCAAGCTGAACGAAGCTGGCATGGCTGAAGAGATCCCGGAAGCGCGAGCCCCGCGTCCCGCTGTACCGGCACCTCTTTTCAGTCAACCAGCCTTGTTCTCGGGCGATGCGACAAGAGCTTCATCCTCGGAAATCGGTAGGCAGAAGCAGGAGGCTTCCGTCCAAAAGAAGCGGCAACCCAGAGGATTGAAAGGGTTGACAAATCTAGGGGTAAGCGTCGACCCGGTCGTTTCTCAACAATGTGCTGAACTTATACATTCGCTACGTCTAGAACACGTGCTTCATGAACAGCGGTTTGCAGTGCTTGTCTAATACCAAAGAATTGAGCGAATACTTCCAACGTGGGTGTCATTTTATTGATCGCGCTTGGCTACCGGGAGATTAACAGCTTTTTTCAATACGGACCTCCCTCGCGCAACAGGAGGTTTCTACAAGTCCGAAATTAATCGTTCGAACCCGCTAGGCATGAAAGGTCAGGTCGCCGACAAGTTTGGGGGACTAATCGAGCAGATCTGGAGCGAATCTACTTCTGCGGCATCGACCTCGCGATTTTATGGAAGTTACTCGAACGCTGTCACACCAAGGGAGTTCAAGCAGATGATTGGACGCTTCGCACCATCGTTCGCTGGCTATGGCCAACAAGACACGCAGGAATTGATTGCGTTCCTCCTCGACGGATTGCACGAGGATTTGAACCGGATTCAGAAAAAGCCATACATCGAGAAGCCGGATTGGAAAGACGGCGGTAATGAAGAAGATCTCGCTTTGTTCGCAAAGGAATGCTGGGACGGATATAAAAAGAGGAACGATAGCGTCATCGTTGACCTCTTCCAGGGACAGCTGAAGAGCACTCTGATCTGCCCCGACTGCAGCAAGGTCAGTCGCTTCAGCAAATCGGTCATGTTCCCAGACAAGTTCAATACTTATACCTCTCTGTCCTCTACAGAAATCCATTACTCTGGATCCGGTATGTGCTGACACGAGCAAGAGGCAGGAACCGACAAGATACTAATATCGCTTGCGTCATCTAGTTCATGTACTTGACCGTGCCTATCCCTGTCAATCGTTTGAAGGCCCGCGAGATCACCGTCCAACCTTGGGACCCCAAAGCGCAAAGGATCAAGGTTGGTGGTTTGAAGTACTGTCGTCAATTTTTTAGGCTTACGTTTCTCCTTTTGTTAGGTCGAGGTACAATACAATCAGAGCAGCACTTATGCGGACATCAAGAAGAAAGTGGCCGACATATGTGGAATGGACCCAGCGACGGTAAATCTCAGATATCGCAATCTTCGATATAGCCTATGCGTACTAATGCCGCTCGTTCCTACCCCAGCTTGTCACCACGGACGAATACAATCATAAAATCTGGTCATATCCGTCTAACAACGATTCGGTGGCCGACAACGCTGGAGATGCGATCGTCATGCATCAGCTACCTTGTCAGGTTATACAAGGCTATCAAGGGACGCGAGTCGTGACGAAGAAAGGACAGGACCTGGTCATCGTGCCCGTCTATACCTTCCCCTCGGCCGACAGGAAGAGGCAACGCAGCGAGACGCCATGCTCGCTTCCATTCTTTATTGCGCTGACGATGGCTCAGAGTAAAGATCCGCAAGAAATACGTCGCATCGTTGCTGAACGGTTCGCAGGACTGGTGTCCCTCCCAACAGAGATAGAGTGGGACGAAATTTTACAGACAAAGACGGACAATCGAGATGGCGAAGATGCGCTCGCCCAAAGCGTAGCCGAGACCGTGGATGAACTCACCATCAGTCAGAGCGAGTCGGATGGCCGCCGTAACAGTTCGGACACCCGCTTGTCTGCTTCCAGCATGACTGGACCTCGTCGACTGGCAGACATCCTCGATCTCGGTTTCTATGGCTCTCGTAGGTTGGGAGACGGAGCTCTTGCACACGATATAGACCATAGCAGACGCGACAGCATCTCAGAACGTCGTCAACCCAAAGCTGGGATGATGCATCGTGTACGAAGCGCATTCGACAGATTTGCGGGATCATCCCCTCCAAGCGAGGACGAGGAAGAAAAGCCACCGCAGCAGCTCGTATTCCAGAATGACATTATTGCCGTGGAATGGAAGGATAACTTTGTGCTCGAGCATTTCATGGGTTCGAATGGTCTCGGCCGTTACGATTCCAAAGAAGCTTTCCTAAAGCATGTGGACGGCGCTATCGAAATTGAACGGCGAAGAGTGCAGACCAGGTCTCAAAAAGGGGTAACCCTGGATGACTGTCTCGACGAGTTCGAACGAGAGGAAACTTTGGGCGAGAACGACTTGTGGTATTGCTCGAACGTGAGTGTTGGCGCGCATGTCCTCCGTCAAGACCTATCTGATCGATACCGGGATTCACAGTGCAAGAAGCACCAGGCTGCTACGAAAAAGATGGAAATTTATCACGCACCGGATATCTTGGTCATCTGTTTCAAGCGCTTTAGCTCTTCTGGGTCCTACTATCGAAGCAAAGTCAGTCGCTCGAACGGCGCTCATTTCGAACTCCGATGATTGATCAGTCAGCCTATCGTACCTATCTTGCACAGATTGATCAGAACGTCGATTTTCCTGTGGAGAATCTCAGCCTGGAAGACCGATGTGATGAGTTGCGTCTAGCTCGAACATTAGAGACGAACGGGAAGGATCTGGGTGCTCTTGGACTTGAGGATGCAACGAAGCCCTTGGTATACGATCTATGTGAGTCTGTACGTATGCGTTCCTGTCTCGACGCGACTGACTCTGATTGGCCTGGTAGTCGCAATCGACCAGCACTACGGATCTTGCGGTGGAGGCCATTACACCGCGGTCTGCAAGAATGTCGAAGACGGCAACTGGTACAAGTATGATGACAGTAGTGTCAACTTGACGGACGTCTCTTCGGCCCAGGTGAGCGAAGATCCGGCGACAAGATTGAACGATTGTTTACATTGCCGCGTATAAACTTTTTCCTAGAACTCGGCTGCCTACCTGTTGTTCTACCGCCGGCGCACCAACGATTCGCTAGGCGGTTCCGCGTTGGCCAAATTCCAAGTGAGGTTCGATTTTGCATACGGATGATGTACACGCAGACTGAACTCGACTACTTATCTTATAGGCTGCCGACGTGGGATCCACGACAGAATCAATCCCGACATCCGCGACTCCCAGCATAGGAAATAGCAGCTCTACCGCGTCCGACACTGCAAGCCGCCCATCTCCGGACCAGGGCATGTCTCTGGACTCGTCAGACTCCTCCCACAACTCGCCGCAAACCAGGCCAGACTCTCCTATGACTTCGATATCGGACCTGTCCGGCAACTTCGTGATGCCTTGGAACGATATGAAAAACCCACGAGTTTCTTCGACTAACCTCGCCGGGTCTGAGGACCACAGCGACAGGAGTGGGGCGACATCTCCTGTGGCTGATATCAAGATCGACTAGTCTCTCTTACGAACTGTATTTACGCATATCTGCATTTGTACATAGCAATCTTGAGCGATATGAAACAGAGCGGACGCTCTTACTGCGTGACCATCAATCGCTCTGACATCTTCTGAATCAGATACGTCAATTCGTCTGCTTCGCGTTGTGCCGCCTTGACGTCTCGATCGATCGTCATGGCCTCCGTCAAGCCGGGGAAGGTCGTGGCCCCGTAACTAGGATATGGAATTATAATGAGGTCGATCAGCTGCATCCCGATGTATTGTCATACCGGGTACTCACCCAAGCCACTGAAAGAGCCATACAGCCGAGAGAGCAGGGGAAATGCGTTTAGCATGCATCGATGCATTTTCGCAGATGAAGTCCGTTGCCTCACCTTTCCAGGAGCAGTGCCTTTGTGCTTATACCATTCCCTTTCTTTAATACCTTCGGCCGAGAGGAAACCAGACTCGAAGCCAGCCAATTTCTTATTAATCGACCGGAGCTCCTTTAAAACCTTGCCAATGGCATTCTTTCGAGAAACGAGCGAGAGATGAGGAGATCCCGCTCGGGGTGAAAGCTCTGCGAGACGTTTCAAAAGAGCGTTCGAGTGGTGCTGAAGCGAGATCGTGGCGTTTTGCAGCAGGCCTATCGAATCCCTGAGCCCATCGAAGTTCACCTCAAACTTCTGGGTCTTGGCGATACCCTCGACTCTAGTTAGCATATCGAATACGCATCAGAACCCCTTCACTTTGTTCGCAGGTCAACGGAAACTTACTTGGCCAGATATAATGAGAGGTCTTGGGCGTATTGGGTCAAGTTGAAAGGCAGGAGAATGGAGTCTGCAACTCGCAAAGCTGTGTCGTAGCTGAGTAATCAGTACCAGTCTCGTGTTTGAGGCATATAGGATGGCGAAAACTTACTCATCAAGCCGAGCATCTTCGCAGCCGCGGCGTGTTTGTGGAATCCCGGATCACCGTATCGCGCTTGCCACGTGTGCGAATCGTAGATGCTGTTTTCCATAGCGAAATGTCAGATCGAGGGGGTCTTGCATGGGCGGTCGACAGAGACGAACGAGTGGTAGTGATATGGGGGGTCGTTTGGCCCGCCTCCATAGCCCATGTCCGTACTCGCAATTCCGCTGATAGCAAAAGACAGGCTCTTAGCATCGCCGTGTGTAAAGTTGCGATCATGCGTCCAAGCTCACAATCTCTGTAAGAACGCGGTGTAATCGGATCCAGATCTGTTATCCAGTCAGATCAGCAGAATGAATACCAGAACGTCATCGCGTAAGAACGCCCGGCTTACCCAAGCGCCTTGATGCCGATCGAGTTGGTGCTAGACGAATACATGTCTTCTTGGAAGTGCCCCTTCACATCCGCGTTGTAGCTTGTCCAGTCGCCTCCGTCTTTCATCTCCCACAAGGTTCGGTGCGGGTCGCTAGGGTGTTCAATCTCCATCGCTGCGTTCCGTAATAAGTTGGCTAAAGATGGAGATGCCGCACCATGAAAGTTCGAGCCGGAGACCGAGACATCGATGTTCAGATACGCCACGACGTTCTGTTGCAGCCATTCGCCAAAGTCCTCGCAGAACTCGGTGGATGATATGAGACCGTACTAGCGATACGGGATCCGAAAGCATCTCGTCAGCACAAATTTAAGATTCTGGTGACTCGACTCTGCAGCTCACCTCTTCGGCATCCCAGCTGGCGATCAAGATCGATCGCATTGGCTTCCAGCCTCTTTGTCTGAGCGCTGCCAACCCTTTCATGATCTCATGTACGGTGGCCGTACCTGAAGATGGGTCAGCCCCGCCTAGAACCCACGCATCGCGGTGGTTACCAATGACGACGACTTCGTCCTATAGGTAGGTGGGTGTGTGGTTTAGTTCGATCCAGTAATTGGTGCGAAGAGGTGACCACTTACCTTGATATGCCCCGGGATGTAAGCGAATACCGACCAAATTGGAGTCTCTTTCGTATCCACCTCGTTCACGAACCGTACGTCCTTTTGGCTCGGTCCGGTCCAGTATTCAACTTCATCAGTGAGACCACCCTCCCAGTCGGCCCCGACCTCTTTAGCGAGTCGTCCATGTCCCTCCACCATGCGAAGTAGTGGCAGCGCGTCCTCATAGCTGATAGGTAAAGACGGAATCGCCGGGAAATTGCCTCCCGGAACTCGGCTGGCGTTCTTATAGGCGGGATATCCTGGTGTGGATGGATCGCCTGGGTAGCTACTGAGGAACTGCACGCTACCCCTCTGTACGCTGGACGGCTGTCTGGCCGGGCCTTTTGGATACGGCATGTGACCATTCTTGATGGTCTTTTCGCCATCATCACCGGGATCAGAGTAGATCAGACATCCGATCGCCCCGGCTTCTTGAGCAGCCTTGACCTTGAGTCCTCGAAAGACTTTCCCATACTTGACGAGGACGATTGTGGGTTCCTTGCGCAAATCGTAGCCATTCGCTTCTAGGGCTTCGAAGTCTTGCTTGCTCCCATAACCTGATTGCGTACAGGAGTGTCAACTGCGCTCCTGAGCCTGGAATACGCTTCTGACTCACCCGCAAACAGAATCTTGCCGGTGACGTTGCCAGAGACCGACAAGCCGTGAAAGGTAGGCACCTCGTCCCGGAATACGGAATCGGGATCGCCTTCCACGATATCCTCCCGGAGTTTGGCTGACCATTCCACGGCTCCGTTACCATCGGGCAGAAGGATATCAACCGACCTCGAAACGGGCTTGTTCATCAACGGGTAGTACTAGCGACAATAATCGGGAAAAACGCAAACCTATCAGCGAAAGATCGCAGGACATCACACAAGACTTAGGAACTCACAGTATCGATCCAAACTTCAGGCTCGTCTTTGTCCTTCAGATCACGAATAGCAGCCTGATTCTCAGGTGTTCCAGCCGGCCAGATCTTGTCGTAAGGAGCCGAAAAGGGGATGCCCAGGAACTCTTCATACTCTGCTTTCAAGGTCAAGGCAGAAAATAGATCTTCCCCGGTGCCGGCGAGGTGGGGGCTACGTGAGGTTAAGTGAAGGGAATCAAGGTGGGTTTGGTCAGCGGTCCGTTGCATCGAGGGGTTGTGGCTGCGATGGTACGATGACTCACTAGGCAGTGTACCGCTTAGACGCCCTGCATTTCGTCAAGCACCGTTTCGAGGCGTCAGTCAACGGGCTTGCGATCATTATTGCCTTGTTCCTGTAGACTCACGCTGCGACACTATCGTTGTTAGGGACTTTGAGGAATAACGCTTCTGCTTCCTTGGGTCCGATCGGGTGGGGGTGATGGTGATGTTTCCCACAACGATGATGATGTCCACGATGTCCATGATGCCCAGAGTGGTGTTTTCTCATCGAGTCTTCGTGATCAGATGCGAAAGAGTCTAGCCAGGTGTGATCTACGACCTCATTGCCGAGTTTCCAACCTTTATCGGCGAGACCGGCCGCATAAGGGTCTGTCGTCTCATCGGTACGGGAGCCTGACCATTGTCGAGAGGCGAGCCCCTCGTAAAATCGATATGATTGCCAACAGATGAGAGCAAGGAGGATGGCCCTCAACGTCGATCGGCTTCGAGAGTCAGAGACCGAGCCTGGAATCTTGTCGGTATGATCGAGGGATACCTGCCCATCGTACTTTTCCTGGGCGATCGGCCAGGTCGCAGGGGATTCGGGTTTCTCTTGCATTATAGTTGTGCCGAATCCACTATTTATCGGCGTAAGGGTATATCTTTATTGCGATGATTATGATATGGTAGCCATGGGTAGAAATTGGGCAGCGAGTGATTGAACAAATTGTCATGTGGTCGACGTATATATATGGGTCGAGATGAAATCTGTTGCTGAATTGCTGACGTACCTCGTGGATGCCGTCGTTTCGGAAATAGCTGGTCGGTCATCGGCCATCTCCGATACTCTCGCCTTAACCCCCTTCCTCCGACATCCGCCGTTCGCTCCCAGGTTGAGACACTGACTTTTGCCTTAACCGCCATCACGACACACGCCTTAACGACAATCGACAAGCAGGTCCTGACTACGCCATCGTCCATCGTTGACTTCATCATTTCTTTTTCTTTTTCGTACCTTCTTCATACAATGCGTTCGCGCTCACCTGGTTGTAAATACAGAGGTGACACCCTTCCAAGCATCTCAGCAGACCTGAGGGACGTCGCAATTCCCTAACAGATCGCGTACCCTTCATATTTGGGGCTGGGCGCCTGACCTTGCAATCTTGCAACCTTGCGATTTTGCGACGCTATATATAACAGCTAGTACAACCATATTGTTTCTCTTCCAATCGGCTTCTTCATATCTCTCTCGTCAACAATCGTCTAGTCTTCCATCATGTACCACTCCTTGCTACCCGGCTTTGGCTTCGGCCTGCCAAATTCATCAACCGGCTCTTCATCGGAATACTCGTCATCACTCTGCTTTTTGCGTTCAGGCTTCTTCGGCGGCGCTGCGAGTCTCTTCGGGGGTGTCTTCATGTTGCGATGCAGAGAAGGGATACGGAACGATCGGGACATGCCCATCCGCTTGACCCCGCCTGTATTGGAGACGACCTTGGGAAGATCATCTCGAGCTGAAAGGTAAAGGTAGGAACTGCTCAACAACGACAGCCTCGAGGAACGGCAATCTAGACCACTCACTCGTTCGGAATTCGATAATCTTGCCATCTTTGCCCACTACAAAGTTCGGCGATCTGCTTCTGGTCGGCTCTTCCTTGGGTACGTTGAGCTGAGAAATAGAAGTCGGTTGGAGTACTGGTGCAGTGTTGTGAGAGCCGGTCGAGCCTGCGGCCGTGCTTTTCGTTCCGCTCGCTTCGGTCTGAACACGGCCGGCAACAGTTAGCAGCGAAACCGGAACGGTTGCTCCGGAACCAACTTACATCCGCCTCGGTCCGTGCTTCCTCCTCGTCTTCCGCATCGCTAGCGATGACTTTGCCTTTGCTTTTTGATTTGGCTGACGAGGAACCGCCACCCACCTTCTCGCTTCCCGCCGTCGACTTCGCCGCATGCTTTTTCGACGAAGGCAAGACCTCGTCCTCTTGGTCGCTTTCGATGAACTCTGCGCTCTTCTCTGCATTCTTCTGTTGTTTGCTTGATACTGACTCGGCTGAAGTGCTCTGCATAGGTGTCGGGTCCGGCTTATCAGGGATAGCGGCCTTGTCTTTGGCGTTCTTGACCGTCTTTGCTCCCTTTTTCGGCTCGACCGCTTTTGCGCTCTCCGCCTGAACGCTGATGGTACTGGCCGTCCCCGGTACCTCGCTTTGCGTGACCTCGGGCTCAGCTTCGACATGATCATCCACGGTAGATACGGTTGCTGGCGTCGGCGCTGCAGATTTCGATGCACTTCCCTTTTTCGCCTTTGCCGGTTTCTTCTCCTTCTTTGCCGGTGCCTTCTTGGATTTGGCGGCTGGTTTGCGTTTGCGACCTGGTGGGACGAAGTCGTCCTCCTCGTCAGAATCGGCCATAGCTGCATCGGGAGCCAGACCTTCAAATGGATCGTCCTCATCGAAATTGTCCTCGTCATCGTCTCGGGCTCGCGATTTGGCTTTTGGCTTTGGCTTTGGCTTGGTCTTGTCTGTCGATATGACAATAAGATCGTCCTCTTCGTCGCCGTCTACAACGGCCTCCTTCCCAGACCGTTTCCCGCTATCAATCTCGACTACTACACGGCTTTTCACCGGTGTCACATTCGCATCCACATGGCCCAGATCTAGCGGGTCGATCGAACCTTCCCGATTGCCGCTTCCTTCGACGGCTATCACGTCTTCTCTCCCTCGAGTCTTCTTGGAAGGACGGTCCTCGCCATCGCTCTGATTCTTGCGTTTCGAATCTGGTTTAGCACTCGTCCGACCCGCTTCTGCAGCAACGACCGCCGTAGCGAGCTCTTGATCGATGGTCGGCTGCGTGGTTTCTTCTTCCGCTTCACTGTCACTGAGCATGATCTTTCGCTTCTTGTGATGAATGCTTCGGCCCGAATAGACGACTACGCGTTTACTTCGCACGGGAGAGCTCCCTTGTGGAGAGGATGGCTTCGCCGCCGAGCTCTCTTCGGCCGGTTTACTTCGACTACCACTCGCCTGCCCGCTGACGTCGCTAGGACCGGCTTCGACATCCATCGGCGATCCGTTCATTGCGTCTTGATCAGCCTTGCGGCGTTGTTTGGGCTGAGGCCTCGCGCGTACATGTTCCGTGGGGGCCGAGAGCATGATACAAGCCATCTGCGGGTCTCGCGAAGGGTTGGTAGACGAGCTGCCTTTCCGGTCGTCGGAATTTGATGTGGTGAAGCCTTCAATGGGAGATGAGACGTACTTCGGCGGCACGTTGGACTGGTTGAGAGGGTGAGATGATTTCGCGTGTTTGGAGCTCGAGGAAGCGGGGAAGGATTCGATCGTTTCGGAAGGTGGGATCGGCAATGGTGACATGGGTTTAGAGGCTGCAAGAGACGGTACGGGTCGGTCTGGTCGAAGCAGTTGTCAGATCCACGCTATTCGGTTCCGAGCCGGACTGGCTTGGCACTGACTATATCCATTCTGAGCCGATCGCTGGAGAGCCTCGAATGGCTCCTCCTCTTCCGTCTCATCATCCTCACTGCCTGCTACCACATCGTCGTCATCCAGTATAGGACGCGGCCTCGTTCCGTTCCCGCTTCTCGACTGTACACGTCCTGGGCTGATATGTGCGGCAGTAGCCACCATCGTAGGACTCAGAATCGATGTCGAGCGATCGGATTCGATGACGGGTGTCTGTAGACCCGCAAAGATTCCTCCTTGGAAACCTTGAAATGTGCTAGGATTCGCACTGCCTCCGCTGCCGCTACCACTACCGCTGCCGGTGTTGTTGTCGGAGAATTGAATGTTGGTCGAGCCCTGAGTCGACTCGGACTGGAAGGCAAGCCGGAAGCCTGAAGGGATCTGGATGGGTGAGGAGGAGGATAGAAAGACCGAAGATGGAGGAGGGTGAGAGCCTTGGGTCGACAGGTGCAGGGCTTTCTGTAGGTCAGCCTCTTCTCGGCGCCTGGATTGGAGAAGATTCAAGTTTAGCTACGAGATACGATAGAGGAGTTGGAGGGAATGATGCGACTCGCCTTGACATCGTTCGTCTCCCCAAGGAGAACGGTGGACCAGGTGTTTTGCTTGTCAAGAAGGGTTGTAGCGGAGGTGCAAGGATCCGCAAGTTTCGCCGAAAACAAGAGGTGGCGGTGTCTAGACTTGAAGCTGGATGGCTGGTGATGGCTGACTGGTGATGTATACACTATGTGCTTTCGATATATCAACCTGCAACCTGATAGCTGATAGATTGTCAAGTTCCAAGCTCAACGAGGTTTGATCATGGATGAACGAAGGCGAACCGACTCGGCGCGGAAGCAAATCTCACGCCGAGGCCAGAACCTTCGGATGTAAACATCCCATCCGATGCGACATGTCACTTTTGCCCGTCCTTGACCCACCTCTCGCCTGTATTTGGGCAGCAAGGGCTTCGTTCGAGCTATTTTCCATGAAATCCTTTCCCACAAACACAGACACACTTCCATCTCTTCACTATCATCTACCGTACAAAACATGCATGCTGCACATCATCATCTAAAACTCTCTCCCCACCCCGCGTCTAGTAGATCATGCTCGACATGTCGGCTCGGATACGGTTGTAATCCAGCAGACCCTCAGTCTGCCCGATGGCGGCGATGGCAATGTCCTTGTCCCACAGGTAGGTCTTTGCGCATCGTTGAATGTCCTCGACGGTGATGGCGTCGATCGAGCGGGCGATCTCCTGAGGAGTGAATCGCTTGCCGGTGGTCACCATCTGACGACCGATCTGTAGCACCGAACAACAGGAGCAGATACAAGACGACCGAAAACTTCCCTGTCAGCAAACAGGATGCAAACCAGATTCGGCAATCGCGATCGACGACTCACGTCCTCGGCGACGGCGGTGGTTCCGTCGAGACCCAACAACAAACTGGCCTTCAACTGCGACTTGGCACGCTCAACCTCGACCGAAGTGGGGGAGAGCGACATTCGGGTCCATTCTCGGAGGGTAAAGTGGGTCAAATCGTCGACGACGGTGAAGCTGCGGAAAGTTCGGACAAGAATCGTCAGTTTCGAGATTATGGATTAGACTGCGATATCGCTCGTTTAGTAAACTCACTTCTCGGTGGTCATGTAGATTCCCCAGAGACCAGTGTCCGAGTACGACGTCGAGAAGCTCATGAAGCTGTTGGCCAAGTTGTTGCTCGAGATGATGTGCGACAGCTTGGAGCTCAACAACGGGCTCGCACCCAAGCTTCGGTCCCAGTTGCCCATGATGCTGCTCATGACCATCATCGGGAAGTAGTCGGGCGACTTCCATCCGACACCTTCAACGGCGATGGCAAAGTTCAAGGTCGGCATGGTGTCGTCTCGGATCCTGACCTCGGCTCCGGAGAAGACGGTCTTGGGCTGAGCACCCTGACCGAGCGCGATGGGATTGGACGACTGGGGCAACGAGGCAAAGTGCTCGGTAGCGAGCTTGCAGAGCTCTTGGTGGTCGACGGCACCGGCACCGACGAGGACCATTCGGTCGGCAGTGTAGTTGGTGTTGATGTACGACTGCAAGTCACCCTGCGAGATCGAGTTGATGTGGTCCTTGGGTCCGAGGATGGTCTGACCCAAAGGCTGACCGGCAAAGGCGATGGCGTGCAGGTGGTCAAACACGACCTCTTCCAGCTGCTTGTCAACCTCTTCCTGCTCTCGGAGGATAACGTCTCGCTCCCTCTCGATCGCATCCTTCTCCAACTTCGAGTTTTGCAAAATGTCCGAGATGATGCCGACGGCGCTAGGGACGTCCTTCTGGAACGCCTTGGCGTAGTAGACGGTCTGTTCTCGCGACGTGTAGGCGTTCAGGTGAGCACCAATGTTCTCGACCTCGAGCTCGAGGGCTCGCTGAGTTCGGTTCTTGGTTCCCTTGAAGGCCATGTGCTGTGAGGGCGAACAGTGTAGGTGACGTGTAAGTGCCAACAGGGGTCTTGATTGGAATTGATTCCCGAACAACGCAGAGAGAGTCCCCCATCATAGATGCGGAAATCGTCCAGCCCCTGACTTTCGGGATCGCAAAGCAATCGGACTCCGAGGTGATTGTCCCAACTTCACAGCCGAACATTCATGCAACGACGACAGGACCCTCTCCGGCTATTCACCTCGCCACTACAGAATCTGTACACCACTCACCTCCAAAAAGTGAGCGCTACCGCTGGCCTTCTGTCCATCAACCCTGCTTCCGGCATCAACCCAAACTCCAACGGTCGCGGTCTGAGCGTGAGGGTGAGACTCGGTAGCGACAGTGAGACCGTTCGAGAGGGTAGAGATGTGGGTGACGGGGTCGGTGTATTTGCTAGCAGCGGGAGAGACGGTCGCAAGCGATCGGAAGGGTTGCTGTCAAGGGCAATCGATCGGAGGGAAAGTAGCGGAGGATAAGCAACCTCGATTCGACCTACTATCCGGAATATTACAAAGCAATCAGACTTACCTGCCTAGCGACAGCCTTGCCCTGCTTCAACGCCAACCTGGACAACATGACGTTTGACGAGATCTAACTTTTGGTTGGTGAGAGGTTTTCGAGGATTGCCGTTGCTTTCTCCCTGAGAACGAATTCGAATCTTGCTTCCAGAGTACCGGACGAAAGACGAGGGAAGAAGAGAACTTGGGGAATAAGGACGAGCTACCAAGAATGGAGTGAGGGTAGTGACGAGCGGTTCAAGCAAACGATGATGGATAGCAAGAGGTCAAAGTTGTTGAGCCGATTCCACCCAAGGGCCTGGGCGGCGTGTCCAATCGTTGGTTGGCCGTTTTCCCCGAGAGAGAGAGCGAGGATCGATATTCGGGTAAAATCGCACCGCGGATCGCGGATCGTTCACTCAGGCGTCGCGACCGCGCGATACAGCAGCCTTCCCGACCCGTTTCAGCCATTTAGCACAGGGATCTTAGTATCAGGGACCTACCCTCATGCTCCTAAGCTGCAAGCCATCCTCTTCAAAGTCTTCAGGAGATCTGTATAGCCCTCGAGTCCAAGAATGATCTCGTTGTTTTGGGTTTCAAAGATACCTCTAGCAGTGCGATGCACCCGAAAAAAGGTCGTACAAGGTCGGATATGTACAAGATCAAACGTACAATGTCAAGAATCTAAAGAATCCAATGGCTATAACAATATGTTGATAGTATCAATTGTTCAGCGTTTATTGTGGTGTCAGGGTGCTTGTGGTGGTGAAACCAATTCGCTATTCTCGATCAGACGTTGCGCCTACCTTTACCTCAATGTTCTTTACATCGCTCGACAACCAGGGGGGCCAAATCTGATAGCTGGCCAGTCCTATCCTTGCAAATCTGCTACCATCGGCTCCAGAACGTGCGAAGGGAGATTTGGCAGAAAAACCTTGTATCCTGAATCGGCTGCGAGCTGGTCCATGTAACCGCTCTGAAGCTTCGGTTTCTGATATCCGCTTGTCTGATACTGATTGAGGTCAATCTCTTGGTTTCTGATCCGGGACGTTCTGCACAGATTTCAGGAACATTGACAGAAACTACGGGTTTCATATCGTTGTCTGGTCCTTGGTATGTTTGGAATGAAGATCCTGTCACGGATTCACTGCTTTCATCAGCGTTCATCATGGCTCCACCTCATGCGAAAATGATTTCGAGTATGTAAACGCGATACCGTTTCACCGGAGTCAAGGCGGGGCCGATTGGGTATGGGCTAATTTACATGCTCGAACCCATTGTATCTTGCGATGTGGAAAAGGACATGATGGGCTACATTTTAAGGCAAGCCGTATTTGATATTTGGTTGAGAGCGAAGCTATAATGCATCGTCAGTCCATCGCTCCGCGCCTAGAGTAAGATTGGAATCTTCTTGTAATCTACCTTCGTCTGTCATTGCGGAATGACAGCGAAGCCTGAAGACGAGTGCGGCGGGCGCCGCGAAGAGTACCTGCCTCGGCGTGTGCAGCAGTGTCCACGAATCACCGCATCTGCAACAGTCACTGTGTGGAGCGACGGGACCCCGAGCTTCCCGGCGTTGACGTTGATCAAGAAATCATCGTCAATAGTAATATAGTAAGCAAAACGGTGAAACTCCTGCCCGTTCCGGCTCGACCTGAATTTTGCCACTCCGCTGCAGAGTACTCTGTACCTCGCCGCTCACTGAACCGAGTTCAGATGACGGCACCCGTTCACTTATCGGCGCGTCGCCTCGGGCCCATGGCCGCGCCACTTCAAGATGACCCCTCCACGTCGCAACGGTCCCCCTTTGATAGATCAGCAAGCAGCACCACCCTAACCCTTAACAACATCGATCCGTGGCGATATCCTCCTCACAGTCTCTTGTCACTCCTTCCCCCTACAACCTCAAACAGACACACTGCCAAAATGCGTCTCACTTCTCTTCTGCCTGTCGGTGTCTCACTCCTGGCCAACATGGTCGCCGCGGCCGACTCGGACGTCATCGACCTGACCGCTGGCACTTTTGAGCAAGAGGTCATGAACGAAAAGCTCGCTTTGGTCGAGTTCTTTGCTCCTTGGGTGAGCTTAGCATTCACATTCCTGCGTTCTCTTTCCAATTAATAACGGTTCTATCGATTCGCTATATTTCAGTGTGGACACTGCAAGAAGTGAGCACGGATCTAAGAGAGAAAGCTTCCGACCTTGAACCCTAAGCTCATTGCCTCCTTGTCCCTGCCTATCCTTTGCAGCCTTGCACCCCAGTACGAAACAGCGGCCACCACCTTGAAGTCTCATGAAGCTGCTGAAGCCGTTGGAGGTAGCATCAAGCTCGCCAAGGTCGACTGTACTGTGGAGCAGGACCTCTGCCAGGAGTACGGGATCGGAGGATACCCGTGGGTAACATATTCCTGGCGGTCTCGAAACGAGCAGAATTCTGATTACGCACCGTTGCTACAACAGCACCTTGAAGGTGTTCCGATCAGGTACTCCCACCGACTACACCGGACCCCGAAAGTCTGATGGAATCGTCAGCTACATGTTGAAGTGAGCCTTTTCGGAGTGGAGCAACGCGGTCCAGCGATTCTGATATCGTTTGACGTTTCGCACAAACAGGCAAGCTCTTCCTGCCGTCTCAAAGGTTGACTCTTCCAAGCACGACAGCTTCAAGACTTTGGAGAACGTGTAAGTCTGCAGCGCGCACGAGAAACAAAGCTAGTTGTTCGCATCGTCTGACCCGTCGCAATTTCTTTAGCGTTCTTATGGCCTACTACCCCGAGTCTGGCGTACCCAAGGTCTTCAGCAGCCTTGCCGACAAGCTCCGAGACACCCACCTCTTTGGACACGTCACGGACCAGACTTTGGCTCCTCCCGATCTTCCTTCCCACGGAATCGTTCTCTACAAGAAGTTTGACGAGGGCATGAACGTATACCAGGGCAACCCCGACGACGAGGACGAGTTGACTGCCTTTATCGCTGAACACTCGTTGCCGATCATGGACGAGGTGTCTCCTGAAAACTACGCCGTCTACGCCGAAGCCAACCTCCCTCTCGCCTACTTGTTTGTCGACCCTACGAGCAAGTCCCGAGAGGCTCTCGTCGAGGCCATCAAGCCCGTCGCCAAGTCTTTCAAGAACCAGGTCAACTTTGTCTGGATTGACGCCGTCAAGTTCGCCGAGCACGGAAAGTCGCTTTCGGTTCCCCTCGATGACCTCCCCGCCATGGTCGTTCAGGACATGGCTTCGAAGGGCAAGAAGTTTGTGTTGAGCGCCACCGGATCCAAGGTAGACGCCACTTCGGTCAAGAACTTTGTCACCGACTTTACCCAGAACAAGTTGACCCCTACCTTGAAGAGCGCTTCTATCCCTACTTCTCAGGACGAGGCCGTCTTCACCTTGGTTACCGACGAATTTGACAAGGTCGTGTACGACGACAACAAGGACGTCTTTGTCGAGTTCTACGCTCCTTGGTGTGGACACTGCCGTGAGTTGTAGGCATTCCTGCTTTGTCCGGCTGTTCACTGACCAGCTGTTGTTTTTCCCGGTCATCAGAACGATTGGCTCCCATCTGGGAGACCCTCGCCGAGCACTTTGAGGAGTTCACTGACACCTTGACTATGTAAGTGTCGCTGGCGAGGGCGTCCTCGCCGTACGCATTCTGACGCGCAGCTCCTCTCGTAGTGCCAAGATGGACGCCACCGAGAACGATGTTCCCCCCAGCGCTCCCTTCGAAATCGCCGGTGAGCCTGAGCTTGCTTTTCTCAAATCCCTGAAGAATGATAGCTCACCTCGTCATGTTGAACTGCCACAGGGTTCCCTACCCTCAAGTTCAAGCCCGCTGGTGGCCGAGACTTTATCGACTACACCGGCGACCGATCGCTCGAATCTCTTATCGACTTTGTCATGGAGAACAGCAACAACCCGATCGAGGCCGCTCTCAGTGGCGACGAGGTCGAGGTTGGCGATCTTCACGATGACGAGCAGACCCCTCTTGAGGGACACGACGAGCTGTAGATGGCTTTTCGAATGTAGCTAGGAACAGGTTTGAGCAATGATGTGCATGGAGATGGATCATTACTTGCAAAATTGTCTGGTAGCGACATGGACATGACGAAAGTCTTGGATCACTAGCCATCATCGGATCGGTCATGGTATCCTTTCGATCTTGAGTCATGTAGTCAATTCCTTTGTGCAACAGCAATGGATCATCGACCGCTCCGTGGATCATGTCTCCCTCCATCTGCCAGTTCCGATAGGTTGAAGCTTGAAAACCCCAGAGGCAAAGCCTGCTCGAGTTATACTCTACCTTGTCCACGCCGGTGTCGTCCCTCCCTCACAGCTGTCTGTCACATGACCCTCGAATCATGCGGAAATGACGGCTTAGCCTCACTGCAGCGTGTTGCGCGAAGAAGCCTGCATTCCTTTGATGACCGGGTCACCAGAGGATCTGCAGGCGCTTCAGGTTGTTATCATGTGGTTTTGCCAAGGCGGAAAAAAAGGTCGAGACGAAATCAGATCATCGAGACCTGGGGGGAGCAGTTACATCGGCGGACTTGTAGGTTAGTTGACCCTTCGCTCTCCTTTGATACGAAGAAGACCACTAGAAAAACAGAAAGATCGGGATATGAGTACTTAAAGTCCTTTTTCTGGGGAGGATATCTGTCTCGCCACCCTCCATTCGAGCATCATTGAATCTTACTTCAGAAAATAGAAACAAGTAGCGATCGTTCTACATACTTCAGACATGATGCACCTAAACAGAGACCTGCGTGAGCTTTCGGCGCTTTCTGAAGCGTTTCATCTTGGGATAGCTATACCAGCTGATCGAGCTTGCTTTTGCGTGGTTATCCGACACTTCAGCCCGATTTGTGAGTTCGGTATATGAGCTCGCTTTCGAACTGTGGCGCTGAAGAGAGCGCTCAAAGACGGGAGTGGAAAGTTCCATTCTGCCAATGCAGGGGCAGCACGCCAGGTACCGGGCCATTGCCATAGCAACTGGCATTCAGTGCGGACGGGGGTCTAACCATCTCCCTCTTCCGCTTGATTGGTTGCCGCTAGACTGGGAATGGAAGCAGGCGACCCACTTTAGAAAACTTGATAGGAACTACTGGTACATCAAATTGGCCGATGACGAGAAAGGGTTTTGCTGTCCAAAGCTGAGTCATTGTACTTTTGAATGGGGCTTGACTGAAAGTACCGAACCGATGGAAAGCTCCGACGAGATCACGGCCTGGTTGTGTGAGTGCAACGAGAATGGCGCAAAACAATGCCTTTATGTCATGGTTATCGAGAATATGAAGCAAAACAAGCTGCATATCCTGGCGTACGGTCCGAGGGATGAGAGGCAAATGAGGAAGCTCCAGGATCGCCTCGATGAGACCGAGTGCAGCTGGGAAGTTTCGGTATTGACCACCGAGACCATCAGCACTGCACTGGGTGACGATCAAACCAGATACTCAAAGTCACACACCAGAAGCGATTCCTGTAGCATGATGTAGGATGACCAAGACGCCTGGAGGTCAAACTCTTGTACGTCTGAACTTTAGCATCGTGAAACGCAAGCGGGACGATCGCTGTGTTTGATATCACACGTCATGGTACTCTTCGTTCAGAAGAAGAAGATATCGTGATAACGATCTGCTCACGCGGTCACGTGAAAAGATTCTCACCTAACCACTCGCGCGTGACTTTCCGCTGGGGGACCCTTCGCTCTGCTTTTTCACAAAGTTCATCCTCGACCAGCCCAGACTATAAAGTAGAGATCGACTTTGTGCAAACTCTTTTCACCTCCTCTTCATCCCGCACGCCCCTCTTCGAAAGAAAAGAAGATGTCATTCACACCTCGAACCTCTTCATCCTCATCCTCTATCCTCCTCCAATGTCTTTCGAGACCGGGTCCATCACGCCTGGCCGCGTCGCGCAGACGAGCTTGTCCATCGTGTCGCCGAGCCGCGTCCACCTCGGTCGATAGCGAACCCATCACACCGGGAAGTCCCGAGTCAGAAGCAGCCCTTTTGGGTGGTACTCCTGCATCTACCAAGTCGGTGGAAGAGCTCGCGACCGATGCTCTTGCTGGAGAAGGTCGACCGCGCGGGTTCGGGGGGAACAGGAACGACGACTCTCGGAACGCTCGAGTCAAACCCGATGCACCGGGCTACCAGAACTGGCTGAAGTCGGTCGCTACCCTGTACCGAGAACCGCCTGCCAACGGTCCCAACTGGTTGGGCAAGGAAATCGTTAGTCTCTAGTAACAATATGTCCGATGCGACATGCCAAGCTGATCGTTTCGTTGTTCCCTGCCAGCCCTACCCTTCCAACCCTTCTTTCCGACCACCATCACCTCTGAGTAACGATCTCAAAGACCTCATCTATTCGGAAGTGTACACCGGAGGCTCTTCTTCATCAGCAGTCCTTTCCACTCTCGAATCCCTGAAGTCCACATCATCGTCTTCGACCGCCGACGCTTCGTTGGAGTTGCAAAAGCGGATCAACCGAGTCAGCGAAGAGTTTGGAATCAGCAAGAAACGAATCGAGGCCGTCCTCAAGCTGAAGGAACATGAACGTGGGATGAAGGAACGTGGCGAGGTGAGTTTCACCGCTTCTGGTGATTTCTGCTTCTCTACCCGTCTTCCTTCCCCTACTTCCCCTCGCGCTGGCTTTCCCCGGTGGTCGATCATCTATGATGAAACAAAATATGACATAACCTTCGTTCTGAAGACATCATCTTAAAATATGGTTACGAAAAATTTTCTTCACTTTCTGAAAACGATCGATCGATCGGGGAGAGCGAAAAGCCTCGTCGAGTCCTCTCTTTATTTGCACCGCGCACGATGTCTAGAGAGTGGTTGCTGACTTGGATGTTCTGTTTGCTTTCGCTTCGCTCGGTCTTTGCTTTGCGATCGATCTCGACAATTAGGTAAGCTCGATTTCCTCTGTCCTGTTGTCTGTGCCTCTTTCCTTGACCCTCTCGAACCACGATCAATCGCGACGAGAATCTTTGATGATCCTAAATCGATTAGTCTTGAAGACACCAAAACAAAACATGGTTAAAACTTTTTTTTATGGCTGAATGATCTCTCATCCGATCACATCTCGTCGAGCTTCTCGCTTTGTGCACACCTATTTGATCCGAACACGAGCTTACTCGTCTTCGATTACGTTCGATTAGATCATGCAAACACCCTTCCTCACCGCCATGGAAAAGTACCTCGCTGTTCGCCCAATCCGACCCCCGAAAACGCCTTCGAGCACCCGATCGTGGGGTTGGGAATCACAGGAACGAGCTTTCCGACGCAGTCACCCTTCGACCTCGCTTGAAGCTTCCGAGGAGTCGGCGCACGAAGCCTTTGCGCAGGGTAAAACCGTCGGCCAGGATTCGAGCGCCTTCACCCTCAGAGACACGATCGAGGCCGAACGTGGTGTCGAGCGAGCCGTCTGGGAATTCAGGGAGACGAACAAGCCGATGGAAGAAAATCAACCTGTCGACGTCGAAACTCTGGACGTACCTTACAACCGAATCTTCTCCGCCGAGGACTCGGTTCAGCAACAGTCTATCAAGGAGGCCGGACGTGCAGAGCGCAACGCTAGTCGGCGCAAGACTCCCGCCGTCGGCCAGGACAACATCGCTTCGAAGCTTGTTGAGCGTGTGGCCCTGCCGAAGAAGAATAGCAAGCCTGCCGTCTTCAGCTTTGTCAACACGTCCGACTCGGGAGCCATTGGTATGAGCTCGGTGGGAAGGGGCAAGATGCAGAACGAGCACGGGCAGAGGGAGAAGAAGGCTCGTCGGTCCGAGAGGGTACAGAAGGCCAAGGCTGAGATGGCCCAGAGGCAAGCCGCCAAGCAGGTCTAGTAGAATAAATGAATGGTTTATGACGAGTCACGAAAGCGGAAAAGACGAAAACGATCACCACTTGTAGTAGCCCGCAACGGCAAAGCGATCGAGCGAGATATAATATGATACCTCCATCGAATCGTATGAAAGTGACCACGAATTGCAGGTCCCCACTAGTTTCGCCATGAGCCGTAGATCGTGTTTAAAATTGTACCTCCTGTGTGGTTTCTTGAGACCCTCGAGACTGTCGACCTTGTCCAGAAAAGCGAAAAAGCGGGGCCCGGCTTGAGACGGCACTGGCGCGCAGCGGGTCGGGTCGAGCGAATGATCAGGTGTTCATATTCATAACCCAAGACCTCCAAAGAAAGCTCGCAACTGTATCTATCCAGGACCACAGCGCTCACTCGAAAGATCAAAGAAACTCTCTACAAGGACTCATCGACCAGAAACCAGAAAGATGGTGAGTACAGCCCTGGCAAGAAAGGCCGTTGGGGTTCAGCTCGTCCCGTTCGATGCTGATGACATCATGTTCCTTTACGTTCCACTGACCAGTCTCACCACCCTGCTTACACTGTAAGCTCCTGTTGCGACCTCACCGCATGCCATGCTTAAACTGAATCGGGATCATTGCTACCTGCCATTGAAGATGGGCACACTCTGTTTTGTCGGAGGTGCCGCCGGCTACGCTCGGACCCGTTCGATCCCGTCCATGGTCGCCGGTCTCGCCCTCGGATCCATGTTCATGCTCAGCGGTTTGAGGATCAAGGAGGGAATGAGCTACGGGTATGAAGGAGCCACTGGTGAGTGTATTAACAAAGCTACAGACCTGGTAGTGCGCAAGCTGACGGGGACCGTTGGCACGGGATGTAGGCACATCGCTTGCGCTCGTAGGAGCCATGGTACCGTACGTGTTCACGTCAGCTCGGCTCGACTCGCACTACCACTCTCGACTGACGCCGTGAATTTGTCCTTATCAGACGAGCTATCAAGACCCGTGGACCTATCCCAATCGCTCTCGCTACTGCCGGGACGGCCGCTGGTGGATATTACGCCAAGGCCGTCAGAGATTACAGCCTCTAATTGCTGAGCATTCAGCGTTGCTGATGGTCACAATACTGCTCGGCGACATACTGTATATCTATAAGGATAGAGACGCCCTCCTACTACAATATGAACATGAATCATACAACCAGCGTGGAAGTCCACCCACGGAAACGATCGTCGGGATCTCGTCATCTTCGTAAATAGCCTAATAGGTTGAAATTGCCTCCTCCTAAGCGTTGCGGTCGAAGAGCATACGTAGGTCTTGAAGGGATAGCCTCCCAAGCTTCTGATTCCCGCCTTCACCGAAAGCGCCATCCGCAAGCTGCTTCTTCTTTTCCTGGAGAGCCAGAATCCTCGCTTCGATTGTGTTTTCGATACTCAATTCGATTACTTCGACCGGCTTGGTCTGACCTATACGCCAGGCTCGGTCGACAGCTTGAGCCGTGGCCGCATAGGTCCAAGTGTGATCGAGAAGGATGACCTTGTTGGCGCACGTAAGATTCAGTCCGACACCTCCGGCCTTCGTACTGCCACCAGACACCAGAGGCCTACTTAGCCCCCACAAAGACCGGTGTTATCAGTGCCTAGAAAAACCACACACCTGATGATGAGGACTTTCGGTCCTTCCGGTCGTTTGAAATCCGCAAGGACCTCGTCTCGGTCGTCTTTCGACATCTGTCCGGTGTATGTAGCTGTGTCCACGCCGTTCATCCTCATGTAGTCGTCCAAGATGTTGATCATCGTCACAAATTGACTAAAGATGATGATTTTGTCGGTCGGCCCAGCAGCGATCCAGCCCTGAATCAACTCTCTGTAAGACCACGGTGGTCAGCGGATGAGTCCTCGCTGGCGATAGCGTGCAAAGAACTCACAAGCACTGAATCATCTTGGTAGACGGCGGCATCTTCTCCTCCAGGTTAAAGTCCAACTTCAGATCATCGACAACATCCTTCTCTTCTTTGACGTCATCAACGGGTTTGAAAGCGGCGGCGATGAAGACTTTTCCAGCATGTAAGGGTTCTCGGCACAAAGGACAGGCCTAACAAATCGATCAGTTTGGTGGAATGACCGTGGCAAAGCGGGGACGCTCACAATGACAGGCTGCGCGGTTGCCGGCTTGATCACGAGCTCGATACACGTTACACCTGGAGTATTGGATGGTATAAGCTAACGCGACGGGTCGGGCAAGAATATGGACCCAGCTACTCACAGAAAGAATGGCAGCAGACCGTAACCCTTTCGTCATGACCAAAAGGCTCGAAACATACGGCGCACTCCATGTCGATATCCGCCAGCTGGTCTTCTTCCCGCTGCTCGTCCTGCTCCTTTTCGGCATCTTCAAGTTCAGATTGACGTTCCATAAATTTCTGAATCAATTTATTGACGAGTTCATCGCCGCCGACGGTTCGAGCCTGAGCGATAACGGTCGAGTCTATGAACCGCGTATCAGGGGTAAGTCGCGGAACGGCTCACCCTTTCGATTTCGGCCTCCCTGTTCCAACCAGGTTCTTCGGTAGCCTTGGGGTTGAATGTCATCTCAGCGTTGGAGATCATAAGGCTGTGTATCATAATGACGAACGATGGTCAGATCGATGTTCCGGTCAACGCATGCGCACAAGCGAAGAAGGACCTACTCGTCTGCGTGCCCCTGCTCTCCAGGCTTCCTGCAAACCAGCGACACATGATTGCAAATTTGGCGAAGGCGCAGAATCATCGTAAGGACATGGGCGTAATTCTTCAGGACCGTGTTCGCTTTGAGGAACTTGTTGAATCTTGCGATCGCGCGGGCTTCGATGACGTCGTAGACCGTTCGCTCGTCTTGGTCGAACGCGGGCATTCTTTTTACAAGCGTCTTTGGCGGCAGGGTAAGGATTGGCTGACCGTCAATCTTCGAGTCCGCGGTCCGCCTTTTGCAAGCGTACTTCAAGACCGCTTGTACCCGCTTGACCGCAAGATCAGGCCTTCGCTTTTCCAACTTCTGGACTTTGTCGCGGAAATTCTCCCATACACTCAATTCGGAGATATTTAAGAAGTAGAGCGGGCTGAATAGATCGACAAGTGTATTGACGACCAGAGTTCCTGCGAAAGCGGAAAAGTCAATCAGGAGATCCCGAAATTCTACAGAAACGCACGACTTACCACTGAGAATCCAACGATAGGTGGACTTCAATTGGTAGATTGCCTTTGCGCTTTTTGTCTTTGAGTTCCGTATTTGAGATGCCTTAGGGGTTATACACCATCGTTTTATCAGCACGTAGCACGGCACGGCAAGAGGGATGACAAACAAAGGGGCGGCGACAAGGGGTCAAGCTACGCACCTCGTCCACGCAGACTCGATACCAGTTCATTTTGAGTAGGTCTCCTCGTTTATTCATGTCGTCGCTCGAGTCGTCGTTGGGTCCAGGTTTCTCGGATGGCAGCGCGTTCGCGACCTGACCGAAGCTAGTCAGGATGATGTCGCAATGCTTCATCTGAGCTAACGAGATCTTGTTCCCTTTCCCGTGGTAGAGGTGGATCCTCCATTTGTGCTTGACGAAGCGCCGGATCTCCTGTTCCCATTGCTCTAGCAGGGCAACGGGCGCGATGATGAGCGTAGTCTTGCGTTTCCGGTCCTCCGGCTGATTCTCCGCCATGGTTGCAATCTGGATTGTAAGCACTTATCAGCCATCGGCGGTTGCGAGTCTACGTCGTTGATTCGCTTGACTTACCATCTGAATGGTCTTTCCCAACCCCATACTATCCGCTAGAATCCCTCCCTTCCGCAACGGGTTCCGCTCCATTTCCAGCATCCATGCCACGCCAATCACCTGACAAGGGTTATTTGGAAAAGACGAGACGGCGTTAGAAGGGTCCGAATCGAAAAGAGTACAGGCAGTCGGTCCTCACCTGATGCGGCATAAGCTTGACCTGCATCGAAGGAAGCGCTTCATCCATCGAGGCGAGGCCGAGCTTAGTCGCAGCCGCGGCAACCGTCTCATCTTCGGCGAATCCGTCGAGAGCATCTTCGAAGAATTTGGCCAGCCTATCCGAGCGGTAAGTGTAAGCAACCGTTGAGGTGAATCTCAATTCCAATCGAAACCTCGCATTCCGACTCACTCGTTTTCTTGCAGAGGAACCCCGGCACGTACAGGCAAAGATTCGTCGGGGCCTGGACTGACGTTCATGTTGAAGCGACTCCCGCTCGGGGTAGGCCCCATAGGATAAGCTGGTATCCTGCTCGGGCCCGCCTGGGCATTTGCCTGGGCATTGCCGCCATAATCGAGTCCGGGTAAGCCTGGTGGTCCCGGTGCACCCGCAGCTTGCATCATCCTAAGTCGTTCCTCGTAGGCAGCTTGTATCCTCTTTCGCTCAGACTCGTCCCGCTTGATCCACATCTCTAGGACATCTTTCCAGATATTCGCGAGTCCAGGAATACGCTCTAGTAGCGTGCGCGATGGAAAGGTGAGATAAGGCGTCGAAGAGTTCTTGAACGTGGTTTGGACCATGTTGTGAAGTACGCCAAGACGATTTGCGATGAGAGGTCTGAGACCCGGTGCTTGCGCGCGCGCGTGGAGACCGTTTAGGAGGTTCTTTTCTTGAATTAGCCGCAAGCGGGCTTCCTCTTTTTCATCTAATGCGGATGGATCACCAGCGAGCATAGATCAGCGTCTACATGTCGCTTGACTAGCGAATACACTCACAAGTCTTCCCAGCCGGGACGGTGAAAAAGTCCGTCTGCGGCGGTTGAAGGTCAGGCTTGACGTCCACGTTCGGCTTGACATCGATTTGATCGTGCATCGTCGGCTTGCGATCGATCGATGCGGCGAGTGGTGTCGCGTCGTCGTCGTCGTCGATCTTGATCTCCCCGCTCGTCTTCCCGCCGTAGAATCGATCGAGTTTCATCTGCTTCTGCTTCCTACGCTGACTGCCGGGGGTGCTCGAGAAGACCGGTTTCACATCCTCGTCCGAATCCAGCTGGATAGCGGTGGCGGGGTCGCTACCGAAGCTGCTGTGCGGGCCGAGATCTCTTCGCCGTTTGACTCCGACAGAGCGAATTGGAAAATCGTCATCCTCATCACTCGAGAGTAAAACGATAGGGTTCCAATCGTTGGCTTTCGCCTTGCCCTTGCCCTTGTTTACAGCAGGTTTCGGGACTGATGAGGCTCACTTTATCAACGATTTGACAAGCAAGCACGTTCACCACGGCGGAACTTACTGACGGGTTTCACGTCATCGTCTTCGTTTTCCGTCTCCGAAAAGTCGCTTGGAGCGCCAGCGCCGATAGCGGCCCATCTAGGTCGGGGGATATCATCCGTGGCTTCGTCTTCGTCCGTCTCGCTGAATCCGTAAAGGCCTTGTGATTGAGAAGCGGCTTGCTCAACTTGCGCCATCGACGGACGAGCACCGAAGTCGGTCAACGAGCCGTTGGCCTAGCACAGAGGAAGAGATCATTGAACAAAAAGGAGTTCGCAGCTCGAATTAAGAGCGGATTAACATACCTTGACCTTCCTCTTATCTCGCCGAAGCCTCTTTTCTCTTGCAGCGATATGCGGTTCCTCCATGCAGTGCATCTTGAACGCTTCGATTGACCCTAAACCGGTGCTTTTACCACCATCCTCCAGCTCGGGATCCGCCGTGAGGAACAAGTCGAGCATGCAACCATCCTCCGTACCTGAAGAAAGCAAAGAAAAATTGGGATGAGCAAACCTTTTCAAAACTTTCCGAGCTCTTCTCTTCTACTTGCACGTTGCGATGCCGTAGCCGTGACCTCCTTTCGTAGGGTCACCTTCAGGTTCCGCAGCTTCGAAGAGGACCTCGGTATCATCAGGAAGTTCCTTTCCCAGCTTGTCGACGAAAGCATATACAAAATCCGGTACATCCTATCAGATGTAGCGAAAATCAGTGTCCAAAGAAAGGACCTCCGATCAGGATTGCGAACGCTTGCTTACTTCCAACTCGTCCGGACTCGCTCCAAAGTGTTGAACGACACGCTCGTCGAGCTCTAAGTTTCTGACGTACATCTTGAACTGAGTCCCGAAGACTTGGGAGTATACTGGCCGTATATTGGCCTGTTTGATGGCAGATAGGTCACTCTCGACGAAGGAAGACTCTTTCATCATATCGCTCGCGATCGCTCGAAGTTGAATCAGCTTCGCGACGCGAAAACACGCGCGTCTGAGGGGAAATTGGAGGTGACGTAAGATGATGCCGTAACGATTCTGACCTCGGTCGATTGACCATCAAGCTCGATCAAGTAGCAAGTAGACAAACTTGCAGGAATACTCTCGAACCGAATCTGTTAACACATTCTTTCGGTCAGAACCATCATGCAAGCAGCTCCCAAGATCAAGCTCACAATCAAGAGGAACCGTTCCGCTGAGGATGAGTCCACAATTCTCACGCCTGAACAGGAATCGGCTCGGCAACGAGAACAACTCGAGGCCAAGCTCTTGACGGCCATCGATAGCTTGTGGCAGATGGAGCTCAGAGCTGGAGACGTCCAGGAGAACAACCGAGAGTTCTTAGTGAATGATATGTGAGTCAGGAGTCTGGTTTGCATCCAAGTGACTGGAGCTCGGCTCATGGTCAGGCCTGATTTTCTAGCGACAACCTAGTCAAGCACTACTCGGATATTTCGACGCTAGCAAGCCAGATGAACGAGACGGTACACTACAACGCTTTAGAGTAAGTCAATCCTACGTGACAATCCGTTTCTCGCCTCAGCAATCCGTCTGAAACGAGGTCTTGTTCACAGGCTGGTAGACAGACTATCGAACAATCCTCATCGATGGACTCGAGATCAGCTTAGCGCGTCCTTGCGTGCAAACCAGCTCGGAAACGCTCGGATCAAGTCATACGAGGTGAGGATTCTCCCGTGATAATGTCCTAACCTGTTACTGCCAAGCTGATAATTGGCTCGATTCACTTCGAAAGTCTTACCATGATACATTGGTAGATGTCATGAAAGAGGCCTTCCCGGACATGAACGATGTGCTACAACCGATCAGCGGAGCCAACAAGTCAAGTACTGTCGTGCCCCTGACTCCGACCAACGAAGGAGTGTCTACGTCAGGGTCCAAGGTACCGGACCTGAGGCCCGACGACGGCGAAATCAAACAGGAATACGATCGACAGTAGACTTCTCCAGGCAGCATCGCTTAACGACCTTGTAACGACATCACACGAAGAGGACCTTTATGAACATAACATGCAATCTCTCTTGCGAGATTCTGCCACCGGCATTACAAGTTGTAAAGCGGTGTTAATCGCTCCAGCCGTAAAGCCTGTCTACAAAGAGGACATTCCATCTGGGAACCGGAAAACAAGACCAAACCGTATTAATCAGCTGACATGCTGGATGTCGAGCAGGTCGAGCAATGACAACGCACCTTTTCTGCTGACCAGTCTTGTATGCACGACCAGCAGAATACGTGTCCACACTCTGTCGCGCAGGTCCCCCCGCTCTCTTCCGCCAAGCCGCATGGTGCGAGGCAGAGCGGGCATTGCCGGTCGGGATTGGCAAGAGCGGATTTGTCCAGTATCGAATGCGGTGTGAAGGAATGGGGGTCCACCGTGGTGACGTCGATCCCGCCTGTCTGTTGTTCTTCGGAGATCGCACCCAAAGTCGTCAGATCGACCGGTCTCCCGTCGATGTTGTAACGAGACGTAATATCCTTCACCACGGCGGGATGGTCCCCCTTTCCCTTTCCTGCCGAATCCAAGCTTTCGGCTCTCGCAGCTTCTTCCTCCTCTCGAGCTCGTTTCGCTCTCCAGCCAGCTAGTACACGGTTGACCAGAGGCAGAAGGAGGAGAAATCCTACGGGTTCGTAGGCAGAGGGTGCTTTCTGCGAAGCGGCTGGCGAGTTGGTGATCTGGGATGTGGCCATGCAGAATATCATCAGCACCACATCGTTTATCTGCGCGAGGCCACTCACATAACTCATCCCCATCAAGCTCTTCGTCCATTGCACGTTCCTGCCTTTGATCAAGAACCACGCGAACCATAGTTCTGGCAACGCCTTGAACCAGCCTGACCTCAACCATTTGACGAGGATTTGTCTCCTTGTGAGCGGGGTTCCACCTTCAGGGGCATCTGAAGCCGAGCGACCATTTGAGAGGCGCTCTACCAGGTTGCTAAGGGCATAAGGAGCTCCTATGAGGACGACAAGAGAAAGAATACGGCGCTGTCATTGATGTAAGGTATCAGGAGACAGTATTAGGGTAGACATTACGAAAGGCATGATCTCACCAGCTTTGACGGGAAATTGCGCTTGCGATTAACGTAAGGGTAGATCTCAACGTATTCCTCTCCTAATGTTTGCGTGCCTGTCCACATAGAGGGTGATCAGACGAGGGTCAGTGGTCCACCAATTGGCTACCGACGCACCTAATCCAAACGAAAGTCCATAATAAAGCGCCTGCGAAAGAACGGACACCGTTGTTTGATTCGATAGATACCGTCTGGACCCTGGAATTAGGGATATTCTCTAAGCTCTTCAGTCGACGAGCGAGAGATCTGCGTATCGAAAGCTTACCGATAAGTGACCGCACCACATCAGCGAAAAGATCCTGCAGCTTCAGTAAGTGCAAGCTATCCCTCTGATGGGCTCGTACTGGAAAAGTAGAACGTCCGGTGAGCTTGGAGACTGAGATCCTCAACCTGTCCTGCCGTAAACTCACGGACTTGTGCTCTGTCCGCCCACTGCCAACCCGATCCGCCTGTGTCCGCTTGGGCATCTTGTCCACTGGACTCTTCGTCGCGAGAAAAGCTTGCAGGATTGGCGCTACTCTCCAATGCTTCCTGTGTGGCCCCAGTGGTGTTTCCAGTGACAACAGTAGCATGGCTGATATTGGCTGCCGAGGCGAAGGCATGATCGGTCACGGCCGAACCAACGACATTGCGAGGCTCTGGTTCGGCTGGCGCTTCCAAAGAATAGCCAGAGGATTGCATGGTCAGTCCTATCCGAGCTCAAGCCCTTCTCGATAGAACCTGTGGCGAGCAGAGGAGTGCGAAGTCTAAAAGCTGTGTTTATTGCGAAGTAAGAGTAGATCGCAACGCAACGTGCTGTCCCAAATCTCCAACCTGCATTTCAGAACATCGGCCTCATCCGGCTCGGCTCAAGGATCAGTAACCGGGACAACGCAACGCGTCAAAGTGGAAGCGCAAAGCGCTCTTCAGGGTTCCTTCCATCTGAATGGGTATGTGCGTAAGATGTACAACGTCAAGTCCTGCCAAAGTCATCGATTCTTTCATCTATTGCTACTCCGACATTCTGTATGCGTCCGCCACCAGATAAAGACTGCCAGTCACGATGACGATACCTGGCTCCTTTGCGTCCAGAGTCTGAAGAGCTTGAAGCAACGACGCGCCGGTCGTCGGATCTTGCTCTGATTTCAGCGTAATGACGTTTTCCGGCCATATTCCAGCTTCGATGGCCGCCTTGCGCACATCCTCCATGGGGACGTTGCTGATCCATGGCATCCCGTCTACGGGGGTGGAAAAGGCCACGGGTATGACTTTGTCGATACTTCTGCAGCCCGCGAGTAGAGGTTGCAGAACCGTTGCCGGCGTTTTCGGAGGTGATCTGGAGAGTCCGATGATGAAGGTGATTGGAGTAGTGACAGGTATGTGAAGACTGTCCACATATTGTCGTAGCTGGAATGCAGCAGACGAGTTGTGAGCTCCATCGACAAGCACTTCGACTTGTCGAAGCGAGGGGGAGACCGGTCCCAAACTCGGCGGAGCGTAAAACAAGCGGATCCAGCTGCAACGACCCTTCCATACCGTGTTCTTGATCCCCTTTCGAGTGCTTTGCGGACTGATGGCCTGCAGACGAGGTTGTATCCTAATAGTGCGTTCGTGATGCTGCAGCACCTGCATGACCATGAGAGCTGTGGCGAGATTATCCGTCTGATGCTCTCCAGCCAAAGGCAACGTTACCCCGATACTGGTTGCTGGCGTGTTCTGAATCCAATCGACCACCACCTGAACGGCTCGCGGTCCAATGCGTTGAGCAGTCCCACTCGAAGGTTCGTCGACTTGTGGATTCCGGTCGGTCTCGTACAAGTCGACATTGAGCTCGGTCGCCCTTCGCTGAGCTTGACCGTAGACTTCGGGATGATCTTGCTTCCCTACGACGAGTATCCCATCGGGAACCGCTATGCCGAATTTGTCCCTGGCGATCGCCTCGATCGTATCTCCAAGGAATTTCTGGTGATCTAGGTCCACCGTAGTGAGCACCGCGCAGAGCTGGAGCTCGGGATCCATGACGTTGGTAGCATCGCGAAGACCTCCCATGCCGCATTCGATGATCAAGACGTCGATCTCCGGCTGGCTGGCAGCAAAAATCGAGAATGCAGTCGCCGTCAGGATTTCGAATTCCGAATTATCGAGGTTCCGCTCTTGGACAATGGCTTCAATCTTGTTGCGATGCTTGAGATATGTCTCTGAAGTCGTATCGGTGCCGTTGACAACTATTGCGTCCTGGATTGAAACGAGATGCGGAGAGTTGTATCTACCGGTCCTGAGACCAGCTTGACGGAGGCAGCTATCTAGCATGGCTGACACAGAGCCTTTGCCATTGGTTCCGGCGATGTGAATGTAGGGAATGGTGACGGGTGGCAGATACGCCATCAGTTTATGCATGTTCTGCAAGCCGAGGTGTATGCCGTCCTTGATGGGTCGGCTTTGTGTAGGGATGGAGCTGTCGTCAAAGGCTGAGGAATCCCGAAGCTCGCGATCGGTCTGCGGCAGCCCGGCGTAACCAGCCGTCTGTCCGAAATCCTTCCGCCATTGATGCGCCATGCGCAAGCACATGATGCCAGCGATAGCAGCACTGATACCTCCGAGGCTGTCATGGGGTTTGCGGGCATGGTTTAGCCATAAAACTGGCTAATTATCATTTGCCGTTGACTCACCGGAAGACCAGACCGACCGAATCCGGACCGCTAGTCACGTGTGCTTCGAGTTCCCTTTTCGGTTTGTCATGTAAAAGAGCGTGGACGACTGCTCTAGCCAGAAGCCTAGCACCATTCCTCATCGAAAGCTCGCCTTCGACCTGTCCGAGCCCATCCTCTGGTTCGGTAAGCGTGATATTCCCGCTGACCGGGACATGGGGACTGGTGTGATGTTCCGGTAAGGCTGGCCTAGTTGGCTCAAGCAGATAAAATATGATGGCCGAAAGGAATGTCACGAGAAATTGGGGCACCTGATTTAAACCCTTTTCAGCCCGAGCCGCAATACTCGCCAGCGCGTCTTTTCCGGCTTACTACGATGAAGATATTGTGGATGCCCTGTTAAAGCGAACATCCCGGGTAGGTCAACAATCGCACACCGTAGGCCATCAGACTATGCTTACAAGGATGACCCCAGCTTTCTCGGCGGTGCTCTGCCCACTTGGCTCTGGTCGTGACGGTCGTTCGGCTGGATATACCAAGCCAGGCACTCGTAAGGTCGTATCGAGTGAATCGTCGGGAGACCAGCTGGAGCGCTTGCCATCTCGCAGGCCTGACTTTCCCTTTTCGTTATAATCGTCGTACTCTAGTGAATCACGCAGAGACGAGCCCCCGACTCTTGTACTGCCATTCCAGTCATCGCCTGCGGAGGATGTGGATGGCTGTGAAAGCGCAGACCTTCCATAGGCCCGGTCAGTATGAACTCCGCTCGTCTCATCCTCCAGTCCAGCTGTCTTCAGCATATGGTCTTCGTCCTCATAATCCCGGAGAGCATGGTCGAGACGGTCGTTTCGAACGTCGATCGATTGCGATCTTCTACCGATGTCCCGGCTCCTGCGTATTGCAGAGCCGGCAGGGCCGGCATCTTCGGAAGCGGTGGTATCCAACAGGATAAGTTCACCTAGCTGGAAACATCATTCAGCCTAGGCAATTTCATCAGACTCGATCGTTAGATACGGACCAACGAAAACGGAGCCCCTGAGAGAGCGATACAATTTCTGTCAGTAAAAATTTGGCATAACACACGTGAATGGTGTGCAGACTCACATTGCGCGACCGCCCAACAAAAGCCGTTTAAAGCTATGATAGCATTGGCCCAGAAGACTGAGCCCGCTAGCCTGTTTATAATCCGAGGAGGTCAGCTTTTTAACATGTTTTCTACGCATCTCGCTGACTTGCCATGTGGCCATCATGGTGAAACAGAACATGAATTGCCCGATAGCCCATGTCCGAATCAGGGTAAGCCATGGAAGAGGGATGGTGAACCGAAATCGCTTTGGGAAAGGGACCAAACTCCTAACGCGATCGAGTTGAGGCATGATTCGCCCCAGAAAGCCATTTCCGTACGTTCTCGTCGCCCCGCTCGAAGCCATTCTTTTGACCTGCTCGGCAGTAGGCGCCTTTATCCCGGACGAAGAGACCAGGAAAGGTAAAAAGATGCTCGTGGTCAAGTTGACACAAGCGTTCAGGAAGAGTGCTCTCGAACCTGCTCGCGTGGCATCCGCAGCGAGTTCTGGATCATCCTCCGAACGGCCTCCAGCGATCGCTTGACGCGTGTAAATTTCTCCGACCCAGACCGAGGTGTAAAAGAGGATTGGGAACCAGCCTATCCAGGCGAAGAACTGCGCATAGCAGATGGAGCGGATAGCTGGAGGTAGGAGGAAGATGTTGGTCCATATGCTCTTGATCGTATCCCAGACGTTGGCCTTCGAAGACTTCCGGCTGATGTACAGGCAGATGATGAGCCGGGTTTTGTATGAGATCTTCCACTGCAAACTCACTTGTCACGAAACAGCACTCGCTCTTTGACGCTGTATGCGGTGAGACCATGTGTAGCCATGAGAATAACGCTGGTAAGAAAACTGAGAACCTGCAGCTGAGTCTTGCCTAGAAAGGGAAAGATGTTGAGCAGGTTGATGTTTCCGCTGAGAGACAGAATGTCATCAGTACCGCGGCTCGAGAAGGTAAGCCTTTCTGACAACGACTTACACCCAGAATCCGGCTAGAGAACCCGTTCCGAACATCCGTCCAGCCCACGCATTGCCCTTCTCCTGCTGAGAAGGAGGCAAGATGTCTACCACAAGAGCTCGATCTACGGCTTGTACTGTAAACATCATGAGCGGTCAATCGACGACCTCCTGGCTCCTGGATATGCCGACTCGTCTCACCCGCATTGATAGACTGATTAAGGTATTATCCCAATCAGCATATCGTCGCCTAATCTCATGTTGATTATCGACTCACGAAATCAACCAGATAGATCGCCCAGATTGCCAAAAAGATCGCAAATCGCTGGCCCTACGAATCACAACAACCTCGATATCAGCCAGACTGTCTTTTCCCGGTCGGTGACTTGTCTTCAGTAGAAACGTACCCCTCCCAAGAACGCCGATATCTCCCTAGCCCATCCCAGGAGCATCATAGCAAAAACGCTGACTATACATCCAGCGATCATGAAGGGTCGTCTTCGACCGAACCTGGATTTCGATCTGTCCGCGAATATGCCTATTAGGAGAGTCGTATCTCGGCGCTGATTAGCTTCGATTGCCGAATCGAAGTGGGTGGTCCATCGAGGCGGAAAAGCTCACCGATCAGAGGCTGCATGATCAGCCCACTGAGAGGTCCCGCGACGAAGACGAGCGACATCAAGGATTTCGATAGACCCAGCTCGAGCAGGTATGGTGAAGCTGAAACGGAGCGTTCTCAGCATTCGGACGTATACGCATGTAATGCCAACCTAGATGCATACCATAACCCATCTCGATGGACCATACACACTACATCAATAGGAGACATCAGCATGCCAGCGAAAAGTTGTGGTTGTGCGTTATCGTATCGCTCGATCAGCTTACCTGGAGTCCCAGCATGCATACCGTCAACCTATAGACATCGAGTTCACAACCATCAAGCTCACTTAGGCATGAAGTAGAAAGTATACTCCGCTCTTCCACTCACAATGGCAGCTTCATCCACTCTGGCCCTGCCACATGAGGTTTCCCGACCCATTCTATCTCTCTCCTTCTCGTCGTACCTCCCTCGCCGAGCTCGGACATTTCCAGCGTGTTTCCCCCATCTTCGTCTTCGGAATAGTCGTCATCAGCTCCGGGCAACGCGAAGCCTCCTCCAGTCATGTCACACGGAGTCTAGGTGGTAGTTTGAGGTCCCAGAGATCGAAGTGGCGTGAGATTGGTATGAACGAGTAGATATAGCAAACGATGGTATTGTCGATGGGGGATCAAGAACTTGGTCGTTTGACACCGAGGTTGGATAAGGGCGAGCGCGACGCGGTGACGTAAAGCGATACCCGATGCTGTCGACCTGGACGCTATTGCTGCTGCTGCTGCTGCGATGTGCGAATAACGGGACCGTGAACAACAAACAGTAATACGACTTGCGAGTCACCACCAACAAGACAGAAGATATATCCTAGGATAGCTAGGATATCATTGCTTGTCCAACTCACAGAGGTTGCGGCTCGTGTACACATCATGGCGTCCAACAGGAGAGCGAGCTAGGGTTTGCTCGAGGAGAAGAGGGCGACGCGCTTCTGAGTCGAGAGAGGGAGATCGATGAACCCATCCATGATCCATGCCAGGCTCTTGGTCAGAGGTCGAATCGGCCAACTTCAGCGTTCGGGTGCCATTCTGATCGGTGTTCGAGCCAGAAACTATCCGTTCGGTAGCACTGATCGGCACGTAGGGTATTGATCCGTTCAGTATGGACGCCCTCATTCCGTTCACGACGTCGGGGTCATTAGTCGACATCGTTGACAGTGAGTCGCGACGCCCTCGACGTTCTTGAAGGGCGGCCTCGCTCAACGTTTTGCATGCAACTCGCCAATATCAAATCATCTCGCTCCGGTAGAACGGGTCTTGATCGTACTGAGAGATGGGAGGAACCTGTTCGGGGTTCTGCGAAGTTATGATCAATACGGTAAGAGCCAGCTATACGACCATCGCTCTAAGGCTCGCCGGAAACTGACTTCTCTGGAAACTTCTCGCTCTGCGGATCCTTTAGCGAACTTGGTACTAGAATCGACAATAGAGCGAATATTCCATACCCATAAACCGATCTATACGGACGCCTATGTCGGGCTATTCTTGATCCGAGGAGAAAATGTTGTGCTTCTCGGCGAGGTCGTGAGTCTCTGCGCAGTGCTGATTACAAGTGGATGTCGGCAAGGATTTCGATATTGATACGTGTCTATTTGGGATGGTTTTCAGGATCTCGATATGGAGGACGAAGTACCAGTACGACCTGCTGCTAATGCCGAAGAAGCAAAAGAAATCATGGCTTCGATCGAGGAGAAGAAGGTTCGTGTCTAGCAATTCACGACTTTCCGCTTCGATCTGAACTGACATCCGATGACTTCGCTCTTCCGTTCCGACTCCTCAACTTTGCAATATGACTGTCTGCATCTCAGGCCTACAAGAAACGAACAGAACCCGTCAAGACTGACGCACTGACGAAGATGGGTTTCAGTGCGATCAAGGAGGAAGGGGATAACTACTAAATCAGCTTCGGAGCGGGAACGGTCAGCCCTTCTCGTGACTGTGTGGGGAGCGACAAGAGCGTCTGGTCGAGCTCAGATGATGACGGGAGGTTGAACAAGGCTAGAACAGTTAGCACTTGAGGTAGACATGCGAAGAGGGGGATCGAGGAGGAACGGTCCACGACTGCGACCCATACGCGGACATCGCGGGTCTCGCTCGGCAGTCAACTTTGTACGAATGATAAGCACGATCATACGAAATTCGATGCGGCGGATAAGGAGTGGTTCAAAACAGTACGGGATACGTACGAGAGTAGTCCAGCATGTCTGCGAGGAAGGAGATTGCGATTTGCGATGTTCATCGCTAGCGAAACTCGAGTACCGAGCTCTGTGAACAAGACCGCTTGCTGAAGAGCTCGAGATACCACCACCACGCTTCGGAATGATTAGCCTACGCTCGGCTTGCGCTCGCACGCTCAGGCATTGGGTTTCGGATTGGTTTCGATATCTTCACCCTTAATATACATTCTCCCCCCGTTACCCGTCCGGATCATCCATGCTTCCATCCCGGTGCTCATTGCTCGGTGAGATTAAGGCGTTCTACTCGGTGTCGATGATCTTGTAGCCCTTGACCTGAGATCGATCGAATGAATTAGCATTGTTGACTTTACCATCGGATTCTGGCGGGGTTCAAGCTGGGTAAATCGATCGGAGCGCGCGATCCTGTATGTGCAGGGGGAGGGAGACGCAGCATCTCGCAAGACCCTCATCACTCTGGCATCGCCATACCTTCACGAACTTCGTGCTACCACTTCCTCCTAGTCCATGAATCCCAAATATGAAAGTCCTATTGCTCACCTTGTTCTCCCGGATCATCCCCGTGTACATCTCGGCCAAGTCCCGACAGTGCTTGTAATGGTTGACCCCCTCGCCCCGCTGACACTTGATCAACTCTCCTCGTACGATCCGGGCCTTCATGGCGGCGACCCAGGATTCTCGGATATGCAGGTCTTGCTCGTCCAGACGCTCTGTGTGATTGGGGACAATCGAAAGTTCAGGGGAATAGCAGAAAGATAATTGGATATAGACATGTCAGCAAGGGCGGGCGGGTTCGACGGGCAGCTTGAAGAGCTAACTCTTGAAATCCTCGACGTTGGCAGCCATTTTGAAAGGGGTGTGCGAGATTAAAGATGGTTGTGGATGGATGACTTGGTAGAGGTGAATATGATGTCGATAGCCATCCAGAATATCGACCTCGATACTCTGACCTCTCTCGACCCCGACCTCTCACCCTGTGGAGACCAGAGACTCTTCGCGCAAAAGACCGGATGAGCCCTAAGACCTCGACCATCTAAGTTACCTACTCATAGTACCTGTATCCTCTTGAGCTTCTCGTAACGGCTTCCCTTCTTGCTCCCAGCCCGAACTCTAGGGTTACACTGATCATGAACACCAGATCATTATAGAAATCACACTAACAAAAGTACAGAAGGGGATGGGCAGGGTAACCCGCTCGAGTCCCCAGAAGCGTGGTTGGGATCGCGACGACGATTCCTCTCCAGATCCGCTTGCCAATGACGAGATTCACGAGCTCAACGAACCCGTCCGGTCCCCCGTCACTGTCACAAGAGGTCGTAAGCGGACGACATCAAAAGCTCGTTCGACTTCGAGGACCTCGAGAGCTAGCACGAAGCTCTCGTCGTCGTCCAGAGGCCGAAGAGCTAGTCGGAGTAGCAAGACGAGCTCCCGGACCCAGTCTTCTAGTCCGGTCAAGGCTTCCCGCCTCCAGACGGTGGTCGACGACGAGCAGGAAGTGGCAGAAGAAGGTGACGATAGCGATGACAGGGGTCCGCGGTCGCCTCCAAGGGCCACAGAGTCGATCAGGATCTCTGATCCGACACCCTATATCAGGGGTTCCGGTGCGGCATCGCAGCCCGTCATTAAGACGGAATCGCCAACGCGGGATCCCACAAAGGAGGAACGGAAAGATACTATCAAGCTTCCTAAGAATGTCGCTTTGCAAGCTCCTGAGCCGGCAGAAGACCTGGACGCCGAGGCGGATGACGTCCCTGTAGACGCGTCTGTGAACCCGCTAGATATTCTCGCAATGGCCGCTCATGGCGTAAGCGGAGGCGATCTGGATAGGAAAGTAGACGCAGAAGGAGAACTGGTTGCAGAAGGAGAATTGGACGCAGAAGGGGTAATCGACGCAGAAGGGGAAATGGACGCCGAGGGAGAATCAGATGCAGAAGGGGAAGTCGATGCTGAGGGAGAACTCGACGCTGAAGGGGAGCCGGACGTAGAGGAGACTCCGAAAACGGAGACAGAGTTGAAAGAACCCAGAGAGCCGGTCGTGGAGGAGGACTTGGATGCAGAGGGAGAGCCAGACATGGAAGTGGATGACCTCGCCGTGTCGCACACCGACAAGCTGGATGTGAGGCTAGATTCGATGGCTTCTATCGGAACCATCGAAGCCAGAGAGTCCGAAAATGCTACGGAGGCAATCATGGCTGTAGGGTCCGCAGTGACCGAAAAGGCTGAAGAGGTCAGCAAACCGGCAGGGTCAATGGGTGAAACCGAAAACATTGAAAAGGTCGAGCATACAGAAGAGGCTCAGCAAGACGAGAACATCGCAGAAGCCGAATTTTCGGAACAGCGCAGGCAGCCCGGACAGGCCGAAAAGACCGACAAGGTTGAGGAGGCCGTACAGACCGATGAGATGGATGTCGCCGGAAGCAATGAGGGAATCGAAAAAGTCATGGAGACTGAAATTGCCAAGGAATCCGAGCAGATGACACAAACGGAAGAAGTCGAGCAGGTCGAGCCGCCTCGTCAAGAACCGACAAGCATGGAGCTCGACGATATACAGCCACGACCGGCGTCAGAATTAGCGTCCGCTCTTCCTATTCTAGCCGGATCTGACGTCCAGATGGAAGCCACAGGGGATGGTCGGCAAAGTTCCGAGATCATTGGCAAGTCGGCCAAGCAGAAGGAACCTGAGGCTGCAGAGTCAGCCTTGCTCCAGCCGTCTTTACCGTTCAAAGGGGATGCGACTATCGCCGCTGATGATGCCGATGGAAACCATGCCGCAGCAGGTCATGTGCCGTCTGCCGGCGACCTTTCGGACAGAGAGCGAGTGGACTTGCCCAGCGCAAACAATGACGATGACGGCACTGCATCAATTTCGGCGATGCCAGTCGACTTGTTGCTCCAGGTTTCTGCAGATTCGGGTCAGGCCGCTACTGTCCCTCACATAGCTACTACGGCTCCTGTGCCTACAGCGCTCATGACCGATAAGCAGAGGCGGAAAGAATTGCCTGAACCCCCTATCCCCATGGGCCGCGTGAGCGCGCGGACGCTGGACCGGGTCATAAGACAATCTGTAGAAGAAGCGTTGGTGATACCGGTCTTACCGGAGGCCAAAGTTGTCGAACCTGAACCTGAACAGGCGTCGGTACCGCAAATTGCCGAACCGCCAGCGCATGTCAGCGATGTACAGCCTATCGCTGGTTCCAGCAAGAGCAAGGCTCCAGTTGTCCAGATGGGAAGCATGTCTGAGCGTCAATTTGCTCGATTCATGCGTCAGCAGCAAGAAGAGACGCAGAGATCGAGCTCGTCCAAGCGGGCCACCGACTCCGTTGATCGTGACGAGCCTGGCGGTTCCGAGACCAAACCAGGCAAGAAGCGCAAAGTCGGCAGCAGCAAGACGATCCCAGCCAAAGATGCGGGCATACAAGATCACGAGGACGTTCAACCTGGAGTGAATGATGGGATTGATGTTGACATCTTGGACGCGCTCGAAGGATCCCCTGCGGCAAATACGTCGAAAGGTCGGCAGAAGCAGAAGTCGAAGGTCAAGGAGAAAGGAAAGAAGAACGCTATAACACCAGATGCCGAACCCGAGGCTGTCGAGCCGGGTATTGCCACGATGGAGATGGGAGATGATCATAGCGTCTTCTCAGAAGATATCCGCGAAAAGAAGAAGGGAGGCAGGCGTAATGTCAAGGTGAGTGCCGTCGAGGACAAGTGGAACGGTTCGCCGCTGACGAGCAAGGATCATAGGTATCATCGCCGACTCCAAGCATTGCTGTTCCTCCTGGTCCTGTCGCCGGTACAAGCAAGAAGGTAAAGATAATCAGACGCATGCTGCGCCGATCAGATTGCTCATTCACCTGGTACCGTGCCCCTCTTGCCGTATATCAGACTGCAAATGGTAACGAGCAAAGCGACGACGAAGTTTATTGCCTGTGCAAACGACCCTACAACGAGTATGATGGACAAGAGATGATACAATGTGATGGGTAAGACGAGATCGGAAAAGTTGGAGGGAGGCAATATGCTCACGTCCATCTCTACATTAGCTGCGGCGGATGGTATCATCCCGAATGCGTAGGACTCGATTCGAAATTGGTGCCTTTGGTCGGTTTTTATAGCTGTCCAGAATGCGACAAAGGTATACAAGCGATTTCGTTCGGTTGAAGTGGCTTTGCACGTGGTTGATCGTTCCACTTGCAACAGATCCGAGTATATCATGGTCTACGACCTTCCTTGAGAAGTGTTTGAGATCCGCGTGTCTCTTACCCAGAAAAGAGCCACTTTCAAAGTGAGTGATCTATTACAGGTTACTCGACTTAAGTACTGAAAGGGCTCTCTGGAAGGTATTGCTCTGACGCCTGCGGTGTTCATCATATGATTCTCACCATGGAGGAACGACAAGTCGAAGACGACCAAATCATGCAGTACGTAAAGGACGCTCGTCAACCTGAAGCTTACATCCAGGACCACACAACACATACACAAGGGGAACGAATCGGGTGCGCTTCGGCTGCCAAATCCAGACAAGATGCGCAGCTACGGGAAGACCAGCAAATACTTCTGGAGAGACGCGACTTGCTTGCGGAACGATTGCGGCTTGCGGAACACAAGATAGGACTACTCGATGCTGCAATAAAGGCAGCCGAGGCCTTGCCTGATCTGGAGATCTTACCGGAAGATACCGCGGACGCACCGAAGAAGAAAGGGAAGAAGCCTTCCAAGGCGAAGCCTGGGCCGTCTGCAGAGGATCGTCGGCCTTGCGGCTTCGACGAGAGTTTACTCGTAGATGGCATGGAGGCAGCAGATAACGACAGGACAGACGCGCCGGGATCTGACGTACAACTGCAATCAGTCTGCGTTCAGCCCAAGCGGAAATGCGCCAGACACACAGGCTGGCAGAAAGTGCGTAGCGTCGCGCTGGAGATGGAACAAACCTCACTGGTATGTAATGGCGCCTGGCACCTCTACGATCTGTTAGCTGACCTTCTCCCCTGTTCCCCTTCGAAGCGAGAGGAGGCGATGCGTCTTGCAGGTAGGATTCGAACTTAACGATCGTAACGACAACCATTCGGATTTGAACGCGCCTTGTACAGTATGTATTTCGTGACAATGATCGTCTTTGAGCCTTGTACACTTTGTAAAGTATTATTGTACAAGTATACAAAGTAGTGCTTGAGTTTGTGAGCAATTACTGGTTTTCTGTAATCTGATCCATCATGACAGCCTTGGCCCATGAAACCTACTCTCTCGCATCGGCGCGCGGCCATCTCCGAGTCGCTGGAGTAGAACGAAACCTGATATTCGGGACTGCTGCTCTTTTGGACGAAATCTCTATCTCCAACAGGCAATCAGCAGCTCTACCTTCTTCCCTTCTTGCATACTACACCATGTCGAGCGATCTCTTCAGAAAATCTGTACTTAACAGACTGCCGGCGATGCCGCCGACTAGAGCGCCATGGGCCGAAGGAGATGAAGACGAAGATACGATGGAGCAACTCGCAGAAGAGGAAGAAGGACTGAGCGATATTTCAGCCCTGCCCAGCCAGGGAAGCACGAGGTGAAATCTCATATTAAGCTTCCTGTTCGAAGTGTAGGCTGACGTTTTCTTGGCCTGCCATTCTGGCAAGAGCAGCAATCCCTCCAGGTCATCAAAGGCGTCAATGTTTGCTTCGTCCGACTTGTCCCCGATCTCGCCAGCTACATACTTTGCACAAGCTCTACAGGTCAACCCTGAAGGCTATCCATGCACGTTCAGAGTCTACTACACTCCCTCAATGTTGAGTGCAATATCCCAAACGAGTGATGGCGGGAAAAAGGCATCTCTACTCGTCTGTCATCATGGCGCTGGTAGCTCGGGAACGACCTTTTCAGCGTTGGCGAAAGAAGTTCAGGAGAAGAGCAAGGGCGAGCTCGGCGTGCTGGCATTCGATGCAAGAGGGCACGGTAAGAGCGATTGAATAGTTTATACGGGTTTCGAGTGAAACCGACTGATTGGTTCTGCTCTTTAGGCAAGACAACCACCGAAGACGGTACAAAGGAATTAGAGCTATCTTTTGACAATCTGCAAAGAGACTTTCTCGCTATGATTTGTCAGATCTTTCCTGATCCAACTGAATCGCCAGACCTTGTTGTGAGTAGTCGAGTGTGCCATTCAATAAAGTGCGCAGAGCAAATTGTTTATTATCTCAATCTAGCTGCTCGGTCATTCCATGGGAGCTTCCCCCATCATCTCTTCGGCCCCTATCCTGCAGAAGCGAGGCTACAAAGTAGTCGGTGTCATCGTTTTGGACGTCGTTGAAGGTGCGCATTTATGCAGTTTTCGAGAGTAGCTTGATTATTGTATTGATATAACGCTTCCATCATCGAACAGGTACAGCGGTCGAGGCGCTCCCCCTGATGCGAAGCATATTGTCGCAAAGACCGACAAACTTCCGCTCGGTTGAAGGTGCGATAGACTGGCAGTAGGTATCTTTGTAAGCTCACATCCCTCCTCTATTGAGAAACTTAAAACGCCTGGCTACACACTTTGCAGCTTGACTTCGGGAGCCGTCCGCAACAAAGAGTCTGCTCGGGTTTCGGTCCCTAGCCTTGTAGTGCCGAAGCCGGGACGAGCGGATGGATCGTTGGATGTCATATGGAGGACCGACTTGATGGCAACATCGTCTTTCTGGGAAGGTGAGATCGCCCGGATCTTGCAGATTGAGCCTGAAGCTATTAACGCCTGCTTATGTCCTGGATCATAGAGTGGTATCTGCACCTGTCGTCGCATTTCCTTGCCGCAAGGTCTGGCAAGCTTTTGGTGCTTGCCGGTCAGGAACGTCTCGACAAAGAGTTGATGATCGGGCAAATGTGGGTCTGGCGTCGTGTTGATAGCCTAAAGCCTTCTGTGCTTATTGAATGACATCTCGCAGGCAAGGCAAGTTTCAGCTGGAAGTCCTTCCGGATGTCGGCCATTATTTGCACGAAGTACGTGGACTTCTCCCTGCCAAGCTGTCTCGATTTCGTACTCATTCTCGCTCGTCAATTCAGGACAAGCCCGAAAGATTAGCTGGAGTCCTCGTTGCGTTTTGGAAAAAGAACACGAGCGTACTGGTCTTACCGCCCAAGGTAGGCAGTGCAGGTTACGTGCAGAAGCTCAAAATGGTCGGAGATCCATGAAGACCTCAAGAATCTTTCGTAATGGTGTATCATTATATAGCATATTCTTGACCTAGATTGGAACCTCGTGCTTGACAACCGAAGTGGGCATGTACAACGAAATGTCGTACCTGGCTAAACGCTGACGTCGACAAATTCTTGTGCGTCCTTCTGTTCGATCGTTCTGATGGTGCTGACTTTGCGAGCATCGAAGAGGACGCCGTAGAACTTGTTGGCTTCCGCGAGCATTTCCGGCCGGAAGGTCGTGGTAATGAATTGAGCGGAAGCGGACATTTCGTGAATCATGGCTGCGATTCGCATGTTAGCGCTCGGCCACATGCTATTCTGGCCCGATCTCACCACTCACCTGCGACCGCTGTTCTGTATTGTGCGTCGAGATTGGCATCGATCTCGTCAAAAAGATAGAAGGGGGCTGGATCACATTTTTGAATTGAAAACACTAAGTGAAGCCAAACTGGTCAGCTCTGTTCTGATTGCGACAGCTTGTGAAATACCACCTACCCATTGCCAACGCTACGAGGGACTTCTGCCCTCCAGACAATTGCTGAATCTGTAGACCTTCGTCAACTTTTGAGTTGAACGATACCTGTAAGCATGGTCAAAGGCTGTTTTCAGCCAAGGCGATCTATTGTGCTCGAACCTGCGTCTGACTGACCTCGATCGAGACGCCGGTATAGCTATCGATCCCCGTTCGGACTGCTTGCGATTGAGTTTCCAATTGCTGGTATTGCGAATTACTGTAGTCAATACACATCGCTGATTAGTCAAGCAGATGTGGTACTTACCTCCCCGTCCAATCGCTTCAACATCTTCAGCTTTCCTCGTCCAGCCGGTACCAATTTTTCGAAAGTTTCGCTAAAGTATTTCGAGACTTCCTTGAATGTCCTCTCAATGGCTTCGTCTTTTCGAGTGTCTAGCGTTTCAATCAGGTCTTGAATACTCTCGCCGGAGATGTCTAGTTCTTCTCGTCGTTCGAGCAAGCCGTCACGCTGCTTGGTGAAGGTGTTGTATTGCTCAAAGGCTTTTTTGTTCACGTGAGAGTATCCTTTGAGGTGTTCCTGGACTTTGTGAAGTTTTTTGACCAACTGGTAAGAGAAACCGATCAGCGACTGAATGGAAGACAGGCCTCGATTTTCAGAGTCTCGTAGGAATTTACCTGCTCAGCCTTGTTTCTGGCATCGGTGTATTTCTTGTATGCTTCCTCGGGCAGGACACCCAGGTCACGTATACTCTTGTTGCACTCCTCTTGTCGATTCGTCAACGTTTGACGCTTGACGATGTATCGTTCGGCGGTCTTCTGAGCTTGAAGGATGCCGCGTGAGTTCTGCAATTGTTGGGTCTGCAGTTCATCCAATCGGGCAGCATTGGCAGCAAGACTCTGATTGATCGAGTCGATCTCGCCGTCAGTCTCTACAATTTGGCGACTGATCAGCTTCGGAGTACGTTCTGAAAAGACAGACCGAGTGTCTCACGATCGACAGTCTCCTGGAGCGCTTCGATGGAAGCTTGTAATGTCTGCTGCTCGCCTCGCCAAGTATCGATGCTACCGGCCTGAGTTCCCGCACCGGGGACGTCCGTGATCCCTGCATGAAGGAAATCTTGCAGATCGCTTTGCCGGCGCAAGAGGTCCTCGTTCAGTTCTATCTCGAGGAGACGCTTCTGGTTGCCAATCTATAAAGGAGCACCAGGTCAGCGGAGCCGAGAATGGATCAAGAATCGCGTCTCACCTGTGATCGCTCGTGAGCTATTTTCTTGTATTCTTCTTGCTGCCGCGTGAGCTGAGCGTTCAGGTCTCGAAGAGTTCGAATTTCGGCCGCAGTCAGGTTCTGGGTGAACGCAGAGCCCATCTCGGCCTGCAGAGCCTCGATTCTGGTTTGAATACTTTGCTCTTCACGTTCTGCTTCTGCAAGCGCTCGCTCCATTCGCTCTACTCGTACGCGAGCTTGCTCGTTCTCTTTCGTGATCCATGATGCTCTTGTAGTGAGAGCGAGCCTGTCGTCCAGTTGAGCTTTTCTCTGCGATTCAATGACCTGTATCTTTCCGAGATTCACCGAGATCTCTTGCTCGAGTTTCATTATGCTCGCCTTGACTTCTGCATGCCTGGCTGTCTCGGTATCCAGTTTCCCCTTCCAAAGCGCTACTGCCTTGATGGCATCTATTCGTGATCGACGAATGTCGTGATATCCTCCGGTAAGCGAACCCTTGCGGTCGATACGATCACCGTCCATAGTGATGGCAGAGACCCCATGGTTCTTGGTGTAAGATCCACACGTCTCTAGATCTCTGCAGATAACTGTTCTTCCGAAGACCTGAAATTCGATGCGTCAGTATCCACGAGTAGCCTAGATGCATATACGTTCTGTCTTACTTGTTCGAACGCAAGCCGATATGTCCTGTCGAATCGAAGCTTGCTGATCATAGGCACAGCGTCATCGGCCGTGGGAATATCTACGGTCGGTGTCCTGAGCCTGTTCAGGGGCATGAACGTGACTCGACCCCGGATGTTGTCCCGTCTCATCTGGTTGAGTATCTTGGTCACCGTGTCGTCATTGTCGACTACGACTTGGAACAGACTGGGAGCGAGAGAGAACATGTCAATTTACGGTTGGAAATACCTCTTGAAATTTGATGCTACCGACCTGTTTCCTGCAGTCACTTCGACCGCGACCTTGTACTTGTCATCTACTTCGAAGAGGGAGTAGAGAGGACCGTAAACTCCATCCAGCTTGAGCGTCTTGGTGATTCGCGCAATGGCCTCGAGACCTCGATTGGTATCCTACCGATCGACTTGCTTTAGCTGCGTGACCAGGTTGGACACGGTTACAACCATAGGATCTCACCTTGTCCATCATCGAAGCCAGCAAACGATCCGCATTCTGCTTCTCCTCGCGCGTCGTCGACAGACTATGACTGAGCTTCCCATCTTCCCGTAGCAGAGATCTTATCCCATATAAGGCCGTTAGACACTCCGCATCAAACACCTCTCTAAAGGCCGTCCTTCAACTCACTTTCGTCGCTCGGTTTGCTCATCCATCTGTGCCTTGATAGCCTCTTTCTCTTCGCTCTTGCTCAATACACCCTGCTTGTTCTCCTCGAGACTGTCTTCCACTTCGGTCTTCCTGCTTTGAGAATCCTCTAGGTCGTCTTGTGCGGTAGCGACTTCACCTCGAATCTGTTCGACGCGACCTTGTTGATCGGCCAGCGAGGTCTGAGCGGTTTCAATTTCCTCCCGAAGGTGGGCATCTCGCTCAGCTTGAGTTGCGAATTGGTTCGATCGTCCTTGTTTCCCGTAGAGCGCTTCTAGTCGACCTTGGGCTGTGTCGATTCTGTGTACACCGTAGAGAACGTATATGAGAATCAAGTAATCTCTCAACACCGATGGGCAGCACTGACTCCTGCCTCAGCTGTCGCTCTTGCGTCACTCGTTCTTCATACTGAGTCCCCAGCTGATCAAGCTCCTCCCTGACCTGCACGAGTCGAGTCTCGATATTCTCCAGCTCTTGTTCTCGGTCTTCCCGCGTACCCGCTCCGTCCTGGTTGGCCTGATCCACATCATCTATGAGACATTCCAGCTCGGTCCTTCGCCGAATCAGGTCTTCCAGCTGTGTAGTGTTCTGTCGAGACTGCACGGCCAAGTTGGACAGCTTGATGTTGGATTCTGTTTGCTCCGTTTCTAGATCCTGTATGAATGGATCGCAAGACAGTAAGCGTCGATTTTTCAGCCTGAGAATTGTTTGCACTCGCCTTGATCTCCAGTTCTCGCTCGTCGAACTCTCTCCGCGCGGTATTGTTATCGTTCACGTTCTTGTTATGATCGCCTTCGATCTGTGACGGGAGCCGAGGCTGGATCAGTACCGCCCAAAACACAAGTCTCCAGCCTGATACTCACGCTATGTAGGGCTTCCTCTACATCCATCAGCTCTCTCTGGTAGATAGCATATTCGAGACATCTCCTCTCCTTGTCCTTTTCTTGGAAATCCTTCAGTTCGGCCTTTTCATCGTCGAGCTCCTTTAGTCTCTCCTCAATCTTCTCGAGGAGGTCCATGATCTTGGTTCGTTTGGAATCTGGACACCAAGAGATTTGGAATTAGCCTTATCTGCGGGCAGTAAATCGGCTTCGCTCTCGACTCACTCGTCTCCTCCATGATCTTCATACTTTCTTGACGTTTCGACTCATAGACGCTTGTTCCGGCAATCTCTTTCAAAAGGTCCAATCGTTCGGATTCCTTCTGATTGGTGATCGCGGTGATCTAGATAAGATTGACGGCACGGTGATGCAGTGCGATGGATGAGCTTTCCCTACACTAGTAGACTGGGGAGGTAGGATCCAAGACTGACTCGACCTTGCGGTACAATGTAGTACGGATTGCTTCGGCTGAAACCTGCACTCTCCAGCAAATTCATGACCTCGGCTTTCGTAGCAGATTTCTTGTCCAGTGTGTATTCGTCCTTCTTGAGACCGATAGTTCTTCGCAGGGTCAGCGTTGAAAGCGAAGTAGGGAACCGTGAATCCGAATCTACGTTACATAAATGGTCAGGGACGCTTTAAATTCCATTTGATTAAGCCTTGAACTCACTATCAAAGACAATCTCGACATATGCGCTCATGATCTGACTCCTCCCCGTTCCTTCGTGCAACAACCCCGCTCGTTCCTCTCGAGACAGCTTTTCGTAAGCGTCCGAGAGGACGAACCGAATCGCACTGAAGAAGTTGGACTTTCCCGAACCATTACGCCCGACCACGACATTGTGTTTGGGAGAGAAGGGGTCGACGGAGATTTGGTCACGGTAGGATTTAAACCCTGTCGAACACGGGATGAATTGTCAGCTCGGGGCTCTGCGTCAGGAGTAGGAAGCAGAAAAGGATAAGCCCAAGCTTACCCTGGATTGTCAACGTCTTGATGTGCATACTGAAAGTTGATCCCTGCGTTTCCAGATGGCTGAAGTGATAGTCTGCCGTCTGGCTGGCCCAACGGAATGAAGAAGGAAAGTACAGTCACTTCGTAGGAGGCTCTTCTAAACAACCTGCACAACGTCGTCTATCTCCGCTGTCTTGTGGTGATCCGAGATTAGTCACAAGCAGTCCGGACTGTACAGATCTAAGATTCGAGGGATGTGCTTCGAACGCTGTTCAAGGTAGTATGGGTGGTGTGCACAAGTGCAGATAGAAACGTCAACAAGCAATTCAAGCAACAAGCAACAAGCAACAAGAAGCTAGAAGGTCGATACGCCCATCTCGATCGCGACGAACGAAGGGGAAACGCGCGCGACGCGACTTTAATGGACATAGAGCATGTCGATGTAGAGGTCGTCAGCTCGACAGCTTATAAGAAATATAGGCCATGTCACCACGATCTTGCAACTCGCTCTGCAAGCCCTGCAAGGGGTTGCAGACGTGCAAGAGGTCTTCAGAACAGTCCGAACAGGGCGGATATACGAGGCCGAGGCGATGACAGGACATCAGGAACCGACATCGACCACCTGGACCGGGTCCGCCTGTCCTTACGGCATGTTATCGGTCGCAAGTATGCATATTCGTTATGTCGCCTGTATCGAGCGGTCCTCGAGGTCAACATTCACAGATCTCACAGACCTGTCCTATACGACTGCTGCATTCCAAATCCGTGTGGTGAATCGCCTTAGACCAACAAAGATAGACATCAGACTGTTCCTCAATGTCATCTCTACAGGCTCTGGCCAACGAATCCTACGGCTTACTCCCTCCTGGGTCCAGGTTGGAGGGCATTCCTCAGCTCAACTCGGGGATTGAAGATGTTCTCAGCGGGAGTGCTAAATTGGCCAAGGCGAGAGCTGGTCTAGGTCTGGTCGGTCGGGGAGGTGCATCTGGCCTGAGGAGTAGCACGAACAATGTTGCTTCTGGATCTAATGCTGACGGTGGAGCGTAAGCCATATCTCTCCGTTCTCCCAATCTAGCACGACTGACCTGCTCTTTCTTCCCGCTACCAGCGCCTACCTGCTTGCTACCCACGGCATCAATGCACCTTCGCTGTCTTCTCAGATCAATCAGTTCTCCCAAACTCTTCCTACCACCGCTCAGACCACGTCCGCTGCGCCTCAGAGCTCCCATAACGACGCTCCCCTCGTACCCCTGCCGACCTTTCTCCAGCAACACAAGGAAAAGATTATACTCAGCGCCATCTCTGATACCCTCCGTCGAGCGGTCCGTGATAGCGAAGAGAGATGGATCGACCGGTGTGATCGAGAGTGGAAGTCTCAGCGTGCCAAGATCCTGGAGGAGATGGGTGTAGGGAACTCGAGCGGCGCACAGGCGGCTCTGGGTGAAAGTACCATGGGTCGAAGCAGATTCGGTCAAGTCAGTAGCTCGCCTATCTCACCATGGAATCCCACTCGTACTGACCATGCAACTGATCATCCATATAGTCTACCATGAAGCCGAACTTCTCAGCTTCCACGATGGGCGGCCTGAACCAATCGACTAGGTCTAGCAACGCTTCTAATGCGCTCGAAGCCGTCAAAGCTCAACAGAAGATGATGCAATACGACAGCGTCGTCAAGGCGCTCAACTCTCGTCGAAAGGAGAAGAAACCGTTCCCAATCATCAATTACATGAAGGGACAGGTCAGCTCTGAGAAAGAGTCAGATCTCGGTGCTACCTATACGTTGCTTTCTCAATTGCTCTCGGAGAGCGCAGACGGCTCAGCTCCGGGCGAACGGGCGTACGCCAAGGGTTACATGGCCGAAGACCAGTCCCGCGAGCGATGCGAGGTTTTGACCAAGTTGATCTCGAACGGGACCACTTGGCTCGAGAGAGCTTTCGCCGCACACGTCGACAAAGTTTTGTCAGAGAAGGTCAAGGAGATTCAAGTAGGGGGTGTGCCGGGATTCCGCAGCAAGGTCTCAGCATACGTGACGTACAACTATGAGAAGAGGAGCAACCCGCTCAGTGTCCGACTAGAGGTACGTGACGAGAGCGATTTTTCCGTCTACGTCGTAGTGTCTTGTAGCCAGGCTGATCATCAGCCAATCTGCTTCTATACTTTGGCTTGACAGAAAGTTGCCAACTCCTTCTTTTGGGTCGAGGTGTTCTACCTCATGCGTGGTGGTCGAACCGATGATGCGTTGGAGTTGGCCCAAGAGAAACAACACGCTATGCCCCGCAAAGATCGAAACTTCGCAGGCTTGTTCAGGGCATGGGTCAACAGTGCGGACAGGACGTGAGTGTTTGTCGAATCTTTTCCTACATTACATCGACCTTCCCCTAGACCCTAGATCTTAATGCTGATTCTCAACCGCGTTCAGACTCCCGGCTGAACTTCGGACCGCCTTCGAGACCGACTTCAACGCCCGTATCAAGCACAACCTCGAAAAGGGCGATCCCTTCAAGTATGCCGTCTACAAATTGCTCGGCCGTCAAGAGATCCACAAGAAGAACATCCCCGACGTGATTCAGCATACCGAAGACTGGATGTGGTTCCAGCTCAGCCTCGTCCGTGAAGTGCCGAGCGTTGGGTCAGGGCTGGCCGGCAAGAACGCCGGCTATTCGCTCAAAGACTTGGGAGCGCTCGTGGTCAAATATGGAGAGGCCGATCTGAAGGAGGGCAAGGTCCGATCTATGGTCTACTTCCAGAGGCTGCTGATGACGGCACAATTTGAGAAGGTACGTTTTACATCTTCGCCGATTTGCATTTATCGAGTGACATTTAGCTAAGTCGGGACTTGTATGCATTGCAGGCTATCGCCTTTTTATACGAAGACGACAAAGAGATCGATGCGGTACACTTCGCAATCGCATTGACCTACTACGGGTTGCTACGTGTGCCCGATGCTCGCACACAGTCCGAGACCGAGATCTGTGAGCGGCGAGAGGCTATCTACCGTCTGTCACGGGTTCCTGAGTTTATTGCCTTGGTATATGACAGTCACTGGCAAAGCAGCTTCAACACCGTTGACTGCCAACAGCTTCATGTCTGCTTCGGGCGTTCCTCTCAGCACCGTCGACGTGGTTTACTGCAACTTCGCTCGTCTCATTCAGCGCTATGTCCGCAACTTTGTTCGGGTCGACACGCCAGCTGCACTGCAATATGTGTATCTGCTTTCGCTGAATGCGGACGCGCCAGGCACGACGGGTGAGGAGCAGGTGCAGGCGTGTTGGGATATGATCCAGGCTGTGATTTTGGAAACGAGGAGCTATAATCTGGTTCTCAACGAGAAGGCTGCGGATGGACAGTCCATCGTGAGTGATATTTGCTGCATGTGGCGACGTCGGTTGAAGCTGAACTCGGTCCACTTTGCTATCACTTCAGCCTAGCGTGCTCATGCGCGACGTCAAGCTTGTCAAGGTTCGAAACCCCGACGGATCCGTCCGAGATCTGATCGCTCGCCTGGCAGCTTCCGCACCAGCGGACTTGCCGCTGAATGATCGCATCGAGCTATACAAATTGGCTGGGCAATACGACAGAATCATGGCTGCTATCAACAAGCAGCTGTCCGACTCGCTCGATCAGCCCGGAACTGGAGCAGAAGCGGAAGGTCAGGACGATCTGCTGGCATTCGTCAGGTTCAAGCTGGACGACTTGCGACGAGAAGGGGTCCAGGTCGGAAGCGCTGGACAGACGGCAGCGAACCAATTGCAAAAGCTACGCGAGGCAAAGGGCTGGACAGAGAAGGCAGATTACGAGAAGGCTCTGGCGGTAAGTTCCTTCTCCACACAATACCGACAAATCAGTACTGAAAATGGATCTTTCTCTTGAAGGCTGTACAAGCTACCGAGCTTATCCCCCTGGACAGAGATGTCCCTGGCATCACTCGAGCTGCAGAAGACTTTAAGCATGTTGACGATAATATCACCCGCAAGATCGACAAGGTGCTCGTGATGACGATGAATGCCATCTTCGAGCTGAATCAGCGAGCAAAAAGTGATCAAACGGCAGGCGATCGTCAGGACGTGAGCAGCAAAGGCTGAACATGACTTCTGAGAATAGAGACTGACTCTGAACCCTTCAATCATATTTACCGAACCCAGCGAATGCAGCGACTACGAAAACAGGAGAGAGCGCTTATGATGTTTGCGGGAATGCTCCGCTATCGTCTAAGCAGCGAGACGTACGCTCAACTCGCCCATTACGGTATGTCCATCATCGCCTGTATTGTCTCTCGACTCGGTAAGCTGATATTCCCTCTGCACAATAGACGCATTCTTCTAAGATACACGTCGCGTCGCAATTGTATTCATATGTCATGATGTCGTGATTGATGGCATTATTAGCCTCTTGAGTGCCGTTGGAGGCATCTGTATACATTTCCTGAGGTGTTGATGCAGGGTGTAGTTGGATACAGGTAATCTAATGTTGCTGCAGAAAGAGAATTGTTGTGCTATGGTCTGCCGTCTAATATGCGACGGCTGCAAGGCGCATCGTTGTCGTTAGTGACCAGCATAACGCACCTCTCAAATCACACACTTACCACCATTGCCTGCAGCGACTGGCACTGTTAAACAGGCTTGATGAATCAGGTTAAGGGCTTTGACGCCATCCTTGCCGTTGATAACTGTGTTTTCGACGATGTCAGATGATAGCCGCTCGAGGAAAGGAAATGCGCTATGACTCACCACAACTGATGTTGATCTCGCTCGCGCTGTAGATGACAACCGTGACAGATCAGCATTCAGAGCCAAATACCGTAGAACGGCTTCACTCACCCCTGAGAGATCATTTCGATGTTGACGTTGCCGTCCGCCAGGGTCGAAAACATCTTTCCAGCGATACCGACCATGTGTCGCATCTGTCGACCGACAAGCGACAAGATGGCCATGTCCTTGGAGACGGTGATCTGTTCGGCAAAGATCGAGGATCAGAGAGCTGTGGATTGCGGCGTAATTCAGTCGACACTTACGTGTCCGATCTTTTCGAGGTCGCGGACCAGGCGGTCGAGCCTCTCCTTTTTGATAAAGTCCTGCAGAGCCATTGAGACCTGCAACGACACGGAAGCTCGATCAACGTCAACACGCTCGACACTACCTCATCGGTCCAAACGACGTACGTGAACCTCGCTCGTGCTGATCAGATCCACCACAACCCCAGTCTTATCAAGAGTGCCGAAGATTCGAGCCAAGAACCCATGACTGATCGTCTTCCTGTTCGAATGGATGTTAATGACGATGATCTCGTCCTTGATGGTGACCGCCGTAGGCATCTTGATAGAGTCGATGATCTTGACGACCTCGTTGACGTCTCTGTTCCCCACTCCCGGGGCTGAAGAACCCGAAGCGCCTTCCTCCATATCTTCGCTCTGCGCAGGGTAGATGATCGTACCTTCCCCGGTAGGGTTCTCGACGTTTTTGATCCTGATGGGAATCTTGGCTCGGATGACCTGTTCCATGGTGAACGGGTGGATAACCTCGCTCCCGTAATAGGTCAGCTCGGCGGCCTCGTCGGGCGTGATGATGGGTACGAGCTTGGCCGTGGGGACCTTGCGCGGGTCGGCCGTAAAGATCCCGTCGACTTCTTTCCACACTTGCAACTCGCTCGCCTGTACGCCAACGGCACATAGAGCGGCACACAGGTCGGTGTAACCCCGTCCGATCTGACTGAGCAGGGACCCGGGAACAACGCCAAAGTAGCCAGTGATCACAGGGACACGGTTGCCACACGCTCGAAGACGCTCGCCGAGCCTAGCCGACAGACGATCGTAGAACGACTGGTCAAGCTGACCGACACCTTGGTCGTGGGAAGCCGAGGCTTGAGCCGATTCTTCGCCCGATGCGATGGCGCTATCGACGATGTTTTCCAGCGAGACGAGTTCCGAGTCGATACCCTGACGAATGCACGGGTAACGTGGATGTCAGTCAGAGCACCGCAGACGAGCAGCGAGGAGGCAAAGAGGCACGGCGGGCAGCACACTCACTCGATCTCGTAATGACGCGGCCACGATCTTGCATGCGAGTCGCTCTCCGATCCCAACGATGCTGTCTTGGCTCCTGGGAGAGATCTCGTCGATGATCTGTGCGGCGCTCAAGAAAGATCTCAACCGGTCGAGGTCTCTCTCGATCTCCTCGTTGAGTTCTTGCAACAGCGAGGGGTCCTTGACGGCATTCCGTGCAGCTTCGAGGTGATCCCGCTTCAGTTGATCCACAGTCTGGTGGAAAGCGGGCAGGTCGCTGTTGGACGATCCGTTGGTGTTCGAGTATCCGTTGATCCCGGGGGTCGAGACGGGGAGAAACCCGGAAGAAGACGGCGAAGAGACCGAGGGTTGGAAGGGGGACGGCGAGGACGATCTCGAAAGCTTCATGTCCTTCAAAGACGATATGCTGGAGCTCATCCCCATGGGTCCGTCAGCAGGCGTCATGCTGGGACCAGATCCGTTGTTGAAGAAACCCGAGCCAACCCTTTTAGGGTAGAACGGTGTGGCACTGCCTGACGCCGGCTCGGTGTTGCTACCACTGATGGCACCAACGTTCGGAGCGGGAGTCAGAGCCTCTCTTGAGGCTTGTAGCAAGAGATTGGTGGTCCCAAGAGCCTTGGTCGTTCCCGACCTGGCTGAACAGACGACAGCGACCTTGCTGTTGGGGATGTAAGACCTAGAGGTAGCCCCGCACATGAAAACCTACATCAGCTGCATGGAGAATTTGACTTCCCAACTCCGACTCACTCGACGATGGCTCCGATGCTTGCCAAGCTCTTGCCCACCGAAGTACCTCCATACTTTTGGATGACCCAGGGGACGCTGTCGTCCGACGAGTTGAATAGCAGAGGTTCGGGCGACGGTGCGGTAGGCGTCGAGCTATCCGAGCCGGTAGAGAACGGCATGGTACTAGTTTGTGCTGTATGTTTGAACCAATCAACCAGGAGGAGAAGATGCAATGTGTTTGAGATGCAAGAGATGATAATGTGTACCATTTGATCGAGAGGAGGTCGAGCGAGTCACGAACCAGGAGCTAGGAGTCGCTGATGTTTCGGGTTTCGGATCCAAATTCATAAAAAAGATGGAAAGTGGAGAGAGATAGGGGTAAGCAAGTAGCAACTAGGTCATTCGTTCATCCTGGCCAACTACAAGCTACATGTCTTCACTTTCAATTGCGTTCCACGTCAGACCATGGGCCAGATCAGATACGGTCCTCGTCGCCCATCCTTCTTCAGACCGCTCTCGAAACGCTCGCTCCGAATCCTGCACGCCCTGTTGACCACACACGAATCGACCTTCCTGCTCGGCGATTTCCTCGCGCTCTACCCTCGCTTGTCACGGCAAGAAGCCAGGACACAGGGAATCGGGTTCGAAGCTCTCTGCCTCGCCGCAGAGCTCAAAGAATGCGTGCTCATAGGTTGGGGAGATGGAAGAGATGCAGACGGCGACGGCAAGGTAGCAAAGGCTTGGCTGAAAGAGGTCTGGGGAAAAGTCGAGACGGATCTGCAAGACCTGGTATCGGGAGACGCCGTAGAGTCTCGAACTGATATCGACGCTGCCATCGATTGGATGCAAGGGGTCAAGATACATAAGATCGGGGAAGTCGAGACGGACTCGGCCGTCTTCACCGGACATTATTTGCTGTATCACCCGCCCGTTTCTCCTGCCCTTCAAGACGTTTTGGACATTCCCGCTCAGCGGACTGACAAGGCTCATAGCGCGGCATCGACGGCACTACCGCTGATCACGGAAGAGACGATATGGGGATACATCTTGGACTATCCCACGACGATGCCTGCCAACGAGAACTTCCTGGACGACGGTCTTCGCAGACAAAACGTCGTGCAGGTCAATTACCACCAGGTCTTCCGGGATGGACCTCTGATGGGGACCGAGTACTTTTGTTCGCCCTCGCAATCGGATTCGCGCAAGGTCAGAAATCACTTCGAGCGTTATAGACAGAGACTGGAGGGAGTGGTCGACCTTTCGTTAATGCTAGATGGCGTGGCCCAAGGTGCAGCGAGCGCGGCTACTTGTACCTTGCAACAGACTCTCGAGGATGCGTTTACGGAGATGCGATCATGACGCAGAGAGTTGTATGCAAGATGTGAGATATGACATGATACCCCCTGCCGCTACAGCTCGTCCTTGACCCTCTCCTCCGTAGGGCTCTCGTTCCAAACCGCTTCATGCTGTCCAGACTCAAACTCCTCTGCCTCCTCCTCCAGGGGCGTAACCGCCGATTGATCAGAGTGCTTGTGTGCGGGAGCATCGGTCTCGCCATGCTCAAAGTCGTCCGCTGCAGCTTCGAGCGGCGTATCAGCCGACTGGTCCGCTGCGTGCTCAGCACTGCCTGTAGGCTGGACGTATTCCGCGGTGACATCGCCTTGTTCTGGCTCCATCGGTACCACTGGCTCGGCCACTCCTCCGCCGGCAGAACCAGCCTCGACCGTCGTCTCTGCAGTTTGAGCCGCATCAGGCTGAGCGGCGGGTGTAACCCGGTTGACCACCTGAGGTCCAGAATCTTCCATCGCATCGTCCTCGTCCGTGACCCGGTCTTGCTCCTCGAACAACCGTGCCAATCGTTCTTGTTCCCGCTTCTCACGCCTGAGCCGATCGCGACGCTCTTCTTCTGCCCATTTAGCCTGTTGTTCCCTCAGCTTGGCGGCCTTGTCCTCGGTGGGAGTGGGAGCGGGCGGAGCGGGGTCCGTTGCGGTTTGAGTGATTATGGTGGTCTCGTACATGGTGACAAACTCTTCGTCGCTCTCACTTCCAGCCGGGACGTTCCCTTTCGAGATGGACTGCAGGTAGGTCAACAGGGGCTCGAATTTGAGCGGGCCGGCTACGAGCAGTCAGAATGACAGTAAACCGATCAGGATTCTCCCCTTTCTTCTCCAACACCGTGCAAAGACTCCGTGACCTACCAGAGTAAACATGCTTCTCCCCATCGACGGACCAGGTAACGACCTTGACCCCATCCACCTTCTTGTCCTTGGTGGGGATCCCCAGCGCCTCCCTCGCTTCGGCCTTTTCGTCCTTGATGAACCCGAAGTGCACCTTGTCCGAGAGTCGGTCGGAGAGTACCTTCCACATGAGCGGCAAGGAAGGGTTCGACGGGTGAATCAAGAGAGCGTGTGGTTGGTCTGGTTTCTACGAGACGAAGGAATAAAACAGATATCAATCGTTCAGCAAGATTCGCTCTTGCGCTTCCGTCGTGTTCAGTAGGGCATAATCGCCTCACAGCTGATCTCCAAGGCGTAATCTCGGAAGCCTGTCTGAGCTTCTTGACCTTCCCAGCGGGGACCTGTTCCGAAGCCCATTCGATGATAGGTCCAGCCTTCCTCTCCCGTTCGAAAGTCCTCCCGCGTCCTTTACCCGATTTAGTGTAGGCCTACGAGAATCATTGCAGGTTACAATCCGTTTGGTAAGCCCATACAGACTTATATTTGCAAGAGTGGTATCGCTTCGCGGTATTGTGCTGACCTTGACGGTAGGGAATCCTTTGATGTCCTCGGCCCCGCAGAGTGCCTTGTTCTCCGCTTCGTCACAGTCGACGTTGTAGAACGGGATGAGCGGGGAGAGGGATTCGGCGGCCTTCTGGAATTCGGGTGCCATGCTGATGTCGGGGAAGAGCATACGCAGTCAAAGTCAGCATTTCGAGAGAGTTTTTCAGTGATGAATCTGAGGATGGGAGACTTACTTTCTGCAATGACCGCACTAAGATTACGTTTCAATGGAACGTGAGATCGATGATTGATCAGCATGTTGAAAGGTACTTTCCGCAGTAGCCGGACAATACTCACCCATGGAGCGGTGAACGCAACGATCTATTGAAAGAGAGCCATTTAAACAGAAGGAAAAGTCAGTATTCGTCCAAAGGTGATGTGAGTTGGGATTTGGCTTGGCTTACCGCGAGGTTCTGTACGTGTGAAATGACAACAAGCGCAACACATCCGAGTCCGAGTTGGAACATTAGCTTAATGAGCATACCAACGCCATGTTGCCACAGCCTGACACGACGACAGACTCACCCCATCCTTGAGCTTGTTCTTCCAGGTCTTGCCGGACATTGGCATGACGGCTCCTTTACTTGGGAAGATGGCCGCGCTGACGGTGTAGATGGCCGACAAGCCCAGGAGGACCATCAACAGGCATGTCAGAGTGGCACGAGTCATGTTGGAGGTCGACGTCAGGAGTCCCAGGTCTCCTCTGTGTATCTGACTGTGAGGTTATCTGGAGGTCGAGGTCGAGACTGATGAATCGTCCCAAGTTCAACAGATCATGAGAGTTGCGTCGCAGTTGAGGTGATGGGCAGAGGTCCGTGGTCCACGTCATCAGCAAGCAGCACGAAGGGGTGGGCGGATGCAAAAGAGCAAGCTAACGTCGGAAACAAATTTGGTTTGTTTACGGGGGAAAGACGACGATGTTTCAGAGTTTCTCCCATCATCAATCGGGTGGGAAAGAGAAGGGAGAGGTCGGTCGTCGTCGACGACATTAACAACAACAACAACAAATGATACTTCGACCTCACGATTAGGCACTTGGAACATCATACCTCGATGCTACACGGCCATCGTCAGTCAGCAACAGCGCTAGTCAACCTCACTCCCATCCGGTATTCGAACACGCCCCACGTGCGACACACCGACACTCTCTCACCATGAAGATGACAAAATCCCGCTGGGATCCTTTCGTATCCGGTTCATCAACCATCAACTCCGAAGAGGTGAGGACGGGTTGCTGTACCAAGTCTCTACCGATAAATCCTGAGGGTTACCGTGTTGCCCGAATCGACAGCCTTCTATCACCAAGACCAGGATATGCTTCCTGAGCCTGGCCGTAAGTCGCCGTAACGTATCCTCATAGCCCATGCCCTGGGTTCTCTTCCGTTTCCGGTAGTCGAGATCATTTGGTCGTTGCTAACGCCTCACGACCTACGGCCTTGCAGATCCTGTTGACCTTCATCACCATCTGCTGCACCGCTAGCCTCGCCGCCTTTCAATCCAAGTGGGACCTAGGAGTTTCGGGACTGAACGGTTTCCTCCTCTTCCTCCTCTTCTTCATCCTCATCCTGACCGTCTTTCTCTTGACCGTCCCCTTGGTGTTTGACAAGTGGGACAAGTTGCCCACTCTGAATCGATGGATCGGGGTACCCAGGTCGACTTGGATATTCCTGATCACGGGGACTGGGCTGAGCTTGTTGAGCGCATTGATGGTCACTGTCAGCGGTGAGTTCGGCGTCGTTTGGAGTGCAAACCAGGATGTACCTATGACAGGAGAAGTTCTGACATCCGGTTCTGTTTCAAAATCGATCGTTCCTACCTAGCCTTCACACAACCTGGATGCAAGAATCCGGACGACGATCCTCATGCGGATAAGGGGGACGGATTCAAGGATGGGTTGGGGAGGTGGTGCTCTACCAAGAAGGCTTCGGCGGTGTTTCTATGGTACGTTCCACTTGATCGATGTTTTGGCAGTCGATTCTGATGCCGTCTGCTTCTTTCAGGCTGCTTCTCGGTCAGTGACGTCTCAACTGTATCACGAGTCGTCGCCGCTGATTCCCTCCTCCCACTCGCTTTCAGGCGCCTGGCTCGGCATGTTGATTCACTTCTCCATCCTCCAACGACGCACCTCGAACGAATCCAATTCTTCTTTGGCCCGCTTCAAATCGAAATCCATTCTCAACACTTGGAAACCCATCTCTTCCGACGACGCCATCCCCAGCTCATCCACTTCTGTCTGGGGTCGCCATAAGGACAAGGAAGCCGAAGTAGAGAGACGCCCTCAGCTTTCTCCCAAAAAGGCCAGTTTTACCGTCTTGGGGCAAAACGAACGGGAGGCAGGATATACATATGGGTATTCCGAGCACGACGACGTCGACTACCAGGACGACAGGGCGGATGGAGATCTCGGGTATTCTTCCCAACCCGCTGTTCATTTCGCAGATCACACCCACATGGGAGGCCGGCGGAGTATCGACCCGTATGGAGCTTTTGATGGGGACGGCATGCCACGTCAAGCGATCACGCCCAAACGGAACGTCCCGCCGCCTCTGGTCGCCGAGATGGCCGGGAGGGACGCTGGGGGGATCGGGAACAAGTCGGGTGTTGTCAGTCGGACGATGTTGTTGGCGAGCAGCAGTACATATGACGATCCATGTGAGTGGTCTGGTTCCTGGCTACGGTAGCGATTTTGCGTGACATGACCTGATTAAATCCACTTGCCAGATACTCGAGTTCGCGAGTCGCTTTCGAGCCCGGCTCCACAGCCATATAATTATTCGGCCGCGCACTACAGTGGTGTATAGGAACCAGGGAGGGGGGCCGCACAGATGATCAGGGATCGACGGGATACTTGTAGATATCCACAGTGTATAAAGGACAGGGCGTCGTGACGATTGTAACCTCTTGACTCATTTCTTGTTGCTCAAATGCATATCCGGTCAGCAGAGTTGTGTGGACTTTATGATGATCTGGGATATTCTGGGTCGTACGTATGGGACATCTCGATGACGAGTAAGGGTTCTAAATGATTGTGCATGCCGTGGAATCTTCCCGCTACCAACTATATATATGTCTTCCCGTCCAAACTTTCGCCGCTACGTCTACTTGCCCAACTTCTTCCTCTCGGCCCGGGTCGCCTTTCTCCTCTTCTTGTACCTAAGAAATCGACACGAAACAATCAGCCTGGACCTCTCGACCAAACCTGAGAGATGATCGAACTCACTTGTGCTTGGAGATCTTCTTCTTCCTCTTCCTCTTGACACTGTCCATCCACACAAAGTCCCCCACGGCCCCTTCCTCTTCAGCCAACATCATCTTGACCCTGACGGCGCGGGATGCCCGGTCGGACCACCTTCCGAACGTCAACCCTCGCTCCCTAGCGACCATCGCGTAGGAGAGAGAATCCGAATCCGGGCGGACGAATGCCGTACTCGACGTCGTGGACGCGGACGAGAACGACGGGGCTTGACCGAGGGAAGCGTCTGTCAGGGCCATGCGCTCGAGGAGGTCTTCCACCTCGCCGACGGCGAGATCCATCTCCGGTTTGTTCTTGTCCGCTTCTGCTCGTACGGCCTGTTCGTGGAGCATCAAGGCCGAGTGCGGGTCCTCGGGGACGAAACTGGACCTAGCGGAGGTGGACGAAGTCGAGGTCGAGGGGGACAAGCGTCGTTGAGCGGCTTCGATGGTGGAGAGGACGTTGTTGAACTGGATGTCGATCGAGGACGGGTGAGGAAGGAGGACTGAGACGAGGGCATTGGCAGGGTCATCGTGGAAGGCACGAGCCTTGGCTGAGGCAGCGTCACCCCTGGCTTGTACCCGATGAGCGTCAAAGGACCCGGACCAGGCCTGGTGTTCGTTGAGGACCGGCGAGAAGCCTTCCCGCTTGACCAACAGTGTGGCAATATGGTTGTTGACCATATCGAGCTCCTTCAACGAATTTTCCTTTCGAACGGTCTCTCCCTTTTCGAAAAAGAGGTCGGGCCTGACAGGCGAGGGGTAGGCCAACAGGTCCTTGAGTGTGTAATGCGTAGCAGGCAAGCCAAAGACTTTGGGGTCGGTCTCGAGATGACTGGTCCCCAGGTTCAGCTTGAGAGGCATATGCGACGGCGTCAAGGCCATGTGCAACTGAGCCTGTTTGGGGTGTACGGGGATCGGCTTGAATGCCGCCTTTTCCTCACGCATGATGTGCAATGCGGCGGCAGAGGTGAATCGTCGACCCCCAGCCTCCCTCTCCCTACGTTGAGACGGAGAGCCCTTCTTGACTCGTCCGTGTCCTCCAGTCCTGACCTCTCGACTCTGTCGGTCATCCCGGCGAGGTTGCTCATCGGCGGCTTGTGCAGGTGGTGGTGCGCAGGAGGATGAGTAGCAGGCGACCTGGCTACTCGCTGCGCGACGAGCGTTTGCCAACCGGGGTATCCGGAGAAACATGCTCATAAACGCTTGAGGTGTGTGTTTGATACTAGTGTAGGTGTTGCTGCTGGTGATTGGGGAATGCAAGTCGAGACAGAGTTGTATAGGTGGTCAATAGTTGATAGTGACGAGAGAAAGCTTTGACCTTAGCCGGGACTTCTCCTTCCCTCGCTCCTCGCAAAGTCTCACGCTCTACGCGGCAAGAGAGAGGAGCCTCGGTACAAGGCAGACAAGGTTGCTGCCATGTACCAAACACACCTCATTCACCATATTACTGCCCCATACCTCCTCGCAACAAGGCTCAGTATTCGCCAGCCTTGCGTCAACCTGGCAAGACAGCTCCTTCTTCGATAGCCTGGCCGAGTTCCGCAACAATCAACAGCTCACCTGATAACCAGAGTCTTGCCGCTTCAAAATGTCGATGGACAGGGATCTCATTGCGCTCGTCAACAAGCTTCAGTCAGTCGAGGCTTCTCAACCTGGTATCTGAGCGATTTCATTGACGATATCCAAAATCAATCGTCTGACTATAGGGACACCTTCAATGCTATCGGAGGCGATGCTGTCGATCTGTGAGTGTTGTCATAGCGCATGTTGTCTTGAAATTGCCGAGGACTGAACACGAGCCATTCCTACCGCTCAGGCCGCAGATCGTTGTGGTACGTACACTCCCGTCCACATCAAGGACATGTTTGAGTCTTGTTGTGAAAAGGCTCAAACCACCTTTCTATTCAGGTCGGATCCCAATCTGCCGGAAAGTCTTCAGTATTAGAGACGTAAGCTTCCCGGCACAGCTGCTCGTCCGTAGACTGAGCTGACGGGTTCTCCTTATCGTGAAAACAGTATCGTCGGACGAGACTTCTTGCCTAGAGGTGAACAGACGCTTGGGAGCTATGATATGTGTTACAATTCGCTAACGCTCGCTTTGACGTCACAGGAAACGGGATCATCACTCGAAGACCGCTCATCCTCCAGCTCATTCACACTCCCAACCCGGCCGTACCCAAGAATCAGGATGGGTCCGAGAGCTGTACGCCAATGCATGAAATGGATTTGACAAGATCCCCGAATTGCCTTGCTGACTTGGGAGTTAACGACTTTGCAGCCCTACCTCACCCTTCGCCGCCTATGACCGAATATGCCGAATTCTTGCATCTGAACAGGAGGTTTACGGATTTCGAGGAGATTCGAAGGGAGATCGAGGCAGAGACTTTCCGGGTCGCAGGGCAGAACAAGGTAGGACAGCGAGACAGTACCTTGATGCCGATCAACGGATATCAAGCTGACCAATCCAATATCCGCATTTGATTGTATTAGGGCATCTCGAAACTGCCCATCAACCTGAAGATTTACGGCCCAGGGGTGCTCAACCTCACTCTGGTCGATTTGCCCGGTCTCACTAAGGTCCCGGTTGGGGATCAGCCTACCGATATCGAGCGACAGATCAAGAATCTCATTGTGGATTACGTCTCGAAGCCCAACTCGTTAGTCATAGTTCGAGGTATCTTCATTGTCAATTATCCGGACGCTGATGTCCATTTTCATGCTGGACGATTATGCCTGTATGCGATCCGACAGCGTGATCTTGGCGGTTTCCCCTGCAAATGTCGATATCGCCAACTCCGACTCGTTGAAGCTAGCACGTTCCGTCGATCCTCGCGGTCTGCGAACCATCGGAGTCCTCACAAAGCTCGACTTGATGGACGCCGGCACGAACGCCTTGGACATCCTCACGGGTCGTACTTACCCCTTGAAGCTCGGATTTATCGGGGTGGTGAACAGGAGTCAACAGGATATCAACGCTGGGTACCCGATGGAGGACGCGTTGCGAAAGGAGGAAGAGTTTTTCGCTAGACATCCTGCGTACCGAAACCTTGCTCATCGGTGTGGAACAAAGTACCTGGCTAGGACATTGAATCATGTGAGCCTTGGGATCATAGTGAATCTTGACTTTCTTTGGCTCAACCTTTTGCTTGCCTCTCTTTCAGGTTCTTATGAACCATATTCGAGACAAGTTGCCGGATATGAAAGCCAGGCTCAACACGTTGATGGGTCAGACTCAGCAAGAGCTCAACAACTTTGGCGACACGACGTTCCTTGGCGAACAACATAGGGTTCGTCTTGCACCATGTGCACGATCAAAATACATCTCCTCGCTGATATACGTCATTGCATTTGTTGCAGGGATCATTGATCTTGAAACTGATGACGGAATTTGCGCGTGATTTCGTCTCCTCGATCGAAGGTACATCGCTCGAGATCTCTACCAAAGAGCTCTGCGGAGGCGCCCGTATCTACTACATCTTCAACGACGTCTTCGGCCAAGCACTGGAATCGATCGACCCCACTCACAACTTGACGACACAGGATATCCGGACCGCCATCCGAAACTCTACTGGTCCCCGTCCTAGTCTGTTCGTGCCCGAGGTCGCCTTCGATTTGCTCGTCAAGCCTCAGATCAAGTTATTGGAGGCACCGAGTTTGAGGTGTGTCGAGCTCGTTTACGAAGAGCTCATGAAGATCTGTCACAACTGTACCGGTGCTGTGAGTACATACAGGCATAGCTTGACCGGCACGATAAAGCTGACTCCTATCCGCCCGGTTACAGCAAGAGCTCGCGCGGTTCCCGCACATGCATGCCCAGCTTGTCGAAGCGGTCTCGGAGCTGCTACGTGAAAGGCTGGGACCTACATCGGAATACGTCAGCAGTCTGATCGGCATCCAAGCCGCTTACATCAACACCAACCATCCCGAGTTTGTGGCTGGATCGGCCGCTATCGCGCGCGGGGAGTTGCCCCAGGGCCATAATGTTCCAGTCATCAAGAAGGTGAGCTCGACTATTCCTTTTTCATCGACCCGCGGACTGTGCTTACAAGACACACAGCAGCCTCAGTCGGAAAAGTCGCATGACGACGACGATGTGTCAGATTCGGAGGTTGAAGACGTACCTCCCATGAACGGTGGTGGCCCTCGTGGATCGGTCAAATCGCGTACGGTCTCGCAATCCCAGCATGACAACCGCAACCGGCCGCAAACCATCGCACCTACTCCTAAGCATTTCAACGATTTGAAGGGGGATGGCAGCAAACACCCTCGCTCCGCTTCATCTAACGCCGCGATGACTGGTGCCACAACTGCCATGCTCAACATGAGTCACGCGCACCAAAGTAGTACATCGCCGAACACTGCTCGAGAGACCTTTTTGAACTACTTTTTCGGGGGCGTCGGTCCTGCTGGTCAAGCTGGTCCTAGCCACGGTGGCATCCAACAGAAAGGCCCGGCCGGTGGAGCGCGTGACCTTTTGCCGGATCTCGGTCACCGACGCTCTCAGAACACGGGGGACAGACTGGAAGCTGGCCCGGCTTACGATATGAAGAGCCTTGGAAAGCACCTCGAAGCTGTCAGTCACCGTCTCATCAACACGGCTCTTGCAAGTCTGATTATGATGCTGATTTTCCGATCTTTTCTAGTCTGCGCCTGATCATGGTCACAACTTGACACCACGAGAGGAGATGGAGACCACGCTCATCCGGTCGCTGATTGCATCCTACTTCAACATCATCCGACGGACGATACAGGATCTTGTGCCGAAAGCCATCATGCACCTCCTCGTCAACTTTTCGCGAGACGTGGTTCAACAGCGTTTGGTCACCAATCTCTACAAGCCAGACTTGTTCGGCGAGCTACTTTACGAAGACGAGGCCTTGGTCACTGAGCGAACGAGGATCAAGACCCTTCTAGACGCCTACAAAGAGGCGTTCAAGTGAGTCATGTTGTTTGCATCGTTTGCATGGGTTGCAGTCGCTGATATAGTTGCCCTTTCGTTGTCCTCACCAGAGTCTTGTCCGAGGTCTCGCTCAAGTCCACATGAACAAAAACTATATGGACGATCCCAAGTTAGCAGCGATGACCGTAGAATGACCACTCCTTGTAACGACCAAGCATACTACTGTGTTCCTACCGGAATATCTTTTACCAGTACAACCTTCCTGTTGCGAACTTGCCCTCAGTCTCACGACCATACGAGCGCTGTGCGGTGACTTCTAAAAAAAAAACGCCGAATACCGATCTCGTCGAGCCGGAAGAAGGCGCGCGCGAGCAGATCTCGCTCGGCAAATCGCACAGATCTGGAGATTGGGCTGAGTGACCCCTATCTTTTTGTACGACATCTCGCAGCTATGACCTTGTCGTTCGGCGTGGATCTAGGCAAGTGTATGACTGATGCTGGAAAGTGGCGGTCCTTGGCACCACAAGGGTCGAAGCGATCGGCGTTCAGATCACAATCCCGCATGCTAGCGTAGGAATCGGAGCTAGTCAAGTCATTTGGCCGGCGCAAGGGGGAGGAGAAATAGAACTCGGTATCCTTCAGCTGCGTTCATTCCGGATGCTCACCCTCCGGTGGGTCCAAGATCCCCAGGCTATATACGACAGAGTCCTCGAGTCATTTTGATAGAGAGATATAAATCAGGTCTTCTCCCTCGCCATGCATCTCAACGATCCAATAACTAGACATCGTCTGCCTTAAGCCCCGCGTCTCGATATCTATCGATTTTCCCCACAATCGGTGCTAGCGATATCCTGGCATGACAACCCCGTCCCACGTCGTCGCAGGGGCGAACGGTCTTCCCCGACGTCAAACGGGCGAGAGCTCGATCTCACGACTGAACAGGTCGAACTCGCTCGGCCTCACACGGACTAATAGCGACTATGCGCAGCTGTCCTTGGCCCGTATGGCCAGTCTAGAGACTGCTCACCCAGCCACGCACCCGAAAGAAGATTCGGACGAGCCCGAAGTCTGGTCGGACGACAAGCACGGTCGATCTGGCGATCGTCACGATCTCGAGAGTGGATATACTGTCGATAGGGAGGGTGGTCTACCGCTGAGACAGCCTGCTCATCCCGACATCGAAGCGTCGGCAAACAGGATTGCGGAATCATACCTGAACCCTGGGGCTGGATCAAACACAATTGCGAAGGAACCGGAAGGCACCACTGAGCTGGAGCAACGCTCCGCTGATTCTGGGTCGGGTGGGACCGATCCGACAGGTCCTCAGTCAGGCGCGACGACACTTCAAGACCAGACCAATCTGTTACCGGCCAAACAGATTATCGTCGTATTTCTGGGTTTGAGTTGCGCTCTTTTCGTCTCATTACTGGATCAAACCATGTAAGCACCGCGGCATATAACGTTCGGCCAAGAGGAAAGCCTCTGAACCGAGTCATGTTTCTTCTTCAGTGTCAGCACGGCTTTGCCTACACTCGGACGGGTGTTCTCCAGGGCAGAGATCAGTTCATGGGTTGCCACTTCATACCTGTAGGTCCCGTATGTCCACAACCCTTCGCGTTTCTTGACCGCTAACATGCCCTGTTTTAGTTTGACATCCACATCGGTTCAGCCGATCTACTCTCGGCTCTCAGACATTTTCGGGCGCAAGATCTTGCTCGTGTTCTGCCTCATACTCTTCTCGCTCGGGTCCTTGGCGTGCGCGTTGAGCCAGTCAATGATCCAGCTCATCGTCTTTCGTACGTCATCTCGCCAAACGCGGAAATATAGGGGTAAGAGTTGATAAACTCGATCGCAGGCGCTCTGGCTGGATTGGGCGGCGGGGGTATTTTAACACTTGTGATGGTGCGCATCCTTGAAAAGGGTTTGTCGTTGGGGCTGCTGACGTTGATATTCCAACTTCTTCGACCTCGCCGTACGGCACAATTTCTATTTAAAAGATCGTTGTAGGAGATGTTGTCACACTGCGAGAGAGAGGGTGCGTTGCCGGCGGGCGAAGCAGTTCTGCGGCTTTCTGCATGTCCTAACGGTTCTTCTCTGGTGAACAGGAAATATCAAGGAATCCTGGGAGGCGTTGTAGCGTTTGCAAATTCCATAGGACCAGTCTTGGGCGGCGTGCTTACAGAGAAAGCGAGCTGTATGTCAACATAAGGCAGCTGTTCTCATGATATCCGCTAACCGAATCGCACCAAACTCCAGGGAGATGGTGTTTCGTAAGCACTCACTCCCTCACCTGCCATGAGATAGCTTTGCTTACCAAACGAACAGTGGATCAATCTTCCAATGGCGGGCTTGGCGATAGCCGTCGTAGTGTTCGCGCTGCCGTTGCGATCGGTGCAAGGGGACATCCGTTCCAAACTTAAGAAGGTGGATTATGCCGGCTGTGCTTTGACGCTGGCGTTCTCCGTACTCATCTTGATGGCGCTCAGTTGGTAAGTCTCGCGCAGACGTATCCCGTCTAGGTCAATATCATCTAACATGCGCTTGCGGCTCGTTTCAGGGGAGGAACGACCTATCCTTGGGACAGTGCTGGTGTCCTGGCCCCGTTGTTAGTGGGATTGGCTCTACTCGGTCTTTTCATTTTCGTCGAATGGAAGCTAGTTCCTTTGCCCTTGTGAGTTTCGAACACGCCATGTCCCGATGTTGAAGACGCTAATTCTCCCACACTCACAGAATACCTAGTCAGTTACCAGAAACGAGTATCTAAAGCGTTTCGTTAACTCACTGACATCCGCGACCTCTAGTGCGCATCTTCCGAAGCTCCACAGTCTCCGGCGCCATGGTTGCAACATTTCTTTCGGGCATGGTGTTCTACGCCCAGCTCTTCTATCTTCCGCAGTATTTCCAGGTCGTCAGAGGAGAAAGTGCGATCAGGTCCGGTGTCCTGCTCTTGCCACTGATTGTTGTGCAGACGATAACGTGAGAGCTGTTAGGAGCGTTACATAGGCAAGCCAGCTAATCAAACATCGGAACTTTTAGATCATTTACATCTGGAGTCATAGTATCGAAGACCGGAGATTATCGTGTAGGTTGGCATCATAGGATGCAATTTGCACTAGATCTGACCATCATGGCATGTCCTAGATCAATCTTTACTTAGGATTCGGGATCTGGACCATCGGCATCGGGCTCTTGACGACGATCGGTCCCGATACTTCGATCGCGAAGATATGTGGTTATCAGATTTTGAGTGGAATAGGCGGTGGCCAAACGTTCCAGACGTCCTTAGTCGGTAAGTCTGGAAAATATCAAAGTCATTGTTGCGATTGCTGAAGCACCGTAATGCCACAGCGATACAAGCCGCTGTGAACAGATCAGAAATGGCAGTGGCAACAGGTGCGAGGAATTTCATCAGGATGCTCGGCGGCTCGGTCGCTCTCGCTGCCTCTTCGGCTTTACTAAACAATGCTGTCAAGTGAGTCGCACCTTAGAGGTCACAAATTCCAGCGTCGTTGTTGATCACCGTTGCGAACAGGAATGAACTCTACCGGGATGCGAACTTTCCCAACGATATGGTACGGCAGATCGTTTCAGATCCGACGCAAATCAACGATCTGGTCCTATCGGCCGAGCAGAAGACCATTGCTTTGCGTGGTTACAGTAAGTGATCCCCTACATCTGAGCGGACTTAGCTCTAAAGCTAATTGCCGTTCGAACTGCAGCACAAGGGATCCATAATGTATTTTACCTCCTCTTGCCCTGCTGCGGCGTGTCTTTTTTCGTCATCATATTCTTTGTCAAACATCACTCTCTAGAACGTTCAGACGACGCTGCACTGAAGCAGGAAGGCAAGGACCGGATTAAGCAGCGTAAACAAAAGCCCGAGGCGGACACAACAGGATCAGGGCCTGGAGCTGGGACCGAAGCTACGGACATTAAATGAGACAAGTAGGGTTGTCTCTTGCATCGACGAAACCAAGTTGTATAGGATATGATGTAGGATATAGGATATCCGATATCAGATTACCACTTATAGATGCTGGATTGGTATCTTTGATCTGTCTGTTGCACAAATAAGACATCACCGCGAGTGACCCGGCAGAGCCTGACGAACGGCTAGACAACTCAACAATTCCCGTATGGATCTAATTAGTCTATGGCATTGCCGCTCAGGGAAACAGATGTATTGCCAACGCGCTACAAAGACAACTAAGTCATGCTTGTCGTGACCATGTCGCTACGCCTCGGCGACGTATCGGTTCGAACTCGGCCGTCCGACCACACTGCCAGTCATAGACGAAGGTCGACTCGAGTGCCGAACGATTTGTCCAGCGTCGCCTGCTGGTGCTAACATCGACGTCGCAGCCCATGAGAACCGGCTGCTAGCTTCCGAGTTTTGGGACCCTCGTCTGCCCCTCAGCGCGATCAGGCTCGCCCCCTCGTCTACCCTCCGATCACCCGAGACGGCGTTTAGAATGCGCGCATAGTCCGAGTTCGCCAAAGAAGGGTCGTCGTGCCCCTCATGTATGGGTAGGGTATGCAAATCGAGGTAAGGTGGACGCAGGCCAGCAGAAGACACGCCTTGGCCGACTTGGTCCGAATTCCCACCACGCTCTTCGTCCGAGCGTCCCGCCATGTCTTTGACTGATTGAGCACTAGACGATTCGGGATGGCGTCCCTGATGTAGGTGTGAGTTTCCGCCGGCGACGTCCCCACCACCGGCCTCTTCATCCGGGGGGTACTCTACGATGCTCGTCCTCGTATCGATTCTGATCAACCCAGCGCCAAGCGCCTTGTGGCCGGCGGGGTCGGAAAGGGCAAAGGTCGAACTGGCCAGAGTGTGCGTACTCGCATCAGGCCGAGGTCTTGAATATGGCGCGGGATTCCGATATGGGTCGTGGCAAGAATATCCGGGGACGTGGACTGGCATAGAGGCTGTATCCGCTGGAGAAGCAGGTAATCGTCGCGCGAAAGACGAGGGAGAGCCCGGACGTGAAATGCTAGCCTTCATGCCGCTATAGCTGACCGGAGAGCCAGCTTGAGGGGTTGCTAGGTCATGAATCGGCATAGCTGCTAGAGAGGTCCAAGTGAGAGCCCTGGCCAAAACAGGCGGATCTCTGCTTGTGGAAGCCTCTCGATCTCTAGCGGGTCCGACATTCTCGTCCAGAGCATCGACCTCGAGCAAGTGGCTCGGGCGCGGAGGCACGGAGATGGGAGCAAAAGGTTGCCCGAGACCCAGGGCGGTCTCACTACCAGTAAAGATTGTCGTAGGCTTCGTGCTGACAAAGCTTGGGGTAGTCTGGACCGTCTTGCCTGGCGAGCCAAACGACGATACCGAGGTAGCTTGTGAAGCGGACCTCGAGCGATTCTTGACCGAGTGACTGCGAAAGGATGCTGCGTGGAGCATTCCTCGGTGCAGGTCGGCGTGGAAATGCATCGACGAGGGAAGGGAGTTGGCCGCCGAAAGTGCGGGTGAATGCGGTCTTGACGGAGGGATGGGCTGGGTCGAAGCGTTCTCATCCGGAAGATCTAGGGTAGCGACGTAGGATCTGGAGTCGGGATCTTCCAGATCCAGGTAGGACGAGGCGAGGCTCTGAGAGGATGACGAGGGTGACAAGGAAGGAGAATGCGTCGGCGATGCGGACGACCTGGTGATAAAGGATGCTCGAGGACAGGCTCGATGTCTGGCCGGTGAAAAGATCGATGAGGGCTGATATGATCGTCCGCTATTCCGTGTCCTCGTAGATCCTGGGCGATGTGTCGATAAACGGATAGAAGGTGCAGCAGCCGTAGACCTCTGTCTCGCTCGCGGTAATGGGATCGTTGGGGACGTATGGGTACCGCGAGCGAGGATACTCTTTGGACTGCCTGTCACGCCCGACTGTCCAGCCGAGAGGCGTGCGTCTGATGTCTTGTTTCGTACTACCCTGTTGTGACCTAGCTTTTTGGCTAGCCAGTCGATGAGAGGTTTGGTAGGGTTGTCCTTCTTGACCGACCCTTGCCATGTCCCGCCTCGCGATGGCTTGACAGGTAACGTACTGAACCCGGTCGATTTGGCCCGGCGAACGACGTGGGGAAGCGGTTGGTCGGTCATGATATCAACGGATGCCAGGTTCAGCTGGTAGCCCTTAGTTGAAGTAGGAAAGTGGCAGGATCTATACCATTTGAATCTGTAAGTAGCCCAAAGTCGAAAGGGATGTGATGAGAAGATGAGATGTGATCTGGATCAACTGGATCAACCTTGACGACGGGCGGCGTCAGCCGAGTGAGGGCGATGATGGTCACGTGATCACATGACCATCATAGTCATGGTCATCATGGTCGGCGTTCATTTGATACTGTGTGTCCTACTCGAGTACAACCAACGGATATTCGCTTCATCTTGGCCACCGGGTCTGAAACCGAGCTAGCCTCTCGATATGGGCTTCTTCTACCACATCTACTGGTTGTTCGATCCGAAGAATGTAGCCAATCGACCATACACATCCTCGAACGCTTTCTTGTTCTCGGGATCCTTGAGATCGGCTCGAGCAGCTGCCCAACCATGATGCCTATTGCGAAAGACATCAAGCAGAGAAAGGTGATGTCAGCTTCGAGCGAAACGGATTATTTCTGTGAGAAAATCTATCCATATGCACGCACATGTTTTCGTAGTGCTTGTAGTCGTTCTTATCGGCAAACGCCTTCTTGCTGAGAGCTTCCTGGAACTCTTTGATGGTATCGCTCGGCTCATCCTGCATTAAACCAACTCAATAAGCGATCAATATGGTTTCCAATGACTGAACTCTCCATGCTCGACCATCCCGGTACTCACTTTCGAGGGATAAAACCCGAAAGGTACTTCGATACCGTTAACATCCTTGACGTCCAACATTGCCGGATGAACGATAGCCACACTCTTGAACAGGTCTTTCTCTCCAGCGGCGACTGTGGCTACCTTGCCTCCCCAGCAGAATCCGTAAAGGCTGATGTGGGTGTATCCCTCCGATTTCAACGTGGATGCGACGGATTTGAGCTCGGCGAGTCGGTCCCCGACGTTCGCCCTGAAAGACATGATTACGAAATACGATTCATCCGAGTCAGACAAACTTGAGAGGAGCCAGCTGTGCAGTGACGTTCTGGGGGGCACTCACGTGGTCCCGAAGAATTCTTGCAACTTTTGCTTGTCCTCGTCCGTCTTTGGGGGAAAGTTGTCCTCCGGCCAAGGCTTTCCTTGCAGGAAATCGGGCATGATGACCTTGGTCCCAGAAAGGGCTTGGGACACGATGTCCGATCCCTGTTCGGTCTGGGGGAAGAACCCAAAGATGTCGTCTATATATAGACAGAGGAAGGTAGTTCCAGTACGGTGAGTAAATACTGGGTTGATTATCCGAGAGTCTCGACCAACAGATACAGCTAAACGAACGGGAAGATTTCGTCCGTTAGCTGTCAATGCCCCCCTTTGCTTGCCCCCATCAACGACTCACATCAGAGCATGCGTCTTCGAATCACCCACAACATAAGCCTTGTCGAATTGTCCGACTTTCTGGTAGGATCCCTTGGACTTGTAGTCGGATTGGACCGGAGGGATCGAGCAGCAGGCTAGAAACAGAGGTGGGCAGGCGAATCTTGTTGAGAACAGAACCTACGGGGACCTTTACTGGCTGGGGAGCTCACCTTTGTTGGTATCGTGTACGGCGGACATGTTCAAATGCTTTGGTGTCTTCTGAGCGTCCCTAATCTGAAAGTGCAGTCTGTATGAGTATAGCTGTGTAGATGAACTGTTATTAGAGGGGACGATGATGATGATCCTCTCAGATCTCAGCTGTCTTACGTGGACACGGAGCAGGGGAATCTCAATCGCCGGTACCACGTGGAACGGAATCAAATCGAGGTCAGCCATCGAGGTTCTGCATACACTCCAACGCAAAACGGTAAAGCGCAATGTTACAAGAACCTCGAATGACGTGACTCTGGTCACTGCGATTCCTAAGAGATATGTCACACCCATATATGGCTATTTCCGAAACCAAACTGGTGGGGAGAAGACCCAAATGTCGCGAATACAGCAGGTGTCCGGGTTGAGCTGATGGACTCCTTCCTGAAGCACCGTCTAGACAAGCAACCTTAGATCTGTATCTCGATCGCAATGACTGTGGCTTCTTGAACATGATGTACAGTGAGCAGGCGGAGCAAGCAAGCACAGTCAGGAATTTCGGGTCAAGCTCGAATGTTACTGATGCAACTTGACGAACAGCGCTTGTCTGTCATCCTGACGGAAGTGCAAAACTGACAGAATTTAGAAGAAGTCAAGCCTGAAATTGGGTTCCATACAGACTTCGGATAGATCGTCGGTCCATATCAAGAAGCATGAAGTATTCGTAGATGGCAGTTGCGTTGTTGACGGACTCTCTCGCTGGATCGTCGCGACGATCTGCACTGATGATCGCCCTTCTTATCGGCACATTGCGTTTTGTTAGTATCGTACGATTCAAATTTCTGGTCTGGCTATCGTATATAACAAGACCGCTCCCAAAGGAAAAGAATTGCATGTCATGGTTCGGCTTATTGAGAGACGTTCACCACCGAAATACGATTCATCCACACTCGATGTTAGTTCGTCCGCACTTCCTACGAGACTGTTCTGACCCATCAATCGACTTCAACCAGCCTGTTATGTTGTATCAAATCTCCGTCGTCTACCAAGAACTCCCTGAAGATTGTCTCAACGAGCCCAACCCCCCCATCCTCACCCTCGACCGGACTCCTCTCGACCGTATAACCTCTCGCTTCGTCAACGATATAGCCTGCTTGACCCGCCGCGAATGGGTCCTAACCTGGATGTTGAGCGCGACCGGTCGTCTGCATATCCCCGAAGATCTCAGGGAGGAGTATCAATGGGTCGAGATCGAACCTGGGTTCATGTTACGCTTGAACGCCGCGCTGAGGTATTTCCGAGGGATCGACTGTCTAGGTACGTCATCTTTCGAGACTTTTCAGGCTCGATGTGACTGAAAACCTGGGACTGTAGAATCCCGGATCAAAGTCATAGTCGAACATATGGAAGCTACAAGGTCACTTGTACTACAGCTCGTCAGAAAATTCCTGCATGACTCCGCACAGCACGATGACGAGACCGGCCAGGCGCTTCCAGTCACTTAGAACGCTCAGCGGCGATATCGCGATAAGTCCTAGATCATGGACGAGCCCTTGCGGACATGTACACGGAACCCGATTGGTGAGTTATACTTCTCCAATTCGCCCTGCTAGCAGCTCTCGACTCTGACGAATATGTGTGAGTCGATTGCTGCTTCTCGCACGACTACGACGTGATGCTACAGACGGAAGCTGCTATCAGTTACGTTCTGTATCATTTGGTAATCCACAACCGTACCGCGGTGGTGTGCGCAGTGCCGCAATCTTGTCCATATAGATGGCGCAGGTAGTATCAGCATCGATATCTGCTCGATGTATCGCCCGAACAACGTGCGACGATAGATTTCATGGTTTCGGGACGGGTGCACAGACGGTTCCCTGAGTCGAGGTCGTGCAGACGTTCACATCCATTCGTCGTCCGGTAACCAGAGCGACCGACAATTTCAAATGCGACCACGCGCGACGTCAAACCTACAACAGCTTTCTGCGGTTCTCTCGGACTTCTAGAAACACCGCAGCAAAGAGAATTGACGATTTGTATCCGCCAGTGGATCTGAAACCTGCATCCCCGCGGAAGGCGGAAGAAGTGCGGCGATAGAAGCCTTGGCGAGGTGAAACATCCTTTGAGCGCGATAGGACTGATCGCATCAGTCTTCACATCAGAACCCGACTGTTGTTTGTTGCTTTTGTTGATTGTATGACTTAATCACTGATCATTCAATCTTTTCCACTGCACGGCCACAACGCGTCAACACGATCCTTATATACACAGGTCAGCGAGAAGATGGGATCAACCGTGTGCCCATCCCCCCCTCCTCCCCTTCCCCCCAACGACATACTCAGCGATCGCCTTCAGAACCAACTGTCTCCTCCACCATCATTTCGATCTAACCTATCATGCCAATTAGTCGGCGTTATGTGTATGGATATAGTGATGACTCCTACTTGCGACCTCGTCATCGCTTTTATAACTTGACGCCGATCCAACGATATCACGAAGTTCTCTTCGAAAAGTGGACCATGTCGGCGATATGGCTTGATGCCATGCAGGAATATTGGTCCGATAAGCAGTCCGGAGTTATTCTGTCGACCTTTGCCGACTTCGGGGATATGAACGAGGATCTATGGCGACGCGTGGATCTCGCGCACGCCTCTCGGATAGACCGGTATGGACCTGCAGAAATCAACCGGTATGAAGTTTGTGATCTAGTAGACCGGTACGGACCTCCGGAAATCCCATGTATGTAGGCAAGTATGGGTCTCGCCGAGATGCTGCTAGACACTGATAGCATTACCTTCATACGTTAGTTGGACAGTCCCAAATCACGGCATTCCGCCTTGAGGCACGCGGCCTCGGTGTCGATGTTCGATGTTCATGACGCGTACGGAGAGCTCCACCGATTTGCCGCAAAGCTCAAGCGATCGAACCTACCCTCATAGCTCGTATCGGTCGAACAGATTCGAGCGTGGGTGGATGAACCTGCGGAGGTCGAAATACCGCCGAAACCTGTGAGCTTACCTGTCCAACCCACATATTACGTGACGCTGACAATAATTTGTGAATAGGGAACCGCTGTCGTGGCACGAGTTGGCGAGACAATGGTTTCTTCTTGTCTCGATACCTTCATCGGCTGGGTCATCGGGGCGTTCATGGTCGCTGTTCTGTTTATTGGCGTCGAGATCGGTTTCTTCCTCGGCAAGGCCTTCTTCAAAGTCTTCATGTTTCTGCTTCTCAAGATCAGTTATATCTTGTATGTTTTGCTCACGTGATGGGCGCATTGCACTATCGAATTATCGATATCTCGTCATGCGATATCGCTGAGTACAGTGCCCGAGTAGAATGAATTGCCACCTTCCACTGTTTCGAACGCCCGTACAAATCGGACCAGATGTGATTCCAGGGCAGAGATGTTTGACAAATCCCTCTGGGAGACCGATACCTCGATCGAGCTCCGTCGAGAACAAAGAGCAATTTTCACGCTAAGCACCGTGGTCATTGGACCTACAAGCAGTGCGCTTCAAAGGATTCTCGTATGATCAACGATACCCCCATTCGCATATATAGGTAAGCAGATTCCACTTTCGAGAGGTTCGTAACAATGCTAGACCTTTTCTCGTCTTTCGACCTCGTAGCAAAATCCATTTCAGCCTATCTTAGCCATAAGCATAATTCTGCAACATGCCGGAGAGCTCTGGACAATCCATCGCGAAGTCCGCTTCAATCACTATCACTGATCATGGGTCGGCTTCCCCTAAGGCGGTCGATAGAGAGTCTACTTCCCCTGCTCCCTCGAACGACTCTTCTTCGTCTGATGACGAGTCTTCCCGCCCGCCCACGAAAGAGGAGGCTTTGAAACTACTAGAGGAGGAAATGAAGGATGATTCCAGGCTTTGCGATTATGCGAGAGAGCAACTTTCCGGCCTGGTCGACCTGTACAAAGCCTTCTTCCTCATCAAGGCGGCCGGTGATACCTTCGATGAATCAAGCTCAGACGTCGATCAATGGTCTGTGAACCAGTTCCACCATCATTTGAGTGAAGCCGCCTGGTTTATCGAAATCTCAATGAAAGAGGCAGCCAGGGAGTTCATAGCTTCTCAAGATAGTGAGTGGTGTTCGATAAAACAGTTACTACGATACTCACACGCGTTCTTCCGCTTCAGTGGACCATGAGATGAAGCCTTACAGCCAATTTGTCTTCGACAGGCTCTTCGTTGGTGACAACGAGTGAAAGCTTTCACCTCGAGCGACCCTTTCAGATAGGATTCCAAAGGTAGCGCTGATACATTTCAAGTCGAGTGTAAACGTCATGCCTGTTGACCAGATTCCCCTCTATATCTTACAGGACAATCCTGCCTGCGAACGTTGAAGAACAGGATAACGCTACAGATAACGCTCCGCTTGGATATATGGTAGCAGCGAACAGCAGCAGAGGATGATTATGAATACAAATCGCTGGATAATTGATCAGACGCGATAGACAGAATATTGTAAAAAGCTCAGACCTGTCCCATGATACAGATACTTTCTGCCTGGCACCTATGGAGAACGCCTCGTCGGTAATCTTGATTTGACCGTAGCTTCCGATAAACCGAACACCTCGCCCTACGGAATCGAACCCCAAGCATTCAACCGAAGGGCTGACGCAATCATCTCATTGGTAGCAAATAACAGCGCGTAATTCTCCGTGATGCTTGAGAATTGGTTGAGCGACGCTTTACCGGTTTCGCAATGGTACTGCTCATGTAGAAACTCAGTATGTCTTACCTCCATTTGTTTTCCCCGCTTCGATTGCCCCCAACTCTCTCCACTCTCGGCCGCTCCCAAGCTTAAGAAACGGTACTTCGGCGTCTACACAGAAGGGATCGGAGAGTTCGTTGGTCTAGTGCACAGAAAAGTCGTCTCTTACTGTACTGGTACGCTTTCGGGAGTACTGCGGAGACCGTAACGGCGTTACAGTAGCATCTGCCTACATTGTTGACTGATTGGCGTGGCTCAAACCTATACAGCCGAAATTTCTCCATTGTAAGCTGGCTAGCTATTCGCTGTTGTCGCAAAGTAGCAGTTCAACTTCATTTCGCAACGATTTCCACGGCTATCTCGCTTCATGTTAGTTGTATCGGCAGCTAATTTCCTTCCGGATCAACCTGAAACACAATTTCACCGATCAGCAAAAACCCAAAGGAGGGTTCCTTTTCGTATCAAAGGATCAAAGGATGGATCGCCGGAATCTGCACGGAGTGTCCCGTGATCAATCACGATAGCGGATCGAACAAAAAAGCACGCAACCGATCAAAGAGGAAGAAGGAAAAAACAAATCGAACGGAATCCGCCTGTCTAGACTTCTAGTTTACTGTACATATCCCCCTCGCTCGACATACCTAAGTTCTTCCTGCCGATCCCGACTATAGCCTATGCAACTCCTTGCTGCTCATACAAACAAACATTCGATCTACTCCCCCTGAACGGTCTAGCACCTTTCGGCCCAACTCAACGATGCCGGTCTATTGCCCTTTTCGCAAGGCGGAAGGGAATGCGGAAGACCTGCTCTATCTGCGCATGAGAGGATCCTTCATTCGAAAAGCCGGTACCGGCGTCTTTGCACGATATAACGACCGTTTAGTGTCTCAGATCGGCATCCAATCGCTCTGGGCGCAAGCACTGAGAAGGTTGTTCATGACGGAGGCGGAGAGAGCTGCTCTACCATACGACAGCCCCATGTCTGCGCGAGATCCACAGCGAGTCCGGGACATGCTTCGGATCATCGAGCAGCAATGTTCACGACTTGAATCGTCAGGTAAGTCTATGTCTCTTTTCTCCCTCATCGACCCGTTCGGATGCTGAACGTATCGGAGTTCGATAGGTGTTCCCAGGCGAGTGATCGCCTATCTAATACAGCAAGAGTTCGAAGTCAGCAGGCAACGCTATCTCGAAGCACGAGCGGCGTTGATGAGCATGCTTGATGCACTTGCTCACCATGCACCTCCCCATTTCAAGACCTTGGAGGAGCTTCACGCTTGGGTCGATCTACCAATAAGCTCGGATGCAGATGATGGATCGGTACGTTGATTCGATGTCGATGTGCGATCATGTCTATTCACATGGCTGCAACTGATGTCAATGACCGCGAATATCCAGGAGGCATCTTCACCCAGCTCCGACTGAGATCGTATCTCTGCACATTTTCACACGGCATACGGACTCCTTCCCTTCTCACCCTGTCCTACAATAATCTTCTCTCTCCCGGACCCGTCGCGATGACGTATGAGTACATGTAAAATGCAAAGAAGCATACTCCTTACTACTCCCTTACGAATCCTTATGCTCGGTTTCCCTTGAATTGCGGACTACTCGCGTTACAAACCCTGGCTAGCTAGGGGGCTGAGACCCGAGAGCAAGCCCATGGACAGCGCGAGACGGTGGCGAATTGGCAACATCTCTGTAGTAAACCTTTAGTAGTCTATCGATCTGACTTCACCCTTGTTAGAGATGATCCAGTAGCCAGTAATTCCAGTTACCATCGAAAAATTTGCGATGGTATCTCCCCGACCATTTTTTCGTGTCTACCCGAACGACAATGACCCGAAAGGACCCCTCCTTTGACTTTTCATTCTCGGGTGGATCGGAAACGTCAGGTGACCCTAAACCCCGACTTCTCAGCGAAGAGCGCGCAGGGCGATACACAACACCACATACAATCATTGACCTCCCTCGCTCTCTCGTTCTCCTTTTCCGCATTGTCGTCTTTATTCAGCTTCTGATCCAACTAAATCTATAGATAACCGGACCAATCCAATCAGAATACCGACATACCCCATGCCCGTCTATCAGCCTTTTCGCAAACCACACAACGATCTGGAGAGTTTGATACATGGATCGCTCGTCAGCTCCCTAAAGCCGCTTCGCTGCAATGTTCCCAACAGGTACCATTTGGTTAAAATCACCAAAATGACTATCATGGAATTTTGGTCTCGAACACTGTTCCAGGCCTTTGCGACGGAAAGCTCAGGATATCCGATGACCTCGCCAAACGATCTCGTTCACGGCAACAGCCGAAACGAACGTGAAGTGGTTTGGTTCATCAGACAACAGTGTCGAGATTGGGAAGCATTGGGTCAGTCCTCCAACCCGGTTCCAGTGAGCCGTCTTGAGTATGATGTATAGGTTGCTGATCCTGTAGCCGTGACATAGGCTTCCAAAGAGAATGGGTACTCAACGTATTGATGGAAGAATTTAATGGCGTGGGTCAACATCGTGCCTCCGTGATTCGAGAGATGCAGCGATGGACGGCGGCGGATACAGCCCGAGATGTCCCCGGGAACTTGAAGACCATGGAGGAGCTGCTAGCCTGGATTGACGAATTTCACGCCAGTCAAGACAACCACGATACGGTCCGTCAATCATCGACGTTACAGACCTTGTGAATCGACATCAAACTGATTCGCGTTCTCGTGTGCGCCTCAAAATAGACTTCAGCCGATGGCGCATAGGCATACATTTCATTCCGGATTCCCTCGTCTACCAATCTCGGGTCTTTTCAAGTCTTTTCAAGTAGATTGCGAATTCAGCGCGGACTTGTTCGATCGGAACGGATCTCTCAAGAATCGATATGTGCTCGTACTAGCGTGATTCGGGTTTGATCATTCACTGCAACGCTTTCATCATGCTCGGACAATGATCGTCTGGTCACTGGTCTCTTTGTAAAATTTCTTGCTGGCAGCTCCGGACTATCCAGCTCGCTGGGCGATAGCATTTCGATCGATTGCTTCGAAGCCAAGGGTACGTCCACCATTGTTGCCGTACGATAGGTACTCGCCATAGCACTGCACAAAAGAAGGGTTGCCTCGGCGGACGAGTGGAATGTATAAAGAACCGAAAGGTACGTAATACGTAATGTGAAGCGTCGATCAGGCGATCCGGTGATCAATGCTTTTTCTTAACAAGAAGTCGCTAACCGAGGTTCTCGATCGATCGAGTCAGAGAGTCTCTGAGTGTCAAGTATATAAGGATGCACTCTGGCATCACTCAGGAGCAAGTTCACTTTCTGTTTGTAGGTCATATCAATCAGATCAAATATATTTGTCTGGCCAATATGTCGCATCCGCCCACTCCTCCTATCGAGGAAGCATCGGAATGTTGGAACTACGTGCAGAAAACCGAACGAGAACTGCAACAAGTCATAGCTCCGGCGATCAGAGAAGCCATGGAAGCGAGAGAACCCGACGAGATCATCTGTCAAATCGAAGCCGACCAAAACCTCACTCGCGAGCAGACGGATTTTCTGATCGATATACGACGAGTCAGCTTGGTCATGCTCTGCTGGGAGGAGTACTTAAGAAAGGCCCCTCTGTTTCGGGGCAGCCGGAAATTCCCACAAGATTCCGATCCCACACAACGGGTTCGAAAATGGGCCCGAGCAAAGGTTGCCAGGTTTCTAGGGGACAGCAGTAAGTCTGGACGACCACATGTGAACGGATCGATCCTCCTTACAATCTGTACGCGATAACGAATTCACAGTTCCCCTTACAATGCTCCCTTACATGTTTCTGCTCTCGCATTACATCTCTAAGGCGCAAAAGCAAAAGCCAGCTGTTAAGACCCCTTTGGTTTAACCGTACAAGCATAAGCAGAGATTTGGAGGAAAGATCATGGTGAGCGGAAGGTCACATCGAGCAAGATGTTGATATGAGCTCAACCAGTGTGTTTCGGCAGATTTTCGAAGAATGAAATGCGCCCAAAATACAGGGGTGTATGGTAGACAAATCCCAATTATCGGATAGACAAAATAGCTTGTTTTGCCCCACAACATGTATACTCGAAGATACTGAGAAGAGAAGGACGTCATTCGGCCATATGATGCTGCAGTTCTTTGTGATGGTCTATCTGGGAGAATGTTAGGGGTTATTTGACATCAGTCGACAACAAGGGTTCACGAGACGCACGTTGGTCTGAAAGCCGAGGTAATCAGGGGTTCGCGTGACAGTCTATGCAGACTACTGAGACAGCTTCTCTTGCCGAGTCCAAACCTAAATTCTGTTTCGGCTTACTGCCGCTTTTGTTCACGCTTCCTTTCGAGTCGATCCACTGGGCCCGATGGATACCATGGAACGCACAGATATGATCATCTTCCAACAGGCGCGCTAAACTCAGGAGCGAGAGCGCTAAAGGTACAATTGATATTCATATTGATTATTGTGCGTCGAGAAAACCTTCAAGGCCCGCGCCGGGGTGTATATAACCTTTATAGTACGGGTTTATCATATCTCTGCAACGATATCGCTCTATTCGGTATATTCGAACATCAGTTAATATGGCGCCAGTTCGGGACGATTTCTGGACCGACCCGCACCTCAGCGATGCGCAACGCATGCTCCTGTACAAGATCCAAAACACGCGGAAGCTGCTGGATCTGATTTTGGTGCTAGCAAAGGGCCTAGTCAAATACGGAGGATCATGGCTTGGCTCTAACATGAACGGCGTGGACTTGACCTTGAAGCGGGTGGGATATCGCACGGTGGAAGAATTGACGGGAAGCGTCGAAACGTTCTATAAGGATCCTGGTGAGTGGGTTTTGTTGTGTTTCAATCGGTGCACAAAAAATCGACTAATATGATCTTACGCCCATTGTCATATGCAGTACCTTTCGAAATGCTACCATACATCCATTTAGTCAGCGACGCCATGCCCAACCGCTCTCCCTCTTGGGCTGTTCGTCGGGCGTCCACCAGACGGAAGCAGTAGTACTCTCGTACACGAAGGTCGACCGCTAGACATCCAGTGAGTGAATGTCACGTAACCCCTATTGTGTGAGCAACGCACAGGGCGATCGCAATCATCTAAGTCTTTCTTCTAGTCATGTTTGTAACGATTGTTGGGAGGCCTGCTGGTTATGGAGAAGTATAAGATCACAATCGGAAAGTCTCATTCGAAAAAATTGGCCTGTGGACGCACCCATCGAAGGTGTATCGTAGTAACCTTGCTCGATCTTGTGATAATGTTATTGCCCATGATCCTGGTTCGCGCGACGTCCGATACCTACGCACCACAATACAGAAACGCTGAGATCCGCATGTCATCTTGTGAATTTGTGCTCGAGAGACAATAGAAACAACGGTGGCGCTGATCATCGCGGTGAAGGCGAGTAGCAAAATAAAGACAAAGGATGAACCGCCCCCAAGCTTTTCCACGGATTCTGGGGTCAGCTGCTCCAGAACCGGGAGGGAACGACATATAACAGCTTCTCGTCAGAGGCGACGACCATGAACTTTCTTTCCGTTCAACGACATACTCTACAAACCTGTTCAAGCTACGCTCTTCGAGCGCTGACATCATGGCTCTAGATGCTAAGACCGATCCCTACCTTACCGATGAACAGCGAGCTTTCGTCGAAAATATGCGAGACTCTGCAATCCAGATTCTCCAGCTTCGGGACACCAGCTCCGACATGAGAAACTGGCCGGGGCGCTGGTTTTACGGCCTGAGCGATGACAAGGCTGAGACCCTGATCGACGAGATGATTAAGGTCTTTCGCATCAGGGTCAACGACTATCTCAAAGGGGACGGTGAGAGTTTCGAAAAAAATTCTTCTTATTGACGAACTGAAGTTTGATTCTTGTAATGATAGTTCCCTTCGAGCTGATCCCTTACATGTGGCCTGTGGTCGTAATCTTGACGGAAGATGAATCTCCCATGATCGAGGGTCTCAGGTTTCAATACTTCCCTGAGCATTTCTCGCCAGGGGTTTCGGCTCACGACAGATTTGAGCGGACCTATAGTAAGCTCTTCATCTTGTCGCATCTCCGACGGCAACGTGAGCTTGAGACTAAAACCCTCGTGGACGTCCGCAGAAGCGATCATGGCAAAAGATCTTTAGCTGAGAAGGGGCTTCGAGCGAAATTCTACCGCAGAATCGTAACTGCTTCGCACTGTAGCATCTTCGGTTCGATAGCAGCTGGCGACAAGTTGGAGTCACAAATATCGACCGTCGGTTTCAACGGTGTAGCTTCGCTTTCGAGCATTATTTCAAGAAAAGATCTGTATAAACCGCTGAGATATAAGCGACAAATTGAACCTGACTGACTTGGCTTGGTATGAGGGATATCAGACCTATCTTTCGAGATTCCAAGGGCATTCATTCGTATTTCCGCAACACTCCTTGAACAAAAGAGTCAAGGGTGGGTCGGGCGCTAAACACTTCCCCTTGGTCGCCGCACCTGACCGTTCGGACTTACAAAGTGGATCACAAGAAGCAAGAAGCGTCGTCCCAATTTCGCAAGGGGCGAGTAACAAATTTTATGTTATATATAAGCACGATTTTCGAGCGGAGGAGAGTCACAGATGCGCGTTGCTACGATGCTGCGCTCAAACCAACCCACTCTATCATCAACGGTCAGACGTTTGCATCCAAGATATGGCTCTCGATCCTGATAATGACCCTCAGCTTAGCGAAGACCAACGAGACTTTGTGAAGAAAGTAAAGAGGTCTTCCGACACCATCCTGCATCTCACAAGCCTCTTTGTGAGCATGAGCTGCTGCTCTTCGGACGTGAAATGGTTCGCGCCGATTGGTAGTAGGACCATTGAGGGTATCCTGAACGAAATGAAGAAACTCTTCCGGAAAGGAGTCGACGATTACATCGAGGCGATTGGTGGAAGCGGTCAGTCTCGAGAATTGTGCAATAGGGTTTTTGTATATGCAGCATCCCGGAGTTCTTACCCAAACTTTGCGTCATTGCGATAACGCGACCTTATAGTGCCTCAGGAGCTCTTGCCCTACATGTATCCTGTCTACAGGATCTTGGAGTCTGACTACCCGCCTCTGGAAAGAGCCTTGCGTCACGTCGAAGATCTATAGCTCGGCTTAATCCTCAGGAGAGTGCGACAGCATCGTACCGGTTGGTATAATCAGATGATTTGATACGTCTTTGCTTGCTTTAAACAGACGCGATACCGATTTCGGTGGGACCGGATGGGACCGGATGGGACTGTCAGAAAACGAGTGCTGTATTTAGCGATCAGAATGCCAGCAGTAGCGATAAAGTAGGGAATGATTCCGCGTGCGACCCGATCTGCCACATAAACATGAACCGGATAGAGTGTCGTTCGGAACAGGAGATCGCGTCTAAGATTACCGAGATACAATCGCGAAATGCTGTCATCCCATGGCTGAATCGAGTCTTCCATGGTTGTTAGATTCAGTCTCTATCTTAATGGAAGAACGTTTATACGCTCGACAAACTTCTAGCGATCACTAGTACAGACAAGGAACTCTTACTCCCCCCCAAGAAAAGCTCAAGGAGACCGACAGCACCCAGAGGACTGGCAAGCTGTGAAGCGACGAAAGTCTTTGAGGGGCACCTTCAAGGGGATCGAGTAGAATTTCAAAAACTCGCTTCGAAGATATGTTGGGCTTGTAATCGATTTCTGGTCCGGCTTACCATTCTGCCAGTCAGTCAACTGTCTCTCAAATACGATAATATTGAGATCCCTTCAAAAGATTGGATCACGATCTTCGACATCTGCACAAAAGAGTCGAAGGTGCCGGCGATCATGCCGATCGCCGCCAAGCCATTTGCGGCGAATGGTGGATCACTGAGAGAATTGAGAAGCAAGAAAGATCGAACCACTGTGTATGACCGAAGCGAGGTACATTTGATATATAGCGTCGGTCGTCGACGAAACTTATCGAAAAGCTTTCGATCGTACTTCGGCACAAGTCTTAGCACACCAAGCACTTCCTCAAACTATTCACCAGCAACTATTGATACCATGCCTCCCGATCCCAAAACCGATCCAAAATTGAGCCAGGAACAACGAGAATTTGTGCTAGACCTGCAGTCTTCTGTCGAAACGTTTGAAAGGTTCTTTACTCTCTTCTTACATTGGAGAAGTAACTCGGATATCTGGTTCCACGAGGTCGCGCGCACGGAGCAATTGCCAGTCATGATCGATCAAATGAGGGAGATCTTTCGAGCGAAATTAGAGGGTTTCCTTCAAGGAAGCGGTGAGTTGAGAGCCTCACGTAGGTTCGATCGATCCCGGTCTTCTAACCACTTGATCTGTTAGTGCCGTTCGAGCTTGTCCCCTACTTGAATGCCGCCTCCTTGGTTCTGCCCGATCGGGGCGACTCTGACTTAAGGAAGGCGTTATTCTACATCAACAATCCTGACGACTTCTACGAGGATACAACCTAATCGTCAACCGGAAGGTGCGCTCTCAATGGCTTCGTATCGTTACACGTGACGATCTCGCTGATCGAACTTTCTGACTTGACATTGGAAAGCACATAGGAAAGCCCCGTTGAGCTCATCTGGTACATAACATTCCAGCTTGATGTATTCGCCGAGCGTTCAGCTGGCGATCTCGTGTATCGCAATCGTTGATCTATACATTCGCTGCACCGCAACGTCATGAGCGCATGTGTTCAAGTTCGCGATTAGTGTCAAATGAAACGCGAATGTATATTTAGCTTCCGAGATATATGATGACGTCATCTTCTCTGCCGGAATCTTCCTGTCGGTTCCGGCCGATGCCCGATGTTTCCCGAAGGTTCGAGCGAGCAGGTGAGGTGCGAGGTGTGTGGGTGATGACATCGAAATGAGGGGTTCATATAGATAGACATATAGACAATCAACGTCAGCAACCTCCAGCTCACTGACATAAGACAACAACATACCAGTACAACGTACATAAAGCACGAATAACTTCATCTGACCGCGCATCGAAACAACCAGACCTCACCGCAAAACCACACACCGAAACAACCTCACTCAAACTCAGCTACCTTCACCATGGCTGACGACCTCAAGCTTACGGATCGCTCAGAACAACTCATCAAGCAAGCTATCAACCTTGCCGAAAACAATTCGGTCGCTCAGGTCCACCCTCTTCACCTCGCCTGTGCACTCTGGGAGCCGGGAGTCGAGGATGGCACGTCAACATCAGCTTCGGCCCAGCCGTCATCCCTCTTCCAGACCTCGTTCGAAAAGGCTGGCCTTGACAAGCAGACTTTCTCTCGAGCGTTATTGAGCCACACCAATCGACTACCTTCCGTCTACCCCGCTCCTGCGCCGCCACTACCACTCGCTCAAGGAACCCATGTCGTACTCCGAGCGGCCATCGCGGCTCAGAAGGAACAACGCGATTCTTATGTCGCCGTCGACCACCTCTTGCTCGCCATTCTCAAGGTCGCCAAAGACGTTCCAGAACTCAGGTCCATGTTCACCGAGGCCAAGGTCGATGAACGGGCTCGCAAGAAGCTGGAGGATGAGATAAGGAAAGCGAGGGGGAACAGAAAGGTCGACAGCAAGTCTGCAGAGGAAGGGTTCGAGAGTCTGCAAAAGTATGCGACGGACTTGACTGCCTTGGCCGCGGAGGGCAAGTTGGACCCGGTCATCGGAAGGGACAAGGAAGTCAGGCGAACGATTGCAATCTTGAGCCGACGTACGAAGAACTCGGCCATCCTGATCGGGGAACCCGGAGTCGGTAAGTCACCTCATTCCGCCTGCTAATTTCTACGTCGATACTAACGTATTACCTTCCCTTTGATTCTCACCAGGCAAAACATCCATCGTCGAAGGACTCGCTCAACGGATCGTCAACCGAGACGTCCCCGCCTCGCTCATCGGTCGTCTATTCTCTCTCGACCTCGGCAGCTTGATGGCCGGAGCCAAGTACAAAGGAGAATACGAAGAGCGTGTCAAGGGGGTCTTGAACGAGATTGAAGAGAAATCGAAGGAAGGGGAGAATATCATCTTGTTTGTCGATGAAGCGCATCAGATGGTGCAGGGCAAAGAGCAGTCGGTAAGTTGTTTTCGGTTTCGACGTGCATATAGGAACGGTCGGCTGATCATCGAGTCTGATGGATGTTATAGGCTTCTAGCTTTGGAGAGTTTTTGAAACCCTTGTTAGCCCGTGGAATGCTCAAGTTCATCGGAGGTAAGTCGAACCAAAGCGCAAGGTCTTGCCCAGGAATTGCAAGCTGACTTAACTCTATGCTCTTATCACAGCCACCACCCTCGCCGAATACCGAGAATTCATCGAAAAGGACGCCGCGCTGGAACGACGTCTCGCCCAAGTCATCGTCGAGGAGCCCGACATTCCCGCCACGACCAACATCCTTCGAGGTCTCAAGGAACGCTACGAGACTTATCACGGATGCAGGATCACGGATGCCGCTCTCGTCCTGGCCGCCCAGCTCAGTCGACAATATATTCCTGCTCGACGAGCTCCCGATTCGGCTATCGACGTCATGGACGAAGCGTGTACGCAGGTCAAGATCCAGCGGGAAACTCGACCGGAAGCGATCGACATCCTGGAGCGTCAAAAGGTTACCCTTCAGATGGAGATTCATGCTTTGGAAAAGGAAAAGGACGAGGCGAGCAAGGAGCGGCTCGAAGCGGCTCAGAAGATGCTGGCGAATGTCGAAGAAGAGCTCGCGCCGAAGCTGGCCGAATTCGAGGCAGAAAAGAGCCAGGCGGATCGGGTGCAAGAGCTTCGACGCAAGATCGATGAGTTGAAGGCCAAGGCGGATGGTGAGTGGGAACGAAGCTCTGAATCCAGACTCCTGACCGTGTACTGACTTGTGACCCAATCTACAGATGCTGAACGACGATACGATTTGGCATCCGCCTCGGACATCCGATACTATAGTATTCCCCAACGACAAAAAGAGCTCGCCGAACTCGAAGCCAAGGAAGCGGAGAAGAACGCAGATGGGAAGTCTGGCGGAGTGGTCACCCCTGAGGCCATCGCCGAAGTCGTGGCTCGCTGGACCGGAGTCCCCGTCACCGCCCTCGTCTCTTCGGAAAAGGCAAAACTGCTCAAACTCGAAAAGACGCTCACCAGATCGATCGTCGGACAACCTACCGCCATCAAGGCCGTCTCGAACGCCATCCGACTATCCCGATCCGGGCTGAACGACCAGAACCGACCGATCTTTTCGGCCCTCCTTACCGGCCCTTCGGGATCGGGAAAGACTTCGCTGGCAAAGACTCTCGCCAAGGCCATGTTTAACGACGAGAACGCCATGATCCGAATCGACTGCTCCGAGTTGAGCGCGGAACATAGTATCTCTCGGCTGATCGGTTCGCCTCAGGGCTACGTCGGCATGCAACAGGGTGGTCAATTGACCGAGGCCGTCAGGAGGAAACCGTACCAGATCGTCCTCTTTGACGAGATCGAAAAGGGTCATGCGGCGCTCTACAAGCTGTTGTTGAGCGTACTGGATGCTGGAGTCCTGACTAGCGCCGTCGGCTTGAAGGTCGATTTCAGGAACAGTGAGTCAAGGCAGGCAAAGACGATCATAATAGAGCATAAGCTAACCTTGTCTTTGTATTTCCAGCGATTATCTTGTTCTCGTCTAACTTGGGAAGCGCGGCATTGGCAGAAGACGCCTCGGAAGGCGAACCCTCGGACAAAGCCAAGGAGAAGGTTAACGTGTCGCTGCAGGCGCATTTCCCTCCCGAATTCTTGGGTCGAGTGAGTAATATGATCGACTTCTGACTACCTCCGTTCAGACCCACTAATAACCTTCCTCATGTTGCAGCTTGACGAGGTCATCTACTTCCGCATGCTGTCGCGATCAAACATCCGCTCGATCGTCGAACTCCGCCTGGCCGAAGTACAAACCCGAATGATCAAGAACGGACGCAAGCTCAAGCTCGCCATCGACGAGGACGCCAAGACCTTCCTCGGGGACGCCGGTTTCTCCCCTCAATACGGAGCTCGACCGCTGAACAAGGTCATCCAGCGTGAGATCTTGAACCCGCTTTCCAAGTTGATCCTACAAAACTCTATTTTGGACGGCGAGGTGGTCAAGATTCATGCTGACTTGCCTAGGAACCGGCTAGTCGTCGTGCCCAATCACGAACCGGAGATCGTCGAGGACGAGGATGATGACATGGACATTGACGACGATGATCTCGAGATTGAAGAAGTAGATTAGGGGCGGGGTGATCGAAGCTGGATCCATATCTAACGAACATATATATAACGAAAAATGCAACGATTTTACCTAATTGTAGTTACTGTAACGAGCAACAAAAGCGAGTATATCAGAATCTTAGCAGAACATTTGCACGTCAATTTTTGAACAGACCTGGCTCATTACACGTCGACCACCTCGACGACACCTTCCCCGGGCGTCTCTACGGACGGGTTGTTCACGCGGGGCTCTTTCTTCTCTTCATCTAATCTAACCTCTTACTGATCTGTGAAACAACCTGAAACGAGGACCCCAATTCATCGATCCACCTTTCGGAGGCAATCGCGTAAACTCGCTCGCGTAATCATGCTCGCCTCGGTCAACGCCGAGGATGACGACGAGGCTCGGCTCTGAGGGCAAGGGTGGGCACGGGGACGGCCATAGAGAGTAGAGTGCCCGCTTCATGTCGACTCTATATAACAGCAGCGCGCCCCATAGCCAAGACGATTCAACACATCCCATTCTGCACTCGAGCCGAAAAGATGATGTATTGCAGAGAAAATACAGCGCCCTCGACCAAGATGAACGATTTTGCCGACTTGCACGCAGAGCAACAGCAAGGTGAGTACGTGCGTTGATAAGTGAGGGCGATTTGGCTTAACATCGAATGCTGGGACCGTCTTCATCTGCTGTATTATGGTTCAGGCTGGGATAAGCGATGGTGAGCCCGCAAACCCCTTCGCAGGATGTGTCTTGCGAACTGAACGATCTAATCTGGCGACCGCTTTACGTTTTGGGTCCCTCCAGGCAGACCAATGTCATCCCGTTCGACAAGGGCGCTCCCCACGGAGCCTTTACACACTTTCTGAAAGACGCCGGTCAGGGTGATGTTCCCGACATCCCTAGGACCGGGAAAGCTCTCGTGCCTGGTTGCGGTCGAGTGAGTCTCCGTAGGACCTATACTTCGGTGTCCCGATCGATCTGATGACGGAACGCTTCCCGCTTCTCGCTCTCTCCGAACCACCTCAGGGGTACGATGTCCACGCTCTCTCGCTCCTCGGACTGCAAACGACAGGGATCGAGGTCTCCCCGACAGCCGTCGAAGAGGCCAACAAGTGGATCCAGGCGCAACCTGAGCAACCCAAGGGAAATGGTGGGAGCGGAGCCGTCGAGCTGGGAGACTTCTTCAAGTGGAAAGAGGGCGAGGGTGACGAGGGGAAGTATGACGTGTTCTACGATTATACCGTGAGGCCCCGTCTTCCCTTACTTCCGCGGATAATCTAAGCTGGAAAAAACCTATGCTGAATCCCTTCGATCCGATCACGTTCGGTCCTGTTTCCCCTTCAGTTCCTCTGCGCCCTCCCGCCTACCCTCCGATCGTCCTGGGCCTCGACCTACGCCCGCCTAGCTCACCCAGGTTCAATTCTCATCACCCTCCAATTCCCTCTGAACGACCCGGATCTCACCAAAGGTCCTCCTTTCTCCCTCTCCGAGGAGCTCTACGTAGACCTCCTTCAGAACGAGTGGGAATACGTCTGGGGCAGGGGAGTCGACGAGGCACAGAGCCGGGCGAGTAACGGGCCCGAGGGGAGGTCGCAAGGTGGGGTGGACGTGAATTCGTTTAGGAAGGGAAGGGAGAGGATCGCCATCTGGAAGAGAAAGTAAGGGTGAGTTTCTTGTTCCCTGTAACCGGGCGAGGCCGGTATGGTGTAGAATGAGCGTAGCGGGGCTAATCGTGATCATACACTTGCTCTCTTTTGCTTACTCAGGAGCACGAACGGGCTCTCGGCCGGATTGTAATCCCCATCTGCATTAATCAACTAAGCATGACTCGAACGAGAACAATTATCGAAATGAAATGAAACAAGATTGGCATCGCGGGATACAAGCAGAAAAGCACACAACTCGCGAATTGGCGAAGAGCTCGCCGACTTGTCGAGGCTACCTGGCTTCGTCTGGAAGCCCATCCGAGATCGCGATCAGAGATCAGATCACGTTATGGTGCATGATCACCATTGAGTCTTGATGATATCGGGCCCCAACAACGAACTCTCACGCATTCTTCAGAACCGTTTCATGCTCCAGCAGAAGACTTTTCGGTATCGTTGCCGCCTTTGACCAGTTGAGCTTGAGCCAGCATGTTCCTCGCCAGTTTGGTAAAGTCCCATCCGATGGCCTGTGCTGCCATCAAGACGAGCGAAGCTTGATCGTCCCTACCCGGCCTTCCCGGACCGGTCGCGTTCTGTCGATCAGAGCCGCAGGTCAGCTTCGCAGGTCAAGCTTGGTGCTGTTACTGATCGAGCACAGACGACCACTTTGAGTGTACGTACCGGTTTGAGGTTCACGTCGAACAGGTAGAAGGGACCTCCGCCACCATCCTGCTTAGACGACCTTCGGCGACAATCGATCCTGATCGGGGCGTATGATCCTAGCCTGTCACCGACGATCTCGACCCATCGTTGGACGTCGGTGTAGTGATGGTCTTGCTCGTGTTCGAGTGGGGTAAGGACGCGGGAGTTGGCAGTGACCGGTACGATGCCGTTATAAGGTGCAATGCCTATCCGAGCAGGAAGGGGCGTTACTTCAGCGTGTCCTTGATGATAGATGCACGAAAAGCGAGTCCTTCATGCGGCTTACCATCGACATGATCGAATCGCTGAACGACAGGCAGTGCCCAGTGTTTCGTCTTGGTGCCAACGTCCTATGCGAATGGGAACCGTTCACTACGGCATCGGTGGAAGATCTTTCTTCGTCTTGACTCACCTCGTATTCGCCTGGTGGCATGACAGCGATCGTGATCTCTTCGCCAGCGAGGTATTCCTACGATCGTTTCGATTTCAGCGATCAGCGGGGGCGGGACCGCGGTGGCTGCGAAAGTGTTACAGCGGTCCTAATCCGAACTCACCTCGACAAGCACCGCCTCGCTCTCTTCCCAGAGTTTCTGGAACACCCTTCCCAAACCATCCGCATCCGTCACCAACTCCACACCGTGGCTGCCTCTACCGCGGATCGGTTTCAAGACGGCGGGCAAGGTGACCTCTCGCAGCTGGCCCTCGGTGTCGCCCTTTTCGATCAACCAGCTCTTGGGGAACTTGCCTTCCAGCTCTCCTTGGTTCAGCCAGTTGTTTGTCCAGGCCTTGTCGTCGTACTTTTCCGTATCCAATGGATCCTGAGCGACGAACCTGACTCCGAGCCGGGCGAGCTCGGTTCCGAGACGAACGATGGGATGATCTGACCACAAGGTGGTATTACACCAGAGGACGTTGGCTCCTGTTTGAACGGCAGCTAGGATACCCTTTTCCGTGTCGGGATAGGACCAATCGGGGTCGTTGTGAGGATCAGCGGGAGAGTTTGGAGTGACGACAGTCTCGCCAGCGGCTCGCAAGCAATAGGCGATATCGGCCGCGCTGTCCCGGTAGCCTGTTGAATGACCGGAAGAGCGAGTTTAGCCCAATCAGCAGGTGCGTTTGTCTCGAAACCAATGCGATGCGCTTTACCGTTCGGTTTAGGAGGTTTGACGATACCTCCTATAGCTGGTGGAGGTGCTGCTTGATGAAGCACAGCTGTGCGGAACGTCGAGAGTCGTTTCGCCACGGACATGATGGAGAGGTTGATTTGTTCTGTTGAGTATTGTCAGATCGTGGCCGGTAGGATGACTGCCTGCTTGGTTGCTCCTTGGAAGTGATTTATATATATACACTCCCTGATCCCTCGGTCGTATAGTGGTGTCATCTGTTTCGTCGAGGTTTCGGATGTAACCGGTCTAAGTGGGCTGAAACACATGCGAGCGAGCGAGGATGGTCACCGAGGTCGCTACGGCACATCAATCGACCTTCCTCGAAGGGGCGACGCGTATTCGAGTTTGGCGTTTCTGGTTCGAGGGCACGTGATCGATCGATCGCTGCGAACCTTTGCTTCTGCCCGAGGTTGACCTTTGGTCCGATAAGATCGGCTCTCCCTGCGCACGAGAGAGAGGAGGTTTCGGGCCAATCAATCAATTTCACTGGCGCGCGTGACTTGCAAGCCTTTGCCTCGCCTCGGGCCGGCCTCTGAAAGAGCGTTCCCTGAGAGCACGGCAGGCAGAGCGCAGAGCCAAAGGAAGGCGTGGAAGGAAGAGAGAAAGGGTGGAGGAGAGTGGAGGACGAGAGAAAAAAGTTGGGAAAGCGGTGTTGCAATGTCGAGAGTTCGGCATGGTATTTCTTCGCACGTCGATCGTGACCTTGGCCAACGTGGTATGGCTCGCAAATCTGGGGAAACGAGTCTGGAGTAGTGAAGTGGAGTATCCACAGATTGCGGCAGCGGCAGTTGCGCATTGGCTGGAGAGCCTACCGGCCTCGGTCAAAGGGACGAGCTGAGAGATTCTCGGTTAGGTAAACGAGGAATCGTCAGGTTGGCGCCTGCAGGGAGAAGAAGGCCGACTCGTCCCGGTACCGCTGACTGTATCTCGCCATTGTCCAACACTGCCAGCGGATTGTACGTTCCCGATCGTGATTGCGACCACCTCGACTTTTGACCTACGGCGGAGAATATCAGCTGTTCATTCCCACACAGCAGCATCTGCTTCCCTTGCGAATTGCGAACGCGTGTGCTCTGCCGGAAGCCGTGTCCCCCCTGTCCCAGAAAAAAGTCCGCTTGCCTTTTCTCCCGGACCCTTCCCACGAAATCCACGATCCCCGTCCCAGCACCACACATCAAGGGACAAAAGTCGACAATTGATAATAAATCATTCATCACCCAATTATCTCGGGTGGCCAATAGCGATTGTCTCTCCACAGTGTCGACTTGAAAGACATACATCTAGACTAGCTAGACTCTGTGTCATCGGACCACACGACCGGTGTTGCACAGGTATACCTGGAGGTCGAGCTGCCTTTACCTTTCAACGGAAAGGCGAGACCGACACTCGAATCGCGAGACTAGGTCTACGACCGCGATCAACCGGACGTTTTGCCCACATCCACACTCTTGCGTCTAGGTGGAAGTAGCCAGACCTAGACTTGAAGAGCATATCAACCGGGACGAGAAGGGAAGAAGGAAAGGAAGAAGGAAGGTGAAAGCGAAAGGCAAAGGGGTCGACTTAGAGGAGGATTAGGAGAACGGGATCAAGGTCGCTTTGTCTACAATCTGTCTACGACATTAGCAGGATCAGCGACAGGGACATCTCAGTAGCAGCACATTCTCTGTTCTCTGATTCATCCCGGAGCGCAAACTGATTGTACCGGATCATCTCAAGCTCGGATCATCAATCGAAAATTAGCAACACCTGCAGATAATTGCGGTCAAACCTCCATCTCTACAACATCTTTTCCACCCGAACATCCGCATCTTTGACATCACCGACCACGATGGCAGCAACGAACATAAGCACGCATACGACCACCGATTCTTCGGCATTGAAAGACGAGGGACGGCTACAAGGAGCAGCAGGAGAGGCGAACGGCAGCATGAACGGAGGTCTGAATGGGAATGAGAGCGGGACCAAGGTTAGTCTTTCGACTTTTCTCGTGTGGTGTCTTGGTGCAGGAAGTGTATGGTTGCGATGTGTGTAGAGTGTGTTTAGGGCATGAGGCGATAGTTTGGCGGGCGGGTCGAAAAGGCTGCATGTCGGACGGGCAAGAGTGGGTTGGGCGGGATGTGAAGCGGCCAGAGACGACGAACAAGCGAGACCTTGTCCACTCGAGACCTCAATGTGAACAGAGGGCAATCTACAAGAGGATTTGGAACGATGCGATCGCTATGAAGCCTGATTCACACTATTTGAGATGCGCAGTACTGACGCATTATCCCTATTCTTCCCACCGATTTCGACTCGTTCACAGGCCTCTTCATCGGCTTCGACGTCACAGTCAACACCAACAACGGATACGACGGCGACTGCATCGGACGTTTCTGGACGCTCTACAAGCAGGCCGCCGAACCCTACGAGAAAGATGTCGGGTCTAGGTGAGTCTTCCGGACATCTGACGCAATCCCGGCAATCGCTCATCACCCGACTCTTGTAGACCTCTTGATCTCGGCCGCCCGACCCGCCTCATCGTCCCCTACTCCGCCGAAACAACCTCTACCCGTCAGTCCCGCATCGACGGTGAATGGCAGTGGCGGAAAGAGCAATGGCAAGACGGCGCAGATGCCCAACATCCTCAGCGCGTCTGTTCCTGCGGCTCGACCGATGCTCAGTCATGGGTATGTTACGACGACAGCGCTACCCACGACCAGCACGACGGCGAGCACGGTCGGAGGGAGTGTCTCGACAAGACGATCTTCGGGCAAGAATGATCAGGCGAACAAGGCGCCCGTCTTGTTCGACTTTAGGACGACGGATAAATCGCCCTCGTCGACAAGGAAGGCCGATCCAGCTGCCGGGTCTGGCATGTCGCTACTGAGTCAAGGGCTCAAAGATGGACCTAGCCCGTCGGCCATCCCGACATCGTCTTCCCCGTCGACGCGTCAACCTTTCCCTCCTCCTGTAGCCAGCAACAACGCTGCGGCGAGCGGGATCCTCCGACGTACGAGCACGTCAGGTGGGAAGAGCGGTCTTTACTCTCCCATGCCGGCGCCTCGAATGCGTCCACGGGCGTTGTCAATGCAGATGAAGATCAAGGGCGAGATCTTGCCCGATGGCGCTTCAGATGACGAGGACGAGGAAGACGAGGGCATGGTGGTGGACGGTGACGAGTCGAGCGAACGTGGCAAGGCGGTACCGCTTGGGACCGGGTCGGGTGGGATCAAGGGAAAGAGAAAGGGGATGGTGTTCCGCTGTGAAAGTTGTGCCAAGGTGTACCGTCATCCGAGTTGCTTGAGCAAGCATCGGTGGGAGCATTCACCTCACTGGGCAAATTCCAGCAAGCTGCTGCTATCAAAGCATCAGCAGGTGCAGTTGCTCGAGGTGAGTCGGATCCCCGTTCGACGCGCCAAGTCGTCTTGCGACTGACCTCGATTGTGGTTGCAGGCCGCCACGATTCTGGTCCACCTGGATCCGGGCAATCCCGCCGGCCAGGGTAAATCGCTGCCAGAGGACAAGAGTCTCTGGCCTGCAGCAGGTGAGCTTAGGTCGAGCTCATATCATATCGATTCGGGTATGCAGGGCAACTGACCCATTCAACGTTCCCAGTGTCGCCCGCTTTCCGTGGTAACATCAAACTACCCTCGCGAGGGATGTCCAAGTCGCCCAACATGGTCGCGTCACCTCTGCCTGGTACCGCCGACAATCATGTCCGAAGGACCTCGCCCGACGACTCTTCCTCATCCACAGAGTCGTCCGATCGTGCGCAGTCGGTCGAGGCGGACAGCGGATACTCGAGTGGTCCTCAACACGGTCGTCTGCTCGATATTGGCGAAACGCCTCAACGTCGAGGGTCTCAATTCGGTCGCGCCTCCATCTCGTCTCCCCTTGGACAGAGCGTTGGCTCGAACGGTCAAGGCAGTCTGCCCGACTTCAACGGGTTCCACATTGGTTCTCCACGCCGGTACCCTCTCGGAACGGCAGCCAACACTGGTTCTCCGCACAGCAACGGCGCCAAACCCCAGTCGTATGGTCATTCGTACAGCTACGGCTCGTCGCACACCGCCCGCGCCGGTCTCTTCAGCCCGTCCTATTCACCCGCCCTCGGACTCCCTCAAAGTTCGCTTCGAAGCGGGACCTTTTTGGAGCGACACGACGAGGACTCGGCAGAGGAAGACGAAGACGACTCTTACCGCGATCGATACAACGGCGGTCACGGCGCCCAGAAGCAGAACGGCGGGTTTGCCAGTCGAGGTCAGAGGGAGATGAGCCTCGACGAGACCAGTCCGAGCCCGGACGGTGACGACATGGACATGGCCGTCGACATGGAGATATGACCTGAGCTGGGGCTCACACACGAAAGCCCTCAGCTCCGCCAAATCATCCTCATCTCTTTCTGGGGTACATGGATTCATTAGCATCAGTCTGCACATTGCTGATGTCGTGACTTTACCGGTCGGGATCCGAAGCACGTGTGTCAGTGTAATGTACAACAGGACTTCTCTCTCATTCTCCGTCTTCAACATCGAAACGCTCTCCACCTTGTATATACGCCGCACAGTGGCATTCTGCGAGGTTTGCATGTATGTACACGAATCAAACAGTCAAATTTGCATCCAGGCAGTCGCTTAATTTATAACTCGACGAGGGAACTGGTATCGAAAGCGATCGTTTGGAGTGAGAGTGGTCACAAATCGCATATTCGTTGTTCGTTTGGGTAACGATTCGTCACCATACACATCGCTCGATCCCGCTCGCTCACCACGTTTTCGATCGAGAAGCAGCAAAAGCTAGGTCGCCACAGAGATATCTGCAAAAGCAACATCGACATTCCTCTTTACTTCTCGACCCTTTACAATAAGACACATTTACTTGGACAGTCCCTCTCATACGATGCCGCGACAACCTTTCTCCGACTTTATGGACCTGGATAACCTCTCGTTCTCGCCGCGAGGCGGCAGAGGCGGTGGCGGTCGAGGTCGAGGTGGTCGAGGCGGTTTCAAGGGCAACGCATATGGTGGTGGATCTCCCTCAACATCAGTGACAGAAAGTCCTGGCCGTGGACGTGGTAGAGGCCGAGGTGGTGGTTCTGGGTTCCGAGGAAGGGGAGGAGCGAGCCTTCGAGCGGATTACACGGCGGTCCCACCGATCGATTATTCGAGGATCAACAAGGAGAATTACAAGACCATGACCGGTCAGTCTTCGTTATCAGCGCAATGATCGCCCTAATATCGAGGTATATTCGGTCGAGGAAGCTCAATTCACGCCATCGCTTTGCATTATGTGGGGTCAACAATACGTCTGTCTTGACACTATACAGGATTTACCCCATCTCCACACGATCCATCCACGCCAGCATCTCGAGGCTCAACACCTCGAACGCCCCGTCAACCCTACGCAACGCACCAATCCACACCACCCGTCACTTCTGGGTCAACCACTCCTAAACCCGGCCATAACAACAACAATAACGATGGCGTGCTCGGCTGGTCACCCTCGACCCCGAGCAAACGTGGTAAACCCGCCTCTACCGGTGTAGGTTTCCCAGCCCTAGCTTCTTTACGAGGCCGAGGATCCGGCCACCTATCTGCGCTCGCTCGTGACCTGCCTCAGAGCCTTTCGTTTGCCAAATACTCTCCGGCAGGAAATGCAGGAAGACAGAGAAAGGTCGTAGATATGGGAGCTCCGGTGTTCGTGAAAGCTGGAACGTTGTTTCAGGATGAGCAGCATCAGCCTGATATGCCTGTCGATCAAGGTCAGTACCAGCCTCGATCATATCATTACATTGATGTCTCAAAGGGACTTTCGAGCTAATATGCTATTCTCTTGAAACATTGGGTTCTCAGTCGAGCCAATGAAAGAAGACACGGTGTCGACTTCAACGTCCACTCCCACCCCGCCGTTCACAGCGGAATCAGAATTGCGGGATATCGACCAAGTTGACAGCCTCGTACGCCCTCTTCATGCTGCTAGCGATGCCGGCGTCAGTGCAAGTGGTAGTACCAGCGTGAGCGTGCAGGAGGAGGAAAAGTTGACGGAAAGTTTCGACCGGGTGAGAATCGACCTTGGAGCTGTGCCGGGGCAGGAGGAAGAGCTAGAGGTCGATATTCAACCGGAAGCGATGGCAGACGCTGAGGTGCAGATGACCGAGCCTGTGGATCAACAGGCCGGAGCCAGTCAGCCCGTCTATATATGTGAGATGGTTGAGGAGACTATCGTCGATGATGCGGACGAGACGATCGGTCAGGTCGCCGTCTGTCACACGAGGGAGGTTGGCGTCGCAGACAACAACGTTGCCGAAGTCGATGTTGATAGCAACGACGAGGCCGTCGAAGCGGACCGGGCCGTTCCGGATATCGCCCTTGATATCACCGGGACCGAGGAGATTGCCGAAGAACCCGCTTTCTATCTCGACGTCAACCCTACGTTGGACACGGACGAACCCGCCGAAAGGTTCATCTTTGATACGATCACCTCGGCACCCATTGGAGAACAATCCTCTTCGGAATCAGAGGAAGAGGAGATCGTCCTGGTTCCGCGGAAACACGTACAACCCGAGCCCATTCACTTGCCCAAAGAGCCCGAGTATGTTCGCGCAAAGGAGAGCGAAAGCAAGCTCAAGGAGAATCTGATCGAGAGATTCGGAGGAAAGGCCGGGAAGGACGGTCGACCGGTAGCCACCACCAGCTTGCCTAGCAAGAAATCGACACGAACAGCAGTCGAAGATATCGCCGATGCTGACGAGGAGATCACGACCGCCTTCAAGGGGAAAAAGTTGAACAAGAAGCAGGCCAAGCGGGAGAAGCGTAAGAACAAGAAGGACGAGCGGATGAAGAAGACCGAGGGAATCGTTAGACACAAGGTACCCCGGATGGACAGTGATGTCGAATGGGGCAGCGACGGTCCGCCGAAGGGAGTTCTCAACGAGCTGGTCACCGATGATGAGGATGATGCCGCTGCTGTAGGAGCGAGTCGTGGTATGATCGGTGGACTCAGTACCAAGGGTTTGACGGGAGCTAAGAAGAGGGAGATGGAGCTCTTGATGGACTATCTCGAGAACACGGTCGGGACCGAAGAGCTGGATAGCGAGGATGACGAGGCCATCCCCCGGATCGGAGGTGGATTAACGGACAGCTCGATGGCGGCGTTCGTCAAGGGCATGTCGGGCAGTAACCAGGTCACTATCGACGATATCAACGACGCTCGAATGCTCGCAGAGGAAGACGGTGAGGATGATGAGGATGAGGATGGTTGGGAGGACTCTTCGGGTAGCGAGTTGACTGATGATGACGACGACGAGGCTCAGCCGGTGCCCTCGACTTCCGCCAACAAACCCAAGTCCAAGTTGGTCGAGATCGCCCCTGGTCTTTTGAGCCAAGTCGACGACGGGATGGACGACAGCTTCGACGTCGACGAAGAGGAACTGGACGACACTAGCGGGGACGAGGGTGCCGAAATGGCCGGCATGGGTTTCGGTTGGGCTGTCCCTGCTTCGAGCGACAGCTCTTCCGACAGTGATTCGGACGAGGACAAGGGTGAAGAGGACGACATCGACAAGATCTTTAGCGGTAAACGCGGGAAGTCGACATGGGCCGACGCAGCGGACGACTTTATCAGCGCCATGGACGAGCTGGTCGATGATAGCGACCTGGTTATGGGTTCGGGTAAAAAGTTTGAAAAGAACAAGCTGTTCAAAGCTATCCATAACGGTGACTTTGGCGATAATTGGGCAACTAGTGAGTTGTCGGCCCTGTAGTCCTGCCAGCTTGCTCTGCTTACCATCGATCCCCCACCAGAACCTGCGCCCAAGGGCAAGAAGGAAAAACTGAAGGGCGTCCCCAAGGATCTGCAAGCGCAATGGGAAACCGACCGTCTGAAAAAGGCTGAGAAGAAACGTCAGCGCGAGCTCGATCGGGTCGAGCAGCAAATGAGCCTCTATCCCTCCATGCGAAAGCAAGGCAAGAGCAAGGGCAAGCGCAAGGAGATCTACCCCATCGATCATACTGCCGGACTGTCAGCGAGGCAGATGGCAGCCATGTTTGACATCGACACGGACTCGGACGACGACTTTGGCGGTGGTGGCGGTAGATCCGGCCGAGGTGGTGGTAAGAAGCGACATGCCGGTCAACCGCCTGTCACCGACCTCCACTCGCTCAACGAGGAGATCCGCCACTTTATGCGCGACTTGGGCAAGACCACCATGAAATTACCAGCGATGGACAAGTTCAGCCGGAAACAGGTGCACGAGATGGCCGAGTGCTACTCGTTGAAATCACAGAGCAAGGGCAAAGGACGGGATAGGTTCCCCATCCTTATCAAGACGTCCCGCTCAAGCCTCGAGATGGTCACTGTCCGCTCGGAACGCAAGCTACAGGGTATCCTCGGCGGGGCTCGGTCGAACGGCGACTTTTACAAGTCCAAGTACGGCAAGAAGGACAAAGCTGCTTTGCCAGGGTCAACGGCTAGGACTGGCGCCGGTACGCAACGCCACAAGGACGGTGATGCTGTGGGAGGTGGCGCCTCGGCCATCGGTTCCGATAACATCGGTCATAGGCTGCTCAGTATGATGGGTTGGACCGAAGGTGACCGTATCGGCAGATCCGGCGGTCTGGACGTTCCGTGAGTTTTGGCCAGAAAAGTCGGCAGCCAGTGTGAGCATGACGTTTACGATGTGATCTGTTTGCAGAATCGTGGCTATTGTCAAGAACACAAAGTTGGGTCTCGGAGCATAGACAAGGCGAATCTGGCTTGCAGCGACAACGTCTTACGCAACATATACTCGTGCTGTATCATATCGGTAAAAGTGACGGCTTCGATTGTTGATAGACCATTTTGTACGATACTGAGATACATTGTACAGAGCTTCTATGGCATGGGTCGAGGAAAAGGAGAATCATACAAATACGTTATCAACCGATGTTGTGACAAGACTTGGCCCTAGCGGCCTCGAGGATCAGGCTTTGCCATAGCTACGGTCTTTTGGCTGACTGCGTCAGGGAATCTGATGTTCCCTGTCGAGTAAGGCGATCGCTGCGGAACAACCTTTCGAGGGCTGCCCGCCTCGCTCGGGCGGACAGGTCGAGACGGTCGAATAGCATGGGCGGACTTTGCGGGCGACGAAGCATTGGATGAGCTCATGTTTGTCGGGGGCCTGGATGCATGATCATTGGAAAAGGGGTTGTCCGATAATTTGCGGTGGGAGTCCGGCATGTCGAGTGCCTTGGGAGGCGAGCGAGGCCCATTACCAGACCCGATACCGGGTGTTACATTGGTCTTCTGGCTAGCCAGATGCTGGACGGGGCCGTTGGGAGGGCGAGACCTCGTATCAGTCTTGTGCAGCACGGCGGTACCGAGCAGGCCCGAGTCGGTCCTCGCGATTCCCATCCTCCTGATCGCATCCGTGCTGAGCGTCCCAATCCCACCCATTTCCTCTGCGTCCTTCTCCCCTGACTCCTCATCGACGACTCCCCAAGCCAGATTCTGACGACGTTTCGCTTCTTGCTTCTTGTCATGCTGCTTCTGCGAAGGCCTGGACTGCAGCGCGTGGGGCGCGGTCGAAGACGGCTCGAGGCCGGCCGCTTGGGTCTGACGGTGGGACCTTTTCCGGTTCCGCGATTGTCGCCAGAGGTACAGAATGCCTCCCATCATCAGAATGCTCACGCCCAGCAGGACTAGCATATCGGCAAGATAGACGTTAGCGCTGTCAATCATCTCTAATCGGTCTTCCAGAGATGATACGTACTGAAGCCCACAATCTTCAGAGCGGTGATAACCGTCTCGCTGGCCATGTCGAAAAAGTCACGAAAAGTCTGGGTCGTATTGCGTGTCGAAGCTGAATATCGATTGTGCGAGTTCCTGGAGATCCGGATGGAAGGTTGCGGGGACGACTTTGTCGAAGCTGTAGAATTTGTGGTGGCGGAACGGTGCTGGAGGCGATAGATCAACTATACTGCCAGCAAGAGAAAAAGCTGTCGTGCTATATATGCGGTGGACCTGAATCTGGCTGCGTATCGCGTGCTTCTCTTGGAAGATTCGCTTGAGTGTAAAAGAATGTGCTTGTTGTACAAATAAGCTCAAAGAAGTCAAGAACACGAACGGCAAGCACGCCTAGCCTTTTCTGCGATCCCCTTGTGTGAGGGTTATATCTTCCCTTTTGAACCAGGGGATCACGTTTTCGCCCGGTGACAGAGCCACAAAGGATGGTACGCGATCCACGTTACAGGACGCTGATCCTCGGGTTCAACGGCACCTGACTGGTTGCGACGGGGGCAGGAAATGTCAAAGTCGCGGCTGTTGCCAACGTTCGGAATGCTGCGTCCAGACAATGCGATGTTGTTGTTCTCAATCACCAAGGCTCTTGGTGCGTTTCAGTTGTGCTCGGCCTTCTTGGCAGTCGCGCTAGTGGGAAATGCGTCCGGACGAGATCTCGGATAGCATTCCTCTTTGCGATACGTAGTAGGTGGTACAGCGCATGGGTATGTTATCGTACATCATCGACAGGACCTGGCTCTGCCACTACCCAGTGATAGTTTTCGATGACTCCGGGATCGCCGATACCCCTTAGGAGGCGACAACGTCAAAGGCATTGAGAGCCCCTTTCAAAGGGGTGCTGCGCGAGAACAATGGGCGAGCGGACTGATGAATACAAACTCTATGCAGATATCACTGGCGAATGAACCCACCGTTGTATTGCAGCGTAGCCCTAGATATTTTACCCAAGTAAGACAACATGTCAAATTCAGAATCCCCCTTCTCTGAGGTTGCGCTGCGAACCTATCGCAAGGAGGAGGATGTCGAGAGGGAGGACTCCGCCTTTCTTGGCACCGCAGCCATTGCACCAGCGCGCGAGATGCCGCGCTTTCACTACAAGCAGCTGTTTTACGGAGTTTCAGTCCTGGTCATCGCTGTGACGGCGTTGACGATGGCGTATAGCCTTGGTAAAGGAGGAAGAAGACTTAGCGAGTCGGACTTGCCGAAGAATGCAAGTCAATCCGACGTTCAAGAAGCGCTGCGGGAGGCTTTGGCTTCGGTGCGCATGCCTCCCGATACGCCAGAAGGTTTACCCCGCGCAGATACTATCCTACCTGAGATGAGCGTCAAGAGCCTCAAACGCCCCAAAGTTCGCAAGTTTCCGGACAGTCACTATGACAAGCTGTATGATCTTCCCATTGAAGGTCCGATTGAGGATCATGAGCCAGATCCTATGCCGGAGGACGCGTTTGAACGTCATTGGACAAGTCCAGACTGGTTCAAACCCGATCGCGACTCTACAGGTTCCTCTCTACCGCCAATACAAGCGAGCAAGAACGTATTTAAAGAGTCTCATACTGAGAAGGAACTTCGTCTGGGTCGGAGAGACGCTGTCAAGAGGGCATTCATCCACGCATGGCAAGGTTATAAAGACTATGCATGGGGTAAGTCTTGCAACAACAACGCCAAAGCTCATATACTCATACTGAACCTTCAAGGCGCTTTCAGGTCGTGACGAGCTTCGACCGGTGTCAGGAGGTGCTTCTGACCCGTTTGCGGGGTGGGGAGCCAGTATCGTAGATGCCCTGGGGACGCTTCTCATTATGGGTCTGGAAGACGAGTATGATGCCTGTAGAGAGCACATCAACAGACTGGACTTCCGGCTTGTCGAAGGCAAAGACTGGGCTTATGGGTACCGACCTTCACCGTCTATGAATGAATCAGCTCCCGCGTATCTACGTCGCAATGACAGGGTCGGCCGGGCGACAGATGTCAAGCTCAGAGTATTCGAGACGCATATTCGATACCTAGGCGGTCTTCTTGGTGCATACGACCTCTCCGGAGACAGATTGATGCTGGAACGAGCAGAGGATCTTGCCGAGATCCTCGCTCGAGCGTACAAAACGCAGACTTCGATCCCGCTCGGATCCCTCGATCCTGGCAGGTGGGTTCCTCTAGACTGGACTCGAATCTCCGTTTGCATCACTGACCGATCAACTTCTCGCAGCGATCAAGTATGGTATAGGGCCACGCCGATGCTGTCGGCTGAAATGGGTTCCAACATCCTAGAGTTTACGCGCCTTTCCCAAGTTACTGGCAATAAGAGTTACTTCGATATCGGCCAGCGAACTACCGATTGGCTTCAGCGACATGTAGTCAACAAGACTCGGTACCCTCCGCTTCTGCCTGTCTCGTTCAACAGTGATATGCATGAGTCCACCCCGCTAGGAGGCACATATACCATGGGTGGAATGGGTATGTCATGTTGGAACAGCTTCTCGCTCGAGCGCTTATCATCGGTACGAATTCAATTCAGTCGACAGCTACTACGAGTACATGATCAAGCAGCATCTTCTGGTCGGCGGAGCGACTGAGCAATATTCAGAAATGTATACGTCCGCCACAGAAACGGCACGAAAGGAACTATTTATGCCAGTCGCTAACTATCCAGGCCGGGATTACCTCGTGCGTTTCGCTTCGTCGCTCGTGCCAGACTCCAGACTGAAATTTGAAATTTGCTCGACAGACCATCGGGGACATGACCGATGGCAACCGTGAGATCAAGAAGACTACCGCGTTCCTTTCCAGTAGCTAATAATCCCCGCTCTAGAAAAACAACAGTTGCAACATCTTGTGAGCTCTGGCTCGATCCTGATGATCGGCTTCCGAAACAAAGCTGATCTTCGGTCGGACCTCACATCTAACAGACCTGTTTTGCGGGTGGTATGCTCGGTCTGGGCGGAAAGGTTCTGAATCGAACGAACGATCTGTACGTTTTGTGATATTCCGCTCGTTGTATTGTTCTGACTCAAGCTCCTATCAGGGACGATGGCTTACGGGTGACTCAAACGTGCTACATGATGGTACGCGAACTCGCTAATTACGAATAATAAGGCAGCTTAAAGTTGCCACATGATTCTACAATGACAGGGTACAATGACCGAAAGCGGTCTACAACCGGAGATTATCAATTTCCACAACCCGAACAATTCCGCCTTATACGAGAAGATCAAGATCGAGCTCCCCGGCAAGAATGCCTATGGAGGTTCCCGGTGGTTGGTACAAGAGAAACTCAAGGGAAGTCCTCCTGGAGCTAGCGCCAGTGCAGCGCAGTATCAGGGTAGACCGGAAACGATCGAGTCGGTCTTCTATATGTAAGGAGGGAATGTCGTACCTGAACCATAGTAAGAACTAATCAAATCACGTCTCATAGGTATCGCCTGACTGGAGATAAAGCCTGGCAGGTAAGCCATCGACCCCATGCGCCAGCCTATTCAAGAGCTAATCTTGGTGACTAGGAACGGGGTTGGAGGATGTTTACCTCTTGGGTGAAAGCCTGCAAAACGACAGCCGGTTTCTCTGAGGCTGTTGACACTAGGAAGGAGCATCCTGACCTCTCGGATAAGATGGTTAGTACAGATGAACTGGCAGTGCGCGGCTCTGGCTGACGACGTTTTGCACAGGAATCGTTCGTTCTGGCGGAGACGCTCAAGGTAATATTCGAGTGACAGATGCCGAAGCAATCCCATTCATTTCTTTTTTATCACAGTATTATTACCTGCTGTTCTCCGAGCCCGAATTGATCTCTCTCGATGACTACGTGTTCAACACAGGCAAGTATCCTACATCCCGACTAATCCCCTTCGAGTGCCTCGAGCTGACAGTCTCTTCCATAGAGGCGCATCCTATCCTACTTCACAACCTGAAGCCCGGCTCCCACAAGTTCTGGACCGACAAGGGGGATCAAGATCTTGGCGTCAGGGCTAGTGGAACCGACGCTCAATTGTGGTTACGATACGACTTGAGGACTAGCGGCTCTTATAAGACGTGACGGGATTGATCCTTCATCCTTGTTTCCGAGCCTAACATTTGCTTAGATGTCCATGCATTCTATAGACTACATAAATAGGTTAGTTACATTTTCTGGCGTTTTGTTACGGTCTATCGAGTGGCGAACCAAGCCATCGGTTAGCTTGGAGTGACGCGCACGGACAAGCCAAAACAGTTTCATGTCCGCACGACAACTCGGAGGATCGACCTCTCGGCTTAGAAATCGATAAACCTCGCTCACTGATAGAAGTTTGATAGCAAGTTCGTACTACCTTCTGAACTCATAATATTGAGACTGTCAGATACTAGCTTCCATCATGTCTCAAATACCTGCCAGCCAGCACGGCACTCAAAACTTCCAGCCGCACCCCACGATGTTTCCCGTGCCGCAGACGCCGAAGAAGCACAAGTACATCTGTGCCGGTAAGTTTCGGTTTGACGGTACCGTTTCATTCGCAATTATCAGCTGATGGCTTCATCCTCCTTCCGGTATACTTAGAATGCAACGCTGACAACGAGATCAAGGCTGGAGAACCTATTCGATGCAGAGATTGTGGACACCGAATCTTTTACAAGCCGAGGACAACTAAGAGTAGGTTTACCTTCTGCCTAGACACCCTCGCCTATATCAAGCGTACTGATTAACGACTCCTTTGCTGGATTGTTTCTCTGTCTTTAGTGGTTAGTTTGCTATGGAATTCGATCTTGTGCTCCTCTGGATGCTCCTTGACTGAACCTGCCCCACTCTGTCTTTAGGTGCAATTCGAAGCTCGATGAACCCCGTCTCCTCCAGCCAACTCTCCCATTCTCATTAAATTCATTAAAACACCTCGCACTAGAGGCTCACGACAACGATACCATATTGACACTTCGATCTCCTCTCGCCTGACGATTCGCCCATCTTCCGCCTCATACTTGTCTTTGTACCGCGTATCTTATCACATCCAATCCCGATCCATATTCGATCTGGTATCACCATCATCTGATCGTCTGCCTGATGGTCTGGCTTAATGTAACAACAGCGCAACAACAGGGTCTCACAAACTATATTACAACTTTTGCAACCAGGAATCCACCGCCTATAAACCTGTACCTTCGTTAAACAAGCCGAAGTCCTCTTCCGCAGAATTTCGGGATCACGACCGCTTCAAGCTATCCAACCTCGCTTGCAAGTCATCTTCGTCTGAAGGACCTGAGCGTGCTCCTCCGGCAGATGCGGGACCCGAATCCCCTCCCATAGCGATTCCTTCCGCGACGGGTTGTCGAGCGGTCACTGATGAGGCCGCTAGTGGGTTGTTTGAGGGTGTCTGTCCCAGCTGAGATTGAGGGAACAGAAGAGGCAACGAAAGAGATTCAGCCTTCGAACCTTGCAGACGGTACCTAAGGCTGGGGTAAGGCTTACCATCTGGCTGGTATTGATCCCGATCTCGTCCAAGACCTCCTTCAAGATCTTGTCCCCTTCCTCTTCTTCCCCTTCACCCTCTGCTTCGTCATCCATCACGTCGTCGACGGCATCACCCATCATCTCTTCTTTCATGTCCATCGTCTGAGACTCTTTCTCGAATTCGTTCATGATGCGTTGGATCTGTCAAACGAAACGGGCTCAATTGCTATCAGCCGCAGGCGGTCTTCTTGGAGTTCGGCGAGAGCGACTCACTTGAGGCAGATTCAGTGAACGGTTCATCTGACCCATAGCCTGCCATAATCAAAAGGGGAATAGGTCAGGCTCAGCTATCTTCCCAAAGCCTTCGCTCTATTCCTTCCGGACTCACCCTCGTCGCACCCTTCATAGCCACCGCCATCTGCTCATTACTCCTTAACGCCTGCATGCGCAACGAAACGGCCTGAAGTTGAACCTTCATCTGGGTAAACTTCTGGATGTATCTCCGGGTCCGGACGAGGTCTTTGGCTTGAATCTTGGCTGCCGACTGGAGCGAGTTTCGTACGAACGCTTAGCGTGGATACGGCGAATTGGGCGTTGGGGAAGTTTGCAGTACTGACCATCTGACCAGCCTTGGCGCTCTTCTTGATATCCATCATCAACTTCTTCTCCTATGAGAGAGACACATCGCCCCATCAGCAAGACCGTATCTGTGGCGGTAAACGATCCCGTCTTAAACCCCCTAACTCAAACTCACTTGCGATTCCAACTTGATCCTCTCCCTATCCAGCTCTCTTTGAGCTTTCTGCAGTGTTCGTTGGTGCTGACGTAGCCTCTCTGCTGGCGTCATCCGTTTTCCGAAAAGCATGTCCTGTTCGAAAGGGGTCAGCGGGCTAGGTTCGGTTCAGGCTGAGGAAAGCTCCGGGTAGACTCACGAGGACCTGCATTATGGAATTTCTATTTTGGATCTTAGGGCTCGTGTCGAGATTATTGTGGCGTGTGATTTCTGTCAATGGTTTATCTGACTCGAGACTTGAATGTCATTGAATGTAATGGGTAATGCGACCTCCTAAAGGCTGAAGCTGCTCAACCCCGATCAGGTCATCGGATGCTGCGTCATGATCGCTCACAACGCATAAAATTACTGAAATTATGCGTTTTCATCCGCTTCCTTAGTGGCGACGAGAGAAGGAATCAAGCAAACGTTGTTTACCAACTGGTTAAAGGAGGAGATGAAGGAGGGAAAGGGAGAGGGAGGGGGGAGAGGAAGAGGAAGGCGATGAAAAAGTAGAGATGAGAGAGGAAGAAGGGATGGAAAGGTACTCTTGCTACGAGTTTATCAAGTTACGACAAGATTTCAGCAAAGACACAAGTTCGGTGACGGATATCGGGCTACGTCGACAAGACCTACAGGTCCGTATTGCCATCAGCGCTTGTTTGTGTAGCAGCAAGGATTCACAAAGAACGTTCTGCATCTCCAGAGGACCTGGAACACTTGATCGTCATCGTTGCTCCAGCTAAACGGCTGACACAACCAATACCATGCATCTATGCATCTACCAGAACCCCTTCATATATACTACTCGTAAAAGGCATACTCGACGCCCAACAACGTATGATCCGAAGCGCATACCCCCTTTCTCGGTAAACCCGGCTCGAGGTCTTCCGTCTTGTGCGGGAGAAGCAAACGACGGGGTCGGATCATTGGCGCAGATGCTGTAGGTGGCGGAAAGTCGAACAGGTAGTCCAGTGTCAGACGCCAGAGACTGCAAAAACGTTCGAAAAATTGGTGATCAGCTCCACGAACAGAGAACAGGATCGGAGTAGGGAAAACAAGGGGCTCACGGGGTAAACGACGTCCAAGCCGGCTCGTTGTCTCCAAACTCTGCCTCCCCGCCGCGTCCAGCAAAAGTCAGACCCTTTCTCTTCTCCCCCTGTTCGCCTGCACCGAGCCAATTGCTATCCGCATAAGCGCTCCTCAGGCCTTTGTTACCCAAAAGCTCCTTGGCCATGGTTTGCAGCTCCTCTGCGACGAGTAGACCGTCCGAGGGGTCCGAATGTCGGGTGCCTTTCGGGCGATCGGTGGGGATGGGTTGGTCTTTACTGGCGGGTTCTTCCTTTTCGTCGTCTTCGTCCTCGGCTTCGCCTTCCCCATCGCCATCCTCACCTTGACCTTCAGGCTTGCTCTCGGTTCCGTTCGCTTCATCTTTCTTCTTCCGATCTTCCAAGATCCCTTGCTCAACCTTTGCCAGACTATCGTGTACAGCCCGGCTGAACGCCACTTCCTCCTTCTCCCTTGCCCCAAGATCGATAGTCGGATGGGTCAAGAGGTGGTAGACCGCTTCTTTCGGCTGTGTATTGAAGTCTCCTGCTACGATGATCGGCCAGTCGCATTCTCCGTCGACGCCGGTGCTGAGAGAGACGCGGTAGGAGAGGAGAGTGCGGAGAAGGAGAAGGGCTTGGCGGGTCCGTTCGTAGGCGTATTGCGGGTGCCAGAACCTGGTTGGAGGCGTAGATAGACTCAGTCATAGCGCCTCAAGATTTCTGCGTAGTACCGCGCAGTAGAAATCTGACTTACAGATGAGTCGTACCGACGATAACCCCCTTCCCAGGCCGATCCCTAAACTCCAACCCTACGACCAAACCGATATTCTTTGTCTGTCTCGTTCCTCCCCTCCTCCTCCTTTCTTGATCCAAAGACTCCTCTTGATCTTGGTCGCCCTCGGATCTTTTGCTGATGAACTCTTCATCATACCTGACGACTCTCTCCCCCTGATCGACCACCTTGAGCTTTCGATTGTCATACACAATGGCTAGGCCGTGTTTCTTCTTTGGACCTCGAGCTTGGATGGCGCTATACTTTGGTTTGGTTGAGGTCGAGGATGAAGGTTCCGAGTTGGATTTTTCGTTGATGGATTCGGTGGTCGGGTTGGGGAAGTTGGTCGCGGTCGGGGTAACTAGCGGAAATGGGATCGATGTCAGGCGGTCCTCTTCCTACTCCGACCACCGTCAAGAGAGAGCGAACGGAAGAAATCAACTCGTTGTCAGTCTTTAGTGGACATTCGCTGTCATGAGCGGTACCCTGACACGTACCTGCAAACATATGATATCCGCGGGGTAGGCCAACAGCTCTTCCGAGAGCATGTCCGAACGATCCTTGAATTTCAGGCAATCCGAGCCGGGAAAGAGGTCTCTACCTGCAGCATGTTCCAAAAGTTGATGAGCGATCGTGCGTGATGACGAATCCACGTCCTGGTAGACATTTCTCTTTGCATACTCACGGACTAACGTCTGAGCGAGCATGTTCCACGTAGCCACCGTCACCCTCCTCACTTCCTTCTTCCCCTCTTCTTCTCCCTTGGCATCGGCGACATCCACCCATTCTCTTTTCAAGATCTTGGGCGCGTTAGGGTTAGGTGGTGGGACACCTCCATTGGCTTCCACTTGAGCCTTTTTAGCCGCCTTTTCTGCCTTGCGGGCTTCGCGTTTGGCGATATCTTCCGGGGTTGGGGTGTAGGTCTTTGACATGCCTGCGATGATTAGGTGTTGGTAACGTGTGTGGGTGTATCAGTTATTGGCAAGGAGGGGGTGAAAGATGATGAACGACGTTTGAATCGATCGAGTCGAGGATGTTGAGGAGGAGCAGGTAGCTTACGTAATCTGACTGACATCTATCTTCTCTTCACACACACCTTCTCTCCCGATTATTCCGAACACCCGACTTCCGGATTTTTGGAAAGAACTCGATGAGAAGTAGCTATGTTGCACGTATTTTCCGACTGTCTCTTCCTACAACCCCCTATCGCCCCTCTCATCCTGTAACAACAAGATCGAGACCTCAAACTTGACAACGAGGGATCAAGCAGGCGAAAGACAGACGAAAAAACAGGTGAGTCTCGTATAGGGGAAAAAGGTTGCGGCACGATCGATCGACAAGCGGTATGACGACGAACATGACCGATGATCGAGCTCGAGCAAATCACAAATCCCTGAAAATCGCAATAACGTTTCGCTAACTCGAACATTCGTCTGTTTCATTCACGCTCTTCTGCTCTGTCACCATTCCTGTCGTACTGCTGCAGGATCCGGAAAAAAAGGTCGAAGATCTAGACATCGATCGATCGCGGATCTGAAATCAGCTAGCGAACTGCACAAACACGATGTCGACCGACGAGCAGACCGCTGTGACGGCCGACCAGAAGCAGGAGCAGGTGGAGCAGCCTGTAGCGGATGGTGCGGATGCCGGTCAGCAGCAAGAGCAGGAGCAGCCGGCTGAGGAGCACATGATCGAACGTGAGTCGAATTGCTGGTTTTATGACCGTTATGAAACCTTCTCTCGCGCTGACTTGTACCTTTTTGGTTGTGCTCATCTTGCAGTCAAACCGGTGATCATTCGTCTCCCTAACCCGACCTACCCCCAAACCCTTCCCAAGACTGGCGAAAAGAAACAGACTCCCACCCCATCTACGTTCGTCATTCACCCGCAACCTGGCGAGACGATCCAAGATATCCGTGCGACGTTGTTGGAATGGACCGGAGGCTATTGGTTGGGTCCTTATTCGTTGAGGATCCCGAGGGCCAAAAAGTCTGGGTCGAAAGACGAAAAGGATCAGGACCTCGCAGGCAGGGGAAGGTTGTTGGGTAAAGGGAAAGAAGGCGTAGAGATTCGCGAGGGGGAAAAGTTGAGCGATTGGTTCGAGATGGGAGAGGTCTTTGGTCATCTGGAGGGAACGGATGAGGAGAGGGTTCTGGTCGTACAGCGAGGTCAGTTCAGTAGTCGTGATCGCGCGTTCCAGAGATCAAGGTCCTGGTGTTGACAGGCATTTCGCCAAAACGGTATAGAACCTTATTCCGAAGCCGATGCCCGACAGGCAGTCTTGCGATTGAGAGAGTACACCATGCCTCCTTCAGAGTCCACCTCGGTCTTCCCGACAATCGGAATCAACCCCGGTCCTTCTGTGTTCGAGGGGATCAACAGTGGTAGCTTGACCGCTGTCGAGGTCGCTCAAGAAGGTCAAGCCAAGCCGGCCGCTACGAACGGAAACGTCAACGGGAGTTCGAACGCAAACGGCAAGGGCAAGAAGCCCAAGATTGTCAAGCCCGAGACCGAGACTGAGGACGCCCTGTTCAGCGAATGGAAAGGTCTGCCTCGAAGCGACATTTCGAAATTGCCTACCACCATGCCTGCTGCGCCTCACCCGGCTTGCCTGAAGAGCTTGATCTTTTCGCCCTTTAACCCGCCCCCACCTCATCTCAGGCAAAAGGGTCACATGACCTACCTCACCGTCGTCACCCTCGAGGGCGAAGCTCACATGCTCGTCTGCACGACCAAGGGGTGGTATGTCGCCCGTTCCAACGCCCCGAGCGTGTCCTTCGACCCGGCACCGAGGACCCAACCCAAGGAGATCTCCTCGCACTCCCTGATTGACCTCTTGCACGCCATCTCGCCGGCCTTTACCAACACACTCCGAGGTCTGCAAGGCCAAAACGGTGCTCCTGTCGTGGCTAGGGAACCGATCGCCACCGTGCCCATCCCTCAGTACCCCCCGGCTTACCCTTGGTTGGCCAGCGCGCCCAGCCTTTCTGCTATCAACCCGGACTTGATCAAGACCCAGCTCGCTTACGGGTACACAGGTGCCATTTCCCCAGATGCTCTAGAGGGCGCGAGGGACTGGAACGAAGAGCTGCAAAACGCCCGAGAGATGCCCAAGGGCAACACTCAGGAGAGGATGTTGCGGGAACGGATCTTGCAAAAGACTCACGCCGAGTTTACCGCGGCTTGTGTCAGGGGCAGCATGGCCATCGCCCGAGGAGATTTGCCACCCATCAACCCGCACGAGGATAGCAAGGCGCACATGTGGTTGTCGAACAACATCTTTTTCACCAAGGGTGTCAACAGCGTCGATGCGTACACTCATCTGGGTGGGGACGAAGCGGCCAGGATCTCGCACGCCAAGGATGCCGCCGGTGTCAGGTTGATGAACAGGATGGATATCGACAACGTCTTTTTGCTCGGACACACCGTCGTCGATTGGCAAGGAGAGCGATGGGTTTGCCAGAGTGTCCTGCCCGGGATCTTTAGCAGGAGGAAGGATGATGCCGACGAGCAAGAGCAGGGAGAGACCGCCGAAGTCCAAACTGCAGGTGACAAGGAGAAGGAAGACTGGGTCGACGTCAACGGTCACTCGAGGCAGGCTAGCAAGTCTGACGCGGCTCCCGTCGAACCGGTCAATGAGCAGGAAAACTACCTTATCATCTATGGAGCCGATTCTGAGGGCGGTATTGACAAGTTGCACTGGGACGCCGGCATGCACAAGATCATGGGCAAGATTGCCTCCGTACAAAAGCTCGCCTTGCACAAGATGAAGGATAGCAAGGACGAAGAGCACGAATACTGGACGAGCGTCGACGTCAAGGGTCTTCGAGGATCGGACGGCAGGCGGTACCTTCTCGACTTGCCCCGATTGTGCCCGGTCGACATCGAATTCTTGGAAAAGGATACCGAGGGCAAGCTCATGGCTTCCAATGAGACCGACGCCGATGCCGGTGTCACGTACCCCCACCGTGTCGTTCTCTTGCGACCCGAGCTATTGGAAACTTATTGGGAACATGAGCTCAAGCTGTTGGCTCGAAAGATTCACGCTGAGAAGCAGAAGAGCAAGGCCGATGCTGATGCGTCTGCTACCGCCGCCGCTTCGACCGAGAACGCTGAGAAGAAAGAGGACGGGGAAACTACTGAGGCACCCAAGGAAGAGGCTCAGCCCGAGACCATCTCCACCGCCGACGCCGCTGCTATCACCCAGGACCCTCGTTTCGACTTGAGATTCAACGCTGATGCCTTTGTCGACCAACCCGCCAAGCCCGACAGCGAGACTGGCGAGCTCGCCTTCCGACCTGCTACGCAGACGGATGAGTCGGACCCCTCGATCAAGGCCGTCAGGGACGCTTCCATCTTCCTGAGGACTGTCGTCGTGCCTTCGGTCGTCCTCGACGTCATTGCCAGCAACACGCTCGGAATCATGGACGGAGTCTCGTTGTCCAGGCACTTGCACTTGAAGGGTATCAACATCAGGTACCTCGGTCATTTGATGTCCCATATCGACAAGTACGTCAGGACCTCCGAGGGCGAGGGTGCTGGACACTTGAAGGCCATCTTGGTGAGTTGGCCCGGCTTTGGTGGGCTGTAAGAAAGCCCGTTGCTAATTTGTTCATGAAATGATCCGCAGGCCATTGTCCAGCAAGAGATGGTCTTCCGTGCCTGCAAGCACATCCTGCGACGTCTCGTCCACGGGCTGCAAGCCGAGAATAGCGCCAACGCCGTTTCACACTTCCTCAACTGTTTGTTGGGAGCTGACAAGAACGCCGAGCCTGTCGCCGTCTACGACTCGCTCGACTACCAGGACATCCCTGCTCCTGCCTACACCCGTCTCACCCCTCAGTCGGTGCAGACCCAGATCATCGACGAGATCGCCAAGCGATTCCGATGGAATCTCGACCCGGCCTACTTTGCCGAGGATATGCGCAAGCCGCAGTTGCTCCGAGAGTTGGCTACCCGTATTGCCTTCCAGCTGGACCAGCGCGAGTATGACTTTGCCAGCTCGAGCGAGGATCTCACCCAGTCCGAGAGTGCCGAAGGTGCCGCCAAGTCCAAGAAGGTCAAGAAGAGCAAGGCTTCCGCTGCCAGCACCCGCTCGACCACTTTCGAGCCTTCCGACATCTTGACTCTGTTGCCCGTCGTCAAGAGCACCGCTCCTTCCGTAAGTTCTGGTGTCTTGCGACTTACAAAACTCCCCTTGCTCACCCAATTCTCTTCAACTGCCAGGCCGTTGTTGCCGAAGAAGTCTTCGAGGGTGGCCGCATTACCATGAGTCGTGGAGACATGATGCTTGGACTGGAGCTCATGCTCGAGGGTATCAACATGTACGAGCAAACCCACCAGGTCGTACACCCCGAGGTCGCCTTTGCCTACAACCAGTACGCGATCACGATCCACCAGATCATCAGGATGCGCATGTCGCAGATGGTTGCCGAGGACAAGGAAGCCGACCCCGCTGCCGGACTCGACGTCGCCACCGCCATCAAGCTGCAGCGACAGGCCGTCATGACCGGGGAGAGGACCCTGGGTCTGCATCACCCCGAAACGATCGGCTTCTACTTCAACTTGGCCATGTTGGAGAATGTTGCCGGAGATCAGACCGTCACGTTGAGGCTGTTCAGGCACATCCTCCACCTGTGGGACGTCGTCTACGGTCGGGACCACCCCGAGTTGCCCTCGATCCTGGTAAGCCATACTGGCGGCCATCACGGCCATCACAGTCTCTGTGTCACATCGCTAAGCCTGTTCATAAATGTAGATCCACATCGCCATCGTCCTTCAGACTCAGAGCCGTCACGCCGCCTCGATTGTCCTTCTCGACGAGGTCTACCGCATTTCATCGGCCATGTTCGGATCCACCCACCTTTTGGCTGGTACCGCTCAGAGCCAGTTGACCCAGGCTCACTTCCTCAACGGCGACATCAAAAAGGCTGCCGAATGCGCCAAGCTCGCTAGTGACATTTTCCGAACTCGTCTTGGACCCGATGACGCTCAATCGAAGGACGCAGCCAAAAACTACGAAATCTTGAGCGGTGCCGTTGAGCAGTCCGAGAAACAACAGGAGGCTGCCAAGAAGCATTTGGAGCAACTTCGAGCCATTCAGCAGGCTCGACAGTCCGCTCCTGCCACTGCTACCAAGAGGACCGGTGTGCCCAACACCGCTGCTGCTCAGGCTGCCATCGCGGCTGCAGCTGCTGCTGCTGGTCAGCAAGCTCCTGGTGCCGATGGTCAGCTACCGGCGGATCTCGATGTCGATGCTCTCGTGCGATATGTCCAAGGTCAAACGTCAGACAACGCATCGTCGAGCAAGACCAGGGGCAAGAACGCACTCCGAGGCAAGAAGCGGACTGGCGCGAAGCGATGAACGCTTCCATGATTCCCTCGACTTTCTCTTCTCCTTCCTCATATAGACTCTAGGCGACGAGATCGCTCTCGCCGACCTATGTAGACTGCATGAATCATCCAGCACACGACACGACACAACTCCCAAAAGAAGAACTCGAGAGACGAGCAATGTATTATATAGTTGCATAGGCCATGAAGCACACAAAGGACCACTCATCATCTGACGGACGACATCGCGGTGACGACGAGCTGCATGCATTCGCCATCGCGTTTGGCATATTGAATACATCCGCGACATGGAGGTCTTCGACTAATTCTGCTACAGTCATGTCGTTGCCTGCCCTTTCATACCCAGTACCCGATGAGCGCCATGATCCCGCTTCCAGTCAATATACAGATAAAGATATAAGTGATGCGCGCTCCACTGGCAGCCTGTATCTTTGGGTTGAAAAGGATTTCGTGCGCCAGCAGCTAGAGGAGGCTCGCTAAGTCAAGGCCATGCCCTCCCTTTTCGTCGCGGCTGCTTGGACTTACCTCGACCAATCCAGTGTAAAGGAGGATACCGGCGCTGATTGCGTCAAGCGTCCCTTCCCAAGCCGTGGTGGTTGGACTCTTCGTGTTATAACTATTGCTGATCCCGAGCCCGATAGCCATCCCGATCGGTCTTGAGAAGCAACACTTATCAGCTTCGAGATGGTCAGATCATGATCTGATCATGCTCACGTAGTCACGGAGTACAGGAAGGAGGCGATGAATGGGGCCCATCGTAGATTTCTTGGAAGTCTCAAAGCGGATAATCGCGAGCCGACACCCAGGCCCTCGAACATTTCTGTGAGCGAGACTTGCATCAGTATTCGTTTGGCGACTCAAACGTGTCGTACCGGTCGGCTCACGGTGAAAGATGATCACGATGAAGAGGGTGACAAACTCGTCATTGACCGCCAGTGTCAGACCGATGAAGACTGAATGCAAGATGACCCCAAATTCGAGGATTGCCACTGCGATCAACTGAGCCACTCCATCTGTGGTGGTGGTGTCATACTCGGGCGTGATGTCGCTTTCGCTATCGGAATCGCTCAGCTCGGATTTTCGTGCAGCAGTCGAGCCTACTCGACCTGCGCCAGGGGACCCGTCTTCACCCTCGAGCTGGGCAGGGGTAGAGGATGGTACACCATGGGCGCCTACAAGTCAAGCAATGTTCAATGGCATTTTCGAACGAGACGTTTCGCACGGTGGCTAGACTCACAGTAGTTTAGGTTGTACTTGGCTAATCTAGCGGTACCGATCCGGTAAGCAGCAAACTCGATAAAGAAGATTAAGTACACGGCCGCCATAGCTATAGCAGCTGCCCAGTCCTGAGAACCAGAGATCGCGTAAGCCATATATGCGGGCAATTCCTGGCTCGCTCGGGCCGCACTCACGTACTTGACCCAACCACCGCTCAGACATGGTGAACCCAGAGCATCGAAAGCAGGTGCCAAGAGGCTGTAAAGCGCAATAGCATCAGCCAGACGCGCTCTGATCGCGTCATCAAAGTGGTTCGTTTGCCCACTGGATAAAAGCCGTGGCGATGATCACACCGCTGCCGAAGTATTTTGCGAATCTGGAATGTCCTGTCAGTTGGGGTTTAACGTCTTACCGCCACAGATGACCTACTCGAAGAACGCCACGGGACACCAAGCCCGCCGCTTGAGCAAAATGGGCGCAAGGGTTCCCACAAACGATGTAACCAGGACGACAAATATGCCACCGATCCTGAGTCCCAGTCGGCCGTTTCCGCTGTTTTCGGAGCATTCTTCTTGATCCATGTTTGATGTTTGTTGTGCCGGGCGCGCTAGGGTTTCAGAATTTCAATCGAGGTGGCGATAAGAAAGGTTTTCCGTAGCGTGTCTATCTCGAAGGATTCCTACTCAGAACCATTGGTTTGCCAATCTACCTATATATGGTAGTCGCCGCTCTTGCCTCATGACCCGTTACTGTCCATGCAACAGGTTGTAACGGTCGATATCGAGGGAGAGTCGATTGTAAAAACAAAAAATCCAACCTCGCGGTTCGGCATGTGAGGACTTCGGAGTCTCAGATCGCGGTCTTTGCGACGCGTCGGGTCGTTATCCGTTCAAATTTAGCGACACGATGAACATCGCACCTACAGAGACCCCTTCGCAGTCGAACCTACCTAGATGTAGGGGAACACCGACCAAAGAATGACGAAGCCATGACATGCATGTGATTGAAGCGGACCCGCACTACAAGATATATTTGCCCTAAAGAAGAAGACACCGCAACTGTCCATCTGTTTTCCTCACTCACACTTGACACGCTCGGACACCGTTGGTAAAGTGTTCGCGGTAAGTATGCCCATCGTAATCGTCATGCTTCAGGCCGTGTCGACGAATCCACTCGGCAGGGAATCCGAGGCTGCACAGAGGAAGTCTCGAGTCAGCCTTCATATGATTTTTGGCTGATAAGTGGTTGCACTCACACATGGCCAGCCTCGGCAAACAACTTTCCAATCTCGCAGCCAGCGTCCCAAACCTCAACTGCATCATCGTGATGTCTTACATACGAATCTCGCTTGATCCTGTGCTCATGAGCCCGGGCCCGTTGTGCGAGCATCGACCGCTTGTGGCTGAATCCATGAGATCCATCGTTCCTCGCAGCGGGATCGAAGGAAGCGGCGTTTCGAGCGGGTCGGACGAGAGCTCGGTTGTTCCCCGGGTGAACGGTCGAGGCCGACAAAAAGTCCCAAGGCGAACGATCCCCCTCCGCATGGATGTCTAGAATGATTTGATCAGTACCGGCGTCGGAGCTGCATCCAGCAAATGAACTCACTCCAATAGTGCCAACCTCCGGCAGCTTGGGAAGTATACAATTCGAGCTATGATGGCTCATGGTTAGTCGACAATCAAACAGATTTGATCGAATCCGACTTACCTGAGCATCGCAGTATTGCCCGACCCTGTCGAAACCCTCGTGTTCGGCAGTGGAGTTTCCTTCGACGGCGCAACCCCATTCTCCCAACTATTTCAGATCGACTCGGTGAGGATCTGCTGTATTCTAGCACGAAATATGGTCTGTGACTTACGACGACGTTCTGTAGGCAGATGAAGGGATCAAATCAGTCCTATAATAGGCCTTGTGTGTGTGGCAAAGGAAACAAGACATACCGGCGCGAGTTTCTGGAGACTCCGAGTGTCCTGTTTGGTGATCGAGTCCAACATCTGGTCGATAGTGGTTGTTTTCCAGTTGCTCGAGTACAGGTAGTCTATCCCATATCTGTCAGCTTCCAGCTCCCGGCATCATATCGCCGGAATCGATTGACTCACAAGGGTGGACGTCAAGAACCCAGAACCCAGGCTTGTCTTGCACCCAGTCATGCCAGTAGTCTCCCGATCCTCGGAAACCAGCGAAGATGTAGATAGGGTAATCTAGACCGGCGATGGCTTGGATATCAGAGGCGACTTCGGCGTCTGTAAAGCCACCTCTAAGAATCAGCTGCGTCCAAAGAGTCCGCCTGGCTTGATTAAGCCAAAGACCTACACCAACTACCCAATGCGCCCGCATCCTCGGTAGCTTCGTTCAACAATTCGATGCCAACGACGTTCTCTTTATCTTTGACCTGGCTGACAATCCATTTGATGACCTCTTTCGTAGCGCCTCGGTTGGTCTCGCTACCAACGAAACCGGCGACTCCGTCTTTGCGGTCGCTTTCACCCGAGTGGTCTGCGATGGCGAGTGAATCAAGTTAGTAAGGCGGATTGCGAGACGGCTTGTTGACTTTCTGACTCACCCCAGGTGTTCTGCGATCTGCGACCCGCGCCATCAAAATCGAAGAATCCTCATATCAGTGAGAGTTCTCCATGGCCCCCTCCCCTCAATCCCGAACTCACCCTTGCGCGCCATGCAAATCGATCAAAACCCCCATACCCCTCTGGTTCGCCCAATCAATGGCCTTGAGGACATAACTCCACTGTCCTTCGTACTTGTCGATATACGGCCAGAATTTGGAGTCCTCGCAGTTACAGTTGGCTTTGCCTACTGTCCAGTAGCCAACCTGTCGGTGTAGCACGAGAGACAAAAATGTCGAGAAAGGCGATCAGTCAGGAATGTCTGAAGAGAAGGCAGTTAAGCGCTTACGGGAAGTCGGACGGTGTTGATTCCTCGTTCTTTAAGCGCATCAAAGTCCTTGTCGGTGATCCAGCTGGCGTGTCGGGAAGAAAAGAACCCAGCTATCAATTTCAAGGCAAGACTGGCTCGATCGTTTTCAGAAAGCACTCACGTATCCCAGTGCTCTTGGAGTTTCGACTATTCTCCGGAAATGGAATCAGCTGCAATTACCTGCATCCGCCTGATTCTTCGCAGGGCATATGATCGCACTTACCACGTCGCAATTCGCCGCCAAATTCAGCTCTCCCACCTTGTCGTTCCCCGTGCATTCGTACAATCCCGGTTTCAGCCATTTCTCAGTGACCAGCCATCCACCAAGATTGACGGATGATTGCGCTCGGAGACGGTAGTTTAAAGCCGTCTCGGAGATCTGGTTTGACTGAGGTTCTGCTTGAGTGGGGGTTTCGTTGGAGGAGGTAGTAGTGGTGGTGGTCTCGGTAGAACCGCCAGCGCTTGCAACCGGTTCTCCACCCTCGACGGGCCCGGTAGGGGGTCTCGGAGGCGGACTGACGATCGTCGTCTCTTCCGGTGACGTGAACTTGGCCGCCATAAGCGTCTTTGAGACGTCCCATAGCTGGTTCAACTCCGTAGCACCGGCAGAAGGGGGCCCGAACGCCTTGGTCTCGGTCCCGCTAGGCTCATTCGGGTTGACATACGCGTTCACGAGCCCGGCGGCAGTGTCCGCATGACAACCCTGTTCAGCTGCGGCCTGTCGTCGGTGTTGTGGCCGGTGCAAGCCTCGGGGTTCGTTGTGGTCCAAAGAGGCGCGGACGGTCGAGATGGTGGCCAGACTGGCGAGGGCGGCGAGGTTCAACTTCATCTTTGGATGGTCGTAGTGGGGTTTTTTTCCTTTTGTTCTTTCGTGTCAACGGTTTATGAGGGTCGGAAGATCACCTTCTTTCTTGTTTGTAATCGAGGTTCGGGGTGGAAGTCGGGATTTGTAAAAGGCGATAGGCGGAAGATGATGTGAAGCGGTGGTATGTGTAACGAATGTGAAGAAAGGGGAAAGGCAAAGCAAATTGAAGACCGTGCTCAAAGGTTCTTTTTTATACCTTCGAGGTCCGGCAGTAAGATCTTTGCTGAAACCAGGCCGAGGCTCCTCCTGTGAGCCTATGATCGAAAACTCAAGGGAGTGTGTTTGTGTGTAGAAGTGATGTGAAGTGGTGTGAGAATGTCGTCAAGACCGCGTACCGCCAGAGGCCAGCGGGATGTTGTCTCGTTGTTCGACTTATATCGAGCTCTCGCGTGACTTTGTCGACTCTTTTCTCTCCTTTCCCCTCCCCTTTCCCCCTTGTTGACGTCTCTGATGGCGCGTCCGATTCTCTTTTCCTTTTGATCGCGTTTCATCTCATCTCTTCTCCCTGTCTCCCTGCCACCGCGCGCAATAGGTCGTGATCAAAGAACCCAAAGGTACCCCTGATCACGACCGATGCACAGCAGTAGCGCGATCCAACCCATCACACGAACACCGTCCCCTGTAATCATGATGCGACTCAACGCCGACCGACGACGATCAGGGAGATGAAACGACGCTTTGACCCACTAAAGGTCCGTTCCCGCGACCAGACGTGGGGAATGAGGCGTTTCTGGTACGCGTTTCATCCTTCCAAGCTGTGCTAGGTCGAGAGGTGGTGAAGTAAGGATGGTCGATGGCATTTTAGCGCGATCAGTGGTGGAACCATGTGACGTGACGATGGCGTTTCGGGTCCGAGCTTGTGTTTCATATCCCAGGTTGGCTGCGACCTACCAGGAAAGAGTACGAATTTATTGGTGGGAACGACCGACGACGGACGATGGATGTCATGACACACATACACAGAGTGGTACGGAGTACAGAGAAGCCGGTCTGACGCGATCTGACAAAAGAGACAGTATCAGACAAACGAGTTTCACTCCAGCACACTGAATGCCTCTGCAACGTGATTCGGTCGATCCCTGACCTTCATCTGTACTTGTGGCGTCCGTTCATCTCACGGAGAATAATACAACTATGACGATCCCCCTTGCGCTCTCGTCCTTTCCAACTCTCAAAGGTACACAGCAGAGCACAGCCGTACGGCACGAACTGCATTCTGCTTTCTGATGCCACTGCATTGTTGCGGCAGACCGTCCACGAACGCGACTGCGATCACACGCTCTTCGGTTTCTATACTCCTTCCCCTGATCTACAAGGCAGACTATGCTTACAAGCCTCTGTGCCCCCAGATCGTGATCGCACGTCAAGGCTGACATTCATCAACCGCAGCTCTACGATTCACAACCTCCTCGATCGAGACTGGTCCTCAACGTCAAAACTTGCTCAGATCTAGAAAGATCGATAGGACAGACGGAACGGAGCGGGTAAGAACAAGGGTGGGTGCGGTCTTGCCCGAATAGACCGGTTATGACTCGGTTTAGGGGGTTCGAATCCTTATATAACGCAGACGATGGTAGGACGGGAAAGTCGATAGAGTGGGCATGGGTTTGAGAATTTCGGGCAACAGCTTATTCATGCGGTGGATGTTTTCACTCGAGAAGTGCTAGGCAAGGTTTCATCCACAAAACGCTCTGCCTCTGCCCACACTCATTCCGCGGACTTATCTCACTTCCTGCCATGTCCGCCTTGCTCCTTCTTGCTTTGTTACGATGTTGATGTCGGGTAGAATCGGACATGAGCGGGCCGGAAGTTCCGCCTTTTTCTCTCCTTCTACCCGTGAGATGATAAACAAACGATACGCGTGAGAAAGCGAATAGAGGGCAGGGTCCGAGAGCGAAAAAAGGGACCGGCCGCCCCTCTTGCTGCCCCGCGCGCGCGGATTGGAGCCAGCGCATGCCCACCTCGTTGAAAAAGATAAACCACCACATCAACAACCTCGAACTACATCCCACACCCCCTTTTTCTTCTTCTTCTTCAAGAGTCTCCTCGTCTCTCATTACAATCCTTTACCCGTTCTCAACTGGAAAAAGGAAGGTGAGCATCACGCATCCCAACACATCTCGAACATTTCGTCGCTTGTGGAAACACAACCAGCGGTTCACGACTTTTACGACCTCTTCTCGAGGATCTGATACTAACTTGACCCAACTTCGACGTCCCCGTTGTAGTACCAAAATGGCCGCCGCTACCCAGCCCAAGGACCTCGTTAAGAAGCCGAAGGATGCCAAGTCCTTCGCCAGTGAGTAGAGCCTCTCAGCCTCATTGCCTGGTCGTGTGACGGATCACTGACCGTGTCCCTGTGTCGTGCTTCACTTTACGTTTTCTTGATGACCTGCAGTCGACTTCATGATGGGAGGTGTCTCCGCCGCTGTCGCCAAGACCGCTGCCGCCCCTATTGAGCGAATCAAGCTCTTGGTCCAGAACCAGGACGAGATGTGAGTCGTCGGTCCTCGTTTACTCTACCTACCTTTCGCTTTCGACCATTCTCTGACCTGAACCTCTTTACGTGCACCTTTTGTTAGGATCAAGCAGGGTCGTCTCGCTACCCCTTACAAGGGTATCTCGGACTGTTTCGCCAGGACCTACGCCGATGAGGGTCTCGTCTCGCTCTGGCGAGGAAACACCGCCAACGTCATCAGGTACTTCCCTACCCAGGCGTTGAACTTTGCCTTCAAGGACTACTTCAGTGAGCCCAGGTTACGACAACATATGCAACATGTTGCACCGACACGCACGCTGACTACGTCGCTCGCTCCTCTCGCTCGTAGAGTCCATGTTCAACTTCAAGAAGTCCGAGTCTTACGCCAAGTGGTTCGCCGGTAACATCGCTTCCGGTGGAGCTGCCGGTGCCTCGTCCCTTCTCTTCGTCTACTCGCTCGACTACGCCCGAACCCGTCTCGCCAACGACAACAAGTCGGCCAAGAAGGGTGGTTCCAGGCAGTTCAACGGTCTCGTCTCGGTTTACAGGCAGACTCTCGCTACCGACGGTATCGCCGGTCTCTACCGTGGATTCGTTCCTTCCGTTGTTGGTATCATTGTCTACCGTGGATTGTACTTCGGTCTTTGTGAGTATAGGGTCAGCCCAGGGTGTTCTGTCGGAGACCTTTTACTTACCGCAGCAACCCTCACACAGACGACTCTTTGAAGCCCGCCGTCCTCCAGGGACCTTTGGAGGGATCCTTCTTGGCCTCGTTCTTGCTCGGTTGGGGAGTTACCACCGGTGCCGGTCTCGCTTCTTACCCCTTGGACACCATCAGGCGACGAATGATGATGACCTCGGGAGGTACCGGTCCTCACTACAAGAGCATGTTCGACGCTGGTTCCCAGATCATCGCCAAGGAGGGAGTCAAGTCCTTGTTCAAGGGAGCTGGTGCCGTGAGTACTCGCGGAGCTAGATTACACCTCACCTTGCATCGAAACTCATGCCGCTCTCTATTGCTACTCTCTACAGAACATCCTCCGAGGTGTTGCCGGTGCCGGTGTCTTGTCCTTGTACGACAAGCTCCAGGAGCTCATGTTCGGCAAGGTCTACTCCGGTGGTTCCGGTTAAACGTAGCAACGTCGTCTTCTCGTCGTTGGCAATTGTTTCTCCTTATCATGACCGCTTTAGATTTCATTCCAAACAATCGTTTACGAGTGTATAGTGTCGCTGCGCGTGCTGGTGTTCGAGTTCGGCTGGCTGTGCTTTTGCGCTGTGCATGGCTTCTGTTGGCATGCTTCAATGTTTTCGGCAAACTCGACGGGAACGTGGACGTTTTTCGCGTCGACACGGACGAGAATGAGCCGATCGAATTGTTGCAATCGCGACGTTGGCAAGCGTCAAGTCAAGCAATTCAAGCAAGGCTCGTCTCATCGAAAACCTTTGCATTCACGACCTCTAGCTCTAGCCTATAGCTACTACTATCTACAATACACCCATAGCATCCCTGAACAAGAAGGGCATCAAGTATAGCGTAAAGAAGTCCCGCAATACACGAAATAGAGCAGAGCTATAATGTCAATATCGACCGTGAATGCCGATGGTTTGCTGTTCGGTAAGTTTGTAACTCGTTTCGTTAGCAGATGTAAACGCTGGTGTTATGGCCATGGGCCGAGCTGATTTTCGATTCGATTGTGGGTTATCTGGTAGATATGGATGGGACTCTGCTTGGTAAGCTCTAGGGCGAAGGAGCCGCTTTGTGGGGGTTCTGATGGACGTTCGGGTTGGGTCGGGACTTGCAGACAGCACACCGGGAGTCTTGGTCACTTGGGAAGTCTATGCTAAGGAGCACGATCTCGATCTCGTCGAGGTCTTGAAAAGTAAGTCGCTTGACGATCTAAGAGCTAGGTGTTTGAGGTGGAGGCTGACCAGGACTATGAATTCGTAGCTAGCCATGGTGTGCGGACAGAGGTAAGGGAGATTACTGAAGGGTAAACATGAAGATGGTGCTGAATGGTCTGTCGAATTTGTCGCTGCTCCTGTTTGACTGGTATCATCTTGCGGTCTTCTGCAAACAGGACAAGTGAGTCTGCCACCGAACCTTGAATTTGCTCAGCCCCCGACTGACCTCAACTTGACCCCCCTTCGACAGCCTCAAGAACTTTTGCAAGATAAAAGACGAGGACTTGAAGACCGAGATCGCCCGATTTGAGAACATGATCTTGAATGAAGGTGCTCGTCTGAAGAAGGAGGGAAAACAGGGGTTGGAGATTCTCCCCGGTGTGAAGACATTGTTGGGTTCGGTACGTCGGATCGAAATCTTCCTGTTCAAAGCTCTGGTGCAAGCTGACATTTCGTCCGAACCAGTAGATTCCCCAGGAAAACTGGACGATTGTTACCTCTGGTGAGTTTTATCGTAATGATTCAGTACACTACCACATCCTGGAACCGACGGTGCGATCCTGTCATAGCCACTATTCACTACGCCGAGCCCGCCTTGGAGCTCGCCGAAGTGCCAAAGCCGCCTCACATCGTTACGGCCGGAGACGTCAAGAAGGGGAAACCGCATCCGGAACCGCAAGTAACGAGTCCCTCACCTTACACACCCCCGTGAATCGAGCGTTGAATCCGTGGCACCCACAGTTACCTGACCGGTGCCGAGAAAATCTCGAAGGACATTAAGAAATGCATCGTCTTCGAAGACGCCCCCAGCGGTATCCGATCGGGTGTCGCTTCCGGCGCCAGGGTCTTGGCCGTTTGCACTTCGCATACTCGGGAACAGGTACAAGGATACGGAGCAACTTGGGTCGTAGATGACCTGACCAAGTGAGTATCATCAGGCCATTTGTTTTCCGCTTCTCTGGGTCTGTGGCTGATTCGCTTCACATCACCAGGGTCAAAGCCCGAGTAGTAGACGGGTCGCTGGAGTTGGAGATCGATGAATCGCCCAAATAGAGGACGTCGATTCCGACCCCGTATGCATGGTCGCAGCCATGCACAGAGCCGTATGGATCAAACCCGTCTCACCAAGGGAATCCTCTGGGATAACCTGCATGCATGTCGTCCGTTTCACGTATACTGTTAAGAGGGGGTCTATAATATCGATACATTCACGGCTTGCGTCCGATCCACGTCTCATTGCTACTCCTCGAAATTCCCGGTGCATCCCGATCACCCGCCCTGATCAGATCTGCCCTTTCCGCTTCATCGCCTCACCTCGCCTATCTACTTCCCAATTCAGAGCGCCTCGGTCTCCTCCTTCATCCCATGCAGAGCTTTACGGCGATAAGCGCTCTGATCCCTCAACCATCGTCGGTAAGTCTTGAAGGAAGAGATCTTTTCGCCTGTTCGACGTATATTTCAGATGTAGAAGCCGTAGACCATGTTCAGTGGTAGTGAAAATGGTAGAAGTTTGCATTATCGTGTGTTATGTGAATTCAAAGGCGGAGTTCGATTTATTCAGGTGATTCAAGAGTAGAAACAGATGATAGCGAAAGCGATTTCAAGCCAAAGGAAAGGTATGGGAAAGATATATCAGCGTTCATCCTGGTCACAGCAACCGTTCAAGATGAAACCTCATACCATAGTAGTCCGGTGTGGGGTTCTGTTTGAAGGTGTTGTCATGACATTTAGCCCGTGACGATAGCTCAGACAGGTAGTCAGGCAACAACTCACGTTGATGGACTGGTAAGAGGGATCCACCCGCCTCGACTTGATGTGATCGTAAAATCTACCCGAACATGACTCTTGCTCAATCAGCTCAAATCCTCACAGATGATAGATAATGAAGGGAGTGAAGGCGATCACCCACCGCTTGTCCATCACCTCCATCGACTTGTTCTTGCTCCCGTTGAAGGCTTTGAAGAGGAGAGTTCCGATGGTAGGTCCGACGAGGTATCCCAAGCCCGCACATCCGAGCCTATCAAAATTTTCGCACAGAGAAGAAGCTCAGCTGACGATGTCGGAGCTGTACATGATGACGGACGACCTGTTGGTTTCGACTCACGTTGCACCTCCATAGACAAACATCGGGTCGATCCCGAAGATCGGCTGCGTAGGATCCATCTCCAAACTCCCAAAGTAGGCCGCTCCTCCAAAGAACGCCGCAAAGGTCGTCGGTACCGAGGCCACTTGGGATACTATACGTCGTCTATGACGGAGTGCAAGGTATTGAGGCCATGTTAGGGTAGTTTGTTCGGATGACGAAGGTACGGTCGAGGTCGAGGTGGTTGTAGAGGTTAAGCGGATGGTGTTTGTCCAAGGCTTTGTACCCAGGACTGGTCGTAGTAGCGCCTTGTGAATGGACATGGTATTGCCTCTTCGAGTACCTATTGATGTGCAGGAATCGAGTTGGTGTTTCGAGGTTAAATTGGTAGGTACAACCCAAATCAAAAGTACGACGTCAGTAAGGTTATTAGTCCAAAGGTTGTGGGTAGATGATGGTCGACGCTTAGTCCACGCTCAAATACGCTGCTAGCTGATGATGACTTCGTCAGATTACAACAAGCATTATCTCGTTCTCCAAGGGTAGCTTGCAACATCGTCGACCTGACACCCTCGAAGATCTACCTATACAAACAACTAGAGCACAAGATGGACCCAAACATGGACGCGATGAGTCAGGATGCGGACATGATGGAAGAAGAGCCGGAGTACGGTCAGTCATTGCACCGGAATGCTCAGCCTATCTCTATCAACGTGCATTAACGCTGACCGGTATGCGATTCGTTTGCAATCTAGCTTCGAGTAGCCAGGGTAGTTCGTCTCAGACTTCGACTCTGACCTGGATCGTGAGTGATGGTCACGACTGCTTATCGAACTAGGCTTGAGCTTGGCTAACGGTTCGCACATTCCGATAGAACTGGTTCATTTCGCTACCTGGCCATGATTACTATTGCGAGGTCGACGAGGATTACATCGAGGACGACTTCAACTTGACCGGTACGTCGGCTTCAAGCATCAAATGTCCAGGATCTTACTGAAATGCCATATCATCCTGTGTTCAGGCTTACAAAGTCAAGTACCTTTTTGGAAAGAAGCGCTAGAGATGGTCCTTGACGTAGAACCAGGTCAGTCTAGCCCATGCCTCAAAACGACCGATCATCACAATCAGTGTGCTCATACACAATCTTTCGCACGTCGTACTCCCTCGGTCTACCCTCATCTTGAACCTCCGTCCGAGCAGAAGAGGACACCCTCACCATCCCCGACGTATCCATCATCGAATCCTCGGCCGAGCTGTTATACGGGCTCGTTCACCAACGATTCATCCTCACCAAGGCCGGTCTCCAAGCCATGGTACGCTGCTTGTCGCCTCCGTCACTTCCGTGTGTCTGACTGACAATTCTGATGGCTTGTGCTCTGCAGGCCGATCGATTTGAACAGTCCGCCTTTGGAATCTGTCCCCGAGTTTATTGCCAAGGGCAGCCCGTCATCCCCTGCGGTCGCGTAGATACGCCGGGAATCGATACGGTCAAGCTCTTTTGCCCGAACTGCCAGGATATTTACGGTCCCATGAGTACCAAATATAGCGGGGTCGACGGTGAGTCCGCTCAGCGGCTGACATAGTGGGAGCCGTGGAAACTGATAGATCGAGTTCATTCATGTAGGGGCCTTTTTCGGTACGACGTTCCCCACCCTCTTCTTCCAGACCTACCCAGCATTCCTCTCCATGCCATTCAAGGGTTTCCCTCCGCCTCTCCCCAGCCCGACATCGACATCGGCCACTTCAGCCCAAACCCCTTCCTCATCCGCCTCGACCTCTAGCAAAGCCGATGCGAACACCAACCCATCGCCCATCGGCCCCCCTGAACCTCAAACCAACCCGGACCCCTATGGAGGTCAAAAACTTCCTTCATCCGGTCAATACGTCCCGAGAATATACGGCTTCAAGGTCTCCGAACGAGCTCGAAGCGGACCCCGGATGGCTTGGTTGAGGAATCGACCGGACGAGTACGACGATCTCGCCAAGGTCGATTGGAGGGGACGTTGGCTCGGATCGAGAGCGCAGGCAGAAGAAGGGAGAGGAGGTTCGGTGGTGATCGAGAAAACGGGGGAGTCTGGAGCGTTGTTTGAAGAGGACGAGGTGCTCGTCAAGTCGGATAACGAAGAGGAAGAGGAGGAAGAGCAGTAGTTGGCGAAAGGGAGTCGTGTACCATATACTTTTACACTTTCTGGGGTTAATATGTAGATGTTTAACGAATTGAAGGATTCCACTTGGGTGTTGGATGTCTGGTATATACAGTGAGGTCAATCGGAAGTTCGCGTACCGATCTGCAGCTCTCAATGAGTTTCAGTGACCGCAAAGGGGCAAACGAGCTCGGCTCGGGTATGGTATATTGTTACACATTAATTATTAGGTACGGTCCATTCATTCGATCTACAATCCTTGCATCAAGTTCACTACTACTTCAGCATCGGCATTCTCATCTACGCCCTCCATCACTGGCGTCTGTGCCCCAGTGCCTGACGGTGACAAGACGGTCGCATTGTTTTCCGACCGTCGTCGTGGCATGGAAACTGCCGGGCCAAAGAAATCGGCATCGTCTTCGCTTTGCATGTCGCAATCGTTTCCACTCCGTCTTCTCTCGGCGACGGCGGTGGTGGACTGGGCTCGACCTTGCGAACTGGTTCGGCCAGCAGAGACCTTGACCCAGCGGCGGAACCAAGAGCCGAGGATCCGTTTGATGGCGTTGTCGAAACCGAGGTATTCCGTGTTCTTGACGACGCCTTGCCAGGTCACCTCGCCTCTGGCAAGTGCGGTCTCTAGAACGGAAGCGTCTCCCCTGTAGACGAGGTCAAAGAAAATGGTGTCCGCAATCAGTTCCATGCCTTTACTTGATATCACGACAAAGCTCACCAATAGAGAACGTGAGCGAGGACAGCAAAGCTCCCCGGATCAGGTAGTGGCAGCCATATCGTAGTGGGGACATGAGCGGGCGTTTGCAAGATCCTAGCACCCTTTGCCGTTGCCGGCCGAATTTGTCGTCGTGGCGAGCTGCTTCGTCCGGCGTGCTCGCTTCTGACAAACGACGTGACGTCACTCGGAGCAGAAGGAGGAGGGACTTGGTGAGACGAGGAAGCCTTTTGTATGGGGGGTCTGTCGTCCAAGAGTTCTGCGAACAAAGCTGACTGGCTGACCAGATAGTCGCGGTGTAGGTTGAACGTCATAAGCTGCTGGGATGTAACGATTTCAGTACGATTCGGTCCGATCTGAGATCTCATTGATACTCACCTTGCGGGAAGTTTGAGTACCTGCTGCAGATTCCGGTGCTTCCTCGGTTTGGGTCGACGCGAAAGCGCCCGCGTTGACCAGGGCTGGCGAGACTCCTCCGTACAATTGTGGCGTCGAGGATGGAGGTCTCTGCGACGTCACATCCTGTGCGGGATGATCCGAGAACGATGCGTATTGAGTGGGCGAAGGGGTCGTCTGTCCCGGGCCTCTTATAGGAATGACTAAAAGTCACATGTCACGTGAGCAACTTGAGGACAAAAGGGTTCAGGGAAATGTCACTCACGGACTCGGCAGTCCGCAGTAGCGGGCTTGTTCCAGAAATTGGGTGCGAGATTATGCAAGCTCTTGACAAAGTAGGATTTTGGTATGCCTTCCTGTCGCTTCCTGTCGCGAGCTGGCAGCGGCTGTTTCGAGCTCGACGCTGATGGTTCTCCGCGAGCGTTTGACAAGGGCGGCGCCGAGCTGAAGAACGGCGTCTTGTATCCGGCCGTCAATGGCGTATGTAGAAACTGGGAGTGGGTCGGAGTCGCGGTAGGAGGAGGAATGTTGCGCAAGATGCTGGGCGTCTGTAGATATCCTGGACTATCGAGACCGACTGCGTCCCGCGCTGCACGGTCTCCTGCCGGACCTCGAGGAGAGTCCGGCCAGCTAGGAGCTGCTTTCCTGCGTTCACGACGCATGCCTGTAGAAGTCGGAGACGACATGACGAGGGGAGATATGGGAAAGGTAGCGACGGCTTGATCCTCTTGAAACCCGGCCTCGAGAGAATGGGTTGCGCTCAGACTAGGTCTCCTGTCTACTGCGGTCATGATGGCGGGGCTGGTCCAGGTAGACGATATAGCTCTACGGTCTTCCGTCAAGTATGGATGTTTAGGTCTTGAGAAACGGGCAGTGACCGAGTTGGGTGACAAAAGACGACGAGTTGTAGGAGTTTGTCGGACTGCACTGATAGGCACGGATATCGAGGCTGACGAAGGTGGAAGTGAAGAATTCGAGTCCTCTTCGTCCCGTTTGTGATACAGGGCTCGGCCGCAGTTGAGGTTTGTCAGGACGCTCAAGGGGGTAGTCGTCGGTTTATCACCGCTGGCCGCCTCGTTCCCCTGAGATTCAGATTCGGGTCGGGTGACCTGCCCATGTCGTCTGGGAAAAGCGTCGGCCCTCAAGGGCTGAGACCGCGGAGGAAGGGATGTGAATGCAGATTGATTTGCTGACCAGCAGGACGGCAGTCGACAATAGGCATGAGATGTGACGATGGGATTATTTTTTAGCGCCCAAAGGGTGGATCGTGCCCGCGTCGAAGTCGAGACAAAGAGCAGAGATCGCAGAAGAAGAAGAAGAACGGCTATGAATCAGTGTCCGAGAATTCTTGTGTACACAGCTTTCGTGGGTGCCGAACTCACGTTGTGTCATCGTAGCGAGGGCAGCCTGCTCGAACAGATCTGTGTGACGGCGTCAATTGCGGCGACGAATTGTTCCGGGTTCAACCTGGTAACCGTATATCGGTTGGGCGAACAAAAGAATACTCGTACGCTCGCGATTCCGCCAGGATTGCCACGCGGAAGTAATCAGGCAAGGTCGCTGATGCGAGCCGACATCCAACTTTGATCGAGGACACGACGACGTGAGCCGCAAATATATCAGTGGGAAGCCGTTGTTCCGAGAGCGCTGGAAACGGATACTTCCCTTTCTTCTGGTTAACACACCTTTGAACCCGTGAACACCAGACGTGGCCGTTCTGCGAGCGCGGTCAAAAGAAAGGGAGCCAGCTGGGTCCCGCTTGTATTGCGACCACGGCCGTAGTTGCGTAGTTGTCACCTTGCAAGGTCCTTTTGTTCTTCCTTTCCCCTTTGTTTGTGATCTGTGAGTGATGTAGTTGATCGAGCAGGAAATTCGGGAAGATCTTGCCGCCAGGAGCAAACGAAAGAAAGGGGTTGTCATGATGACCGCCATGTCAGCCACGTTGTCACAGGTCCACGAGCGAGCAGGCGAAAACAATAACAAAGGGGTTGTACCCATCATCCGCGCATTACACCGAATCCTTGGTCGGTGCAACTACAGCGCCGAGCGAAGGGCGAGCATGATCCGGGGTTGTCCCTTTCTTTCTGGTTCTCTACAGAAAAAGAAATAGAAATTTCGCCTTGTGCTCACCGCCCGCTCGAATCAAAGGGACTCGCTGCCCGCTACGCCCGAAACAATTTCAAAGCGAATTTGTTGCTCTTCATGACAGTTATGATACAGAGATGAGAAAACCTTCGGCCCGGATCCCCCGAATGAGGACAATAGTAATGAGATGCGACGACTTTCCCTGCGCTAGTCGCCCAGCGAGGTCCTGTTTTATCGCGATTGTGGTCGTGGTCGATCCAGGGTCGACGAGGCTGAACGTTAACAGGAGTTTGTGGCGCTGACTGTCACCAGGGGGTTTGTTGGCGTGAGAGAGTCGTGATCGGAACCGCACCCCCGACGGAAGTTACAGATATCGAGACTTGATTGTCCGCTCCTTTCGATCTCAGCCGTAAAGACCCTACATCGCCTCACGAAAAGGGGAGAGAGACAAGACATCTCGCAGGCGTTAGCCTCTGCGGCGATGTTCGAGTGCAGACGCCGTGTGGTCAAAGGCCTAGAACTCACTCCGCCATAGGGCATCACCCCGCCGTAACCCATACCAGGCATCATCCCACCGTAACCCATACCAGGCATCATCCCGCCTCCATATCCAGGCATCATCCCTCCCATCCCACCGTACATTCCCCCGCCGTACTGACCGGAATAGCCATCGAGTCCTGACATGTGAATGTGATGTTCTCGTCTATCGAGCGGGACGGTCAATTCCCTGTCGACGACGTAGTAAGAGAACCGCCGGGGCGCGACACTCTCGCCGAATCAAGCGCATCGCGGCGGTTTCAGTAGAAAGACTTACCGATGAGCATCGAAATCATCGTCTTTTAAGTCATACGCACCTCCGCCAAGCTGCTGACGATCAGAGGCACAACCAACAGAGGTAGGTTTGTCGGTCGACCATCCCAAACATCTGCAGACCGGCCTAGAAAGTTGGGTTGGGACTCACGTAACTTGGATATCCTCCCCCGTATCTGTTTCGATCAGCACAAAATGGGTCAATACCGAATTCTGTAGAGTTTGTGCTGCTTTGAAGATTCATACTCACCCTCCCATCATTCCCATTCCGCTAAAGTGAAGGTGAACAAACTGGACGATCAGCTCGGAGATTCGACCTCGGTCAAATAGAAAAGAGGCTCGGACGCGAAGATCTAGCCGACTTGCCCGTAGCCACCACTCATCATCATCGGGTCCATCATGCCTCTAACATTCAACCGCAAAAAACGAAGATCAGCATCGAACAGGGCCCCGATCAGGAAACGCTCCACAGGGAAGGGCAAACTATAAATGCACCCCATCATCCCTCCCATCCCCATTCCCATCATTCCCATTCCAGGATATCCCATGCTAGCGACGGGCAGATCCAAGAGGAAGAAAAACCGAGATGCAAATAACGCGTTTTCATGTCAGTACGACACGAACACGACACGAGGAGGTCCCAGATACGCTAGAACTCTCACCCTCCACCCATGCCGCCGTAACGCTGCGAGCAAGATTGAATCACACTCGATCAGCTACCTCTGAGGGTGGCCATGTCGTCGACGAGTGGCGCGGAAGAGCAAACTCACTTGCATGCCGTAACCACCGTAACCTCCGTCTATCGCACCACCGATGCAAGCGAGATCCACTCGTCAGTCCCTCGGACGGACACGGGCTTACCTTGATGCTCAGGCTAAACGGTGTTCGACTCACAACCTCCCATTCCGCCGTAACCTCCCATTCCGCCGTCTGCTTCGCAGTTAGACATGACAAACGCGAGCGAGTATTTGTATCAGCAATTCGCCCCGACACTGATAATAGGCAGCGGAGGATCTTACATCCACCCATATAAGGCTGCTGCATTTGTAATTGTAGTTGATTAGGATCCATGATGATAGGTGAAGATCGGACGCGAATCCGAACAAGGTCGACGTCGATGTTAGCAGGCAGCGGGTGAGAAGGCTGAGTAGGGACGGTTTGGCTCACGTTCATGTTGCTCTAAGAAGATGGCGGTCCTTATATAAGGAAATGTGTTTGTACTGCTTGGTCAACACTCGCCTGATATCGAGACTGATGGACAATTGTTGAGCGTGTTTGTTGCAGTCGCGTCTTCTTGTTGCCTGTTGATAAGCGAGAGGCCGGAGGCGATAGATGATTCAGGCAGGAAAACCGAGGTGCCCGACAGGAATAGATAGATAGAAGTAGTCGAGCAGAGGTTGAAAGAAGATAGGGGGCGATGGTGTGGAGTTAGGAGGAGGACAATGAGGATCGAGAGAGGGCGGGTGAAAGGAAAGAACCACCGAGGGCACGTGAAGGGGAAAGAGGGATTGAGACCCCGCGTCGACGTGATTGTCTCGCCTTGTCACGTAGGCAAGGCGTGAGACCGTTTGATTTCAGAGCAGCTTTTCTTTCGTCACCCGAGGTCGAGCAGGAGATGAACGAGGGGTCGGAGTGTTTGTATCGAGTGGTATGTGTGTGTAACTCGGAGGTCGATCGAGAAGAAACGGCGAAAGGAGCTCGGAAGGTCGAGCCAAGTCGACTCTGGCAGGAAAATTGCTTTGCCCACGATGTCCCGATGTTGCCCCCCTTGATTCCCTGGACGCGCCGGACAGGCAGCAGCAGCTCGATCAGGAAAGACAAAGGAAGCCTTCTCCAGCCAAACAAACTACCCAAAGGGGGTCGAAGGATCTCGCAGCAGAAACACGGAGATCACGGGGCTTCGAACGCGTCGCCGATCAACCTCGCGCCGCCACGCGTTTCATCAGACCGTCGAATGATCTGCCACGATCAAAAGAACAATGGGATTTCTGTAGATGACATCATTCGTTGAGTTTAGGGGTAAGTCGGCCGAGGCTTATCGCTCGATCCACCATGCGTGACTCTCTGACCCCTATCTCCCCTGGTCTCGTGCCACTCGTCGCCGACACACTTCCTCTGACTTCCGGGACTTTTTCCTTATTCCTCCGCGTTTCACTTGCGATCGTCCACCCAACGAGCCAACGCGAATAGATCAAACGACCCGCGATCCCCAACTCGCACAGATATATCCCTTCTCACGTCTCCGAGTTTGAGGAGAGGTCTCCGCGGTGCGAAAGCTGATCAGGATACGTCCAGAAAGGTTGACCTGCCGACGATCAGGCTACATTGCCCGGGGAAAAGTCGCAAAGGCTCTTGTGTTCGATGTAACACAAGCAGTTTTGCGTTTTGCATTTGCGTATTGCCTGGACGATATCGTTATGCAATGCTAAGTCGGAATCCTCAATATGTTATATAAGAGGCATGGGATTTGAGGATTGGTTGTCCTGGTTCTGAAGGAGTGAAAACCAAGGGAAAGCTCAAGCAGCTATCTTCCATACTGTTCAAGGTGCCGGTCACCATTTCTGCTCGCCAAGCTGTTACCTTCAACGTTGATCGTGAACTCTCGAACACAACTTATCTAGACCGTAAGACACCCCGACGAACCTATTGTTTCATGCAACCCAACTCCATCGATTTCTTCAGCTGACACGGATGCCTTTCGCTGCGATAGAAAATAAAATTGTCCAACACACTGCAAGATGAAGGCCGTTCATTTTCTCTCCCAAGTCTTGGTCCTTCTAGCCGGGTCCAGTTCGGTCTTGGCCAAGGATAGGAAACTCACTATCAAAGTAATTTACATCCGGACTATCCTCGCACTTCTCTTCGATCCCATTGCTCATAGAATATCCTCTCCAGAACTCCTGCGCCGCCAAAGTCTGCCCGGGGGTCGACCAATCCGCCGCGAAGAAGAAGCTATCCTTCCCCAACGGAAAATCCGGCAACCTCGGCGGGTGGTGTCTCGGTTCGGGCGAGTCTACCGTACTGACCCTGCCCGGGACTTGGAGCGGCAAGTTCTGGGGCAGGACCGGGTGTGATGAAGGTGGGAAGTGCGTTACGGGAAATTGTGGGGGTGTGGACTGTACGGGCGGGAACGAAGGGTCTGTCACTCTAGGTACGTTCAGCGAGGTCGACCGATTTCTTGAATCACGCGTGTTGATTCTTCAATCTGTGATGTTTTGATGTGGGATCAGCCGAGATTACTACTTTTGACGGCAGTAACGCTCAGGAATTTGACTTCTATGACATCAGTCTTGTCGACGGTATGCACCCTGCGGTCTTCCTTCTGTAGGTAGGGCTTTCACTGACGCCCTAGCCACTTTCGCGCGACAGGCTTCAACATCCCGGCTTCCTTGAGCCTGCCTGGAAGCCAATGCCCGACCTCGTCTTGCGAAGGCAATGCCAACGCCCACTGTCCCGACGAACTTCGTACCTCGATCGACAAGGGCACCAACATGGCCTGCATGTCCGCCTGCAAAGCTGGGTTCGGGGTCGCCACCGTGTCTCACGGAGGAGGCAGTTCCAAGGCGAGCATGAACTGTTGTTCAGGTGAGCCTCTTTGCTCTTGGGTTTGCAAGGTTGAGACACCGTTTATTGACGAAGGTGCGATCGACAAAGGGCCCTGGGCCTCTCCTGAGAACTGTCCGAAGGATTGTATCGACTACTACGGCGCGCTGAAGGACGCCTGTTCGACCGGTTACGCTGTAAGTGATCTTCATCAGGTGCAAGCGTGCTTCAAGGCACTGACGAGCGCGAGCACCGAATCGCGATGATTGCAGTATGCCTTCGAGTGAGTAGTACGGAAGCAATCAAGGTTAAATCACCTGAACGCCATCCTTCGCAGTGAGAACCATAAAAATTCTCTCGGAAGCTGTCCAGGCGATCAACCCGACTACGAGCTGGAGTTTTGCCCAGGCGGGTCTTCTTACGAAGGAAACGCTGGTGGAGATACCAAGTACCTCAACCAGATTTCTTCGCACGAGACTTGCGCTGCAAAGCCCTTGCTGGTGAGCTCGCGTTGATCAGACGTGGTTTGATCACCTTGGTTCACGAATCTTGCGTTTCAGCCCGGTTGGAGTATCGTCGAGCCGGCAACCCTTTTCGCCGGAGGAGGCAAAAGTTCCAATCAAGAACCTCAGGTAAGCATGATACCTATACCGTAGTCATCCTTGCTATAACCGGTGGATTGATATGCACTCGGCTACCAGGCCAACACCGAGCAGAAGGGCATCGGCTCTCCAAGTTCAGCCTCTTCCACCACCTCAGAACCCACTGGAGACGCTGCAATCCCTCCTGTCCCGGTGAATTCGGCGGCCTCTTCTTCTATCGCTCTGGGCGTGGCAACCGGCCCAGCCGAGATTGTAGCCACGACCGAAAACGCAGTACCTGCACCTGCACCTGCAGCGACCTCGGCTTCGCCTACGACCCTGACCGATTCCGTCGAGCCCGTCGTCCCTCCCAAAGGCGCGGCGACGACCGCCACTGACCCTGCTCCATTCGTGCCCACCGTGCCCGCTCCGACCGAGCCCGCGGAGACAGTTCAAACCGGCCGTGGACATCATCACGGATTCGGGAACCCTCCCACGAAACGAGACGAGCAAGAACGTTCGGTTCCGCCTGGTGAAGGTGGTAATTACGCTGCGAAAAGGTCAGCTCGTCAGCACAAGAAGAGGTTGATCCACAAGTCTGGCGCCGGCATCTTGTAAGGCCGCTTGACCACAAATACCCCTCGCTCTTGATAGGGACATGCTTTTGTGGAGACATGAACATATCATCTGCTTTTTTTTTTTTGACCTTTCGTGTTTGTTGTCCAGCCTCCAAATATTCAGCTTACAAACGATCCCTTCTCGAACCCTACAACATGCCTTTGCATTTTGGATCCCTGTTCCCGCTCTCCCGTCTCTCGAAATGCGACGTGTCTACTCGCCAGACTTGCCTTCCCTCTTGGCTTGAGCCTTGGCCTGCAGGGCCCTTCGTTTGATCTGGGTGGTCATAAAGGTCTGGAATACCCACAACGAAACAACCAGGCAGATCAGCTTGGGGTCGACATCTTTGGTGTGACAGCGTCGAGATGATGTGGCAGAACTGAACTTACGCCTACGACAAAGCTGACAAAGTTGAACCAGATCACCCAGGTCTCGGCGGGAAGGAAGGTCTGCGCAAACGCGATCGAGAGGGGTGAGGTGATCCACATTGACTATGAAAAGTTTTATGAGGGAAGGTGTAGCACCCCATCGACGTGATCAGCACGATGAACCTGAGCAGGTCGAAGAGAGAATACGGGGTGCAGCAGCACGCATACCTTGAGCACAGTCGGTAGACCCATCTTGACGGTCCTGATGACGGTTTCAGCGGAACGAGCTCCGTTGATGATAGCCATCGACGTGATGTATACTACGGCCATGACTGGGGTCTAGCGAGAACAAGGTTGAGAAGCCAGGGATTGTCAGTCGGACTCGCAGCGTTCTCATATAGCTACCCGCCGAGCGGATAAAGCATCAAGCCCAGCGGTCAACACCCTTGCTCAAGCCACTCACTTGAATCGACATCATCGCAGCAATCTGTCCCAACCGGGCGAGAGCCCCGGTTCTCCCTGCAAACATCTTTTGGAAGAACCCTACGAAGAAGTGGGCAAGAGGAGCCGAGACTAGACCTCCATAAGCGGACATCTGTAAAGCGTCTCCGATTCGGTCTCAGCGTCACAACTCCAGATCTCAAAGAACGTGTGGACAGGAACCCACCTGAATAGCTTTCGAGCTGACTCCGAGCTGGCTCAATAATCCCAACAGCTGAGGAGGCGCCACTCTTCTCAGATTGCTGTTCTTGGCCGGCCAGTCCTCCTTGAGGCTACCGCTGGCCCGGGCGGCGATGACCTCTTGTAGGAAGAAGAGGATACCAGAGGTAACGGCCTTGGTCTTCAGAGGCTTGACAGCGAGATTGTTGAGGTACCTTGCCAGGAGACGTTGGAACAAGGGAAGAGCAGGAGGAGCCGCTGAACCCGATGTCGAGGGACGCAGGACTGAGCCCGTAAGCATGGGCTTGACCGCCTTTGCGGCTGCATCGGTGACAGCAGAGGTGTCAATGTGAGGCGAGACCTTGGCCTGGACGGTGGAAGTGGCGGACATGATCGCGAGGTTATGAGGGTATATATTCGACTTGAGATGGTATACAACAGGTGGAGGTACCGAAATGAACCCTGAAAGTCGAGAGGTCTAGGTCGAGAAAGAGGTATCATCGACCTCGACGACGTCGAGCCGGGGCCATCCTCTCTCCCCCGATAACCGCGGAGATAACCGACGCGTCGAATAACCGGAAACGTGACATATTTCATGGATACAGCAGTTAGTACGTCGTAGTAGCAATCGCGCTCCTGTACATCAAGCGAGTATCGCCTTCTTGGCCTGCTCGACGTCAAAAATCGGGAGCCCGCAGGCAAAGTCGCGACAGATCCGCAGATTCTCTTTGATGTCTTTCCCAGCGCTCCGGTCGCGCTCGATGCCCTCGACGATATCCTTGACGACCGCATTGTAACGAGCCAACCCCGTGGGCGGATTTGACGGATCGATATAGATGATGACCTTGTTCGGAATGTACCGAGTCGCATGAAGCGTTTGAATCATGGCCCGAACAAATGTCGAGTCAGATGCGCCCATAATGACGTACTGCATAACATAGGAACCCGTCAGCCGGTAAATCGTAAGCTATAATTTGCCCGACTGCTTACCTCTTGCATCCCTCTCACGGCATCATCACCCCCGGCGACAGCGGTGGCAAATACGAAAGGAGCCTGCTTCAACATCGCCTCGTTGCTCTTGAGAACCCTCTCCGCCTTGTCCCGGTAGTCTCGATATCGGTCCGAGCAATAATGGGCCAATGCGAACAAGTTGTGAACGGCCACCGAGGAGGCAGCAGGCTCAGCGCCATCCTAGTAAGTCGATACAGGATCGATTAGCTCGAGTGTCTCGGTTTCAGTTTCAGGCCAGAATCCGCTCTCACCTGAGACTCCTTCATTCGAACCAATACGAGCTCGTCCTCTTCGCTCGCCCAATAGCCCCCTCCTTGTTTGTCTTCGAAAAGCTCGTCCATCTTTTCTTGCAACTGAATCGCCCACAGTAGATGGATTTCCTGCCCCGTTATGCTGTACATGCGGATCAACGCTTGAATCAAGAACGCATAGTCGTCCGCTTGGGCAGTCTAAAAGACAGTACATGTTTAGCGTTCGGAATGGCGACTTGATTGGAACGCGCGACTCACAGGACCTTTGCCTTCCCTCCAACTGCGAACCAGCGTCCCAGTAGTCTCATCGTACATATCGCTGTGAATGAACTGGACAGCGCGTTCGGCAAGTTGGCGACATCGACCAGCGATAGTGTAACGCTCTGAAGGCAAAGAGGCGGACGCTTGAGCCAAGGCATTAATCTAAATCGTGCATGCATCAGCGCGCGCATTTATCCGATCGAGATGAGTGTTCCACTGCGCACCATCAGACCGTTCCAAGAGACCATGATCTTGTCGTCCAGATGCGGCTTCGGGCGATTCTGTTCACGCCATTCCCTTAGACGCACGATCGATCGCTGGATGATATCGCGGACTTGATCTTCGCTGGTCCCATGTTTCTTGGCAACTTCTGCATAAGAGAGGGTTTGATACAGCGTATTCTGCAAGACATTGATGTCAGCGAGCAGATCTTCAAAACCACACGTGCTGTTGAAGCGAGTCTCACTTTGCCCTTCAGCTCGTTCCGAGCATCGTGCGAAGGATCCACGTTCCCTTTGACCTTCACGTTCCAGAACGTGGCAGCGACCTCGGCGTCATCACCTAGAACCAGGTCAAACTCCTCGCGCGTCCAGACGTAAAAGGCACCCTCTGCATGGAAAAGGAGACGATTAGGCTTCATCACCCAAGTACCAAAGGTCAGGCCGGTCTGACTTGCCGCTCTTCTTCCCCGGATTCTCCAAGCTTTCCCCGCTGTCGGCATCTTCCGCATTAAACATTCCACCATCGGCGCTGACGAGATTTCTCGAAACATAGTCGATAATGTCGGCAGCCAGATCTTCGCAAATCCTGCGATTCTCTTCTTGCGGTGCCGGTAGATTCGGGAGCAGAGCAAACTCCAAAGCAGAGAGGGCAAGTTGTGCTTGGTCGTACCTGCATACATCGCAAGGTAGGGGATGAGCACCAGTAGGAGGGCTCGATTGCAAGGGTCCTGGACCCACAACATCTTCTCGAAATGAGGCAATCGAAAGTACTCGTCCACGCTGTATCGCGCGACTCCGCCACCGACCCAATCTCTCACACCTCCCTTCCACAAAGCACGTAGCATGTCCATACCCATGATGGCTGCATTCCGCCCTTCTTGCTGTGATTCCTCAGAGGCGTCCTTCTTGACAGAATGAGCGGCAATCCGAGCGAGGATGACCATGTTCTGAGAGGTGGACGGGAATTTGGGACCTCGACGGGAGAAGCCGCCATTGACGGGATCGTGATTTCGACAAAGATACTTGTAAATCTTGTGGACTGCTGGGTTGATTAGACCGGCAAGGTTCGTGGAGGACTCGGACTGTATTTAAACTGAAGTTAAAGCACTTCAACTCTGGCTTGAAAGGCGAGCAGGACACTCACATCGTCCGAGACCTGCACATCCTTCAGCTGCTGGATGACGTCACGACCGTTCTCGATCACCATCTCCCGTTGATCCTGCCACCTAAAATCACACAAAGTGTGATGTAAGCCTCCGGGACTCGAAGCGTAGAAATGGAGGGCGGTGCTTACAGCTCGCTGATCTTGTCAAGTAAACCCATGAACTTGCCAAGAGGAAAGTAGGTACCGGCGAATACCGGTTCGAGGGTAGGGGTCAGGACTGCGAAAGCTCGTCTGTTTGTTACTGCCAACTTCAGACCGGCGATTCTTAAATCGGCTCACAAACAGACATAGGCCATCCTCCTCCTCCTGATGTGGCCTGCAAATATTGCATGTACATCCGATCAACGTCGGGGCGTTCCTCCCTGTCGACCTTATATAAAAAACGCATGTCATCGGCGTAAGCGGACGACATCGAGATATTATGATAGCTGTTGCACAAGCGATTCTAACATACCTTGATACAGATGAAATACTTGTTCATCATGGCCGCACAAGTCTAGTATGCCGATACGTCAGCACATTCACCCTCGTCAGCAAACGAGACCCCACTCGCTCACTTCATTTGAGAAGCTCTCCTCAGCCTGCACTCCGCACCAATGGCAGGTAGAGTACCCAACACTGAGAAAGATCATCTTTTCCTCCTCTCTCGCCCTGGCTATCGTCTCCGGTGTCCATTGCTGCCAGTGCACCGGGTTCGACTTGTGTTGAAGCAGGTAAGGCGACCTCGCTTGCTCCAACGTGTTCTTCAGAGGCGGCAGCTCCGCCTTGCCTTTTCCTTTTCCTTTAGTCTCGTGAGTCGACATTTGGTAGTGATGATAACTCGTCCAGCTAATTTTTCGAGTATCAGCTTGGCTTCCATGAGGACTCCAAGATGTTCGACATCTCGAACACTTGAGCTGACCTGTATGCAACTCGGGGGACGTTGAGCGGATGCAAAGTGGTAAGGTGGAGGTCCCGGAACATGACGAATTCTACCCAAGACTGACGGACATGAAGATACAGATTGATCTCCGCCAGGGGCATCATGAATCGATCTGAAACTTTCGAATGAAGAGGCCGACGACAGATGAAACATTTGGTTTACGCAGAACGGTTTGTGGCACTGCTCGCCTTCAAGGCGGCGAGATCTCGGTAGGCAATTACTGACGACCGCTGCGTTTCGAAGACGCACTGCTGCCAAGAAAGGCCACTTCTCACTTCCGAATATGAAACCTGCTGAAGTCGTCGTGCGATCGAGCGCAATGCAATGCTGCCAAGCCATCTTATGGACCATTCCTCGAAACGAAAAGGTTCGGCTGGAAGCGTCGGAGATCTGTGATCTTGACGAGGAGGCGACATGGTGACGGGGATGGCTTTGTCCCTCGCACATGCCGCTCGCTGAAACTGGTTGCTGGGAAACGAACGACCGGTTCCCCGCCGCAATCCCCTGGACCCCTTCGAATCCAGTGCGCCTAGGCGCTCGGCCGGTTGGGGATCGAAATGGTAGAATCGGGGATCAAGGAAAACCTCCCGAGAGCACGAGAGGCGGAAAGTGGAGGGAAGACGCGTAGACGGCTTACGCTTGCCGGCGGCAGCCGACCTACTGCCGCATCGGTTACCAGCCGAGAGCCCTTGGAGGGGCGTGACTATGGTTCCCCCAGGTTCTATTTGCGAATCTCGCCTGTACTTGCGGCAAGCTTGCAGCTGTTCATTCGCTACGTCGATGGCTACGAAGCTACGAAGTGTTGTTTTACCCCGTGACCTCGTGCACGGGACCCGGGGGCGAGACAGGGCAGGACGAGGGAGGGAAGAAAATTCGCCAGAGGAAAATGAAAGGCCAGGGGATTGCGTCGTCGTCCGAGTACTTAGAGCTGGGGTGCCCATTCAATATAAGGCCTCGACCTCCAAGGGGTCCCACCTTTGCAGATTCCATATCGCAACTGGATCATTTCTGGCCACACAGGAATTCGCCAGTAAGACTGTCCAACAATGGTGGCTGCTATCCCCAACCACACCGACGACGAGCTGGTCGGGCTCGTCTCTCGTCCTATGTGAGTGTGGAATACGCTTGCAAAACGCTCGGGATCTGGCTCTGACTGATGAACCTGCTTGACCTTACTTTCGATAGCTGGCACAAGTCCAACCGTCGAGCTATCTTCTTCTGCTTCGTAAGTCCGACCATTGTCACAAATCCGCTACGACTTCTGCAGCGGACGACTCGCTGACCACCTCGATTTGTCCCCTCCAGGTCTTTGTGCTCGGAGCCTTCTTGTACGGTTACGATGGAACCTACTTCACCGGTATGCTGGAGATGCAGCGTTTCAAGGAAGACTTTGGTGATTACGATGCCACCACGGGGACCTACGAGATCAAATCGACCTACACCGCCGTCTTCGCGTCGATCGTCCAAGCCGGAGAGTTTGTCGGATCCTTGATGGCTTCGGTCTTGGGTGACTATCTCGGACGAAAGGGAGCCCTCTGGACCGCTGTCTTGATCGTCACCATCGGATGTATCCTTCAACTCATCCTTGTTGGATCGGTCTCGCTCCTCATCGTCGGTCGATTGATCCTCGGTATCGGTGTCGGTATCGTCTCGAACTGTGTGCCCATGTACCTGTCCGAGATTCCTCCTGCCGCCATTCGTGGTTCGATCGTCTCGACCTGGCAGTTGACTTTGGCTATCGGTCAGGTGAGTGGCCCGGACCGCAAGCGCTTGCCACATGCACTATAAGCTGACCTTGCCCCGAAACCCAGGTCATTGGTGCTTGTATCGCTCAAGGAACTAAGGACTATGAGAGCACCTTTTCGTGGCGATTCCCCGTCGCTTTCAACATTGTCATCACTCTCGCCATCGGCATCGGCTTGCTCTTCGTCCCCGAGTCTCCCCGATGGCTCACCCAGAAGGGCAAGGATGACAAAGCCTTCCGAGCTCTCGAAGCCATCAACAAGAACAACGAGGACCTCGATGCCGAGACCGAGCTGGGAATCCTGATCGCAGCTAGAGAAGCCGAAGCCAACAACGAGGGCAACCGATCCAGGTGGAAGGACCTCTTGTTCGTCCCCGCTGACCGAAGGCGATTCATTTGTGCCTTTGGTATCCTCTGTTGTCAACAAATCTCGGGAGTCCAGTTCATCTTCTCCTACGCCACCCGATTCTTCACCGACATTGGTCAGACCAACGCTTTCTTGTACACCATCATTGTCGACATCATCGAGGTTGTCGGTGAGTATCGGCTTACATTTCCGGTTCGTATCTGTCGTTCACCTGCTGACCCTGTTGATCCGCTTTCCAGGTGTCATCATGTCGCTGTTCATCGTCAACCGATTCGGCCGTCGTCCGCTTCTCATCGGAACCGGTATTTTCATGACCTTGACCGATATCGTCATTGGAGCCATCGGTATTGAGAGGGATCGAAGCGCGCCGATGAACACTGCCATTGTCGCCATGATCATGCTATACGTCTGGGCCTTCAACTTGGCCTGGGGACCCCTCGCATGGGCTTGTGCAACCGAGCTTTCGCACGGAAAGAACAAGACCAAGATCATGTCTGTCGGAACTGCCGGATTCTGGGTGAGCAGACGCCTCCTGAGCGAGATAGACAGGGCGAGCTTGTGTCTGACTTCGCAAACATACACCCTGGTTCATTCAGATCTGCGCTTGGGCCGTCACCTTTACTCTACCGTACTTGTTCGATGAAGATCAGGCCAACCTTGGTCCTATGGTCGGTTGGATCTACGCCGGTGGTGGATTGATCTCGGTCTTGTTCGTCTACTTCTGCATTCCCGAGACTCTGGGACGAAGGTGAGCTTCCAACTGCACTTTAGCTTTACGAGCCAGAAAGAACTTGTTGCTGATATTCGTTTCTGCTTGTGTCTACGCCCAACCTTTCAGCCTCGAAGAGATCTCGGTCATGATGGACTTAGGCGTGCCCACTCGATCCTGGACCACTTACCGTGTCGGCAACGTCGAGCAGAACTTCGGCGACGACGAGTTCCGCTCTGCTGCCAAGCGGGGCAAGATGAACCGTGGCCAGTCTTATCACGTCGAGAACCCTACCCAGGGCAAGGAGGAGAAGGATGCCTAGGCGGAATAACTTGTAAACATCAGATAGATTTTCACTCATGTAGCATACAATTACCGAAATAATCGCATCTGACTAGCTGTTTGTTGGACGAGTACCACTTTTGATTCCGAGGCCTTTCTCAATCATGATGTCCGCGTCGTTCGGTCGATACCTGCATGCGCCTCCGTAACGACTGAATGCAAGTATGATGTAAAGGCCAGTCTAGCCGCGAAAGCAGTGATTTGTGAGAAGCGCTTGAGCAGATGCAATCCCCCCAACCACCGCTTAACCTAGCGTCTCGTCTTCCTAGACCCCGGTGCGATCCCACCCGCGTTGGCCATCTTGGCCTCCCATTTCTTCTTCCTCTCCTCTACCGCGCTCTTCTTCGCCTTCTTCTTCTCCTGGCTCAAACTCTCCGGTATCCCATCTGCCCGACGGTTACGTCGTTCTTCTTCTTCTCGCAGATAAGTCGAGACGGTCCGGTCTACCGCTGCCGTCAGACCTAGTTCCCGCTCGGGTTCAGCTGGTGATTCCGAGTCCTCGCCCTCAACGACTCCTTCGTTTTCAGAGATCGACCGTGTCCGTCCTGCGGCTGCCGGATCCGACATCAGGTCATCCAAAGTCCACCTCCCCAATTTTCCTTCCCCAAAGCTCTTGAGGAGGTATCTCTGCGCAGCATCAACATCCGGTATGCCCCCGATCATGAGCGTTCCCAACCTCTTTGCCAAGGCAGTCAAGAGTTCTTCCAGAGCGTTGGTCTGATCCGTGAATGCGGATGGTAGAGGAAGTCCGGGGTAAGGCGAGGTAGATGCGGTGAACCTTGGATGTAAGTTCATCCGGTATAACAGGTAGTCGGCGAGGATCTCCGGGGGGAACAAGCTCTCTTTGATTCCGGCTGTAGAGCGAATACATATTGCTCACTTCGAATTCAGCCTACATCCAGCTGACGGAGATCGATCTCCCGGATCAGGCGATGGGGTACTGACAAGTCAACCCCAATTTCAACCCGCGTTCCATCCCTTCCTCCCCCTTGCCCAGATAAGGTACCATGATCCCCGCCATATCGTATACATATACAGGCGGGGTTTCGTGCACCTTGACTGTCCCCGTGAATTTCCTCGTATGCCCTGGCAAGGAAGATGTCTGGAACGCTTTCCCTATAGGGTTGGATCATCCCAGAATATTTCGAGTCAGGAGTTTTTCGTCAGGACGAGGGCGATGAACAGGAGTAGGAACCAACCTTTCCGGACCCCAACCCGACGAAGGGCATTAAGGAGTGATGACTTGCCCACATTCGGCATCCCTACTACAAGCACCTTCATGTCGTGTAACGGGTCAAAGTTTCTCTTCGAGACGTCTACAAAGGAGTCAGGAGCGGAGTATATGTAATGTTTGTAAGTACACGTGTGTCGGGTATTCACGAGAGGAACGAAAGACGTACCTACCGCATGTGCGAGGACTTTGCGGACGTCCCTATCGCTGCGTGTATCGGCGAAGAAGATGCTCTGATTGGCGTGCTTCTTGAACGCTCGTTTCAATGGCTAGCCAACAAGGAGAGAAAAGAAGTCGATAAGCTCGGATCAATTCGATTTCGAGCATCAATCTCTTCGGGGCATCCAGAACTGACCTCTTCGAAACGCTCTTCAGCTTGGTCCCGTTTAGTATACACTACAACCTTTTCCTTTCCCTTCCCTTTCCATCCGCTAGGCCCCGCCAAGTTCATCCTGCCCCAACTCTCCTCCAGCACCTCATCGAATGCCGGATTGATACTTGTCAGAGGTAGGCGTGCGTCTCTGGCTTCGATAACCAGGTCGATATCCTTGAGAACGGTCGGGAGTTTCGTCAAGGATCTGGACATGTGTCCAGCGAACCATGAGGGCGTATTGGTGGGGAACGGAAAATGCGTCCTGGGAATGAACGACATGATCGGCTTGGTGTTTGGGAGATGGCTGATGAGCTAGTTGGAAGGGTTAAATGCCAATCTGCATGCTGCATGATTGTTAAATCGGGCCCTGCGATCTGCACACGATTGGGATAGACAGCTTTCTTAGTAACGATTATTCGTTTTGAACTTCACTCGCCTACTCTCTGTAATCTAATCAGCTCCAATATCGATATCGATTGCCGGAGTTTCACGTCGGCGATGTTGGCATCAAACGGCATGCAGCGTGATCTTCTGTAGATCTGTAGATTGAGTGCACCCTAGACCTGGGGATCTATTGGATCATAGACCTACGACTTACCGTGCATCGTCAGGCTTCGATGGCTGCACAGGATCTGGATGGGTATGGACATGACCACAACTTTCAGAGCGGCTCGAGCCACAATCACTGCTGCAACTCCGGCGACTCTGACTTCTGTCGAGAATCGATGCTTCTCCGAATGTCATCATCTACTCAGCAAGGCGATCTTGAAGCTGCCAGCGGACAGCCTACAAGCACAGTGAAGCGCCCACAGGTAAGCCTATCAGCACAATGTGAGATTACGTCTTTGAGCGGGAGATCCAATGTTATCTGGTAGCGCACTAGGTTGACCAGTTTCATTCATTAGCATTGAAATTGGTTCCTAGGTCCACAAATTCCTGGCGACCATCAGATTGCCTGCTTGCGCTTCTCGCAACAAGTCATCACATGATAATGCTTCGATCATCGCCTGCGTCTCTGGATGATCTACGACCTCTTACGGAATCGCTATGCCTTTTCTTCTGGCCCGCCGGCGTCGATTCTGGCCTCGATGAAGCCCTTCGATTCGCCAACAATGTGGGCCGATAACGATATATACTTGTGCACGACGACCGAATCCTTTACGTTTGTATCGATCATAATCAGTAGCAACCCTCTCCTGTCCGCCGTGACGGCGATAACGAATAATCATTATGATCGTATCGTTGTATACACGTCGCCCACCGTCCCTTCCCTCCGTCTCCCTCGTCAACAACCGACAAAGACAACAAATCCAAGACTCGGATCAGAATGCATGTTCAGGGGGGCAAGGGGGGTATGGAATGACTTGTTCACATATTTCGCACCCCGTCATAACGCAACAGCGGCAGATATCAAGTTAGGTATAAAGATCGGAGAAACGACACTAATCGCCATCAGCTACGCCGCCAAACGACATCTAGCTCATAGCTCGAGATCGACTCCAACTTGGCCACAAGCAGTTCAGTCAACGAGAAACCGAACGAGGTCACCCGACAGATACACGCCTTCGATCATGGATGATGGGGCTGCTCCGCCCGAGCCGGATTACTCCTTGATCCCGCTTCAGGAGAGATGCGTGGATAAAGTCAGTATCCATCATTCTCTGTTAGACCAACCCCTTCTTAGAAGCGACAACAAGCTGACCCACCGGAATGTACCTCGTTGTCAACTCCTCGCTCATTGCAGAATTGGAAAGCCCGACTATCAGCCTACACGGAGCTAACGCTCAAATTCAGTAAAACTTCCGGAGACGACGACCCCTTCTTTCGCCCCTACCTCTCCGCCGATCTCCTGCGGTCATGGGCGACAGACACGAACGCTGCCGCCCAGGAGAAAGGACTCGAAGCTCTCTGTAGCCTGATCAGAGAATCTGGGGAGAATAGCGCGAGGACAAGAGGGGATGTGATGGGCGGGGTCGTGGACAAGGGGTTCATCTCGACTAGGGCGGGGACAAAAGCCAAGGCGATCGAGGTGGCTTTGCTGTATATCGAGGTGGAGAACGACGGGTCTGGGGTGGTAGTGAGTTTCGAGTCTTGAAAGAGCCGTTTAGAAGGGTTCGAGAAGCGATGCTAAAATGTTTGCTTGTTTCACCATATCGACAGTCGGACGTATTAAGAGGACTGGATGCCAAACAACCCAAATTGGTGGCCACCACCGTAACTTGTCTTCGCGAGATTGTCCAGTCAGTGCAGACCTTTTCGGTGCTCCCGTCGACTTGATATGGACTGATCAAAACCCTCAATCCCTAGCGCTTTTGGGATCAAGCCTCTGGGAGACGTCAAGGTGTTGATCAAGGCGTTGGTCAAGATCTTCAATCACAATGACAAGGCCGTCAGGAGCGAGGTATGAACCCTTTCTCGTTCGATTTAATGGGTAATGCTCATCTGCTGTATTCTCTTCAGGGAACACTCCTCGCTCAAGCATTATACCGTTATCTCGGACCCGCCCTTCTCCCCTCATTGGCAGATCTGAAACCTGTGCAACAGAAAGAACTGGGAGAAGGGTTCGCTCAGCTGGATTCCGCTGGAGAAGGCGCTGGAACGGGCAAGGCGACGAGGCTGACTAGAAGGGAGAAGAGAGTCGAAGAGGAGAGAGCTGCCGCGGGCACAGGAGACGCGGACGACGAGGCGGGTGAGTTGAACATGTCATGGCCTGCGCAGTGTGTAGGAGGCTGACGATCGCTTCCGATAGCTACTGCTGATGAGCCACAAGCTATGGACCCCTTGGACTTGATCGAAGCGGTCGACGTCGTCCCCCTCTTTCCTGACAACTTTCACTCGGTCATCACCTCGAAGATCTGGAAGGAAAAGGTCGAGCTCCTCGCCGAATGTGCCAAGATCCTGGAATCTAACCCCAAGATCAAGGACGTGCCCGCGCTCGGCGATATCGCTACGGCCTTGGGGCAGAGAATGACGGATACAAACGTCAACGTCGTCAGCGCCAGTGCTGGGGTATTGGCCACACTCGCTCAGGGGGTCGAGGGGAAAGGTTTTGGGAAGCACAAGGGGGTGATCGTACCGCCTATTCTGGACCGGCTGAAAGAAAAAAAGACAATGGAAGCGTTGGGAAAGACGTTGGATGCGGTGTTCGAGACGGTAGGCGTTGTTTTGTGATGGCGGGGTATAACGAGATACTGATAGGATGTTAGTGTAGGTGTCGTTCGCCGACGTTACTGGAGACTGTGTGACTGCTCTGCAGAATAAGAATCCGGTAGCGCGACAAGGAACGCTACAATTCCTCGCTCGAGCGTTGCAGAACACTCGGGACGCGCCCACCAAATCCGACCTGGATGTCATTGCCCCGGCCATCGTCGGTCAACTCGGAGACTCTCTCGAGCCCGTTCGGAGCGCTGCTGCGGAAGGACTCGGTTGTCTGTCCAAGATCTTTGGGGAACGTCCGATGAATCCGTATCTGGAGAACATCACTGATGCGCAGAAGACCAAGGTGACAGAGGCCACTGGCAAGGTCGAAGTCAAGTGCAAGGCCGGGACCAAGGCTGCACCGAAACCTGCACCTGCTACTGCGGCTGCGGCTCCGCCCAAATCTACGGGACCCAAGATCCCTGCGCGACTGGCAGCGAGGTTTGGAGCTAAACCCAGCGAAGTATCGGCGTCCAGTGAGGAAAAAGCTCCTGAACCTGTCCAGACTGTACCTTCACGACCGCCATCGGTGACTGCGATCTCGAAACCCATCTCCTCACATGTCTCAAACGAAGAGGTCGGAGACGCGCTCGCAGCACCGACACCGCTCAAGAAGGCTGGACCTCCTGCGCGTCTCATGGCTCGTGCAGCACCACCGGTACGTCTCGTCAAGGTCTCGCTTGTGCAACTACCAAATTGACTTCTTCGTACCGTTCCGTAGGCAGCCAAAAAACCCGCTCCAGCTGCAGCCAAACCGGTAGCGAAATCCGGAGCCGGTAAGGCTGCTCCGGCACCTGTGTCTTACGACGTCAAATACAAGTTTGCCCCAGAGGACGCTTTGGCTAAAGCTGCCGAGGTTGTTCCTGACGACATTCAGACGGGCTTCAAGAGTGGCGCATGGAAGGAACGACTGGAAGCTGCAGACAAGATGACGGCTTGGATACAATCCGATGAAGGCGCCGAAGCCGACAGCGAAGTCTTGTTCCGATATCTGTCCACATCGCCAGGTTGGGGCGAAAAGAACTTTCAGGTGTCGTCCAAGGTGTTTGCCATCATGGCCGAGCTCGCTCAAAAGTCTTCGAGTTTTGGCAAGTCCTCGGCCGCCCAGGCGATCGGACCTCTAACCGACAAGTTGGGAGACATCAAGTTGAAAAAGCCTGCAGGAGAGGCCTTGATCGTGTTTGCCGAAAAGACGTCCCTTGGCTTTGTCCTATCACAGGGTGAGTTCCGGTGCATCCCATCCTGCGTACACAGATTCGCTGATCAGAATCACTTGGGTCGACAAGCCTACGACTCGATGACCAAACAAAAAGCGCCGAAAGCTCAGGCCGACGCGTTGACCTGGGTCAAGCAAGCAATCATCGACTTTGGTATCAAGGGGCTTGCCTTGAAGGACGTCATCAATTTTTTGAAAGTAGGACTCCAGAGCTCAAACGGTACCGTGCGATCCAGTGCGACCGCCGCGCTCGTGACTTTGAAGCTGTTTGTCCAGACCGGTGAGTCACTGTCCTGCCGATAGCCCCTTTGCACATTGACTGACGTCGCGAATGCAGACTTGTCAATGTTTCTCGAGGAACTGAATCCTACCTTGCTCGCGACTATCAATGGCGAATTCGACAAGATCGCCGGTCAGACGGCTCCGGAACCGACACGTGAGAGCGAGGACCTAGCCAACCTCGGCGATGCCGGAAGCGCCGATCCTGCAGTGGGCGGTGACCCTATGGACGACCTGATACCACGAGTCGATCTGAACAAGGTGGTCGCGACGACAACGGTGCTCAAGGATTCTAGGAGCGAAAACTGGCGGGTCCGAAAAGAGGCCTTTGAGGCGCTCGAAGCGGAACTCGATCGCAATACTCGTTTGAAGCCAGAGATGGGTAGGTGTGGATGCAGGAGTTTGTTGTTTGCCGGTGCGCTGATTCATTGTGAATCCATACAGGCGAAATCGGACAAGCTCTTAAGCTGCGTATGGACGATAGCAACATCGCAGTCAAGCTCTTGTGTCTTCGTATCATCAGCAAGATCGCTACCGGGATGGGTCAGCCATTCCAAGCCCATGCTAGGCTGTTTTCGAGCCCGATCGCAACGATCTGTGGGGATCAAAAGGTGACCACGAGGAACGCCGCCGTGGAAACGCTCACATCAATTGCGGATGCGTGTCGCTCGATAGACGCTATGGTCCCTGGCTTCGCGTCCTCATTAGAAAAACCGAACCCGGTACTAAGGGGTTGCGTCCTCGCTTTCGTCGCATCTATGTTCGCCAACTATGCGCCCAAGAGCGACCTGGCGCCATTGTTGCCCTCGACCCTGGCTTCGCTTGAAGACCGTAATGGAGATGTGCGTAAGGCGGCCCAGGCCCTGTTGCCGTTCATCCTACAGAGCGTTGGCTATGACCACGTCATGGGGCAGGTCTCCAAGCTCAAGCCGGCGTCCAAGAGCACGGTCACGCCCCTCGTTCAGGCCGCTCGTGCCGCTTTGGCCGCGTCTGCACCAAAAACCAGCCCGGAGGAGATCAAGCCTACTACGAAATCGATCGAGACGAAACAACCTGCGACGCGTCCGGCTGCCAAGTCGGTCCTTACCGAATCGAACTCGGTTCCGACATCGATGGGTTCCCAACCGACTCTTCCAAGCGCCGGAGGGAGCGCTGCTACACCTTTGCGAGCCCGAGTGGAACCCGTGAGGCCTCGTGGCATGCAGATGAAGAACAACGCGTTGCGTGCCCCGGGCGCGACCTTGCCAGACTCGTCGGATCATCGTCTGCCGGCGCCCACCAGATCTTTGGCTGGCGGAGCTGCGGGTCTTGTCAGGTCGTTGGGTAAAAGGCCAACCGCGCCCGTGGCAGAAATGCCTCTACAGGATTCAGCGACTGCTGCCCCGTTCCACACCACTGACATTGCTCCCAAGACGCAGCGAGAGAAACGTGACCTGGCCAGGTGGACTTATGACGTCAACAACTTGAGCCCACTCGTCGAAAACCTGCAAAAACAAATGACGGATCACGCATCGGCAGAGGTCCTGACGCTGCTCTTCAGCCGGGATCGGTTCGCCGAAAAAGACCATACAGCCGGATTGGCGATCATTGACGACCTGTACTCGGCCGAGGAGGACGACACGCCCTTTGACCTGGTTCCTGAGGTCGCTCAGAGCATCCGTATCGCCAACAGGGATCTAGCCTTGAAATACGCTGGGATTAGGTTGCACGATGGAAGCACCCAGATGGTTATCAAGTGTTTGGATCTGGTCCAGCACATTGTCGAATCGGTTGACCGAGCTAGAGCCGGTTTCACCGAGGCGGAGGGCAATGTGATTGTGCCCGCATTGATTTATCGAGTGAGTGGCATCAAGATCGATCTGGCATCGACAATATGCTTATAGTCGTTGTTTGCCCCTTTTCGCTAGCTTGGAGACAATAAATACAAGGACAAGCTCGCAGCCATCTTTGGCTTGATCGATCGTACCATGCCCGCAAGCCGGGTCATGCAGCTGTATGTCGACTATGGCATCGCATCGTCGAGCTCGAAAACCCGGGCTGCTGCCATGGAACAACTCGCTCAGCTCATCCGTCGACGAGGAGATGTCGCAGCGTCCGCGACGAATGCGACCAAGACTTATCGAAGGATCGCCGAATTCATCTCGTCGGCCGATAGCGCGACCCGAAGCGCCGCTTTGGACTGCATCGCGTATATGTATCAGCACACCGGAAACAATGTGCTCAGCATGATCGGCGAGCTGCCTCCCAAGGAGAGGGACCTTCTAAAGAATCGTATCGATAAGATGGCCCTGGGCACCGGAGCGGCGGCTTCGGCCGCATCACCGACTCCCCCTCGATCGACTATCCCAGCAAAGACGACGCACATTGCCAACGGCACAGCGAGTACACCAAAGAGCGAAGACGGGGTGCCGTCCACCGCAAGCTCTCCTGTACCGCAGAGAAAGGCTGCGGCGCTGTCATCAAAGATCCCACCAAACAATGGTGTCCCCAACTTGGCTCGCACAGGCCGCATCGTATCGAGCGACAGTACCAACTCTGCGACCGGACGTGAGCCCCACTTCAGACCGCTAGTGGCATCTTCTAGCGTTGAGAGCCACAGCGATAGTCGATCCTTCGAGCACGAAAACTCGCGCATCAGAAGATCTGTCCACACGATCGAGGACAATAACCCCGACGTCAGCGTCGACGCGCTCAAGAACGTTCAGAAGCTCTTGTTGGAGGCTCCCGACGAGATCATACCCTATAGCAACGACCTGATGCAAGCCATCGCTTCGAGGCTTCAGGTCGTGTTCAGAAACCCCTCGACAATCTCTGAAGCGCCCTCGTTCCGCCTGACCAAACATCTCATTCAGACGCTGAGCAACTTTTGCGATCATCCTCATCTCGTCGAGATAATATCGGGGACCAATTTGAGGCTACTCATCCGGCAACTCAGCCTAGGACTCTTGTTGACTGATACGGCGGATGGCAAGCTGAAAGACATGTCGCGCTTCATGAACATGTCCATACTGAGGCTTTTTGCAACGGGGCAACGGATAGCCATCTTTGAGTAAGTTTGCGGAGGGTGTAGTGAGCGTCTGATTTCGTGCAACTGATACATGTGTCACGCGGCGATAGTGCTCTATTCAAACTGCTTCAAGCGCTCGCTCTCGAACTCACGGAAGGGGATTCCGAGCAGGATTTCAAGGCTAAGCACGCCGAGCTGATCTTGAAATGCATCTGGAAACGTTCTCGAACCACGGAAGACGACCTGAGAAAGGGCATCATCACCGAAGAAGACATCTTTACGATTATCGAAGAGTTCCTCCAGGTGATCACTCCGAAGCAATGGAGGATCCGAGCCGCGAAAAAGGTACCCCTGGGTGACATGCCTTTGCGGACCGTCAAAGTGCTCATCCAGCATACTATCGGTGAGTGAACGACCCAGAGCCTCCAACATGACACATAGCTAAGCGCACGCCTTGCTCTAGCTGCCATCGGTCAGGACGGCGTCATGGATTGCTTGAGAGGCATTTACGGTGACATTTTAGAATCGACTCATGTGAGTGCGCCCCAATGAATTCCACAATTTTACCTGGTCTCATTTAGCGGTCGCGCTCTAGGTTTACACATATGTCTACAAAATTAGTAAGTGGAAAGTGGAGAGCGAGGGCAGAGTGGAACAGGTCGTGCTAACGGGACCGCCACTCACAGCACATTCACCGATGGAGGATGCTATCCCTCCACCCAGCAAGGAACCTGTCCCTATCCGATCCAAGACGCCGATCGAGTCGTATTCTGCGCCTCCTTCAGCTTCCGAATGCGTCCTGATTGATGTCGGCGAAGTGCCTAGCACAAGTCGAGCCAGTCGTCAACCAGGTCTTATTGAGGACGATCTCGACAGGCAATTGGAAGATATGATAAACCGAGCCGCGTTGCCACGGACCACGGGCAGTGGGGTGAGTTGCGGCGGATGTGTCGTTCGTGACCTCGATGCCAATCATACTGACTTTTCGACTCGCTGGCTCAGTCACAAGAGCTGGCCACGTTACTCCAGGCTCATCCGGAAAAGCATGGCAAATACGAGGAAATCCTCAACGCCATACTCGGCACCAATCCTTACAGGCTGTATGTGAAACGAAGCGTCGACAGACGCCTCCAAGAACGAAACGACGTCGGTGAGTCGCGACGAGCGTCAGACGAAAAAAAAGCATGACCTGACCAGTTTCACGTCCAGCTATCACACCGGTATCACCGAAAAAGACATCGCCCAAGCTCGTTCAGAAACGACAGTCGTTGGCTCCCGGACCTCCTATTCCAGCGGATGCCGATGCCGACACCCAACTGGCCATGCTAAAAGACAAGTTCCAATTCCTCACTTCGGCAGGAAATCAGGAAGAAATACACCCCGACCCATAATTTGATACATACGACCTGAATCCGCTCATCGTTCCTCTTTTCGCACAACGTTGTATACGTCCGTAATGACCATGATCTAGCATCTTTCTTGTACCGGATGGGCAGTCGGCAAATGCACTGTCATTGTTGTGTTTTTGCATAACGGATCGCTCTTGACGCCCGCTGCAGATACAAGGCCTCCTTTCGCGCTACGCCTCCGCCGTTTCACATTCCTGCATCTATGCGAGACCAGCCTCCTTCATCGCCTTCAACATCAAGTCACCGATCTGAGCGGGAGAGGTGGCGATCTTGGCGCCGGCCTTTTCCAGGGCCTCGACCTTGGCCGAAGCGGTTCCCTTGCCTCCCGAGATGATGGCACCGGCGTGACCCATCCTCCTACCAGGAGGAGCGGTGGCACCGGCAATGAACGAGACGACGGGCTTGGGGTTCGATCGGGTCTTGTTGAACTGCTCGAGGTAGGCAGCGGCCTCTTCCTCCATGGTTCCACCGATTTCTCCGATCAGGACGATACCCTGAGTCTTGGGGTCTTCAAGGAGGACCTTGACGACGTCGATGTGTTGGGTACTGAATGGGGGTCGTCTAGGTTTAGCGAGGTGCGCGGATCAACATCATTTCTCTCCCATCACGCTTACCCGGGGAAAGGGTCACCACCGATACCGACGGTCAAGGTCTGTCCGAGACCGGCGAGGGTGGTTTGGCTACGAGGGCAACGAGGGTTAGGAGCGATTTTCGTGGGTTCATGGAGACACCGGAGCGCAACTCACTTGACGGCCTCGTAAGTCAGGCTGGAGCGAGAACGAGACGATAGCAGCGTAAGTTACCACGATAGCGACGACGACCTCACCCTGAACCCGAACCCTCTGCTGCACTCACGTTCCGGACCTGGAGACGATTCCGATCTTTCCCTCGGTGAAAATGTGCCCGGGCATGATTCCCATCTTGCACTTTTCGGCGATCATCCCCGGGCAGTTGCCGCCGACCATCCTGGTCTTGCTCTGGCTCCTGAGCGCGTTGTAAATCATCAACTGGTCCCTCTGCGGGATACCCTCGGTGATGGTGACGATCAGGGGGATCTCGGCTTCGATGGCTTCGAGAATGGCACCGGCGGCAAAGGGAGGAGGCACGTAGATGACGGTAGCGTCCGGGTTCTCCTTATCCTTGGCATCCCTAACGCTACCGTAGACGGGCAGACCGAGGTGGCTCTGGCCAGCTTTCTACAAGGTCGGGCGGCGGTGTTTAGCTGATGTTACTCGGATAGCGATATGGTATCCTATTGACGACATACCGATGGGCTAACACCGCAGACGTATTTAGATCCAAAGTCCAAAGCTTGTCTCGAGTGGAAAGTACCCTGTACATGTTCGTCCTTCGCATCAGCCTCGACCCGCATATCATCTCAACAGCCTGCCTACGTACGGTCTTTCCGGTGAATCCCTGGACCATAACCTTGGTGTTCGAGTTGATGCTCAAGTTCTTGATGGTATCCTCGTACGAAGCTCGAGCGACGGACGAAGTGGCAAATGAGCGCTGGCCTGCAAGACATGGCGAGCGAGAGAAAGAACGTTTGGGCGGAAGAGTCAGCTCTGCAGGGGGTCGTCGTTGACGAAGAGCTGCTGTGGGCTCACCAGCGACGGCCTGAGCGGTAGCTTTTCGGAGAGACTGCTTGAACATGATTGGTGAGGGTGAAGCGATGCGAAGCAGACAAGATGAACCGATTGTCAATCAGGAGGATGGCACGGATGTCGATAGTTGTATGGAATGGATACGATGATATGGATACGTTCGAGCGCTGGATTCGAGAGAGAGATGGGGCTAACCGGCCGAGGTTCAACAGCGCGGACATCCCTAGCTCATGCCATATCTCGACGCGAAAACATTCGAATGTCCGCGTTTCATCTGCTTACGCCCGTCTACCGCCGCACCCTCCGCCTTTCACATCACGGCCAGCCGTGAACTCTTTCGCTCGAACCACTTCCCGTACACGAACACCTCAGACGTCGATACGATCGGTATCTTTTGATGAGCAGCAGCATAGGGATACAACGGCGCGCAACATGAACGGAATCCCTAAAAGACATGGAAGAACGCAGACAAACAAGGACGGAAGAAGCGCAAGGTAGATGCAATGCAAACTATGGGGTTGTGGTTTCCGCCAAGACATTCGATCAGCGACAACACATTGCCTTGGTGATTAAACGACGATCGACGTACATTTTGTGTGGGTATGAGCGTGCTTGTTTTGGACATGCGACCGATCAGACTAAGGAGGCGCGATCCCCTTGGCCTTGAGCGCCTTGATGACCTCGCCGTGCAGCTAACAACAAGTGAGACGAGGGGTCAGCTCTTTTTCCTTCCCCATTTCATGCGCCTGACGACGACCCGGACTCACGACGGGCTGATGCAGAGCGTGTCCGGCGGGGATCATGGGCAGGACGTGTTCCTGCTTGTCGACCCAAGCCTCGAGCAAGATCGGCTTGCTCCCGTCATACTCCAAAAACTCCTTCATCTTGGCCGGCAGGTCTTCGAGCGATTCGGCACGGAGACCCTTGACGTTCATCGATTCGGCGAGCTTGACAAAGTCCGGGTTGGTCATTCGGGTGTGCGAGTATCGCTTGTCGTAGAAGAGGTCTAGCGCGAGGAGCGAGGTCGTGTCAGTAAGATTGTGCTAAAAAGCTCGCACGCTCGACGTCGCGGGCTCACCTTGCCACTGCAAGACCATCCCCTGGAATTCATTGTTCAAGACCAAGATCTTGCAACCGATGTTGTACTGCGCAGCCGTAGCCATCTCCATCGCGGTCATCGAGAAACTCGCGTCTCCATCGATGTCGACGACGACCTTTTCGGGAGCGGCCACCTTGGCCCCGATGGCCGAAGGCAAACCGTATCCCATCGTCCCCAGACCACCGGACGAGACCCACGACCTCGGTTTCGTCCATCGGTAATGCTGACAAGCCCACATCTGATGCTGTCCGACTCCGGTGGTGACAATAACATTGTCCTTGCCGATGGCCTCGCATTGACGGTCGAGCTCTTCGACGACCTCTTGGGGTTTCATCCTGTCTCCCTTTTTGGAAGGCGTGAACGTGAACGGGTAATCGGCCTTCCACGACTTGATCTTGTCCATCCATTCTTTGCGTTCGCGGTATTCGATCTGGGGCAAGAGTTCTCCCATGCTAGCGACGACATCGCCTAGGACGGGAATGTTGGCCTGGACGACCTTGTTGATGTTTTTCGGTTGAATCTCGAAGTGGATGATCCCACCTTTACCCTGGAGCGCGGCGGCTCGGGCGGCAGGTGCAAACGAGGCGAGGGTACCGGTGACCCGGTCGTCGAACCTCGCACCGAGGGCGATGATGACATCGGCTCCCTGCATGGCAAAGTTGGCATACGCCGATCCGTGCATACCGAGCATATGCAGAGCCTTGGGGTCGTGCTCGTTGAAGGCTCCCAGACCCTGCATGGTCGTCGTCACGGGGATATTTCCGTTGGCCGACAACTGAGCCAGAAGTTCAGGTCCCTCGGGACTGGCCAGAACACCATTTCCACAGTAAATGACCGGTCGCTTGGCCTGGTTAATCATCTTGGCGGCAGCCTCGATCATCTCGGCGTCACCCGGAGTGGGTTTTGTCGACTTGTCCGTCTGGTTACCGGGAAGTCGAGGGTTGCTAGGCAAGTACGGCGACGATCCGGCCTGGACGGATTTCTTGGGAATCGGCTGACGCAGGATCCCGGCGGTAACGTCCTTGGGCAAGTCGACGAGGACGGGTCCGGGACGTCCACTGGTGGCAATCTTGAACGCCTCGTTGATCCTCCTCGGCAACTCGGCAATGTCCTTGACCATGACGTTCCATTTCGTACAACTCCTCGAGATCCCGACAATGTCGGCTTCCTGGAAAGCGTCGCTTCCGATTGCGCTCGTGGCGACCTGTCCACAAAAGACGACCATGGGGATTCCATCCGACATGGCGTCCTGCATCGGGGTGATGACGTTGGTAGCCCCGGGACCCGAGGTGACGAGGACGACACCGGGCTTCCCCGTAACCCTCGCGTAACCCTCGGCCATGTGACCAGCGCCTTGTTCGTGACGAGGCAGGATGAAATCGAAATTGGGGGAGTTGTAGATGGCGTCAAAGACGGGCAAGATGGCGCCTCCGGGGTATCCAAAGACGTGCTTAACGTCGTGACGAAGCATCATCTCGTGGAAGATCTGTCCACCGGATTGGCCGACAAAGCTGCGAGCGGCGAGTGGCGTGAGGAATCGATGAGACGGGCGTTGTAGGCGTCGCGATGCGAGAGACATCCCAAAGGAAGGTACCGAAATCGACATTCCGAAAAGTCGCGTTTTAAGATCGGTCCATGAGAAAGTCCACGAAAGAGTATAGTGGGCGAGACCGACATATAGCGAGGAAAGAAAGCAGAACCAAGGCGAAGAAGAAACCGAAGAAGATCAGCCTTCTCACTTCATGTAAAGCAAGAAACGGAGAAGAAGCCGAAAGCAAGACATTTGGCTCACGTGTAATCCAACCCATCGTCCTTTCTAGCAGTCAAGGGATCCAGGTGAGGCAGGGAGCCGGCCGGGGTAGGGGGAGTTTGGAATGATGGGGCTGGAGTTGGGCGGCTGTTGTTTTGCGGTGGTTCGTATGGACATAGGGCACAAGCGGAAACACGCAACGAATCAGAAAAAAAGATCGTCAGCTTTCCACCCCAAAGTCAAAGTCTCTTGCAATGGCCTCGAGCCCCATACATTCCCCCCCGGGCACAACCCCGTCTCTCTCAGACGCTTGAACTCACCTAGCTACCTCGACAGCGGCCTTGGCACTCGTCCCGATTCTCCTGGCATGCTCCTTGACCCTCGCCTTTGCTTCAAAATTGACGACGTTTGACTCGGACTTGGTCGATTTTGATCTTGTCGCGACGGTCCCGGTGGATGAGAGGGTCGTCGGGGTTTTACGGAGGAGAAGGCGTGATTGACGGGAGAGCATCTTTGGGAAGTAGTGCTCGCTCGTGTATGTGTGTCTGTAGAAGTCCTTACAGAAAGGCAAGAAGAGATATCGAGAGACTGTTCGAACGTAGTGATCGTAGTGATCGCTGTCTATAAGCCCGCTCCCTCGCCCTCGCCCCCTCTCCTCTCCTGGCTCGTCGCCCGAAAACTCGGCGCCGTCTGACTCGTCGGGAAACTACTCCCGCCCGAAATCACAACCGCTGAGGGTTGGTTCAACGACAATCACGTGACCCGACTTCCGGATATATGCCATGGTCGGATCGATTTGGGACGGTGGGGACGTGATCCGAAAAGCTCGATCTACGAATGTATGCCTGGATCAGCCTCTTGAGCGGTAGCTGGTAGCTGATTCGTTTCTCTTCGAGCCGGAAGCCGACTACGCCGCACCTTCGCGCTTAACAAACCGCAGCGTCGATCGAGTAGAGCCTTCATCAACGAGCTATACAGGTCGATGTTTTTCCAGTACGCAAATCGATCATGACAAGGGCAGTCGCTGACTCGGTTCTAACGGACGGCCTGCTTCAAACTGTCCAAGAAATCAAGAGGCCCGGGTCTCCAACAGCAGATGATGGACGCCAAAGTCTCGAAAAGCCTTTGTCGCCGCGGTAAAGCTTACGTAATCTAGATATGGTATATCCTCATACAATTCTTGTACTCCTGAAACCGATCTCCCAGTCCCTCATCTTCTCCTCCTCCGCCATCATTTCGAGCCGAAGTTCTACTCTGCAGCCGATGGCCATGATGACGTCGCTAAGGCAACTTAACTTGTACTTCCGGGTTGGGTCGTAAACGGCGGGTTTGTAGCGGCAAATCTAACGTGAAACACGACGCGAACTTAGCGCCCTCAAAGGCGCGGTGATGAACCCCCTCAGGCCGACTAACCTGTCGCCGAACTCCAGACTGAATCAACAAGGCATCGACACCCTGGTAGAAGGGATCCATGACTTGCTCAGCAAATCCCACGTCTGTAACACGCCTGTCGGTCTCGCAGTGTTCTTTTCTGGATGGTAGAATACACGATCGGTCAACCTTTGCTGATTATCTGCAAAAGACTTCAGAAGATACCATGCAGTTTTTATCGTTTGATGGCAGCAATCTATTTGACGGGAATCTTGGGCTCTCCGGAGCAGGACTGGCATGAGAGGGCCAGATCTGACCCTCCGATCTTGCATACGAAAAAGTTCATGTCGTAATTTTCCCGGATACAGGTCTAAAAACATGTAAGTATGCGATGTGAGGCATCCGCGGCAAGTTCCTTCTCTAACAGATGCTAACACACGAAGACCAGGCGGGCCGATAAAGCTGACCCTTCTACCCCGGTCGAGGTCATTGCGGCGACGGCTTTTTGGTAGACGATCGTGTGGCAGTCGGTCGTTTTGGGGGCGGCTGTTTGGGAGATGTGTGTAGAATGTGCTAGAGGAGGGCTTGAATTAGGCACATGAGAGAGATCTGTTCTTCGGATTAAGGATTGCATGAGAATAGAGGAGAAATGTCGAGCATGGACATGCCTTTAAGGTTCAGCGGTCATTGGGTCTGGATCACGTGACACGAATCTGGTCTCGATCGAGAGAGTCATCCCTCAGTTGCGCGTCGCCTTCCCTAGCAGCTAGCGTCGTCGTCGTCGTCAGCGTTCGGAATCTCGAAATCTCCCGAACGGCGATCGACCTCGAGCACACGAGATCTAGCTAAGGGGGAATCGATCTTGAGACAACTATATCATACATCATACAATCATTGGCATCGCACAAAAGGAGGCGAATACCAAACATCATCTTCGCCACTTACATTAATACGACATCGAAGTAGATCAGCATCTCCAGCCGTCCAGTACCTCGAATCGGATCGAGCTATCGTCCTTCGCCGCCGTCGATCAAGATCGAGGCTATACCCAGATCGATACCTCGAATCGACATCGCACATTACAATAAGGCATCGTCCAACATTCCTCTACGATGCTCCGAACAATCCTACGTCGAACGACCCGCCTCGCCACCCCTCAACTCGCCCGGCCTCTCTCTTCCTTACCACCCTCCGCCTCTTCGCACCTCGCTCTAGCTAAACCTAAAGCTCTCAATGGCCTGTTCTCCGATCAAAAGAACTCGGGCAGTACCGACTCGGACCTGCCTCCGACTCCCAACCCGACCGGCCTAGGTGGAGGCGATCTGCATCCACCTTCGATCCCGGGAGGTGGACCAGGCGGACCGGATCTCAAAGTACCCAGTCCTACGGGGACCAGCGCTGGTCCTTCAGCTCCTCCAGCTCCTACCCCAGCTCCAGGGTCTGGATCGGCACCCGAGGAACCCGCATGGGAGGGCAAGAAGGAAGACTCCCAGAGCCTCAAAGAACGACGGAAAAAGCTGTCCGAGACGACGGGTGGCACGAAGTCTGCCTTTGGAGGAGGCGGTGGAGGTGGTGGAGAAGGCGGAAATGGTGGGCCGGGTGGCGGTGGTGGAGGTGGCATGCCAGGTGGAATGAGTCCCAACCAGGTCATGTTCTTGGTCGTCGGGTTAGTCTCGAGGTCGCGCATGAAGGATCGTGGTAGTCGATGGTCTTGCTGATCGAGATTGTCTAACCTTTCTCTTCTCCCGACTCGCATTCGATCCTCGATGCATGTTCGCACTTGCGCTTTGCTCACTGGATCTCTGAAATACCGGAATTACGCATCGACCGAATTTCGCCACTGTTATCGATACTCGGTACTGGTCCTGGATCGATCGGACTTTCAACTCTGGCGCACAGCTCGTACATCTTGTACTCGCTCACGCAGCCCAACGGCGGAGGATCGAGCAGGGAGATCACTTGGCAGGAATTGTGGGTCGCGTACTCGGTTAACTAGAAGTTGTCCTTGTGACAGAACGCTGAAACTGAATCGTCTCGCTCGCCTCGCCCTCGACAGCCGCAACTCGCTGCTCGCACGAGGTCTCGTTTCGTCGCTCGAGGTCGTCAACCGAACCAAGGTTCGAGTTCATCTGCACACTCCCGTACCTACTAGCAACAACATCGACGCACCCATGCCCGGGTCGGGCGGCCAATCATTGCCTTCGCCTCCTCACGGACCGGCACCTTACACCTTTACTATCGGCTCGGTCGAGGCGTTCGAATCGCTCCTCTTGCAATCGCAAGACGAGCTCGGAATCCCGCCCGAGGAGAGGATCCCCGTGTCTTACCGCGAAGAGATTTCCACCATGCAGACCATCTTGCATTTCGCTCCGACCTTGTTGATTGGAGGTTTGATCCTGTGGATGGCTCGACGAGGCGCTTCCGGGGCTGGTGGACCTGGAGGTGGGATCTTTGGCGTGGGCAAGTCCAAGGCCAAGATGTTCAACAAGGAGGACGAGATCAGCATGAGGTTCAGGGACGTTGCCGGGATGGACGAGGCCAAGGAGGAGATCATGGAGTTTGTCAAGTTCTTGAAGGAACCGGCCAAGTACGAAAAGCTCGGAGCCAAGATCCCTCGAGGTGCGATCCTCTCGGGACCTCCCGGAACGGGAAAGACCTTGCTCGCCAAGGCCACGGCGGGGGAGGCTCAGGTGCCCTTCCTTTCGGTCTCTGGATCCGAATTCGTCGAAATGTTCGTCGGTGTCGGTCCCTCCCGAGTACGTGACCTGTTTGCCAATGCCAAGAAGCACGCTCCGTGCATCATCTTTGTCGACGAGATCGATGCCATCGGAAAGTCCCGTGGCAAAGGCGGTGGGTTTGGGGGCAACGACGAGCGAGAGAGCACGTTGAACCAGTTGTTGGTCGAGATGGACGGATTTGGAACCAAAGAACACGTCGTCGTCCTCGCCGGTACAAACCGACCGGACGTGCTCGACCCGGCCTTGATGCGACCGGGGAGATTTGACAGGCACATTGCCATCGATCGACCGGACATTTCGGGCAGACAACAGATTTTCAAAGTTCATCTCGGTCCCCTGACGCTGAATGTGCACTTGCCCATGGAGAGGATCGCTGAAAAGCTCGCCCTGCTCACTCCCGGGTTCTCGGGTGCCGACATCGCCAACGTCTGTAACGAGGCCGCCTTGAGAGCCGCTCGACGTGGGGGAGACGATGTCACCGAGGCCGATTTCGACGGAGCGATCGAGCGTGTCATCGCCGGGTTGGAGCGCAAGTCGAGGGTGCTCGGACAAGAGGAAAAGACGACGGTCGCTTATCACGAGGCTGGACACGCCGTCTGTGGTTGGTTCTTGGAACACGCCGATCCGTTGCTCAAGGTCTCGATCATTCCTCGAGGCGTCGGTGCGCTCGGATACGCGCAGGTAAGGCGTTGCTTCTGGATTGATGAGGTTGCCATCTGTGCTGACGTTTTCTTCGCTTGCCGTGCACGCAGTACCTACCCAAGGAACGATTCTTGTTCACCACCGAACAGCTGATTGACCGAATGTGCATGACGCTGGGTGGACGATGTTCCGAAGAGATCTTCTTTGGCAAGATCACCACCGGTGCTCAGGACGATCTGCAGAAGATCACCAAGATGGCTTTCGAGATTTGCGCCAACTATGGTATGGATCCCTCGATCGGACCTATCAGTGAGTCGTCGCTGAGCATGTAAAGTTGAAGGCTTTCGAAAGTCGACTGACGTCACCGCATTGCTATCAGGCTACGGTGGACAGCAGTCGCAGGGTGAACAGTTCCAGAAGCCGTTCTCAGAGGCTACCGCTCAGGCTCTGGATCAGGCTGGTGAGCAGGCTCGTCTCGGACGCTCAGACTAGGGCCTCGTGCTGATCCTTCCAATCCACCTACAGTCAAGAAAATGGTCACCGACGCACACACCAAGACGAAGAAATTGCTGACCGAAAAGAAGGCCGAGGTCGAACAGGTCGCCAAACTGCTGTTGGAAAAGGAGGTCATCACGCGAGAAGACATGAGGAACTGTGAGTCACGGAAGGTGGGTAGCAATGACATTCTGAGGCGCTGACCCCATATCTCGTGCAGTGCTCGGACGACGACCGTTTGCCACGGCAGACGAGATGGACAGGTACATCGAGAGCAAGCTTGACGACCAGAAGGCTGCCGAGGGCGCGACGACGTGAGTGATTTTGCATAGTGCTTGCTCCAACGCCTCCTCTAATCTTTCGGCTTTCTGCTCGCAGGACTGGCTCGACGACCCCGGCTGCTGGAGAGCCTCTGCTCGCTGCCAAGGAGGTCACATTATGAGCCCCCGTTGTCTTGGTCAGAGTCGCGTAGCGTGGGTTCCCGGGAAGCTTTAATAATGTATCATAACTCGCACAAGCAAACAGACACCGCATAAATGTAGATGACATGAAATCCGATTCGTTCAATTCGACGGGAGCAGCGAACAGAAGCCGTCGTTAATCGTTCAAGGCTTGATTCGATTTCGAATGTTTCACGCTACAGTGGATAGGCGCCGAGCACGCAATGTGCTTCGCCGCTCTGATCATCCAAGCTGGTGCAGCCTTTACTCAAGACAAACGCGATGTATTAGCAAAGCCGCTACAGCGGAAACGCCTCGTTGAGATCCAGTCCGGCATCGCGCAATGCTTTTCCCCAAGACCTCAGCTGAACTTGTTGTGCTTTTGTGAATCCTTGTTCGCCTGGACGATGCAAGCTTCTCAATTGCTTCTCCTCGGGTGTCTCTTCCACGATCTTCTGCAACGTGTCCCGCATAAAGTCTCCTCTGGAAGTATCTGCGGCTGGGAAAGGCTCCTCGTTAGGCGATACGCGAACATCCCGGGTCGAAGCGTTGCTCGCGATAGGCGTGAACGAATTGGCAGGGGGTTTGTACGACGTCGAGTGAAATGCGGTTAGCGATGGAACAGCCTCTAGGTCAGGTCCGGCGCTCGACTCGTCTTGGACGCGCTTTGTCTCGGCGATGTATCCTTCATTGCCACTTGCGCCGTTCCCATGTGCAGCTTCTCTGTCCCGGTTGTCGTGCTCATCCAAATATTCATTATAGCCATCCTCGTGCCCAACCTCGTTTCCATGCAGGCCATATGGGCCGTGTTCATCATTGCCGTCCGTCGTGTCGTTATTCAGGTTGTCGGGTAGACCTTCCATAAATGCACGAGCCCTGCTGGCAGCTCTGGCAAGGGACTCGACACTGAAGCCATGTATTCGGGCATATCTCCCGCCACCAGCGAGGTGAAGAGGTCCTGCGTCGATCCCGCGAGTGTTATCGATCCATGTTTGTCCTGCCGACTGTAGGAAGGAAGAAAGCGCCAGCCCAGCGCCGTGTTCGAAATCCGAGTCTGGTCTCAGCTCGTGGTATACGGCCATAGGATCCTCTTCCACCCCAGTTCCATAGAGCAAGAATTCGTATAGGTCCATATCGAGGATTTCATCCTCAGGAATGCCGCCGACCTCATCGACCCCAGGTGCCCCAATCCCAAGATCGACAATGAGTGTACCTTCGAACATGACGGCACGACGGAAGTAGTGGCCATGGATGATCAAGGCAAACTTGTTGTCAAATATCCTGTTGGAATAAGCTAGATATCTGAGACCCTGGCATAGCAACCCAATAAGAAACGCCCTATGTTTCTTATTCAGTGTTCCCGCAAGTAGTTCTTTTATTTCTCCAACTAGGATCATCTCAGTGCGAAAGGGAGGTGGCTGGAGCGAGCTATACGCCCATGCTTCACAGAAGAAGTCAGGGCAGGACGCAGACCTGGTGATGAGGTTGATAGCGTCCGCGGTGCGAATGGACTCTGTCAACATCTCGCGAAAGGCAGCGGACTGTTCTTCGGGAATGTTGTAGTCGGCGATCCTCGCGTGCCTATACGCACGGTTGACATCGCGAATGCTAACGTCATGAAGGATCCTGCTTTGTGCTTGTGCGAGCGTCATCCCGCCTGCTCCGATCTGTACCATGTGCTGAGGCGGCATGAGTCTGGCGATGAGCTGTCGCCAACATTCGACGGTAGGACCGTGATAGATCATGCTTTGGGGGTGAAAGAATGAATCGTCTTGTTCTGGAAGGCCATTGAAATCGAAAGCCTCAGAAGATAATCGAAAAGATGCTGGAAATATGCCGGCGTTCCGAGGTGGATTCCCAGGAGGAAGGTTGGGATCAAACTGAATGTGTTCGGGACCGTAGCGTTGTATAGGCATCTATGCGGCACAGACAGAGACCGATCAGCAAGGTCAACGAGGGTATCATCGAGATACTGCAGACTTACGATTGCAGAACTCGTAATGTCGTAGCCGGGAGGCTCGTATCGTGAAAAGGTCGTAAAAAGTGAGGAAAGGAGAGCGGGCGATTTAAGAGTGGATCGACGTCAATGCTGATACTGATGCGAATGGTGACAGGGAGGAAGGGTTCCGATAGATCGGAACGACGCCGAAGCCGTTGAGGCCGAGGTTCTATTGTTTCCTCTTGTGATTGACTGACTGTTTGCTGAACAACAAAATAACGTGGGGCCAAGATGCTCATGGTAAAACGAGGACGTCTATGCGCCGCAGGTGAGTGCGTGAGGTTGCTACCTCGAGATCGCGGACAACCGATACAATGACATGTCCGTCATCAACCTGGTGTTTCAGGGCCGACATCCGCTTCCTCGATTCTGCATCCACTACTACTGACGCAATTTCGAGTACCAATGTTCTTGCAAAACAGATATGCCTACGGACAGACCGGCCCCTTCCCGAAATGATCTGCCAGCCTGATCGCGACATGCTCATAGAGTTCAATTCATTCTTCTCGACTAAATGCGGTACATCCCTGATCCTCGTCGTCGCTAAATGACCATCAATCTAGCCATCCCGTACAAACAATGCTTTGCTTCACCGCCTAGACAACGGCTGCGTGGTGCATCGGAAAGATCCTCCAAATGCCCGAGTGACTTGAAAATCGACGTATTCGACCTGGACTCCACGTTCTTGTACCAGATCTCCGAGCCTCTTGAAGGCGGGATCGGTCACGTAGAGCTCCGGTCCGAGCGGCAACCCGTTGGTGGCAAGACGCTGCGCTTCCGAGCGGGTGACGTTGATCAAGTCCCAGTCCTTGAGCACCAAAGGCAGACCAGCAGGAAGCGCTTCCTCGCAGACGAGCGCGAGTCCTTCGCGGATAGGCCCGATAGCGCAATCGAGATGGAGAAAGTCGGAAGCGAGAGGGACGACTTCGATGGTGTATCCCTGAGGTCGAAGGAGCTTTTGTAGCCAGCGCGCTCCAGCCGGGTTCGAAGCGTGACCCGAGTGACCGACGAGAATGTGCTTGCCAAAGACCATGACGTCTCCGCCTTCCAAGAAGATGCCTTTCGATTCCGAGTCGGAATGGCTGCCACTGATCTCGGCGACGGGGACCGAGACGTACATGCAACTGTCGTCGGTCATGACATGCGCCTCAAAGATCTCTCGACAAGGCAAAACCTCGCGACGACGGTAAGCCCAGCGGAGGGAACCTTCGATGACGCAGTTGCCCACGGTGAACCACGGGTCCCTGCAAAAGTAGTTGCAGTACTTGTTGACGGGATCCACCGTCTTTTCGGCCTCGGTCAAGAGCCGGGGTCGCAGAACCTGGATACCGTGCGACTCGAGCAACTTGGCAAAGGCGTCGCGCTCGGCGATAAAGGCGGCGGCACGGTCGGGAAAGACTTGAGCAAAGTCTTTGCCAAGGGCGGCGGACCAGTCGAGATCGGGATCGCTGGGCAAGATGTCCATATGGCCTTGCATCCCGCTGTCGAGCGAGGGAAATGCGACCTCGCACTGAGAGACGACGACGGTGGCGAGTCTGGCCCATTCGCTTTGGACAAAGATGGGCGACATGGTGATGATGATGAGTGTCGAGCTGACTGATGCGCTGGTGGTGTTTGCTGCTTTGTTATCGTTGCAATGAACCGAGAGTAACGGTCGTAGATCTCTCCAGGTCATAGTGAGGATCCCTTGCACATATGTACTAGTACTCATGTGTCTTGACGAAGGTTCATCCGAGCTCGCTCGTATAGCGTCGCTCGTATGGTGATTGTTCGCGCCTGCGGAAAGATGACCCGCATCTACAGCCGCATTGGATGGCATGATGGAGCAATTGGATGTACAGTATAGTTTTGGAGGTCCGAACGATCCCGATGCACAGCCTCGGCAGGGACGTCGCCTAGAAATGTTGGCGACATGCTTCTATTCGTTGTATATGCCCGATCCATCCATCTTACATCCAAGACATCCCCAACACCTCCTTCGTTAGAGTCCAATTCCAGATCAGACGTCCGCCTCCATCCCACAGCACTCTCTCAGAAAGAACTCGTGTACCCTCAAGTCCCCGCTTAGTTCCGGATGGAAAGACGTGACCAACTTCTTGCCCTGCTTCATCGCTACGATCCTCATGGCCTCGGTATCGGCGGGTCCGAGAGGAGAGTCCGCTATCTCGGGGATATGGGGGACGAGCGAGGGGGGTAGGACGCAAAGGTCTTCTCGAGCAGGTTGTTTCGAGGATGTAGATGCGTTCGAGGAGGGCGTTGGTGTTGAGGGGACGAGCGAGTGGATGGCGGGTGCACGGATGAAGATGGCAGGAAAGGGGATGTCGGGGTTTAGTAGTCCTTGGAAGGGAATGTTGGCCTCGAAGCTCTCGTTCTGGGCTGTGAAGGTGGATATAGAAGAAAACAGAAAACACAATGATTCAGCGAGAAGAACAGACAGTTCGAATATACTGTAGGCTCACCTCCATAAGCGTTCCTCCAGACGTTCATCCCCTGCAGAGCCCCCAGACCCTTCTGTGGCTTCTTGCCACCTCCGACCCCATCCTCGCTTGCCATCAAGATCATCCCCGCACAACTCCCGTAGACCGGCTTTGACGGGTCCTGAAGATAAGACTGAAGCTCGGGCATGAGGCCGGGAGAGTTGCGTGCTTGATTGAGCATGACGGTGGATTCGCCGCCAGGAATGATGAGACCGTTACATTGCTGCGAAAGAGGGAAGGACGCAGGCATGTAGGTGTGAGTTTGTCATTCATGAGAGATAGCAGTAGCACGAGAACTTGCTCGTAATTCCTCGACCGTCTTGACAAAGATGACATCGATATCGTAACCATAGGTTGACTTGACCCTATGCAGGCGGATGCAAGAATCGATGAGTGATCATACGTAACCTAAGCACTGGATATCCAGACTTACTGTCTCATGGCGTTGGCATGTTCGAGAAAGGCACCCTGGAGAGCTGCAAGTACGGGGCGAGAGGGATCAGCCTGTTGATTAGGTATACCGAGAGGAGCGTGGCGACCGGCTCACCTAGTACACCTATGCGGACCATTATATTGTTGTGATGTATGAGTTTTCTAGAGCTAGGTAGCGACTTGGCGTTGGGTGAATGATCGACGTCGTCGCCTCTCTTTACGAGGAATCAAGGAGGAGAAGCGACCCGACTTTTGACTCGGATCGCTTTCGACGTTGCCCGACTTTTGTTGCTCGAATTGCTTCCGGCGGGGACTCGCTCGTTATCAGGGGGACGGGATGTTTCGCTGTCTACAAGAAGAACTGATCGGGACGCGGTCGAGATCTTACGGGCGCGGTCGAAAGTGGGGCAGGGTGGAAATAAGTGAGAAATATCACGTGAGAAATATTCCTGAGGAAGAATCACGTGAGCCAAACGGCCACCGACGCGACATCATCAACACACCTCAGGCAACTATCGTGTAATAGTCTCTTAGCAATATTCCTGTCGAACAAATTCAATCATGGAGACTCTGTCGCGAGACCTTGCACGATTTCTTTCCTCAGATGATTATGATTCATCTGATGAAGAGGAGAAAGACTCTGAGATGGTCACCTACGGCCCCCCACCTCCCGCAGAGCTATGCCTGTGGAAAACCCTAGAACAATGGGCTCGGGAAATCGACGCGACCGAAATATTGCGGAGGATTCAAAGCGTCGCTCTGCAACAAGGTTTTGCTGTCCGCAAGGAACAAGGCAAGCCCAACAACTTCTCAGTTGTTTGTACTCGCAGTGGAAAGCACAGGAATACCCACGAGTACCTCAACACGAGCGGTCGAATGCGAGGGAAAGGTGAAAACGGTTTTACTAAGAAGACGGGCTGCCTTTGGAAACTTTACGTCAGCAAAACTCCGACCGTCAACGATCTCTGGAAAATTTCTATCAAAAATCTTGAGCACAATCACGACATCGACACCTCCCCCTTTGCCTTCGCTCAGCACCGAAAATTGACGCCCAGAGAGAAAGCCTCGGCGCTGACAGCTCTGGGGAATAATGCGTCGCCGAGTGCTGTTCTGGAAACTCTCCACAGAACTGCAGCGGACGAAAACAGACCTTGTTTTGTGTCACTGCAGGAAATTTACAATCTAAAAGCAGCCCAGAGAAAACTAGCGATGAGCGGTCGAACTCCTGCCGACGCGGTTGTGAGAGAAATGATCCGCAGGGGAATTCCCCACGCGGTCTTTCTGAACGACCTTGATGAACTGCAAGGGCTATTCTTCACCAACCCTCTCGCGATAATTCTCACGAAATATTACGGCTATGTCCTTCATATGGACGCGACCTACAAGACGAATAAATACGGCATGCCCCTACTACATATCGTAGGAAGTTCTCCGACGAATAAATCCTTTACGGTCGCTCTCTGCTTCATGACAACAGAGTCAGAGGAGGAATATTTCTGGGCGATGAACTGTTTGAAGGATTTCTGTGAGGATCTTCCCACCGAAATTGTCCTCACGGATCAATGTGCCGCCTTGAGGAATGCTATCAGTCGAGTGTTCCCTCGATGGCGACAGCAGTTATGTCGGTGGCACCTCGCTCAAAACCTCGTGAAGAATTTCAGGGCAAAAATGCCAAAGGAGATTTTCGAGGAGTTGAAGGCGTCGTACGATTTCCTGGTGTTGCGGCCCACGAAATCCTCCTATGACGAGGCCTATGAACAGCTCAGCCTCAAATATTTGGCGAAGAAAGAGACCAAGCTCTGTTGGCTGTACGTACAGGAACAGATGCAGCAAGGGGAATTTTTCTTAGCCCACGCGTTATCCCGGACGCGAAATTTCGGGGAGACAGCCACCTCGCGCATTGAATCCTTTCATCGAGCGCTGAAGAACACTGTCAAAGGTGCGCAGGCGGATCTTTTCTCCGCAGTAAATGCTGCGACCAAACACATGCGGGCGACACATCGCGTGTTGTTCAAACAACATTCAATCGATTCTATCAAAATCGAGAACGATTTCCCCCTGTCGATGGTTGAAGTGAGTTCATAATACCCTGGTCTGTAGCAGTCGGAATGTTTACTGAGCTATATTTCTGTCGGAATTTAGCTGAGGGGGCGTATTGCCCTACGAGCTCAGTGGAAAATATTCGAGGGAGCATATCGTCTATGGCAAAGCGCTGACTTTCGACGTCAACCTCTGCCTGCTTGCAAGGGAAGCATGCGAGCGACTATGGGGCTTGTTTGCCAGCATGATTTCGAGAGGACTTTATCTCCCGGAGAGATTCGACCATTGATCGACCCTGGAGAAATCCACGCGTTTTGGCATCTCAAACAACAACGTCAGTTGCAAGACGAGGCAAAAATCCTGGCGCTAAAATTCGTGATCAAGGATGTCACGGAGGGAACCTTCTATACCCACTATGTGGAAGATCCCCTGGTCGAAATTGCTGTCACAGCAATGGCCAACACATCTCTCGTGCCCGTGAATGAATATCTCGGGCAAGATGCTCAGGAAATTCTCCGAGAGATGTCTCCCGACGCTGTAATTATTCAGGAGCCTGTCCACCGCCCGCATTATAACAGACGACATGCCAAGAAGAGGAAGAGAACTCATACCGATATCCGCAGAGGACTAGCTCCAGGGGAAGAAATCGTCAGAAGTTCCGCGAGATCAGGTCGCTGGCATACTGGCGCGGAGCTGGCAACTCAACGCGCGTTGGCTAAGGAAAAAGCCGACAGGAAAAAGGCGACCGAACCCAGACACTGCAAACATTGTGGCGACACTGGTCATGACAGGAGAACTTGTGAATTGTTGAAGACTTCACAAGCTGCCGACAGAATCAAAGCGACACAAGCTCGTGTGGCTACGCCTCCCGTGAGCGATATTCCTGGAGCCACTGTCTTCAGGAATGTTCCGCGTGAAATGTTTCCGCAACCACTCTTCCGCGCGCCATCTCAACCGCAACAAATTCTTGGAGTTTCACCTTACTTTGTTCAATCGGTCGCTCAGTTTCCTCAGCAATTTCCCTATCAACCGCAAGCTGGACCATCTACCGCTCCTATCGCACCTTCCTCGCAGTCTCGGGGGTATTATTACTAGAACAATGGCGTCAAAGGACCCCTCGCGTAGGCGAGTAAAGGTTCTTTACATGCTGCGAAATTCCTATTGTTATTCTGCTCTCGTGACTATTCTATCGCTGATCCTTCTCGCTTAAATTCGACGAGCTGTTTGACATCTGTTATAGCGGTCACGTGACGCGTCGGACGCGCCGTACGCGACTCCCGTATGCGACTCCCGCCGGGGGTACTTTTCGGTATTGTTATGTTGATGTAGAACTAGTACCCTTGTAATAGCTCTACATCCGTTATTACATTTAGATGTCTACCCATACCTTGCCTCATTCCTGCGTCCCGTCAGCCTGTCCAGGGGGATCCCCGTCGGGGGTCGCTCCCGGGCCTTACAGAATAACGGATCATCAAAGGACCCCGAATGGGGGAGCACAAGGAGGTAGCCGGATCCCCTTGCAGTTGGGTGCAAGCGGAGTACCCAACGGTCCAGATAGCCATCTGACGTTGGTAGGAGTGTTCTACCCGGAAGGAGTGCCGGTCCAAGCACTCATGTTGTTGGATTCGGGAGCGACCGGGATGTTCATGGATCGGACATTCGCGTCGCTACATGGATTCGACGTAACGGACCTCGAGACACCGCGGGTAGTAACGGTGATCGATGGTCGGGAGATCCAGGGAGGAAGGATCACCCAGAAGGCTCGTACGCTGGTACGTACGGGAGTGCACCTGGAGCTGACCGAGTTCCACCTCACCGATTTGAGTGGGTACCCGGTCGTACTAGGTATCCCTTGGCTGCGGAGACACAATCCGCATATCCAATGGGACTCCAACGCGGTGACGTTCGGGGATGTCTGCATCAGCACGGGATGTCTCAAGAGGCCCGAGACGGTGTATGCTCCGGACGAAGTAGAGGTGGAGACACGAGGGATCGACCCGTTCAAGAAGATGAAGGGGTCTATCACGGAGGATTTGGTCGTCGCACAAATGCAGATGACCCGGGAGGACGACGAGCGGGCGAGGCGCCCGGACCTGTGGGATTGGGACGTCAAACCTACAGACTCGTTCCAGGATGACCTGGACCCTCCCGAGTATATGGAGAAGCTGAGGGACATGGTACCGGAGAAGTATCATGAACATCTTGGAGCGTTCTCCAAGACGAAGGCAGATACACTGCCCCCGAAGCGATCGATCGACCATGCGATCGAACTCAAGCCCGGTACGTCGCCGACGTATCAGAAGCTCTATAACCACTCCCAGCGGGAGAGTGAGGAGCTAAAGAAGTGGTTGAAGGAGAATCTGGAGAAGGGGTTCATCAGGCCGTCGAAGTCGCCCTGCTCGAGCCCGGTACTGTTTGTACCGAAGAAAGGCGGCGAGATGCGTATGTGCATCGACTACCGTCGCCTTAACGACATTACGGTGAAGGATAGGACGCCCCTACCCCTCATCTCAGAGACGCTAGACAGGTTGAAGGGCGCGAAGGTCTACACGAAGATGGACCTCCGAGGCGCGTACAACCTGCTACGCGTAAAAGAAGAAGACATTTGGAAGACCGCGTTTACTACACGTTTCGGTCTGTTCGAATGTTTGGTCATGCCGTTCGGCCTGACCAACGCCCCCGCTACCTTTCAGCGGTGGATGAACGAGGTCTTCCAAGACCTTTTGGATGTGTGCGTCGTCGTTTACCTCGACGACATACTTATTTACTCCTCCGACCAGGAGACCCACGACGGTCAGGTCAAGGAGGTTATGAAGAGGCTGCAGGCAAATGGCCTGTATGCGAAGGCGGAGAAGTGTGAGTTCGATACGGTGGCTACCGAATTCTTGGGGTACGATATTGCCCCGACGGGGGTCAGTATGAACCCCTCCAAGGTCAAGTCCGTTCTGGACTGGGCCCCCCCGAAGAACATTCGGGGACTGCAGTCCTTTTTAGGATTTGCAAATTACTATCGGAGGTTCATCCAGAACTACTCCAAGAAGATTCAGGGAATGACGGCCCTGACGAAGAAAGGGGTGAAGTACTCCTGGACGGCAGCCGCGGACGCTGCGTTCCGGGAACTGAAGGAGTCCTTCACCCAAGCGCCTATATTGGCGCATTACAACGAGGAGCGCCAAGTGGTGCTCGAGACCGACGCTTCCTCTGGAGCGATCGGCGCGGTGATGTCCCAGGTAGGGGACGATGGGAAGCTCCACCCGGTGGCGTTCATGTCGAAGAGTCTGACGCCCGCCGAGAGGAACTACGATGTGCACGACAGGGAGCTGCTGGCCATCGTTTATTGCAGTCGGATATGGCGACATTATCTCGACAACAAGTACCCCGTTCGGATCCTCACGGATCACAAGAACTTGGAGTACTTCAAGAGGGACAAGGTATTGTCTCAACGGCAGGCGCGATGGTCGCAGCTGTTGAACCAGATCTCCTACACCCTGGAGTACAAACCGGGGACGGAGAACGGGAAGGCCGACGCGCTGAGTCGGCGGGAAGAGTTGATGGAGGAGACAGAACCGACGCGAGCGGAGACTCTGCTCCGGCCTGTCGAAGGCGCACCCTCTGAGGGGTGTAGTCCGGTTGAGCGACCGCCTTTGCGGTTGAATGGCACCATCCCCGCACTGGGCGATTGGATGGTGAAAGCGCTGATACCGGCGGCGCAGGACGACCCGGTGGCGAAAGAGCTCGTAGCGCAGCTCAAGGCGGGAACCTTGGCGAACGAGCGATACAGCTTGAGCCCCACTGGGGTTCTCCTGTACAATGGGTTGGTGTATGTCCCCAACGCAGGGAACATCAAGGTAGAGCTGATGAAGCGTCTACATGACGGGAAGGCCGCCGGCCATTGGGGGCGGGACAAGACCGTGGAGCTGACCAGTAGGGACTTCTACTGGCCTGGGATGGCGAAGTGGATCGGGGAGTACGTCGCTAGCTGCAGCATATGTCAGCGCAATCGGCGGCCCCGGATGAAGCCTGTCGGCGAGCTAGCGCCGCTACCGGTACCGGCGGGACCATACGAATCGATCACTTGGGATCACATCACGGACCTGCCCGAGTCTATGGGGTCCAACTCGATCCTGGTGATTGTCGATCGGTTCAGCAAGCGAGCGCACTTCGTCGCTTGTCGAAAGGATAACGACGCCACATTCTTGGCGCGGTTGTTCCTTGACCGATGGGTGTGTTTGCATGGGTTCCCGAAGCAGATCATTTCGGATCGAGGTACGTTGTTCACCTCGCGATTCTGGAAAGATTTGTGCCGCATGGCAAACGTGGAGAACAGTTACTCCACGGCGTTTCACCCGGAGACGGACGGACAGACCGAGCGAAGTAACTCCACCTTGGAGCAGTACTTGCGGTCGTACGTCAACTTCCTCCAGGACGATTGGGCGGAGTTACTCTCAATGGCGGAGTTTGCGTACAACAACGCGAAGCACTCTGCCATCGGGATGTCGCCATTTATGGCGTCCGAGGGAAGGGAGCATACCTTCTCCCTGCCAGTGCCCGGCACTAGGGAAGAGGCGGTGGAGTCGGCGGGGGAGTACCGAGACCGACTCGACGGGATCTATAAGTCGGTGAAGGAGGCGCTGGAACAGGCGCGGAAAGACATGGCGAAGTACGCAAATCGGAAGCGTACCGCAGTCCCTGACGAGGGTTACAACGTAGGGGACTTGGTAATGTTATCTACCAAGAACTTGGCATCGGTGCGCCCCAGCCAGAAGCTCTCGATGAAGACGCTGGGGCCCTTCCGAATCACGGAGGTCATCGGCCAGAGCAAGATGGCGAGGAGGCTGGAACTCCCCGCGCAATTACGCCGGGTGCACCCCGTGTTCCACGTGTCGTTGCTTATCCCCTATCGGGCCAACGAACTGGAAGGAAGAGAGGTGGTTGAGCCACCTACCCCCGAAGTCCTCGACAACGGCGACTTGGGGTATGTTGTGTCCGAGATCGTACACTCGAAGGCGTTACGATCCGGAAGGTCCGGGAAGAAGACCCAATACCTGGTACGGTTCGAAGGGTACGGGGACGAGTCAAACGAGTGGGTCAGCCCCGCTGAGTTTGACCACGACGACAAAGTCGTTGCGGCGTTCCACAAGCGCTACCCCCATCTACCCCAGCCCGGTCGACAAGAGTACGCCGACGCTTGATGCGTTCGGAGTCCGCATCTAGGAGGGGGATCCTGTTATAGCGGTCACGTGACGCGTCGGACGCGCCGTACGCGACTCCCGTATGCGACTCCCGCCGGGGGTACTTTTCGGTATTGTTATGTTGATGTAGAACTAGTACCCTTGTAATAGCTCTACATCCGTTATTACATTTAGATGTCTACCCATACCTTGCCTCATTCCTGCGTCCCGTCAGCCTGTCCAGGGGGATCCCCGTCGGGGGTCGCTCCCGGGCCTTACAACATCGTTCTTGTTCTGGCGTAAGCAGGAGGGGGTTTGTTTCCGCTGTAACTCGGCTGACCAATTTGTTCTATACAGATCGTCGATCAGGAACGTTTCATGTGAACCTACGCGAAACGTATTGTTCTAAGTAACAAATCGAGCTTCTCAAACGTCTCGATTCGGCAATTGGGGGATTTCGGCCCCGAAATCATCCTGTCGACTCGCTACTCATGATGTCATGAGTAGCGAAATGATACAGTCGTCATTGTTCACTCGTTCTCTTTGTTCTTGTCGACTTGACTCGATTTGCCACTCTCGCTAAGAACCTGAACGCATATATATATCCCCCCCTCCCCCCCTCGATTTTGCGATTTCCCCTACTTTCAAACTTACTCTCTTCTACTACAATACACACGCTTAGACCTACTCGTCCCCGATCTATCAAATTTACTCCCCCCGCAACTTATCTATCGAAATAATCCTCAAGAATGCCTAAGTAAGTAACATATCTTGTGCTTCTCGCTTCAGAAAGCCCATATCGCTGATGTTGACTCGGAATATTTCTTCTGCTCGCAGGAACGCCGCTCAACAAAAGAACACCGCCGCCGAGAAGGGCAAGAAGGCCGAGGCCCCCCCTGTCAACGCCGCCGCCTCGGGATCCGGCGCTCGAAAACGACCGGCCCCCTCGACCGAGGCCATGTTAGTCTTGAGTCTCATTTCCTTCGCAAAATTTCTGACGCTGACTTTCTCTCGCCGTATTTCTTTCGCAATCAGTCCCCCGCCCACTACCTCCCGGGAAATTCCTCCCGCCGACTTTCAGGTGAAGAACCTGCTCGCGCTCGCCGACAACGTCCCCGCCCCCGAGATATACGTTTGGGATTCTCGATTCGGTACCGTTCAGGCGTGGTGGCGGGATATTTCGTCCGTGCAAAAAGTCTGGGCCGGCAAGCGAGGGAAGAACAAGGGTGAGTTTCCCGCGCTCGAACTCGACCTTGAGTGGAAGGCGATGCGGTGCTCGACGGGGGCATATGTCGTGTGGAACGGGGATGACGCCGCGCGTGAGTTCACCCCTGATCGTTCGCAAGATATCTCTGGAAATTTTTCTGACGTTTAATTTCTCTCGCCGATTAGTTCACCGCTGGCTTATTCAAGAAGAGGATCGAAAGCTCCTCCCCGTCCCCCCCCCCAACGAGTGGAAGGAGTTGACGACTCCCGGTCGAAGCGGTGACTTCGACACAACCCAAGCTTCGGCTTGGCTTGTAAGTATAATTTCTTCAGCTTTTTTTCGTCCGCTCGATTTCACTCGCTGATTTTCTTTCGTACTAATTATAGGGCAAGTGGAAAGGCGGCTGGCGCCTTATTTGTCCTTCTTGCAAGGAAAAATACGGGACGGCTGACGGCGACGGTCTGACTCTCCCGGAATATCTCTCGGAGCAAGTTCCCCCGGCGAAGAAGAATTTCATCGACCTCCGCCAGAACGAGCTCCCGGATGAAGCTACCGGGCTTCAGATCGACTCGAACCCCCTGATTCTCGCCTGCTCGTACGGTGGCGTCGGAATATGCCGGTCGGCGCATCCCCTCGATCCCGGTTCAGCGTTTTCGTCCTGCGGGCCTTGCAAGTCGGCGGGTACCAAATGTAACGGAGGCCTCGGCGACGAATGGAACTTCAACATCGACGATAACACGGTCGCCGGAGTTCTTCGACTCGCAAAAATCGTTCTCCTTTTCGCGCAGGGAATGAAATGGACGACTCGCGCGGCCCGGGACGAGCAGGGCGAAAAAGCGTTCGAAATTCTGCGAGAGGGAATTTGCCACGGACAGCAAGGCCTGGCGATCGAAGGCGAGGACCCTCCCACGCACGACGCTACGCCAACCCCTGCGATCGTCGAGATGCTCAAGACGTTCCCGAAGAAGGAACAGGGGAAGGGAAAGGGGAAGGCGAAAGCCGAGTAATATTGCGATCGAAATAATTCTCTGACTTGTACGCTCGTGTTGTAACTTGTTCGATTTTATGTTTTGATACTATCATATCTTACGCGTTTCACATTGGAATATTTCTTGCGCCCGATTACTGCCGTCTTAAGTCTACAGAAATATTTCTCACGCGTGGGTCTCGGTTATTTCCACCTATGCCCCGCTTTCGACCGCGCCCGTAAGATTCCGACCGCGTCCCGATCAGTTCTTGTCTACAAGTGCAAAGAGACCAACCTCTCGTGCCCCCTTCAGTCAATGTCGAGAGCGATCGATCGAACAGACAAGAACACAGCAACATGTCGGACACCAGTGCTCTCTCGGAATACGCTCAAAAGGTCCTCCTCATCACCTTTCAGCTCGGGCTCGTCGTCTTGCGACCCATCGCCTTGGTCGTCGAGGCAGCGTCGGTCCCGCTCTCTCCGGATTTTTACCCTTTTCCTCTGGCGACTACCCTCCATGCTTTGAGGGTATCGCACGCTTACAAGGGCAGGGTCAAAGCTCTGGGGCATGAAGGAGCTATGAAGGCGAGGGGGTTGGGAGTGGAGTTGGCCGGGTATCTCGCCATGGTGAGCGACCTACTGGGGCTCATGTATCGTTGCGGGTGAATCATCAGCTCATCTGCACATCACGATCATCTTTGACAGGCCTGGGGAGGAAGTCTTGTAAACGCACTTCTCATGGGAACGCCCCCACCTCAACTCCTGACCGCATGGCCCCTTATCAACTACATCTCGGTCTACGCCGTCATCAACTCTCCCTTCATCTCGCCTTACCACCCCACCTCGGAGACTCTCGACACGGTCGTCCCCCTCATTGACGGTCTCACCCGAGCCTTCCCCATCTCTGGCGCCGTCCTCGCCTGTAGCACCCACTCGAACCCGGCCATCAGGAACTCGTTGATGTACCAGATCATTCTCGGTGGGATCTCGGCGAGCGGAGGTGGCATGGTCGCCAGTACCCTAAACGTCTTTTCACCCGAGTGGAGGCTCTCGACGCCCCCGATCCTCTCTTCCGGGTTCTTGGGATCGTTGGACTTTGTCGCTGCGGCGGTCTCTTCCGTCATCTTTGGCCTGCTCACCTCTTCTCACCCGGTCTATGTCGGGGCTACCAACTACCTATCTACCCTCCCCTACCTCTCCCCCGCCTCGAACAAAGCTGCCGCATCTTCCGGCGCTGCGGGCCCACTGATGACAGTTCTCGGAGCTCGCTCCGTCGTCGTCCTCTTCCTCTCGATCGTCTACGCCACCAAGGCCTATGTCTTGCATGGATCACCCAGCGTCGCCAGGGTCCAGGCGAGGAGGGCGAAGAAGGCTGCCGAGGCCGAAGCGAAAGCCAACGCGGGCGAGTCGGAGAAGCAGGGCGTCAAGGTCGATGTCAAGGTCAAGGAGAGCAAGAAGGCGATTTGAGGGGCTGTAGAGCGCTGTATGACAAGAGAATATGAGGAGATTTGTTCTCGATGGGCGGGTGGAAGTAGAGTATTTGTTTTGTATTCTGGATCGCTCAGGGTCGGTATATGAACCGGATGGTTATATTTGCGGCAACGTGATTAATTTACATGGATGACTGCTGAAACTACGTTCTTGCCCGCGGACACATGGGACGCATCCTTCAGATGAGGGTGGCTTCATAGTATCCTCGTGTTCTGAATAAGGTGCATAACCTGCATGACTGTAGGTTCAATCAACTATGCCGTCCACCGGTAATGAGCCGGTGCAGGAGAGTGTGACCTGCGTCATCTTGTGTCTGTGTCTGCGGCCCGCAAATCTCACATCTTGTCACTCGGTCCCATCAATATAATCTTATCGCTCAAGTCGGTTAGTTACGATCGACAGGATCTAATCTTATACCCAATCCCTGAAAGGTCAAGTGTTCTCATTTCAAACTCAACTTGTCGACGCAGATTCGAGACATTTGTCGAAAACTGATGAAAATCTCTGTAGAAGGAATTGAAGCGCCAATCACGAGAGGAAGGATACCCTTAAGGTTTTTGAGTCGGGAGGGAGGAAGACGACCGGGCTTGCCGAATGCAGTGAGCGGCCTCCGGACTTTTGGTCACAGTATTGATCATTGTCAGGCGAGTTATTGACACGTACCGGGGTACTTTCAGCAAGAAAACGAGCACGAGTTTCGCTCGCGCTTCGCCTGTATCGACGACGACTTTTGCACTTACAGTATCCGCCAGCCGCCTAGATTCCGGAATGTCATGATAAAGCTAGCCAGGACCTCTACTGTTTGACACACTTCGACAAAGTCAGCGATAGCTAGAATCTGGGTCGGTATTCGGGGCAGTTCAGCCGGTCGCAGTATGATTCGCTTGATTATTCCAAGAGATTCTACGTGGCACCAGCTAGCAATGGGCTTTACCTATATAGCTCGACTGGACTGACAGGCTGGCTGGTCGCTTTCATTTTAGCGTCTTTCAGAAAGGAGAATGGCGTCCAGGATCGCCACAGGCGACCAGCTAGATTCGAAATCCTGGGCGTTTACGTCTCCGGGGAAAGAGATCCCCACCAATACAACTCTATCTATACGTGATCAAGTACCGTGGTCACGTCAGAACGCTAGTATTGATCGATAGTCACCCATTCCTATCTGAGAATACCGAGAAGGCAAAAGATCTTAGGTTTTTCTTATGCACATCGTCCTGATTCCAGGTAGGGGTCCTCTCCTGACATACGTCGACGTCTACGGCGGGGGGTCGCTGTATGAGATCGCGTCCCAGCCGAAACATGATGAACCTTCCTTTGGTTCGATTGTCTGAAACGCGTGACCATGCGATGTGGCGCATCATCGGCTGCGATCAACCGCCATGACGTCAAAGGAAGGTTATCCGGTTCTCCGAGAGTCTTTGTCTCTTTTTCGGATTCCGAACGATTTCGCCCAAAGGAACCCCTCAGATCCAAAGACTATATAACAGGGCCAGAGGGAAAGAGCATATGATTCTCACTGCCACTTGCTTACAAACTTCAGATCCATCCGCTCCAAAACCTCTTCGACTGAGCGATGGAGCAGGCCGGAACGGAACGTTACGAGACTTACGTCGGCGACCCACCCTCTGCTCATCCTGCCTCGCTTCGACCGGCCTACGTTCCCTCGCCTCAACCTCATCCAACCCAAGAAGAACGTTCCCTCTCCCCTCCGATCTTTGTCAGACCGCTAGGTCCCGCGATTCCGTTACCCCGCAAACCTCGATCGATCATGTACAAGGCCAAGATCCACGACCTCTTGATCTATGCGTCCTTGATCATCTCGGCGCTGGCGCTCATCCTGGCAACGAGGAAAAATGCAGGGACCGGGCAAGGATTGGCAGCCAAGGGCAAGGAGTTGGTGGAAAAGACGACGGACTTGGTGCATGTGGTCCCGCAGCCCACTTCGGCTCAACAGGTGAGTCGTGAACTCGTATCCACGATATCCTGCTGGCGTGACGCTAACGATCTCTCTTGGGTAATCATCAATACATCAGGATCAACCCGAAGCTGTCATCCACCTCAAGTTCCCTTCTTACCCACCACCTCCCGAAACTCCTCTATCGCCTCTTCAGAAGTTCCTAGCCTACCTCCATCCGGCGCCCTACCTCTATCCCTACCCCTACACGGTAGAATCCGCTCAATCTCTGGCGTCGCAAGAACTGCTCGCGCTCTTGTTGAAGCTGGATCCGGACGTCCATGTTCAGGGCCAAGGGATCTCTGTCGGCGATCTGAAAGCCATCGAGAAGTTCTTGCTGAAGAACGACTGGGTGGCCGAACAAGCCACCTTGGATCTCCTCGCCCGGCACTTGTTGATGCACGACCTCGATCTGGACATCGACGAAGAGCCACGTGACTCGTCCGCAGGCTCAAGTCGATACAACAGGCTTCGAAGGATTATCGATGCTATTCGCCCGACCACGAGGTCCAGCAGACGTGCCGAAGAAAGACAGAAGGAGAAGGAGAGGCAGAAGCAGCTCGAGGAGAGGGAGGCTGAGTTGGGCAAGAGGGAGAAACAGGTGGTCGAAGCGCTCAACGTGTTAGCGAAGGAGAAGGAGTAGGGTCAACTGAGACGGACGACCCCCGCTGATACGAGCCAACTCTGAGGAGAATATCCTGTTAGACGAAGAGAAACGATCACAAACGCCCTCGAGTCGATGAACGCCCTTTTTACGATATGATACTTTAATAAACGAGTAGATTGAGAGGTGGATAGAGGTGGATAGCTAGCGGGACCGGTCGCGATTTCGGAAAAAACATAAACAATGAGATACACGTCCATCTACATCTAGGGATGACAAAGACAAAGATAATGACACTTCTGCAAACCGAAAAGTAGTATAGTGTAGACTCGACTCGACTGCATATGCACAGCACAGACTTCGCTGCTTTCTCTCCATCACACGGGCGCAAATCCCTGATCCGCCCCTTTTTTCAATTGTTCTTCTTCGCTACATGCGTTCAAGTGGTAATTCGTCTTTTTTGCTAGGTGTTGGTTCTTGTTATACTAAACCTCCAATTTTGTCGATAGGTAGTGCTAGACCTAGACGTAGGGAGGACCAAGGTGGTTCCTCGTGATCGTCGTCAAAGCCTCGACGACTGTAATTGATAAACTTGATTAGCATCCTATTGCCAAACCTACAAACACCTCCATCCGGAGGGTCGCGCGCCAGCAAAGACGAGAAGCAACGTGGACTCACCCAAAAGCAAGACTCCACCACCGGGTGCCAACCTGAGTACTTTCGGGGTGAAACCCTTGTATAGCGCGCCGACGCCTTCTTCCTTTACTACTCGAACAAGGGCGGGGAAAGCCCTGCAAATCGAAGCATCACAATTCAATCAGCTCCAGATCTGGCTCGACGCGAGAGAAGAAACACATACCACTCTCCAGTCCCGTGCAGCTGGATACGCGATTTGACCACGTCGACTGAAAAATCACACCGGGCCTCAGCGGTCGCCCAGAATTGACTACGAGATGGCTTTATTCGACGAAGCCTCTTCTCTCACAAGGCGTGTTCAGTACGGTTCCGATAGCTCCTCCCACTGAACCTGAGAGGAAGTTGTTGAAGAGCTCGCCCGACTTGGACTGGATTGCCGTCGAGTGTCATGACCACGAATTGTCGTTTTGAGTGGGTCAGCGATCGAGACGGAAAAGCGATACGACCCTCGAACCCACCTCGGCTTTGGGCAACAACGACCTGATCTGGAAGATGCTCCCGAAATACCCTCCGTTCCAGCTGACGTGCCTCCAAAAGGTGGCCTCCATCCCGACATACAGACCCAACGGTCCCGACCTAGCCAACGTCTTCTTGATCACATCCAGGGGTCCGGTGAACGTGGAAGCCTTGTCTTGTAATCGGATCTTGACGAGCTCGAACGGGGTGACGAGGAAGGATTCGGTCGCTCCGGCCGCACAACCCGTGAGGATGGAGATGGACTGGGTCATGGGGATGGTAGATTTCTTGGTGAAGACGTCTCCCCAAAAGGCGTTGGCGGCGACTACCGATCGATAACAGCAAGGCAAAGCGAAGCAATGCAACGAGAGGCGGTCGTCAGCGCCATCTGCCAGACTACGTCTCGTGTCGTCTCGACTCACACTTGGTAGCCCTCTTCGGCGCCTCCATGGCGAACGGTGCCAAGATACCCCTGTACAACCTCCCGACACCCTCTTTGGCGACGATATCCTTGAGCATGCCAATCATCCCGAACTGGGATTTACCCGTGTTGAGTTGCATCCGGGTCTTGACCGTGTCTGTCATGTCCACCGCGCATAAGGGAGTCAGGTTGAGATTTTAGCACGGAATCTGGAAGACATACAGGAGCAGATATAGCATGCTTACCGAGAGGGAAGAGCAACATGAGCTCGGTACATCCTGCGAAAGCTCCGAAACTGAAGGTGTAGACGAAGGGCAGGGCTGTCGAGCGTATCCCGGCGCGTTCAAGTGCAAGTGCGAGTAACAGCGTATCATTATGATTCGGAGGAACAGAAGAACGAGAAGACGAAGTCAGTTTTGAAAGTCGAGATGATACAGTGTGTGTCGCCGGAAATGCAAGCGAACGCTCGATACCCCAGATTTCGACGTATTGCGTTGTCATTTCGGGCGAACGCGAATCATCCGGGGCTACACATTCAAACGCGACCAGAGAGGACTTCGAGACTCACGCTTGGGCTTGGGTTTCGAGGAGATGGCGGCGGAGGACATGGTGGCGGGTGTGAACGAGGAAGATTACGGAGAGCTATGGTGACAAGAGGTGAGAGGTCGAGCAAAAAGTATCTGAACGTCGATGGATGGGTTATCGCTGTCTTTTGGCTGGCTGTCGCTGTCCAACGACCATTCCCCCGAAGCAAGCACCCGAGTTGGCGATATACGCGTCGCCCCCTCTCGCTCTATATCGGACCGTATCCGGCACAAATCGAATCGAAGGGGTGATCGGATGCAAAATGACTATAAAATGCTTCCGGAGGGAACGTGGGGATAACGGGTGCGGGGCCAGGTGATCCAGGTGATTTTGATATCACGAGGCACCGAGGACATCGACCATCATTCCACACAATCCCAGTCACCTCGATACTCGATCAGACCTCTCGAGCAAGCTCACTTCTCTGCCACAGAGATACATACACGCACAGAGGCATCGAGTAAACTGCAAGATGAAGCTACTTGCTCTCATCGCTACCGTCGCCTCGCTCGCGACCCAAGCCACGGCTTGGGGTCAAGACGGTCAGTCGTCCTGCTACGCCAATTGCCCATATCTGTTAAGTTCAACACCTGCCTTTGTCCTCCTTACATCTTCTGCAGGCCACAAGATCGTAGCCACCATCGCCCAAGTCCACCTCCATCCTACGGCCAAACAAGCGCTCTGCAAGATCTTGCCGCCCGAGGCGAAATGTCACTTGGCTCCCGTGGCCGCCTGGGCGGATCAAGTCAGGGGCAGACACCCGGAGACGGGTCCCATGCATTATATCAACCGTGAGTTTCAGCTTCGGAGCAGATATCTTCGATTGGGAGCTGATATGTATTTGGGATGCCTATCTGCGCGGGGTTCACAGCGAGGTTGGATAAGCCGGGAGAGACGTGTACTTTCGGGGAAGACGGGTGGATCAATGACAAGTACGTCCACCATGGAAGAATATCAGCAGAAGCGCAGATCGTTTGCTTACGTCCCGAAACCCGTCCGGGTGATCCAGGGTCAACGTCGTGACCGCCATCCACGAGAAGACCAAGAGGCTACTGAACGGGACCTTGTAAGCTTCCTTTCCCTCAACACCTCATGCTTCCCCTCCTTCTAGATTCAAGACAAAACTCCAGATCAGGCTGACAATTCTGTCGGCTATATACGCGACCGATAGCGGCAGGGAAGATGACGAGACCTTGCGATACTTGATCCACTTTATGGGAGATATCCACCAGCCGTTGCATTTGACGGGGTATCTGCGGGGCGGGAACGACGGTTAGTCTTGCTTCCTCTGTCTCTGGCTTGAATAAGCGATATGCACTTTTCTTGGCAGTGGAACTGACAAAGAGCTCTCACTGTTATTCAATGTCGATGTCTCTTTCTGGTTTCCCGCATTCTGCACCCGCCTCGCTTTATAGCCTGGGTCAACTTCTACGGCCGTCGTCAGAAACTACACTCGGTCTGGGACAGCTCGATCCTCCTCCGCAAGATCGCCACCCTGGGCAACTATACCAGCTCGACCGGGAATCGGCAACTCGAGTCCGCACTCAGGGGAGACATTTACGACCCTTACGTGAGGTTCATCGTCAAGGAAGGCGTTTGGGGGTGGTGGAAGGAGAGCAGTAAGGGTTGGTTCCAGTGTCCGGAAGAAGGGGAACATTTCCCTACGAACGACGAGGTGGGCGTGAAAGTCGAGGGTGACGCAGGGATCTGGCAGCAGGTCGGGCAGGTAGTCATCACGGCTTTACCTACCGCTTGGGGCAACGCTCTGATCAACAACGGCCTCGTCCGAGCTCCTACGCCTCCCGAATACTCCTCCCCTTCAGCCCTGACCTCGTCGAACCTGGATGGCTGGCTCCCCGCCTGTCCTTACACATGGGGCAAAGCGTTACATCCATACAACTGCAGATACGCCTGGCCCAGAAACTACCACCCTGGGATCGAGTTGGACGATGGGGAGTACTTTGAAAAGATCACCAACGACAAGGTGTTTGAAGAGTTGTTGGGCAGGGCGGGGATCAGGTTGGCAGCGGTCCTGAACGCGATTTATGCTGAAGGAGAGGTGGCGAGGAGCGGAGGGGCTTGGTTCGCCGAGCACTAGTGAATTCGAGTTTTGAAGGCTGCGGTGCACCCGGATGGTACCCGGTCGCACGCCGAAGAGAATACGATTGGACCGAAACCGAATCGCGCTGTGTTGTACGACCTTTATGATCGACTGTTTTTACGAAGATGTACGATCCCGAGTACTTGTTTGAATAGTCTGCGCAATCTTCATATGCTTTGCTTTTTTGATGATATATATTTAAATTCGCTAGAAATAAAACAAGATCTCTCGACGAGACACAACGTGGGACCTGAGAAGGAAGAAGGATATATCGGATCGTGCGGTTATGGAGCAAGTAGGCGTCGAGACCTAGACGGCGTATTTCTGCGTCCATTCTTTCGACACGGCAATGGCACCCTTCTCGTCGTCCTTGTAGTGTTGTGCCACGTCGTTCTGAACAAGCCAAGACAAACGTGTCGGCAAAAGTCAAGTAAACGGGGGCCGGGATCGAAGTGGATGTGAAACAGGACTCACGGCGAGAGGGTCGTCAGGGTTAGGAGCTCCTAGCAGCGCCTGAACGGAGAGGAGCACAGTTCGAATCTGAAGAGCGGGCGACCACTTGTCCTTGAGGATGTCAAGACAGATTCTCCCGAGCTTGTCTGCGAGGCGGACAGCAGTCGATCGCGGCGTAGTCAGCAGCCAGGTCCTTCTGAGTGGTTACGATACGCATAGCATGGAAAGAGTGGGAGGGCGACAGAAGATGACAAAGGTCGGGCTTACCGATGTTGGGGTGGTAGATCTTGGTGAGGAACCTCACTTTGGGAGGTGCCATGGGGTAGTCTTCCGGCAAGAACAGTTCCAGCTTGAAGATTCCGCCTGTAATCCCGGGCGAGCCAGAAGGATAATCGAGTCAAGACCACCATCGAGACCGGTTTTCAGGAATATCGTGACGAGCGAGAGTCGGTATGAAATCGAGTTCAACACACTTCCTGGATCGATGACAGGAAGTAGGCGGGAAAGTTGACATACCCTCGAAAGCACTCCCACCGGGTCCATCGATCTTGACATCGAAATAACGCAGATTGTCCTCATGAGGGTGAGCCTCGATACCGGGCGGCGAGTCTGCTACGAGCCTCTCGGTCTCCTATATGGGTAGAACAAAGATACTCGATGTCAGAGTTAGTACAAGCTATTCAGTTGCGGCTTATCCATATCGCGGAAAGGGATATGCATGCCGGCTGACAAGGACCGATGACGAACCTTGAGGATACGCTTGGGTAGGTTGGCAGACATTATTGTACCGGTGCTTCAGTCCGAGCTTCCTGTCCAGATCAATTGATAGTGTACGTTGTGTGGTCTTCCGTCGTCTGTGATGAGTATGCGGTGTTTGCCTATCGAGATGTTGTCGAGTGCACATACCCACCCTTGGCCCTGGCTGGGTTGATCGTTGCTCATCATCGGGATCAGTAGTGATGATGCGGGCGTGACATGGGCGGGGGTGGAGCGGACATTGACACGTTTTTCAAGGAGAATAGAATAGAACGATCGAGAGCATGTCCGTCCATGTCTCGAATGACGACAGCAAAGGGAGAGTTACACAGCTTACACCGTCGAGCTATGATCACATTGGTTGTTGTCAATGGGGAAATGTGCAATCACAACCTTGAGATCTTTACTCTATCATACAGCCACGACATACCTCGACTTTGATCCTCTCCGACATAGCTCTCTGCTGCGGAGACGAGCGTTGCCAAGATAGATCCGAGGATCGTCCTCTGCCGCGCCTGAAGATAGCAACGACCTGGGAGATGAGACTCGGCAATCACATCCGTATCGACAAGAACGAAGGGCCATGAGCAACAATATTCACTACGATCAGTCAAGGGGATATCAACAGGATGCTCCGTTGTATGCAAACGATGATCGAGTCGCCGGCCACGAGCAGCACAGACCTCACTTGCGACCGGCTTTGACCGACCTGAACGACTTTGCCGACGAGCCGTACGGACAGTCAGTGAACCGGGTAGGCAGCGATAGCAATGGCGACCTACCACCAGGATACCTCAAGTATGACAGACCGCCTTATGATGGTCCTATATCGCCCATCACCCCCCGGATCCCGGTGGCACAGCACGCCAGCTTGGGTAGACGAACCTTGCCGGTCACTCCCAAAGACTCGGCGGGCAACCGGACGTCTAGCATGAATGGACGTCGACCGTTACCTGCGCCACCAGGAGCTTCAGGATTCAGTCCGGTGGTGCTGAACGATTGGGACTTCGGGCCTCCTCCTCAGGTTACGATCAATGGGGATCGCAAGACGTTGCCTGATCCCGGTCGACGAGGGGAGAGCGTCGACACCGACATGAAGCGTGCCTCTACAGCTTCGTCGAGACGACCGTTACCACCGAACCCGAATGCGACTTCAAGCACGGATACAAGGTATTCTTCAAGACCTTTACCTCCCCCGATCCCATCTCCCAATCCATCATATCTCAGCAATACCACCGCGGCTAGCACACCATCAATCCCTTTACCTTCCCCGAGTCCATATCCGCTCAGCTACCCTGGCATCCCGGTCACTCCGTCTTTCCCCGGATTCTCCCTACCGAATCCGACATATGGAAGCCCCATTGCTTCCAACTTTATGTACCCGACAGGATCTCTTCCGCCCGTTCCTCCTCCTTTCGTACCCCCAGGCGGGTTCTTGCCGGGGTATCTTCCGCCGCCCGCATTCCCCGGGATGGGAATGGGAATGGGTACGGGACCGGGGATGCCTCCCGTGTATCCTATGGCACCCCCGCCTGAACTAGCGGATCAGCAGTCAGAAACTAGGTACGCAGAGGTTGGAAGGCCAGGCGATGATCACGGAGACGGAGGACAGGTCACACCACGTCCTACGGGAAGAAGGGATCAACAGGATTATTTCGGCGGCCCACCTCCACCTAAGAGTCCTCCCCGGAAAGAATCATCAGAGCCTGCTAGGCAAGGGCGTTCGTTTGGCCAGGAGTATCTTGCGAGTCTTTCCGTATCGGACGAGCCGGAAGAGTATTCGCCGTCTATCGTGGACTCGTATCAGAGGCAAGAGAGCGAGGCGCATCTCTTGCATTCCGATTCATACAACTCAAATTCTGGTCAGAGTACGGATGAAACTTCTATAAATCGGAGGGAACAGCAGAGAAGCTACGATCACCCTTATGGACAAGGACCTGGAGATGCGACGCACAGGGAAAGCGTGGTATCCCTCCCGCAATCTGTGAGGACTTTCGGGGAAGGTCCTTCGAACCCGGGGGAGAACGGGTTGCAGCACCGGAGGACCTATTCCCGGGATCCTCAGTTGCAACATCGAGGTTCGTTAGCTCCTTCATGGCTGGAACAGAATCAAGAAGGAAGACCTCCGGCTCGATGGGTCCAGAACAAGCTGTTTCTGCATCAATCACATGCTGCAGGGTTTTCACCAAGCGAGGTTACGGGCGAGGATGGACAGGTCGGTGGGGATGGTTATTTCGATGAAGAGATGGAAGAAGACTATGACGAGGAGGAAGCCGAGGAACAGAACGAGATGAACTTTTTCAGTCCGAGCTTGTTGAGTCACGTCAGCGTGCAGTTGAGGGATCGGGTTGAGAGGAATAGCCATATCAAGGGAGGGATACCTTGGCCGAAAAGTTTCACAGGACGGGATGTTATCGTAAGTTGAGGTACATATACTATTAGCAAAAGACGCGTGTCTAATCGGACCATCAATCGCTATCGCAGACCACTATTCAGTCTTTCATGCCAGAGCATACCCGGTCGTCCAGCAACGATCGGCGTTTCGCCGTGACTGTGGCGCACTCGCTGCAGAAACAGCTGTTGTTCGTCGAGGTCGACTGGGACGACAAACCGCTCAGCGACTCGATCGAAGACGTTTATCAGTTCATGAACGAGATTGAGGGGTTGCTCGGCAGTACCTACGAGTTTCCGACGTAAGCAGAGTTGTGAATATCCTGGCATTGTCGATAATCCGCTTATCCAAGTGACCGTGATATAGAGGCGTCGAGACCATGGCGACCAAGTGTTATAGTCCTAGTTGTCAAGGAGCAGGTACGGGAGGATGTTACTCGCCCATGTGTCCATACAAGATCAGTCCGGTATGTCACGGGAAGAAGGGTATCAATGTTGGCCTACTAACAGTCTCTCGATGATCAGGAAACGTTCCTCTCGTCGACCAAAGCGACGAGCACTTCTCAGAGCACGACGTCGGCAAGAGAACCGAGAGCGCAGACCTGGTCTCGGCGAGTGGATCAAGTGCTTATCGATCAGATGTCCGAGTCGGAGAAGAAACGTCAAAAGTGGGTACCGAAGTAGTAGTGCCTCGTCTCCGGTATTGACGGCTTGCTACCCCTACAGCATCATATACCAAGCTATTCAAGCTGAGGAGCAGTATGAAGCCGATTTAAATGCGGTGGAGACGGTCAGTCGAGAAGGTCTTGCGAGAATCGCAATGATGCACCTTGCTTACTGTATCGCGGCAACAGCTCTTCATCAGCCCGCTCAGGCTAGCACAGCCTCCTGTCATCAGGTCGCTCAAGGATCTCGAGGATCTGATTTCGACCTTGTTCGGCAATATCCTCGAACTGAGGGCTGCCAACACGAGTCTGCTGGAGTTCTTCACAGAGAGGCAACGCGAACAAGGTGGAATCATCAGTACCATCGGCGACGTCTACCTGACAGCGGCTGCTGAATTTCGAAACCTGTATCCGGATTATATTGGTCGATTGCCAAGAGCCGAGGAACGTCTCAGGGAAGAATTGGCAAACAACTCGAATTTCAGGTTCTTTGTTGACGTGAGTCTATCAGTCGAGCTGAAGGCGCGGCCAATACTGACGCCAAAGTTCTTTGTTCTCAGCGAGTCGTCAGGCAGAACGAGAATCGCCGAATGGACATCAAATACCTGATCACACGACCCGCTACACAGCTCAACCGATATCCTCAAATCTTGGAGGCCATCCTCAGCGAAACGTCCCACGAGAGCCCCGACGCGACCTTCCTGGTGGAAGCGATCAAGGCGATTCGAAACCTGAGTCTAACCGCCCAGCTAAAAGTGTGGCAAGCATCGGCCAACCGAGAAGAGATTCCGCCTACGGAAGATGCCTTGGTTCAGCGCGAGAGGGTCGCACATCAGGCGAACATGCTGGACAAGCCTTGGTCAGAGTTCGTGTCGGTCGAGGATATAGCAGTGATGACGGAAGATGAGAAGAAGGTGCAGCAGTGAGTAACGGTTGAGTAAGTTGGCTTTGTGGGTTGCCGCTGAAACTTCTTCCGCTCGACAGTACGATATGGGAGTTGATCCAGGGAGAGATGACCTATGTGGCGGATCTGCGGGTTATCGAAACGGTTTGTTGAGAACTATGCCTGACCACCATTGCGTGTGCTCGTGCTCATGCGACCACTTCCAGGTCTATATCGACGGTCTTCGCTCGGCAGATGAACCGATCGTGGACAGACTGCGGCTAGAGATCTTCCTTGACGATGTTTTTCACAACTATCGCAGCCTCCTGGAGATTCACACCGATCTATTGGAAAAGCTGCACGCACGACAAGAGGAACAACACCCTCGTGTCGGGTCAGTCAGTGATCTCATTTATGATGCTGCTCTGCGTTGGCAGGATGCCATCATCGAATACGGGAGCCATTATCCGAAAGCAAAGTATGCTTGGGAACAGGAGCGAAGGACGAATCCAAAGTTTGCGACCTTTTTAGACGTGAGTAATAGAAAGCATGACGTGCTGTCTTGAGGATCGTTTACATTGATCTGTAATCAACAGCAATGCCGCAATGCCTCTGGAACAAATAGGCAGGACATCGGACATTTCGCATACAGACCGGTGCCGCGTCTTCTGCGATACACTCTGCTACTCAAGGACATCTTGAAACACCTTACTCGGACGGACCAGTCGGACAACCTCGATATATTCACGATTCCGGAGGTCGTCGAACTAATCGATTCCCAAGGAAAGCTTATCGAAAAGGGAGTGGAAGAATCTTCGGCCAAAGTGTCGCTATGGCAGCTTCCAGACTCGCTGTCTGGAGGCAAATTCGGCAAGGAAATCGTCAACGACCTGGATCTGACCAACCCCATGAGAGAGCTCGTCCACAAGGGTCGTTTGCTACGTCAACCCGAAGGATCGATCGCGGCTTCGTGGTCTGAACTGCATGCTTTGCTGTTCAACAACTTTTGTAAGTACTCCATGTTATCAAACATCACGCCATCGAGACTTATATGTCTGGGTCATCGCGACGTAGTTGTTTTAACAAAACTAGGAAAGTCGAAAACCAGCTCCAACGTACCACCTCGGTATTACATCAATCGGAAGGTTGGTTTCATCCCGGCAGAGCCATCCGTTACATGAATTGACGTAGGATTATGCTCCAGCCTATTCCCTTAGAACTCCTGACGCTCGGAAGTTTCCACGACCCTCCACAGAGCAGACGGGTCGGCCTTTTGAGGACCTTCCGAAGCGAACGGCATGAGAGTAGCACTACACCGGCGTCCGATTCGGAGTCTAGGACGGTGTATCCCTTTACTTTCAGTTTCATGGGATCGGGGCAATTGGGTGGGCAATATACGTTATGGGCCGACTCCGAACTGAGTAGGAAGGAATGGCAGCAAAAATTGCTTCATGCCAAGGCGTTGCGTAGTGCCGACATAGAAGCCAACAAAGTAGGCCCCCATTGAAAATGGCTGTTGACGCCACATGCTGACATAGTCGTTGTCGATAACTTCAGATCTTTGAATTGAATGCGCTAGCGCTCGACACCTTCTACGCCTCTTCGTTGTACGGGACCAACCCGGTCGTTCGACCGGAAGATCAGCAAGCTTTCACTGGCAGAGTGACTTGCTCTGTTCCGTTCCGTGGGTTTGATCTCCGCTCGGCCTGTCTCAGACCGCTGCTGAACGCCTATATCATCGTGACGCAGGTACTGTCGACAATCGGGAATTGGTAGCGATCGGTTGCGCGGAAGGGGTTTGGATTGGGTTGAGGTCGGATCCGCGATGTAAGTAGCGGTGTCCTCATGTCCTTGGCTACAGTGGAGCTGATCTGTCGTCCCTTCATAGCACTTCGAAAAGTCTTGCATGTAAAAGCAGTCACGCAGTGTGCTGTGCTCGAGCAGTTCAGTCTGTTCCTTGTGCTATCCAACAAGGTATGTCTCGCCAAAGCACAAAACCGGTCACAACAAGAGACTGACTGCCTTCACCACCTCCAGACCCTGCTTGCCTATCCCATGGAGTCGCTGGTACCTTCGAGTCATTCGACGGGTCCACCTCCGAGAGGTCACCAGAAGCTGAGCGATAAGCACGAAGTGCAATACTTTGCTTGTGGCCAACTTAGCGGACGCACTCTGGTAGTCTATCTGCGCAAGAAAGGCGTGAGTCGTAACAATGAGAGAACAGTCAGGCATAGTGTTGACTCTATTTGTGTCCGCGAGTCGTAGCTCAACAGTGTCTTCCGTTGTCTGGAACCTATAACCGGACGAGAGATGGACGAGAACCGGAACCGACGAGCGTTTACACATTTCCTCAATGCCAAGAACGATTGGTTCCGAGTGTACAAGGTGAGATGACCTGGCACGAGAGTGCTATGCATCGGAATCTAGACCTGACCTTGCTTCTATGCAGGACTTTTTCGTACCGTCCGAGGCCTTCCACGTACATTTCCTCCGCAACAAGCTCATCGTCGTCTGCCAGAAAGGTTTCGAGATCATCGACCTCACCGAGTGCGTATCTTGTGGTCATTTGGTGGAAGACAAAGCTAACCCGCTGCTACTCTAGGTTGAACCCCGGATCGATTCCAGTCTTTGATTCGGCGCGGGTAAAGAATGACGCTGCGCTTGGCGCTCTCAGATCGAGATGCGAAGCAGGAGCTCGGCCTCTGGGCATATTCCGCTCGACCGAGAGCGAGTTCCTGCTCGTCTATGATACGTTCGGATTCTTTGTTGATCGTCACGGATACCCGAATCGAGACATGAGGGCGATCGAGTGGGAGGGACGACCCGAGAGCGTTGGCTTCCACCCGCCTTATGTCGTGCTGTTCTCCGCGCCTTTCATGGAGATTCGCCACATCAGCGACGGCAGGCTGCTCCAGATCTATTGTGCCAAAGACTTGAGGTGTTCTTGGGAGTGAGTCTATTGAAGTCGCAAGGCAGATGATGCGATACTGATCGTACGGATCAATCGCAGTGGAACAAGTGCAAACCCGGAACACGGCGTCCCAGTTCCAGGACCATTGTGAGCCCCCTCGATCGCGAATCCTAGCACAATTAGAGCTAACTGTCGTGCGCGATGCGATGTAGGGGCTACACGGAGGACATGATCTCGCCAGAGGCCCGGCTGCACATCGTTCAACGGGCAGACAACAGTCGCGGCCAGCCTCGAAACGCCATCAGCCAGGATGTGTAGGTTGCACGACACTGCCAACGAACATATGGCTATGGACAGCTCACCTATGATTATCCTTGCAGCTATGAGCTTTGTCCCACTTTGTTGCTCAATAACCCTCTACGAGACCTGTCGACCCGCGATAGCACGTACTTTCAACCCGCACCCGAAGTCCATTACGTGAGTTCGCGACCAAGTCGCTCTTGATTCGACCATGTCTGACTTTAACCTTTCCCGCAGGCCAACGGCGGCCCAAGCAACGCCTACGGTTACTCTCCATGGACATGATCATCAACGAAAGCCTGATTCTATCTGCCTGGCGCAGATATCTTCGATCGAAACTCATAGGATAGACAGATACGAACTTCCTCCCATCTTGCAGATATCTACTTGTACTCAGGTCCAAGAGGGAACATGCCGAGCCCGCACCCTCATCTCAGAACTCAGTTGTATCCTTGCATTTTACGTATCACGTGTATCGATCGACCATTTACGACAGTAAGCTTTCCGTCACTTGTGGGGAAATGGAGGAGAAATACGAGAAACCTCTAAACGGGACCGACCGAAGGAGCCGGAAAAGTTTGAAACAGGCTTTATGTTATTCGGTACAAACACACTATTACAAACTAAAACAAACACAAGCGATGAGAGACAATCCAAAGTCATTCTGTATAGTAGGATCATCTCTAGCGCTGGAAGATAGGTGGAAGCAACGACCAAGGGTGGAACCGATACACGTACATGCTCCGCAGACCCCCGGTACCGATTGAGAGTGGGTCAGTCCCGAAGGCGCGGAGCAAAGCCAAGAATGGCGAATTCAGGCGAGGCAAGACGAGAGGAAAGGCGCAGCGGGAAGTACCCAAAGTACCCTTAACAACACCCTCCTTGTCGTTTCTGCGTCTGCTCGCCCAGATTGACCCTGTTGCCATCGTTCGCCCCACCCGAACCCGCCGCACCGGCCGCTCGACGAGATCCTGCGTTGGACCCAGCCGGAGTGGACTTTGGTGCGATCGAGTCCATCGGTAGGTTTTTGGCTGCGGCACAAGACGTCAAGCGAGATTTTAGCTCGGTGGTCCTTGCATCAAGTCGATTTTGAAGAGATTGCGGGACGTACCGATCTCGGTAAAGATCTCTTGCACCCCCTTGCCCGTCTTGGCACTCGCCTCAAAGAACAATAACCCTCCTGCCTCCTTGGCGTACCCTTCAGCTTCTTCCCTCGAGACCTGCCTGACGTTGGGGTTGGCATCATCCGTCGTCGTGACAGCCGGGACGGCAGTAGCCGCCTCCGCATCCTTCTGACTGGATGTAGAACCCATTTCTTCCCTGTCCGCCGTGCTCTTTGTCGTCACATCTGCCAACTCTTGTCCCTCTTCCTCGTCCGCCTCCTCGTCGTCGGTGTTGTCGGTCTTCTTGGCCTCGCCAGTGGATGTGGACGAGAATGGAGAGACGCGCGAGACGGCGTCCTTGCTGCCCTGACCGGCTTGTCCTTCCGTGACCAGATCCAGCTGTCATGTGTCATCCAGGACAGAGTCGAAAACGAGACAGAGACATGAAACCCGTACGGTCATCAGTAAACAGATTCGAAAAGTTAACTTGTCGCGGAGAAGAGCCAAGAAACCCACCTTGTTCCCGACGAGGGCGATGACGATATTAGGGTTCGCCTGGCGTTGCAGCTCGTTCACCCACGCCTTGGCCTTTTCCAAAGAGCTCTTCGAATGCCAAAGAAAACAGAATGGGTTCATGTCAGCCTCTCAAAGCATTGAATCACGATGAGACAAGGCTGCAATCTGGAGGTGAAGAAGAGAAGAGGGTCACTCACGGCCTTGGTGATGTCGTAAACCACGACAGCGGCCGCAGCGTTCCGGTAATACATGGGTGCGAGCGAGTGGAATCGTTCTATGGTCGGCGCGGGATTTGGAGTTTCGGTCGAGATGGTAGGTAGGCCGAGTTTGGTATATCATGGTGATGCAATGTGATGCGAGGATTGCAGCACAAGGTGGATTTCAATGGATATCGTGATCAAGTAAAGAGAAGTAAATGAAAGGTTCAGCACACAGTCACGCATTCGAAAGAGCCAAGGACCGGTTCGTACCTTGACCAGCAGTATCCCTATATGTCCTCAACCATGATGGCAACATCAATTCCCCGTGATCCATATGACATGGTTACAGAGTAGCGGAGTACATCAAGAAAGTCGTTCTTTGTCAGTCTAGGCTTTAAATACGGACAATGGACAAGAGGGATGTCGAGACTGACCAGATCTCAAACTTGATGACCTTGTCTTCCAAACGACATTCTGTTCGTCCAGACCAAGTCCCCGAGATCACGTTGATCAGCAACCACGAAGCGACCAACGTCCGTTATGAACCTCGGAAGCACGGACGTACTCTGCGTCAAGAACGCCGCCCCGATGGTGGGCGAGTTGTTCTCGTTGAAATCGTCATTGACGAACCGGAGGACGACCGAGGATTTCCCGACGGCCGCTTCGCCTGCGAGTTCATACGGTACATAATGATACGAGTATTAGCTCTCTTCCCAGTCCTTGTGGTTGTGCATGATGAGAGACTAGAGCAGGAATGGTAATGGAGTTGGAATGAAGTCGTGGTCGGATGCAGAAAGGGAATGACGTCCATTGTCTCTTGTTGTCGATCTGGAGTGCGGGGAGATGCTCACCGAGGAGTACGAGCTTGACTTGAATAGGTTTTGCTGTCTCTGCCATCGTGTGTCTATTCGTGAATGTATATGGTCGGGGTGTTGCTGTCGAGACTGGATGGATCAAGTCCAAGTGATGATGAATATGATGAATGATGTCGTTGCGAGAGGCGACGAGGAGGGTCAAGGCGGTGCGATACCACGGGGCTCGGCACCGATCCGCGGATGACACATCATTCGATACGGATAACGTAAGCATAACGTAAGCTTTAAATGCCGGCAAGACTCCCCGCTCGAGGGCGACGCGCATCTCGAGGAGAAATGTTGAACGACCGAGGGATAACTCGAATTGCTCTCGACGTCTTTCGAGCGTCTACCTACTTTCGAGTCGTCTTTGGTCCACTCAAGCAACTCGTTGGTGACAAAAACTAGCTAAGCAGTCAGAACAGGAGCATCATGGACATGTCAACCGCCGCCACCCCGGCATCGTCGTCGACCGACATTCAACTCCCGATCAACCTCTTCACCCGTAACCCATCCCACACTATCCCTTCTTCGACCTATCTCTTGCCTTCCTCATGGCGTCGATTTCAGCTCTCTTCTCTGATCAACAAGGTACTCAATCCCAATGCTCCGATTCCCTTTGACTTTATCGTCGATGGAGAGTTGTTACGGGGCAGTCTGGAGGCGTACGTCAAGAACAGGCGCGGAGGTGACATGGAGAGCACGTTGCACGTCGAGTATGTCGAGAGTCTTTTGCCGCCCAAGGAGCAGGGAACGTATCCGCAGGACGATTGGGTGTCGGGCGTCAGCATCAAGCGACCAGGGTGAGTTCCAGGTTCGAGATACGTCTGGTCATTCGTTCATGCATGCTTACTTACATCTCGATTGTGTCTCCCGCGCTCAATTTTGACCATCAGCTTCATCCTTCTCTCTTCCTACCTCTCTCATGCCAAGATCATCCCCCTCACGCATCCCACTTCCACCGCCTCGGACGATGCTCAACCACCCTCGATAACCCTCCCGCTCCCCACCCGACTGGGATCGACCTGCACATCCTGGCTATCACCCCATCCTTCCCATGAAGCCTACGACCCGTCCGCTCCCATTCTAGTCGGAGCAGGCGGGGTGGACCGACAAACACACATCTTCTCCATCCCATCAGATCGACTCGTCGACCTCGCCTCCCACGTCGACCCTTCCGCAGGCTGCAAAGAGATCATGACGCTGCACCTCCACACGGGTCCCGTCTCTTCCCTCTCTCCCTCGCTCGACTATTCCAAAGTCCTCACTTCATCTTGGGACGGCCTCTTGGGTGTATTCAAGCTGCCGACCAGGGAAGAACCGCTGGAAGAACGACACGAAGTAGGGCCGGAACCGGGGAGTTATCTAACGGGAGTGGACAGGCGGTCGAAGAAGAGACGACTCAATGTCAAGGACGCTACCGCCACCGAGACACCGAATGGAGAACAAGTGAACGGGCTCCCTGCAGCCAACTCGGGTGGGTACCGAAAGTCACCGGAGATGGTCCTCAGGGGACACAACGGACGGATCGGGGGGAGTATTTGGGACAAGGAGCAGACTGGAACCGTCTGGAGTGCCGGATGGGATGGAAGCGTGAGGGGATGGGATGTGGAGAGCGGGGGTTGTGAGGTTGTCAAGGTGAGTTGTTAGAGTTTTCGATGGCTCCGAGGTGAAGGGAAGGGTGTGTCAGCTGAAAAGTATCTCGCATACGGCTTTTTTACAGCAAGGACCGCAAGAGCGAGCGGCGCTGTGCATCGATCAGATGGCTGGGACGAGAAGTTTGGTGACGGGTCACATGGACCGGGTCGTATGTCTTTGGGATGCTAGGGAATGTGAGTCGTACTTTTGGAGTCGTCTTTGATGTCAGCGAGGAACTGACCTGACGACGATTATTTATCGCCGCTTCAGCCGCCTCGGTCATCTCCCTTACCCTGCCGACCCCCGCAGCGACCCCCTCGGTGACAGCTCACCCGACCTCTTCCTTTACCCTCGCCACCGCATCGTACTCGGGGCACCTGCAGATCTGGGACGTCCGATCCCCGAAACAAGCCCTCTTTAGCGTGAAGAAACAGCCGAGGAAGGACAACAAGATTGTCGGGGGTGGAACGGGAGAGAGGTTGCTGAGCGTGGATTGGGATGGTGAGGTGATGATAGCCGGAGGGGAGGATGGAGAGGTTGGCGTCTGGAGCGCGAGGGGAGAGTAGGGGGGTGAGATAGGCGGGGTTGTCAAGTCTTAATTACGGGATACGATGTGCATGCATACGATCTATACTGGCAAAGCGTGGTATCTAGAGGCGGTATCATCCGAATCTCGTCTGGTGTGGTCGCGTGATTGGCTATCAGCGCGTGGAAGTAAGCGCAAAGTGGCGTCCTCACGACGATCTTTCGTTTCGAGTGAAAGAATTGGACGGCAACTCATCACATGATTGATAACATGATAATACGATCGCAATAAGATGAGCGCAGCACAATATCGGGAGAAACCGGAGCTTCTCAGTATGAGCAATACGTCAAAGGACTTTCGGTCATCATCCGTCCGTCAGGGGATGAAAGGGAATATGGCGGGGCTGTGTTGATCTTGCTCAACAAGTCCGGGTGAAATCGGACAATTGTGGCTTCAGACGGTATGCATCTCTTGTCTTTCCTTTTATGTTCGAATCGTGAAATAGGTGGTGAAGACCGCTAGACGACGCGCTCGGCAGCCCGCGGGCAAAAGTGGAGAGGTCAAGTGTCGACTGTGGGAGACCGGTCGACATTTATGAGTTGGGAAGCCTATCCGAGCTCCGAACAAAGGAGTTGCAGATTCTCTCAACTACCATCGCCAATGCTTCGAGTACATATCACAGGGTTCCGGCAGAAAACAACGCATGAGCGAGCGATGACTGGTCCTCGTATTGTCGCGAACAAAGACAATTCCCAATCTCGAATCTTCAACGCTATCTGATACAACTGAAGAACTCACAATGGCAGAATGGAAGAAATCGACCGTGCGCAACCAGGACCTTAAGCTTGACTGGCTCAGGAAGAAATGGGTGCAGGATGGGGCTGTCTTGGACGAGATCGCTAAGATGGTATACAACGTCGGAGGTCAACAGAACGTCGCTGATGTGGTTGTATACCCTACACCCAAGGCATGGGGTTTGTCGACATGCTTTCGTCTGAAGAAACCAAGGCACCCTGAAGGACAACAACAAGAGCATCCGGAAAGCGACTATGAAGTGCTTCGCGACCTGGGGCTCAACGACGCAGCGATGGAAAAGTTTCGGAAATTCGCGATGGACATGGTCAATGTATCGTTCGATCAAAGGATGATCAAGTTGGAGCTCCCTTGCGATCCTCGTGTCCTATGGCAGGACATCGAACCGGGATGGGTTCAGCTCATGTATAGGAAAGATGCCGAATGGGTAGGACCCTTCGGCGACTTCAAAACGCGAGTCTCCTGGCAGAGCCTCGCCGCCGGGCGCTCTCAGAAGGAGTCAGGGGATCAAGCTCCAGGTAGGGGATCGGGAGAATCCTTTGGCAGCTTTAAGGATGCAGGTACAGAGAGTCGGAGCGATGAGGGTGCCACCGACCTGACTGAGATGAGCAGTAGGAAATCAGGATCGAGCGATGAATTCGGTCCTTTCCAGGGTAGTCTAGCTTCCGACGGGTCTAGCGAAAACAAAAGCCTTCAGAAGTGAGAATTTCGCCGAAGTCTTCTTCAACGGTGTTCAATCCCGTGACTTGAATTGTTCGGTGTTTGGTCCAGATTAGTTTCGAGTGTCCGTCAGAAGTCGAAACACGTTGTACGTTTTAAAGCCTTGCGGATTTTTATCGATTCATAGCTACAGGGAATCAATACTTTTCACGCACGCATAGTTATCCGATGTCGCAAGTCATGTTGGGTCTGCTCATTGGCCGAAAGAAACGAATACTCTTTCATAAGACATACTCAAGTGTAGCAGTGATCCAATGTCCCAATACGTAAATCATAAAAAGCCTGTTGGTGAATAAACAGGATTTCTGCTCTTCAAGATTTTCGCGCAGTGAATACCCGCCTTGATCCCGATCAGGAGCTGGAAATCACGTATGAGGCTGAATGGTGCTCCTCGTAGCGAGACGGGGTCATGCACAAGTACGCAAGAAATGCATCACAGATGTATCAAGTTCGACCATCGATGGGTTTTAAAAGCGATATTATCCTTCCTGACACAGATGGAGATGTAGTGGGAATTGAAGCGCAGCCGCTACGAGCCGTTCGTGGAAGCCCGGCTCGAACGAAAATTTCCTGAAATCGAGTGCGAAAGAATATGTTAGCTGACACTATATTTACTCCAGCTTGAGGTAGATCGACTCAGGCGATCCTTATTCACGCGGTATGAAAGGCATCCGAAGTGTCGGCTTGACGATCAGCTGATATCGCGAACAAAAGGGTGCATCAAGGAGACTTCACGGCTGTGATGAACCGCCGATAATTAGGCAATAGTCTAGCAGAAAAGCGATCAAGACAGATATTCTTTTAGCCAATTGGATTCCACTAACGTGGGTAACATGGGCTAATGTCTCGCATCATATAAGATCAGAGACAGCGGGCATACTTGGCCATATAAGGCTTGCAGCACAAGGAGGAGATAAGCACGAATCAGATGCCGTCCGAGAGAGCCTCCCTGAAGTCTGAAAATGTCGAGAATGCAGCTACAGGGGACAACTACCCTTCGTGCACTACAGAGTCTGCTAGGAGGGATCCGGATCTGTCAGATGGATCTCCCGGGTTGTTTACCAACCGATAGTCTGGCAGTTATCAGAGTCATCGGCGAGCAGGGGGTTAAAGAGATCCTGAGCGATTTCGCCCGACCTGACCGGAATTTGAATCGATCCCGGTTCGAGTTATTCTCAGGCGCAAAGTATATCATCTTAGGTAGTCATTTGGGACTGTTGGTCAAACTGGATCTGTCTAGCCTTCACGTCAAAAACACTAGAGCCTGGTACAGTTACAGACTGAACTTCATCGACGTAAGCTATATAGCAAACCTTTTGAATACAGTATATAGATGCTCCGACGGATGTCAAATAGATAATTCGCAATAATTCATTATCGAATTCAGAAGTCTTTGAGCATGTATATATGCAATTATCCGGTAATTGTCCATCATGTTCATGCACATCTCCATCACTTCAGCGAAGACAAGCAAGCACATTCGATGTGAAGTCAAGATCTTGCCGTAAACAACCGTTCAATTCCTGTTTCCGCTGGGACAACCATATCACCATACATATTGTCATCCCTGCCGTTCGCTTTGCGTTAATAGTTACATACAGGTTGCAACGTCACAATCACATACTGTAGTACAAGGCGGTAAACACAGCCCAAGAGCCTTTGCCAGATTTCGAAAGTTGAGCAGAATGAGCGGACCCCACCTTGTCTGCCTTCCATCAGGTTATGTCAAGTTCCAGTGTGGAAATGTGTGCCCATATGTCGCATGGTGAGTCTTGCCGGCTTGCTTAATCTTGTGAGCCGGCATGTCAACCGAAAGACAATTTTTTTAAAGGGAGTCTGGGATTCCTGGTTCACAAATGCAGCTGGGAGTCACCGTCATGTCCCTAAGGAAGTAATGTCCTGCATTTTCAGATGACCACGTCATGGTGAAAAGGCGTAGTTAAGGCATTGTGATCTAATTACCCCTGGATCACGCACAAAATGCGACATCGCTTCCTTTGTCACTTACAGTTCTGCAGTGAGATCAAAGGGCTACGTACAGCCTACAAAAGGCTAGATGGTTTGAATAAGCATATCTACTTTGCCCCGTTCGTTCATAGATAGTACTAGATGAACGATCCCTTTATCAGCTGATTGTTCGCCTTCGAAACGCTTTCTCGAACCCAAAATGCCAAGATCCTTCTATAAACCTTCGTTTTACTTCTATGGTGAAAAGCATCTAGCGATCTTGCTCCAGGAGCTTGGCGATCAGGCATTCCGTGTACAGGCCGCAGCTTGGAAATTGCTGCAACCGCAGGATCCAGTTGACGACAAGTACCTCGGACCATCAGCAGTGTACAAATGGGACCATAATCAGAACGACTTCTTTGAGAGACCCACCAGAAACATCAATCTTCTCAGATACAACTTTCTCAACAGCTGTCGTCTATCTCTAGCAGGTCGAGGATTATTGGAAGGATTCTGCGGGACTACGGCGCTACCCGGAGATTCGGTGCTGAGGAATAACTGGGCCGAGACTGGGAGGGTCGAGGTATTTTGGCACGTCGGTTTGAATGGCGGGCTCAGGCTCTTGCTCTCGATTGAATCGTCTTCGCCAAGAGGCTCAAGGACGGAGCGGACGGAGCGAACCGTGGCCATGTGGACACTGAACCCCGAGTCACACGATGATACCACCACCATTGAGTCTGGTGGTCGTACTCAGATGTCAAGGTCGAATTACGGAGCGAGTACCGTAGAGGAGGTAGAAGCAGCAGAGACATCTATTGGCCAGCGGAGTTCAACTGTTTCCAACTTGATGTGAGGTTCTGTTTTGATGGGAAATCAATCGTGTGTAGCTACTGTTCGCGAATATATTAGTGCTTTCATAGCCCCGATGTATCCGTATTCCTGTCATGCCATTTGTTTAGGGTCAGCAGATCTATCCCAAAGAGATATATCTCCGCCTGATAAACCTCTAATTACGATAAATGTCGACATCACTAGGCACGCGATATCATGTGCCTGTCTGAGCTTCTCGGGCAAATCCGTTTGTACGGTCGTATCTTAAACCCTGAATAAAAAATCAGGTTGTCAAGGGAACAGGCGCTCACTGATCATTACTGATCACTACATGCGAAACCGAACCGCCGCCGCATTCCATAGAGTGGCGTTTTAGACGATGACGAATCTCGATCAGTAGTCACGTGATCCCAATACCGAAGCGCAGCCAGTCCAGATCGAACTGAGACGCCAGGGTATATAATCACGGAGTATGGAGCTCACAGACTAGATCGCATCAACACCCACACACGCTCTCATCTTCAAACCTTCATCCTAACCGTCAATCCCACACCCGTCTTCTCCTCAATCTCACCTGGTCGCCGGACGTCCACCTCCTGCTCTCTTGCTCTACCTTTCGGATATATCCGTCGCTGTTGATCAGAACCCAAATCTCAATACAGTCGACGCTCGAGTAGCAGCAGCCAGCGATACCTGTGACTTCACATCCCCTTCTCCTCGGGTGATTTCGAGTTCCAATCAACTTGCATCTCACTGCCGTTGTTTGACAGCGCTCTGAGTACAATAGCGACTTGCACCTCAGCCCTTACGCTACCTGAAACGTCTCGGGTAACCCCTTGATCGATCACCGCGGGATTCTTTTTGTTCGACTTCCGACCGCGCGACACCTCCCATTTCGAGTCTTCTTTGTCTTTTCTCGACGGTGAGTACCTGCTCATATGACCACTTAGTCTCGCGCTATTCTCATGCTTCCCCCCTCATAGTCTGTACGCTGGTCGTACCCATAATCAGGTCTAATCTGCGCTAGTCCATATCGTCGAACGATCGAGACTGATCGACTCATCTCACGAGACACTATCGAATCACATAACACCCTCTGCGATAATATGAAGCTCCTTCAACTCTCTTACTTTTTGACCCTGGCGGTCTCCGACTTGTTCGAGTGTGGTCTGGTACCTGTTGAAGCCTGTGAGTGATAACTGCGGATTGCCACCGCTTTCCGAACCATCTTAGTGAACTGACGCTGTCATCTGTAGCTCCTCTACGAATGGTACACCCTCGAAAACGTCACGAGATCGCCGCATCGGTCCACCGTCGGACATCCAACAAGGCGCTTCAATTCGGAAAACAGGCGATTGATAAGAGACAGGAATGCGAATACGGCACTTGGAGATGTCAGGGGCAAGACCTCCAACGTGAGTATCCCTGTTCCTTTTCGCACAACTTGTCGCATTGCGAGCAGCTGATAGACGCGTCTCTGTATGTTGATTTCCAGGCTGCCTCGGAGGTCAATTCGGGACGATGCGGACTTGCGCTGCCGATCAGGTTTGCACGACCGAAGGAGGAGACACTGGATGCATCTGGGCGTGGCAGAAGACAGCAGAAATTGCCAGCCCCAACGCCACAGCGATGTCAACCTTGATGGTATCGACGTCTAGCGGCCCGGCTGTGACTTCTTCCAGCAACTCAAAGACATTTTCCGACACATCTGTCTCGGGATCTTCAAGCATCTCTGTATTTGTTCCCTCTAACACCGTCGATGCTTCAACTTCCGGCTTCACGATGACCTCATCTTCCAGCACCGCTACCTTCGCTTCCTCCAGCACGGCCGACATCTCTTCGTCCAGCGACGTCATGGCTGCTCTCGCCAGTAAGACGAGCACTGCTTCCTCCAGCAGTGCCGACTCGACCGTACCTTCCAGCGCTTCCGCTTCGAGCCCGACTGATGTCAAGTGGAACGTGCCCTCGTCTACTGTTCCTACACCCACCTCGTATTCATCGGTGGTGGCTTCCAACTCGACCTCAACATGGTCCGAGCCCACTCACACTCAATCTCACAACCTCTCCACCCTCGTCCCGGAACCTACCTCGACCCCACTTCCGAACCTTCGCAACTCGCACTACGTCATTTACTCTGACGCTTGGCTCACCGAGATGCCGCACAGGTCGGCCGTCGAGGGGTTCAACAAGTTTATCCTGGCGTTCTGGTTAAGCGACAAGGGCGCCGTCGATAACGCCGCCTTTTGGGAGCGGCTGAGCCAAGCGGAACAGGCAGAGGTCATCAAGGGGTACAAGGAGGCGGGGATCACGTTGATGGTCTCGGCTTTCGGTGCTACCGGTGAGTCGCAACGAAGACGGCATCTTATCGAGAGCGACAGCTGACGCACGACGACGCCTTTGTAGACAAACCTATCACTGCCGGAAAGGACCCTATTGCGCTCGCCAAGTCCTTGGCCGACTGGGTCAAGAAGAACAACATGGCGGGTGTGGATATCGACCTCGAAGACAACGAGGCCATGAACAATCACATCTTTATTCCCTGGATCGTCGGTGAGCGCGTTACAAGTCTCAAGATCTGGTCATACGAGCATTACCGACTGACAGTTCTATACCCGCCTCGACGTTGCAGCCTTTCAGAAAGAACTCCGGTCGCACCTTCCGGCTCCGTATCTGATCTCGCACGCTCCGCAAGCGCCATGGTTCACTTCGGCCAACAAGTGGAAGGGAGGTTACCTGCAGGTCCACCGGGAATGCGGGGACGGTATCGATTTCTACAACGTGAGCTACTTTGCCATTTTACCACGCGCTGTCAACAGGTGGCTTTTTGACTGATCGAGGATCGTTTCCGCGTCACGATCCTAACAGATTCAATACTACAATCAAGGAGATGACCAGTACCATACCTGCGAAAACCTCTTGTTCGACTCGGGACGTCAATATCCCGACACGTCCGTCTTTCAGACCCACAATGTCGGTGGGATCCCGCTTCACAAGCTCGTCATCGGCAAACCGCTGACCCGAGGGGGCGCGGCGAACGGGTACATGGAGCCGGAAAAGCTGAAACGGTGTGTAGGGTTGGCGAGAGAGAAGGGGTGGGATGCCGGGGTCATGTATTGGGAGTGGGACCATACGGCTCAGGGGGCTTTAAGGGCCGTGATTGGATAAAGATTGAGCGGAGCGGTCGAAACATAGATCGCTCGGTTGTAGTACCAAGTTGTAGTCATTTTGTAGCCATATGCATCGTGTTCGGACACGATCTTTCACATTAGGTCGTTTATTGTATGTTCGAAGCTCGAGTGATAAGAAGCCGAGTATGCGGAATGCCCGGATGTACGGTGCAGTTGCGAGACGAAGCAGAAGCAAACGGATGTGATACTGGGCCGGAATGTCTCTTCGACGATGTTTCACCTCGACATGCTTCTCGGTTTCACGATTGCATACGATGATGCCTACGATCGACAACAAATGCAACAAACAAGACGCGAGAAGTCGATCATGACTCTTGACAACCGCTTCTGACGTATCGGTGTTACCCCTCGTGAGATTCGATAGAAACGATACGCGCGCTTTGTCATTTTTTAAGGAGGACGACGCGCTTCTACTTGAACTTTACGTTCCGAGCCAACTGCTTTGAGGCGCATGGTCGCTGCACTTGCGTTTTGGGTGTTTCGACGGGATTACTTTGCCCGAAGCGGGTGCTGGGCGCTGGTTGGCTGCAGCCAGGAGGTGCCCGGGGTTGTAGGTGGTGTCAACGTGATGGTGGATGACGATTGCGAGCTGCGAGTGGTTTGGCAACAAGGTCGAGGTCGAGCGTGTGCACTTTGTACAGAGAGTAGCGTCTGAGATCGATTGAATAGCTTTTTTCCCGAGAGTCTTTCCCAAGAGAGTCGATCCTCGTCAGCCACACAAGGTAGGTAGGTTGGCCCTCGCACGCGCGCGCGCACACACAGCTGCCCCCCAACGACTGACACTCGCGACCTCGACCTCGACTTTCACGACCTCGTAACAGAACCCCTTACCTACCCTTCGCTCTTTTTGGGTCAACCCTCTACAAGAGAAAGCAAAAACAAAAGGAAATCACTTCTTTTTCTCTTCAAGGGTATCCTCTTTCAAGATGTCCACCCAAGTCATCTCCAGGAACCCCTTCGACTTGCTCGGAGGTTAGTGTGCTCGAACAGGCCGGGTCTCTCGATTTCTCTTCCTCTTCCGTTTCAACTTGGGATCTGTACGATGAGGACGAGCTGAGGGGTCGACAGGATCATACTCGCAGCAGGAGACAGGACGTGAGGTGCAATAGGAAGCAAGATGGAGCGATGAACGGGTGCTGCGAGGATGATGCCGGAAGGAACGTCGGCCCGGATCAAACACGTCACACCACGTATTTCAGGCTCGACAACGAGACATGGACATCGACTCGAACCGTCTGGGCAATAATCCAATATGATCCGAGAGCCAGCTCGGCTCTCATCAGTCAACCCACCCAACCTCCATTCGAATTACCAAATTCTCCAAAACCTCGAGCCATATCTGACTCCTTTCGCTTCTTTCCATAGACGACGGTGAGACCCCTCGACAGGTCGCCGCTCCCAAGGCCGCCCCCGCCGCTGCCCCCAAGGCTGCCCGAGAGGTCCCTGGCTCCAAGACCCCCGCCAACAACTCTAACAACAACAAGACCGACTCTGCCAACCGTGGAGGTCGAGCTGGGTACTACAACCGTGGAGGACCCAGGAACGTCTTGAAAGGCGAGGGAAAGACTAAGCCTGCCACCGATGCCGAGGTTACCACCGTCGACCCCGAGTCGGGTTTCGAGGGCGAGCGAAGAGGTGCGTTGCAACTTTTGCGGTCGATACACGTTTGCGTAGGGAGAGAATATGCAGGGCTCACACGACATGAACATCGTCGATCTCCTTTGACAGCCCCTGGCAAGAACGAGCGAGGACAAGCTCGTCCCCGTGGACACGGTGAGGGTTCCGGCCGAGGCCGTGCTACCCGAACCCGAGGCCGAGGCCAAGCCCCCGGTGCCGGTTACCAGGGTGGAGAGAGGCGAAACGACGGACGTCGATCCGCTCACGCCCTTCCCGACACTGAGAAGAGGGTCGCTTCCGGTTGGGGAGCCGAGGACGGTGCTGCCGAATTGACCGGTGGGTCCGGGACGTGACGAGAACGTATAGAGGGATTCGAAGCTGATTTAGAAATGCTATTTAATGATCTCAGCCGAGGTCGAGGGTGCCACTGACGCTACCAAGGAAGCCGCCGAGCCCCAGACTCCCTCCGGTGTGAGTACCGCTGGCTCACATGGATTCAAAACTCGTACACATGGACTGACCTATGATAACGTAACGGCATCGTCGTTTAGTGGGAAGTCTCTGCCGAGGCTACCCCTGCCGCCGCTGAGCAGGAGGCCGAGAAGAAGCCCGAAGAGGAGGAGGACAACACCAAGTCTTACGAAGAGTACCTCGCCGAGCGACAAGCCGCCAAGGACGCCAAGTTGGGCAAGTTGGAGGGACGACAGGTCGACGGAACCAGCGAGTTTGTCGGAAGCGTCTTCCAGAAGCAGGAGGAGGAGTTCTTCTCCGGTGCCAAGGTCAGTAGGGGGTCAGAGACGACATTCCGGTTCGAAACGTGCGGCCGCTGACGACGTTGACTTGTGATCTCTTGGCCATGCATCGTAGAAGGAAAAGGCCGCCGCTGCCAAGAAGGAGAAGGAGAGGAAGGAAAAGGTCTTCCTCGAGGTCGAGGGCAAGTTTGCTCCCCCCTCGCGAGGCGAGCCCCGAGAGGGTGGCCGTGGAGGTCGAGGTGGTCGAGGTGGATTCCGAGGTGATCGTGGATCCGACCGAGCTCCCCGAGGTGGTGCTTCCCGAGGTGGACGAGGCGGTGCCCGTAACAACGCTTCGAGCGCCCCCGCCGTCGCCGTCAACGACGAGTCGGCCTTCCCCGCTTTGGGTGCTTGAGCGTAACGCTCTCGTACCCGGCCGTTCCCTCTGCATCAAGCATGGGACGAGCCAAATACCCGGGTTTCGTGTTTGTCTCGAAGTGTCGGGGAGAATCCTCAAAAAAAAAAAGGACACCGGATTCTCCTCTCTCTCGGACGGTCTGTCGTGGACCCCAACACGAAGCAACGGATGAAACGATTTCGAATGAGACGCGTCGATGGACGATCGGGAGGCGGGTTTCTTTCTTTCTCTCGGTTTGCATGTAGTAGTGGGGAACGGATGACGTCGGCGTTGTTGAACACGGATCGAATTATTGCCAACGTCGGGGGGTGTGCGGCTTGAGTGTGGACCCGGATGCAAGACGACTGGCTAAGCTCAGGTCATCTGCGAATCGTTGTCCTTCATCGAAGTGAAAGTTGGCATAGAGTTTGAGACGTCACTCTGATGCGTGACTCAAGCTTGATTCTGCAACCGCGTCTCCAGGAAAGACTGCGTTCCATACATCGAACGTTACAAACGGTGGACCATACCGTCAAAATGAAATCGAGTATTGTGGATCAGGGGAAGGTTGTAGACGTCTCGTTCAAGCGTAGTGCGTCATGGCAACTTCTTGTTCGCCGCATTTGCTCTTGCATCAAGTGAAACGCAAGTGGCTTGCACTCAAGCGCATAGGTCGCGCGATCAAGAGCGTATGGGCAGGATGTCTTCCTCCCTGTCGGATCACATCGGTAAACGTTCGTCAGAGGCTGTGCATCGGGATCGATCGGACCTCCAAGACTAAGTAAAAAAAAAACGCTTCCTTGGTGTCACAGTTGTACATTTTCATAAGGGCCAGAATTCATCTCTTTCCTCTGACCAGCGTCGTCGACCCGTCTTCTCCGGACCACGCGGGTTGGATCACGACCAAGGGAGGAGCTTCGCCTGGATTGACCTCTCGAGCTAGCTCCGATTCAACAGCTTGGCGACGTCGTCAGATACATCTTCCATCTCGATCCCCTTCACGAACGAAGCCTCGGCATCACCCTGCTGGTCCGCCTGTCGAGAACCGTGGCTTTCATCTTGAACCCTCATCGCGAAACTTTGGTTATCCGCTTGATCGTCCATCATTGCGGCGGCAGGTCCCGCCTCGCGGATTATAGACGCGTCGTCTTCGACGCCGACATCACCAGACCGAGCGGGCTGGACCTGCACCGGCCTGTTTACTGGCATGACATCGGTCGTGCCCCCGACGAAGATATCTCCAAGCCTCGTGATTGAGAGGTCCGCATTGACATAGTCATTGAGCGCAAACTGATAGGTCGATCGGTCGTCCAGTATCGAGGATGGGCCGGTCTCACTTTGTGCCAGGTTTAATATGGCGGAAGGTTGTTCACCTGCGTTGTCCGGGCCCGCAGGCGATGCCTGATGAGAGGAGACACGGCTCGAGCCGGCCTGCTTATCCGTGGCCAATGAGTCGACGAGTGATGGGCCGTAAGCAGGCTCCAGGTCGTGTGGAACCTCGTCCGTATATTCATACCTCAGTACGTTATCCCATTCTGCCCGACATTCCTGTATGAAAACGTGATCAATCAGGGCTCATCTCGGAAGGCGACTGAACGTTGCATAATGCTCACCTCTGAGGTGACTTCGGGCTCGCCGCTAGCCTTCGCGCTATTGTTCACCTCCGCCGTGACCAGATCCCAATTAGCTTTGTCAATGCAGAGGTCGATGCCGGTTGTCCATAACTGCTTCTTCTCCTCGAGGCTCCATGGCCAAGAGCTGTTCAGATGCTGCAGGGTTACCAAACGACCCGTCGCAGCTTTGGTCTTTAGACGAGTGTATTCGTTTGCCCAGGTTTGTTTGATGCGCTACTCGCAATCCGTCAGTCACGCTCATTTATCCACTGGAGAAGTCGAAAGGCCCGACACGTACCCTGATATCCTTTTGCTCCTCCGCCGGACTGACCTTGGCCAGAACGTCGGCCATAATTTGCCAACCGTCACCCATCGTTGTCTTCAGAAGCATCTTCATCATCGTGACGTATGGCTCGAGACTCTTCCACCTCCTTCGAGATTCACATTTGAATCGCTGCGTCGGCAGTGTAACGGGAACCCTACTGATACGTCTTCCTTTGCTGGCTTTGGCAATCGGTTCTGCAGGAGGTTTCCGTTTGCGACCTTGCCTGCGCCTTTTTCCGTCGTTGTCGGGCGGGATCGACCCTTCCCCTGCTTCATCGTGAGCGAGATTGTCCGCCTCATCGCGAGGCAAATCAACGGATCCATCAGGAGCCAGATGTCCGGCTAGGAGTATCTCCGCAGAGCCTGAGATGCTGCTGCTATGAGATCTTTCTTTGCGTTTGCCTAGAACGGTAGCAGACGGATGTTTCGCCTCTTCCCCGGATTTCGGTGATGCTGCGACAATAGTCAAAGGATGACCTCCAGTCATGAACTCGTCGGCTGTAGAAGGTCCAGCCTGAGCTTCCTCCTGATCCTGCAGCGTGATCGACCTGTCCGAGACGAGGTCTGCAGCCTGTGCGGTATCAATACGGTCCCGAGCTGACTCCTGCGAGGATGACCGCATGGATATGTCTCCCAGCTCCTCTATACGCTTGTTCTTCTCCATCTGTTCCATTTGGTGACGTTGAAGCAGCTCCGCCATAGTCTGCAATTGGCTGGCCGGAGTTGTCCGACTCGGGCACGTATCGTCTATGATGTGAATGCCTTCCGGGTCGGCAGAAAGGGTTCTTCGCACCGAGCGCATAATCTCCTCATTTTCCCCGGTCTCGTTGCCCGTGAGAAACACATCGACCGACGGTGAATCCGTGACTGTCTGTTCGAACGAAGGAGATGCGACGATCCGATTCCGAGTCTCATTCAAAAGCGACTCTGTCGTCTTCTCAGGGGATCGTCCCGCAATGTCTGAAGCGTCCGCTGGAGACGGAATGTACAGTCCGGTAGATTGGAGATGCAGCTGGCCGTCTGACACACCCGCCGGGGTGTGTGTCGACCCTTCCGTAAGATTGTTTTGCCGCATCGATTCCTGAGTGTTGGTCTCGAAAGAGTGCTCAGAAGCTCAGAAGGCAGGGAAGCGTCTTCGACCACGAGAAGATATTATTGTTAAGGAAGGTCGCGGGTTGGCATATGTCTCACGCTCACGTGACCTGTCGTTACATCGACGAGTTACAGCTTGTTGTTGATCACACTGCCGTGAGGTCTATGACACCGCTACCGTACACGCTGAGCTTGAATGAACCCCAGAACCCAGCAGAGTAGGTCGACGCTACGACCACGTAAATCCCAGGCTCGAACCGCGTAGTCGGAACGAGCACGCCGGAAGCGGCGTTAGAATATGGACCTGAAGAAACGACCTGATCCCCGAGCGCTCCTCCTGGGTTGCGCTTGAACACGGTCAAGTTGATTGGTGTATCCGTGGCTTCGGCGAGCTGTAACCGAGCGCTAGAGTGGACAGTATGTTTAGCGGATACTGCATAGGTAGAAAGATGTAGCTTCCTGCTCACAATGCCGAGACCGGAGCGGTAACCAAGAGCTCAAATTTGGGATTGCTCTCGTATGCGCCAGCTGAGGGCCTTCCAGCCGCATTCTTTTCTGACCTATATCGGTCAGAAGAAAGCTTATAAGCAATCCGCACAGCAATCGAACTCGATGATAGCAAGTCTCACCAGGCACCCTTCATTACTCGTTGATGCATGCCAGCACCTTCTTGAGGGATGGCTGTGATCGATACTGGCAGATTCGCTTCGACCACAAGTTCAAAGTCGCCTAATTTGCCAGCATCATAACTGGAGACGATGATAGTATACGATCCAGCTAAAGATCGTGTCCAAGATGAAAGTGTCCTCTCAGCAGAGCAGCCTATGATCCCTTGGAAGCCCACTCACGGGAGATCTTGTCGCCTTCCGCTTGCGTGATGCCCCGTCGATATTGTCTGGAACCCATCACGATGTCTCTGGTCATGCAACTGACGACAATCGCCATATGAGTTCCTGAGCAAATCGTAATACAGGTCAGGGGCCGCTCACTTTGTCTTTCTCTTGCCGTCCCTCATGAGTTTGATGTCTAGGGGCAGTTTCCGGTTCGAGCTCGACAACGCGATTCTTAAAATCGCCTCTTGCTTATTCCCTCTGTCTATCGAGGGCCGAATCTCGAGCTTGTACTGAGGATTATTCATGAATGTGGGCAAAGTTGGGTTTCCGCCTGCTGAGCGCTCCGAGAAACTGCCTTTTTCCTATGGCGAACGTATCTTAGCTGTCAATCGCGATGCGACGCATTCCTGGACTCGACTGACCATGACCTCATACGGCAGCTTTTTTGGCAATCGTTTGAAGATCAGATTGGCATCCGAGTATGCGATTATACTATAGGTGATCGCTCGGTCTTTTGACGATTCGATGATGGGGGCGATTTTCAGGACGGCGCTTTCCCGTAAGCACGTATGTTTGACCTGCGGATACAAGCAATACCATCAGGTCGCAGCAAGCAAGGGTAATTCGCTGATTCGTCTTACGAGAACCAAGGGGCTGTCAAGGAAATCGACCTGCGCGTCGTGTCAATCAGCTGCACCCTTCGACAGGCCTCGAGATGGATTCCCTTACCTGGTCTGCTTCTTCCATTTTCCAGAATTCCCCTGCCGATACATCGTCTTCTTCGTCCACATGCAGAGCCATGGGGGGCTTCTCTCTAATACTTGCCTCGTTATCTGAGAAGTGGCGCACCAAGAGCAGCCACACCTCGGCACCAGGCAATTGCGATTCCACCTCGAGCCGATAAGTGGGCAAGACACGGTGTTCGGAAGCTGGCTCGATACGTCTGGTTGGAAAGCGGCGCATAAGCGGTCCAACCTCTTAAACTCACGCAGTAAACGAAGCTCACGAATGTAGATCTTTCATGTTGGCAAACAGTTGCGGATTCCAATTTAGCTCCAAAGTTTCGAAACGGTTGCAAATTTCGTCCCACGAGAAGATCAAGGTATCTGCTGGTCGATTCTTCAGCGTCGATTGCAAAACCCCTTGTATTCCACATGGAACTGGCTTACGAGGGGTATGTTCTTCTTCCACCAGAGTGTTGCGAAGATCACGGGTCCATTCCGTGTGTGATGTGGTACCCACGATGTCCGCGGGACGATTACGCTTCCAAGGGTTATCCACCCGAACTCTCCGTCGTCCGTCCATTTCCTCCCATACCTGACTAACCCCATAGGCATGCAAGGGAGCCAACCCAGTAGTTCCTCTGACGTTTCTTCCCGTACCTAGGGCTATGAGACAGGTCCCCCGTTCCTGACCGTCAATCAACCGTTTCCAAGTCCGCTCTCTCCTGAAACCAGGCGAGTTGAACTGCAGTCGTTCTGGTATCCAGGATGTCAAGGTGTACAGGTCGAGCGAAGGGATGGATCCCGGGAAATCATACCCTGAATGAAGCGTCATGTATGCCTTCTCGACCAAAGGCACCCATGCGTTAGCTATATCGATCGCTTGCTGGAGTTCCGGCTTGATAGGGTTTTCTTCAGCTTCTGCATCTAGCTCAGGGTCGCCTGTTGACGGAACATCCCGGACGACAGTAGCACATAGATGCACGTCCGGGTTGGTGGTCTGTGGTAGAGTATCGTCTATGACGACCTGCATGGCAGCGTTCAGCGTTGATAAGTACGACAGCAGTTCGGAATTTCTTACCGCTCTCCAACTGCCGTTGACGAACATTTTGGTCTTGTACCACTGCACATCAGCAGGCGCTGAAACTTTGTGCGACCCGCGAGGTATCGGCTCCAGACTCTCTTGAACCAGCTGAACAAGCGATGGCATTGGTGAATTCTGACGAGTCACATCTGAATTAAAAAGTCTCTGAACTTACCCGTCGGGTCCACTTCAGGTTGTGCTTTAAGCATAGCTCAAGACCGACAACGACTGAGCAATTCGCTCCCATTCCTTGTTCTACCTTGATGAGTCGAACCATCTCTTTCTGGTTCTGGGTGTTCGGTGAACTAGGTGCAGTCCCGCCCAAAGGTCGCCACTCTGGTCGATAGGCTGTTTGCTCCAGATTGAGGCCGGGACGCTTTCCATAACGCTTCGAAGGTCCGGCCTCGTTGGCGATCGAGTTGAACCATCCCGGTGCTTGAGTGTCATCCCATAACGGGACGAACACGCCGTTAACTGAGCTGGACTGCCGAAGCAGACTCGTCTGCGCTGCCTCGACGTTCAGCACGGGAACTCCAACCGCCGACTGGGTGATGATATCCTGTCCATTCTTGGCAACCTCTACGCCCATCTCCTTGATACGAGTCTTGATGAGCTTCCCTCTCTCCAAACACAGCCTCCACTTCTTCTTGGCCTCGTTCTTGTCTCCGATTTCAGCATCCTGCCTCGAGCTGGTCGTCACGAAAGAGATGGGCTCGGTGTAGGTCGAGGTTGGAGCGGCCAGTCCCGATGCCAGCAAGTTTGACCACAGTCCAGCTGCATGCAAGTATGCGGGGAATACTCTCTCCGAGAGGTTGATTGGGGTATGTTGGAGGCTGTGTTCTAGCTTGACGGCAGTGTTTGTAGCAGCCTAAACATCTCGCAAGGAGACACGGTCAACTCCGGTTCGCACGGAATCACGTATTTGCACCGTAGTCACTGACGTTTGCTTCAACGTAGCCTTTCGCCCAGGTATGGTAGCTCATGGAGTATGAGATCGCAAGTTCTAGATTTGAGACCTCGATCGGATATGCCACGGGGTGCATGATGCGCTGTGAATGGCTTCTATACGTACGACGAGGTCAAAGCTAGCTTGATGACGATCGCGATTGCCGGACTCATATCTGCTTCCGGTAGTCCCCGAGATCAAGACGTTGTCGGACGAAAGGACAAGACAGGCTTTCAATCTTTACTAGCTGTACAAGGGAACCTTCAAGCTCGCTAGAGGCTAGAAACGACTCGCTGTGCAAGCAGTGTCTCGACTGCTAGAGTAGCAAGAAGCCACGTCGCGCTGAGAACCCCTCAAAAACGCCCCTATCTCCTGATCGTTCTGATTATCGATAATGCTGATTCGGGTCGAGTCCCCTCGTCATGCTAAATGACACAAAGACTGTGATGACATGCCCCAGGGGTCCGTTCTCCCTGCTCTGCCTACGTCACCCATCTTCCGCGTCGTTTCGACCCTGCCCTTGCTCTCCCCTGCTCCTTCCTCTCGGCTCGTTTCCCGTCCCCTGCTACTCAATACCCTCGCAAGAGCATCCTTACTGCATGTCGATAGGAACGAAAATCGTTATCAGAGACAGGCCTGGGCATCAATATGACCAGAACGCACCTTGGCTCGGACGTCTGCGGCGGCCTGCTGAACGGCTCGCTTGGTCTTGTTGACATTTCCAGCCTTGTAAGTAGCTCGGTAGAAACTAGTCATCGAGGCAAGCACGTCGCAAGCACGTTAGTAACGAAAAGCTTTTTACGCGCGAATGCCAATATTCCAACTCACGCGATGAACAAGAACAAATAACTGGACAATAGTCCGACTCCAAAGAGCGCGGCCGACTCGGATCCAGCACAGTCACCCATGTTGGGCAGGAAGGAGAATCGGGACATGGCAAAGTGGGTGTAACCTAATCGCAAGTGACACGAGAGGGAGTAGGATCAGATTTTCCGCTTCCGCCTTTCATACAGAACTTGGCGAACGGCGAGGACTCACTGGCAAAGTAGACGACGAAGAGGTCGATGACAAATTGAGTAATCTGAAGAGTAGTAAGGTATTTCTTCCACTGGAAATTGGGATAAAAAACAATTAATGGGCTCTTCTCGAAGAACACACTGTCTGACCTCGACTCACCCAGATCTTGGCACCTCCAGCGGTCGCGTAGTAGTAATAGTCTGCAGAGTCGACGCGAGTCAGGATTGCTTATTCACTGGTATATGGATCCGCAGGGACCTACACATGATGACATGAACGGTCAAGTTCAAGGTGATGACGACCCATTGCTGTAGGAGAGGTCACATAACCGTGATCAGAGACGGCGATTGTCTCTACGGAGAGGAACGTCGACTCACGACCGAGGTCTGTCCCTCCAACTGGTTGAAGCAGAGGACAGCAGTCGCGGCGTGATGGAAGACGTGCAAGAAAGCTACACAGCAAGGCAACAAGGTTGTTCTGATCAGCGACTTTGAACAACCTGCACATCAAGACTGGCTTGCACTCACCCAGCTTCTTCTTCTTCAAGACGAGGAAGACGGTATCGATTAATTCGAGGTACTTGAAGTAGTAGTTGACAATGTAGAACGAAACAAGCCTCTGCATGATCGTCCTCATCCTCGTCAGTGCCAGTTTCGATTCGGTCTCGATCACTGAAACAGCCGAGCTTACGGGAGTGAAAGCTTTGGTGTTACAGATAGACCAGAAAGCTCCGTGACGCATGTAGAGCGGGATACTGTGATCGGATCAGACCGGATGCACATGGGGAAACGCAACGCGCAAACCTCAGGTCAGGCTGGATCGTTCGAATGATCGAGAGATGATAGGCGACAAGAATACGACTGACATTTCCTCCAACATGAGGACCAATAGCAGGAGACTTCCCGCTGAGAGGATGACATTGTGGATCTGGAACAGGGCTTGCAGCTTGAAAGCCGGTCGGTTCCTGGTGACCGAAGCGAAAGGCAGCGAACAAGCACAACGGTGTCAGCTCATGGACTTTACCCTTCCTGCAGCCTGGATCGCTCTCGATCCCGCTCGGTTCGGCCCGACTCACCTCATCAACTCCCTGCCACCAAAGATGACCACCAAGTACGTGATGATGCCTACGACGACCTCTTGCGTGGTGCTCATCGGGGTCTTGCCCGGTACCCAATGTGTGAGCTCATAGCTAGGCTTCAATGACTCCGGGGTGATCGAACCGAGGAGGGTGTAGATGGGACCAGGCTTGTCAAAGGTGAAAGGGTTGAACATCTTGATGGACTAGTTAGAGGTCGGGACGTGTAGAACCGGACCGTTTGATGCTGTTTGTTTTTTGGTACGGATTATGATACGATAGCTGACTGGTGTAGTATCGTGCGTGCTTGAGGGTGTTGTCCGAGCTGAGCGGTACGAAATGATGAGAGAGGGAGTTGAAAGAGGTAACGAGCGTGTAGTGGTGGTGATGGTTCGAATTGATGTCGAGCAGCTCGTCTGAAAGGGGTGTCGAGCGGTCGTCCGGTAAAAAAGGTTTGTCAGGTGATTGGTTTCTGGCCTAGATCGCAAGACTGTTGCCCGGAAAGAGATGGATGACAAAGAGGTCTCGCTGAGAGTGGTCGGGAAAAGAGGAGGAGAACGGAGGAGAGATGACTGTGAAGACCGACGTCGACCGGACGAAGAGAGTGATGGTAGTGGTGGTGGATGTTGTGGTAGCAACTAGCTAGAGCTAGAGAGTTGGCCCAGGCTAACCTCGGAATCAGTCCACGGACTGATGGGGGGGGGGGGGTCTCTCCCTCCCTTCGCTGCTCTAGGCCTGCGCAGACTTTTTCCTCCTTGCTCCTTGTTTTGTTTTCATCTCATCACGCGCGCGCGCCCTCTCCACCCTTGCGTTTCCCACGGAAGACCCACGCCGTCTAATAACCGGTCCCCGACCCTTGACGATCACCCTCGTCCAACTGCCAAATCGAATATCACTCGATCCTCGACGAATCGACCAATCGCTCTGATCTCGCACGATGAGATGATTCACAGCGCGAGAACCCAAAGTGCACTGAGACCAAAATGCTCGATTGCGCTTTATCCAGATCCAGTGATGCATGCGCTCTCACCTGCTCGAGTTCAGGCGAAGCCCCAATTTGACACGCGCAGGGCCCGGGCGAACCTAGCGCTGCCGGGATCTCAAGGTTCCGGCTAGACATTTTAGGGTGCGTTCGCGACCGCTGTCTAGACAGTTTTTCAAGCAGTTTTCGACCGAATCGGGTAACGAGGCGTACGCGTACGTTTTTACTAGGCGTCCCCCGCTAAAAAAATATACGCGATTCTCTCGTAAAACTGTCGAGACCGCAAATGCACCTTTTCGGTAACATTGGAAGGTGACAGGTTGAATCTGGATCCGTTCTTCCTCCGTTTGGCTGTGTAGTACTAGCGATTCGTGGAAGACCCAAACCAAACGATTCCAACGACTTTTTGTACATTACGTCGAAACGGCTGAAATCGATACGTTTTTCACATTTCGAAGCTAATAAAACCGTGAATAACATCGTGCGATGGAGTCAGGCAGTCTTGCTAGTAGTTCCCAGCCAAACGCTGCCCTCCAACACCCGGCAGGCCGAGGAACGGACTCGCCGTTCCTCGTTCCGACGCTAAACGACGCCTTCAACCACCGAAACGGACGAACGAACGACTTACGGTCTTCGGTAGCACCCTCTAGCCGTCTGTCTAGTACCCCAACACCTTCGTTTATCTCCCGAGAAGGTTCTACGTTCTCCCGCGATGGATCTACGTTCCCCCTTGATCCTTCGTTGATGGCGAGTCGTTCGCCGTCGTGGGGGAGGGAGTCGTCGTCGGGGGGTGCTTCGTTCTTCGCTGGGATGAGGCTAGACAGGGAGAGTACGGCAGCGTCGACGGTGACGTCTATAGGAAGCACAGGGAGGTCGAGTCAGCGTGAGAACGCATCATGGACCGACGCTGACGACGAATTGATGGTCGATCTACTTCTCGAGTCGGTCCGACAAGGTCAGAAGTCCGAGAACGGCTTCAAGAAGGGTGTGTGGGGTAAGGTGGTAACGGAGGTGAACAGGGTAAGGACTCAGGGTGGTCCGAAGGACGAACGATCGGCTAGAGGTCGGTATTCGTTAGTAAGTAGTCGAGAATCACATCGACGAGAACGGATTCTTACCTTCTCGATAGCTACGTAAGGAGAAGTGGGAACCGATTCACACTATGATGACGACGTTGTCTGGTGCTGGCTTTGACGAGGACCTTGGCTGTGTTACGCTACCGGAGAAGGGGTGGCGAGAGTTACGAGAGTCGGGTGTAAGTCGATAGTTGTAGTCGATCGTCGACGTCGATGTCGTTCTATAGGGCATATTCGAACGTCAAACGCGTACGCGTCGACCTAGACGATCGACATACAAATCACCTCCTTTGACAACGAGTATCGTCTAAACTTCAAGTCGACATTACATAGTCCGAGGGCAACCTGAAACTGCTAGCTTGGAGGAACAAGAAGTGCTCCCTCTACCCTCGCCTTGACCTGTTGTTTTCCCCCGCTACCGCCGACGGTCGTTACGCAATGAACCCCTTTCGTCGACCTCGTTCTCTCGGCTCAAGAAGTCCGGAGAGGAGCAGGGAGGGAGACGACACGTCGTCGAGGTCAGTGGGAAGCGTACGTCAAGTGTAGTTGCTAGTAATTGACTAGCAATTACACACAGCGATGACTCCGAGCCGACCTCGACGCCGACTCGATCGAAAACGACTCCGAAAACGACTCCAAAACGGTCTCGAGACACACAACTTCGAGAACAGGTCGCCGAACGGCTCGAATCGCTCGATGAGCGTATCGCTGAATGCATGAAGGACATAGCTAAGCGAGACCCAGGCTCGCAGCTGAAACAGGCGTTCGAGAAGCTGGCCGGCGTCGTCGACGAGTACGAACTCAGTAAAGATGATGAATATCGCGTCGTTCAGCACTTTACGGAACGGCCGTCGACGGCGATTGCTTTCCTCGCTGTCCCGCCAGAGTTCCTCGGCCGTACGCTTAGACGCATAGTAACTCTGGAAGAACGGAGGGAAGAACGGGAAGAGGCAGAGATGGCGAAAAGACGACGTGTTCGGGACGATCGAGACGAATATGATGAATAGACGTCGGACGTTCTTACTACGATCTAAGGTGAGTCTGATACTCTCTCCACATACGGCTAGCTATCTTATTGCGTCTCTCCTTCGCTAAACGATCCCGTATCGACCTCGTTATCACCACGTCTCGTCTAGCCGGCTCGACATCACCTTCCTCGACCCTCTCTCCGTCGACGTCGTTCTCGTCACCCTCCCAATCGCCCTCGTCGTCACCGTGAAGCATGATGAAGTTGTGTAGGGCGAAGCAGACGTAGACGATCTTAACCTGCGTGCTGATGGGGTATGTCGTTCCGTATTTGAGAACCTATGTCGATACGCGAATATTCGAACGATTTCAGCGAGCGATTCGAGGTGCCGTCCGACGTCGATGGCGTGACGTGTTGACGTCGTTCTAACCGGCCTACTCACCTTGAATCTACCCTTAGCAATACCGAAGGCCCTCTCTATAATGTTACGGCAGCTAGAGTGGCGTAGGTTGTATAGTTCTTTCTCGTTCTTAGGTCTAGTCGATCGTCAAAGGCAGTGGTGAGATTTTCAACCCGTTAGCCTGAGAACGTATGAGAACGATCCGGCAGCGTTTGGCTGGTAGACGCACTTGTTTCCTGCCGTTCCCCACTCCTTAAGATGGTATCGTACTCCTCTGAACGGGGTGAGCAACTCCAGCGAAAGACCGTAGCCGGCATCAGCTAAAAGGTGGTGTTTGGGTGGTATCGTCAGGCCGTCGGCGACTGCGGCCCTGTATACGTTGCTATCGTGGTCGCTGCTGTAAGGCCCGGGAGCGGCCCCCGATGGGGGTCCCCCTGGACAGGCTGACGGGACGCAGGAATGAGGCAAGGTATGGGTAGACATCTAGATGTAATAACGGATGTAGAGCTATTACAAGGGTACTAGTTCTACATCAACATAACAATACCGAAAAGTACCCCCGGCGGGGGTCGCATACGGGAGTCGCGTACGGCGCGTCCGACGCGTCACGTGACCGCTATAACAGGATCCCCCTCCTAGATGCGGACTCCAAACGCATCAAGCGTCGGCGTACTCTTGTCGACCGGGCTGGGGTAGATGGGGGTAGCGCTTGTGGAACGCCGCAACGACTTTGTCGTCGTGGTCAAACTCAGCGGGGCTGACCCACTCGTTTGACTCGTCCCCGTACCCTTCGAACCGTACCAGGTATTGGGTCTTCTTCCCGGACCTTCCGGATCGTAACGCCTTCGAGTGTACGATCTCGGACACAACATACCCCAAGTCGCCGTTGTCGAGGACTTCGGGGGTAGGTGGCTCAACCACCTCTCTTCCTTCCAGCTCGTTGGCCCGATAGGGGATAAGCAACGACACGTGGAACACGGGGTGCACCCGGCGTAACTGCGCGGGGAGTTCCAGCCTCCTCGCCATCTTGCTCTGGCCGATGACTTCCGTGATTCGGAAGGGCCCCAGCGTCTTCATCGAGAGCTTCTGGCTGGGGCGCACCGATGTCAAGTTCTTGGTAGATAACATTACCAAGTCCCCTACGTTGTAACCCTCGTCAGGGACGGCGGTACGCTTCCGATTTGCGTACTTCGCCATGTCTTTCCGCGCCTGTTCCAGCGCCTCCTTCACCGACTTATAGATCCCGTCGAGTCGGTCTCGGTACTCTCCCGCCGATTCCACCGCCTCTTCCCTAGTGCCGGGCACTGGCAGGGAGAAGGTATGCTCCCTTCCCTCGGACGCCATGAATGGCGACATCCCGATGGCAGAGTGCTTCGCGTTGTTGTACGCGAACTCCGCCATGGAGAGTAACTCCGCCCAATCGTCCTGGAGGAAGTTGACGTACGACCGCAAGTACTGCTCCAAGGTGGAGTTACTTCGCTCGGTCTGCCCGTCCGTCTCCGGGTGGAACGCCGTGGAGTAACTATTCTCCACGTTCGCCATGCGGCACAGATCTTTCCAGAAGCGCGAGGTGAACAACGTACCTCGATCCGAAATGATCTGCTTCGGGAACCCATGCAAACACACCCATCGGTCAAGGAATAACCGCGCCAAGAACGTGGCGTCGTTATCCTTTCGACAAGCGACGAAGTGCGCTCGCTTGCTGAACCGATCGACGATCACCAGGATCGAATTGGACCCCATAGACTCGGGAAGGTCCGTGATGTGATCCCAAGTGATCGATTCGTATGGTCCCGCCGGTACCGGCAGCGGCGCTAGTTCGCCGACAGGCTTCATTCGGGGTCGCCGGTTGCGCTGACATATGCTGCAGCTAGCGACGTACTCCCCGATCCACTTCGCCATCCCAGGCCAGTAGAAGTCCCTACTGGTTAGCTCCACGGTCTTGTCCCGCCCCCAATGGCCGGCGGCCTTCCCGTCATGTAGGCGCTTCATCAGCTCTACCTTGATGTTCCCCGCGTTAGGAACATACACCAACCCGTTGTACAGGAGAACCCCAGTGGGGCTCAAGCTGTATCGCTCATTCGCCAAGGTCCCCGCCTTGAGCTGCGCTACGAGCTCTTTCGCCACCGGGTCGTCCTGCGCCGCCGGTATCAGCGCTTTCACCATCCAATCGCCCAGTGCGGGGATGGTGCCATTCAACCGCAAAGGCGGTCGTTCAACCGAACTACACCCTTCAGGGGGTGCGCCTTCGACAGGCCGGAGCAGAGTCTCCGCTCGCGTCGGTTCTGTCTCCTCCATCAACTCTTCCCGCCGACTCAGCGCGTCGGCCTTCCCGTTCTCCGTCCCCGGTTTGTACTCCAGGGTGTAGGAGATCTGGTTCAACAGCTGCGACCATCGCGCCTGCCGTTGAGACAATACCTTGTCCCTCTTGAAGTACTCCAAGTTCTTGTGATCCGTGAGGATCCGAACGGGGTACTTGTTGTCGAGATAATGTCGCCATATCCGACTGCAATAAACGATGGCCAGCAGCTCCCTGTCGTGCACATCGTAGTTCCTCTCGGCGGGCGTCAGACTCTTTGACATGAACGCTACCGGGTGGAGCTTCCCATCGTCCCCTACCTGGGACATCACCGCGCCGATCGCTCCAGAGGAAGCGTCGGTCTCGAGCACCACTTGGCGCTCCTCGTTGTAGTGCGCCAATATAGGCGCCTGGGTGAAGGACTCCTTCAATTCCCGGAACGCAGCGTCAGCGGCTGCCGTCCAGGAGTACTTCACCCCTTTCTTCGTCAGGGCCGTCATTCCCTGAATCTTCTTGGAGTAGTTCTGGATGAACCTCCGATAATAGTTTGCAAATCCTAAAAAGGACTGCAGTCCCCGAATGTTCTTCGGGGGGGCCCAGTCCAAAACGGACTTGACCTTGGAGGGGTTCATACTGACCCCCGTCGGGGCAATATCGTACCCCAAGAATTCGGTAGCCACCGTATCGAACTCACACTTCTCCGCCTTCGCATACAGGCCATTTGCCTGCAGCCTCTTCATAACCTCCTTGACCTGACCGTCATGGGTCTCCTGGTCGGAGGAGTAAATAAGTATGTCGTCGAGGTAAACGACGACGCACACATCCAAAAGGTCCTGGAAAACCTCGTTCATCCACCGCTGAAAGGTAGCGGGGGCGTTGGTCAAGCCGAACGGCATGACCAAACATTCGAACAGACCGAAACGTGTAGTAAACGCGGTCTTCCAAATGTCTTCTTCTTTTACGCGTAGCAGGTTGTACGCGCCTCGGAGGTCCATCTTCGTGTAGACCTTCGCGCCCTTCAACCTGTCTAGCGTCTCTGAGATGAGGGGTAGGGGCGTCCTATCCTTCACCGTAATGTCGTTAAGGCGACGGTAATCGATGCACATACGCATCTCGCCGCCTTTCTTCGGTACGAACAGTACCGGGCTCGAACAGGGCGACTTCGACGGCCTGATGAACCCCTTCTCCAAATTTTCTTTCAACCACTTCTTTAGCTCCTCGCTTTCCCGCTGGGAGTGGTTGTAGAGCTTCTGGTACGTCGGCGACGTACCGGGCTTGAGTTCGATCGCATGGTCGATCGATCGCGTCGGGGGCAGTGTATCTGCCTTCGTCTTGGAGAACGCTCCAAGATGTTCATGATACTTCTCCGGTACCATGTCCCTCAGCTTCTCCATATACTCAGGAGGATCCAGATCGTCCTGGAACGAGTCCGTGGGTTTGACGTCCCAATCCCACAGGTCCGGGCGCCTCGCCCGCTCGTCGTCCTCCCGGGTCATCTGCATCTGCGCGACGACCAAATCCTCCGTGATCGACCCCTTCATCTTCTTGAACGGGTCGATCCCTTGTGTCTCCACTTCTACTTCGTCCGGAGCGTACACCGTCTCGGGCCTCTTGAGGCATCCCGTGCTGATGCAGACATCCCCGAACGTCACCGCGTTGGAGTCCCATTGGATATGCGGGTTGTGTCTCCGCAGCCAAGGGATACCTAGTACCACCGGGTACCCACTCAAATCGGTGAGGTGGAACTCGGTCAGTTCCAGGTGCACCCCCGTACGTACCAGCGTACGAGCCTTCTGGGTGATCCTTCCTCCCTGGATCTCCCGACCATCGATCACCGTCACTACCCGCGGCGTCTCGAGGTCCGTTACGTCGAATCCATGTAGCGACGCGAATGTCCGATCCATGAACATCCCGGTCGCTCCCGAATCCAACAACATGAGTGCTTGGACCGGCACTCCTTCCGGGTAGAACACTCCTACCAACGTCAGATGGCTATCTGGACCGTTGGGTACTCCGCTTGCACCCAGCTGCAAGGGGATCCGGCTACCTCCTTGTGCTCCCCCATTCGGGGTCCTTTGATGATCCGTTATTCTGTAAGGCCCGGGAGCGGCCCCCGATGGGGGTCCCCCTGGACAGGCTGACGGGACGCAGGAATGAGGCAAGGTATGGGTAGACATCTAGATGTAATAACGGATGTAGAGCTATTACAAGGGTACTAGTTCTACATCAACATAACAATACCGAAAAGTACCCCCGGCGGGGGTCGCATACGGGAGTCGCGTACGGCGCGTCCGACGCGTCACGTGACCGCTATAACAGCTGCCCTCCCAGCCTGCGTAGA